GTAACAGGTGGAAATATATTCTTTTCTATAGTATAGAATTAATTGATTGTATAATAATAAGAAATAAGTTAAAACTTTAGGGAGGCAAAGGTATATGATAGTAAAATTTTTCATAATTAATGAGTTCTCATACCATCAATAGAAGGTAAACTATCAGATTTCATATTATCAGGTTTCAATTTTGGTTCTATTTTAGAGCAGTTAAATCGAAAATCATTTAAGAATATTTCATTAATGTACTATCAAAATTCTCTTATAATAGATTTTGATTGGATTGGCTATGCAATTATTGAAATAAAATGTATGGTCGTCATTGTTTGAATTGGATTTTTAAAATATAGAATTGGGACAAGTAAGTATCATTAACTAAAATATATTTATTCCCATTTTAATTTTATGCATTTGTCTAATGAGGGTTTCATTCATAGATGTAAATCAAAATACTCCAGAGCTTTCTTAAATAAATTTAAAGAAAGTACCAAAATTTCAGATAAATCTAAAAATAGCTCACCGATTAGTTATAATTAGCTACTTTAAATTTGGTGAATCTTTTTAAAATTAGATATTTTTCTACTCAAGCCTGTTTAATTATTTTATTTAATAAATCCATATATATATCCTGTTTAGAATGCTCCCTTCATGATTTTGGAGTTAACATAATAGCATTACGATTTTCAGTACCATTCCAACTTGAAAAAAAAAAATAGAATAATTAAAGTCATCTATCATGCATCATCTCAGTTTTGAACGTAATTCTAATTTCATTATTATATTCTAAAATGATCTAGATCAAAGTAAATATAGACTTTAAAATAACATTTCAATCATTTTAAAATAACATTTCAATCATTATTGCAAATGAAGGAAATTTTAATAAAGTAGATCTAAAAGTGAAACTTTTAACTGTTAAATGGCTAAGATATTCATTACTTTATCTTCTAATCAAGGCTGTGTGCCCTTTAAAAGGTATAAAAATAACAGAATTAAAAGTAGGGGAATATTGCTTCATTATTATTACTGTAAGCGGAACATGTTTTGCAGATGCCACTATAAGTATCAGATATGAATGCTTTAACTAGAATTATAATAGTATAACTAGAAAAGTTGGAGTAGCTAGCACTACTAATTGATAAAGAGTGCAACTATTATTATGTGTTTTAAGAATGTTCAAATATATTAATAAGAAAAAGTGCAAGGATTGGGGAAAGAAAATGTAATTGCTGCATGCATTTAAAAAAAAGGGGGAGAGTGTATGACGAATTTCAGAAGAAAAACATGAACATGTTTGGAGAGTTCTAGAAATATGAACAGAACTAGACTTGTGAGAATATTCGACTCTGCAAGTCGTACAAGTGCTCAGATCATCATATTTCATGCGATCAGAGCCAACAACTGATAAACAGAACTATATCCACTGACAGTAGTCTAAATTTTAGCAAAGCTCCAAGAACATTAAGCTGATGAATGGGACAATCGCATTATACTTATGCTATGAATTTGCAGAAAGAAGTTATATATGAATTTTCATTTGAATAATGTAAGGTAAACATCAAGATATATCTGTAGGATAGTATCTCAAATAGAATGAGTTCATTAATAAAATGCCAAAGGAGTGATAGTGGTAAACAATACGCTAAATAGTTACAATTTACAAAAATTCTCACCACGCAACATGTTTGGAAGCCTCGTAACAATCCAAATAAAATGACGCGTAAAAAATAGTTGAATAACTACAGTCCTAGCACTTTTTTCGCCATCAACTTAATTTCGTGTGCACAATCTTATAGATATTATATTACAAGGTTTTGATTATTATATATTATATTTAAATTCGGTGAGATAATAGTTCAACAATGACAAGTTATATTATTATAATAGCCATAAAAAGAAGAAGTTTTATTACATAAATATAAGAAATTTTAGGAGAGACTTCATAATGAATAATTAAGAAACTTTAACTTTGTAAGAACCTAGAATTTGGACACTAAAATACATAATTTGTTTTCAATTTATTAACCTGGTCACAAACACATAGCCATCTAAGAAGCAAGTGTTAAATGGAATAAAAATTAAATACCAAAAAAATTGACATTTAATGCAATCTAAATAAGTAAGATGTCAACAATATTTTAGACATATTTAAAAATATTTAGCTGTGTAAACTATAGCATGCAATTCCTTTGACACCTTTGGTAATATCAACTTTATCGTTAAGAAACCAGACTTAATCGGAAACATATTATCTACTTATCTTGAAGAGCTTAAGCACGAGATTTGAAGAGTACTATTTACGCATCATATTCATAATATCATGCTCTATATATAGAATCGAGAGAAGTGAAGCATTTATCACAAGTTATTGAGCGATTCTATTGCTACTCTCAGCATAAACGTGTAAGATTAATAAATACAATCAAGTAAGGACTTGGACATTGTAGTATCAACACATCATTAACTTTGATCTAAAATTGATGAACAGGTTCCACTCAGTAAAATCATCAGCACATAATAAAGTGTACTCATTATTCTTACAAGAAGAACTTCAAGTATTCATATAAAATACTCTGTTGTAACATTTCTAAACACTTTATTAGTAGCATTAGGTAACGGTGGTGAAAAAGAACTATAAAGTTGAACTATACCAACCAAAAATAATTAATTTGAACACGGTTTTGAAATTGAGTTACTCCAGCCATTATTGTTGACACCGCTAAGGTTGAATTAAAGAGTTGAAAAAGCTTAACATTATTTTTAATTATAAACTAAAGTTAGCTCTTATACAGCATTGCTGGAACCTTAACACTCTTAAGGTGGCCATAGATCCTTTACATACAAGCGAACGGTTGTAAGTGCTTTACTTAAGACAGTTTAATGATTTTTATTGATTGGAAGCACACTACAACTCAATTCTAAACACTGCTTTCAATGACCCATGACACTCAATTCAAGTTGTATTTGAGTATCATGTTATAATTTTTATAGATCCATTAATTCAATATGCGTATTAATATCAGTCTTAAAAGTATCCATTCTTTTCAAATAGTCTTTTAATTTCTAGTTTTATTTTTTTCTAAAGAAGCTCATAGAAATATGTTGATTGAATTTAGTAATTTCTGTCACTGTTATGATACGATAAATGATTTTCCTTTTTGTTATATTTTGCCATTATTATCTCCTCTGATTCTCAACCACTGATATAACATGTTCTCAAGGTATATTATTTATCTTATATTCCAAGGTAAAATAAACCCTTTACTGATCACCATAATCCTGACTCAATTTGCATAACATCTATAATAAGTTATGCTTTTATGTTCTTGTGCTGTTTTATGAAAGGCACAAATGTAGATAGTAATTGCTAGAGAAGAAAGCTTGAAAAACTATATTTGTCTTTCTGTCGATAATTCCTTTACCATGTACTACTGGAGATGAGTTTGCCAAACCTTTAATATAGTGATAAGCTTTAAAAAAAATTAAAATGAAAAAATTAATAGGAAGCAGTTCATATTGTGCACTTACCTGGACATTTATAGCATTAAATTCAGGTAATAAAATAGAGAACAGAAAATATCAGAAGGCAAAAAAGTTTCACAAGCATTACATTTGTCTTTTGGAATTAATTAAAATAACTTCAGTTGAATAGGGCTATATTTAATTTAAATCATTACAAATAATTCATCTCTAGAACAGTGATTTATGGTGCTGTATTAATCAAATTTTTAATTGTTTTTGCACATTGTTTTCAAATAAGCAGCATTAGAAAATATTCTAGATTACATGCAACAAATTTATTCTTAATGTAGTTCACATTTCAGTAAAGTTGGATCGTTTTTAGAATGGCATTCATTAAGAAATGCATGTATTACTTTTGGAAGTTAAATAAAAAATATTCAAATGCATCTTAAATAAATAGCTGATTCAGCTGCAAAATTTTCTAAAATTAACGCTTATCTGCATTAAATACATTTCGTAAGCAATATGCTTTTTAAAACTAGTGACTGAATAAATGACAAACTCTTCAAAAATATTAATAAAAAGGAACTATTGTTTTATATATGCGATTGATATTCGAAAGTTCACAGTTATTGAAGAAGATTCTCAAATTTCAACAGCTCCTTTAAAATTAAATGCCAACTATGTTCAGATTATACGAATTAATTAAATAAGACTGCTTTAACAGTATTCTAAATTTCTCAACCACCATAAATATAATCAGCCCCATTCGTATATCAGGCACTACTGCAGTATATGATCATACATAAGTGATTCCTGAAGAATGAAAGTGGTCAAATGAGATTACTATTCTTTGCGAAATTTCATTTTCCTGAATTGTAAATTGCAATATCAAATGGAACCTTAAATTGTGCAATCATATTTTGACAATTATAAAATTATAAGCGTGATTTTGAATTTGCAAGATGGATTCTTCATACGTATTTAATGGCGATAGCATTTTTGAATCAGATATAAAAGTTAAGTATGCTACAATTATTCCGAATCAAAATGTACTATTCTAATTTACAAACTTCTTTAATTGTTGCACATCTTTGTTCACAATCTCATTTTTTTTTAATTAAAGCTTAATTAAGATTCTTCAAATATTCCTTAATGTGATCATCTTTGCATTAGATGTATGATGGCTGTTAGTAATAGCTGAGTTTTTGAAATATCTTTTTTTGAATATTACACTTTAAACCTTTCCATAAACTCGAGAAGAGCTATAGATGTTATAGATATATATTAGCATTTAGAAGTTGAAGTTCTCCCTACTAATCCTTTTAGAAAGACATTTGTTAGATTTTTTAGCTTAGTGAAATAAAAATATAATCATAAAATATTAAAAATTTAGTTTTTAAAAAGTCAAAAAAATTCTCAAATAACCTGAAATCAAAAATGTATCAATATTAGTTGTAAATATGAACTAATATCATGCAGAATTTAATCAAATTATCATAAGCAAATGATCTATTTTATAATCAGAATAAAAATTTTGAGTAAAATCAACGCTTCTTTTAATTAATGAATAAATTTCATATATGATAAGGCATGTTGCATGGGTGGGATTTTTATTATTAATTTATTTTTATTTTTCTTATAAATTCATAAATATCAAAATACACAAGCTTATGTGAGTTGTCGTTATTATAATTAACATATGCTCCAAATCTTTACAATGTTTTTTTCTTCCTCACAAAAACACAAGATACTTTTTTTATTGCAGTATATAACTCAAATCGAGTACTTGAAATTCAATATTATTTTTAAAAAATAGAAAATGAATTCATAAAAAAAGTAAGGTGATGATTTGTATGGGATTTTGGCTTTATCTAAAGATGTGGATGAAATAGCTTTTCCTATCTTAATTATGATTTTAAGAAGAGAGAAAATTGAGGACTGCTTAGAATTTCTCTCATAAGATTAAAATCATAGAAAATACGAAGAAGTAAAATATTATGTAACAGTTCATCGCTATTGGGATAGGAATGGATGCTAAAAGTAGGAAGGAATAACGTTAAGAAAATAACAAATGTTCTCAACCAAATTAAAGATCATGAATTTAATAAAGAAAATTATTCTAAAAAAGAATACAAAAAAGTGAATTTAAACTTGATTACAAATATATCAAATAATAAGAAGATAATAGAATTATTGAAATTATTAGTTCATCTGACTACTCTAGATGAGAGATACATACAGAGTGGATCCAATTCTATTTATTTATTAGTTTAAATGATGGTTGATTTGAAGGAATAATCATTTTAAAACATTAGAATTAGAAATACTTCACTGGTAGGAGCAAATTTTGTGAGATGCGACTTGAGTAAATCTGAATTTGACTTTGTAATTATTAGTGGGATGAATTTGAATGGAGCCAAATTATTTAATTGTAAATGGAGAAATTTAGTTATAAATGAAGAAATAAAATTAAAAGGCCATGGCGGTATAGTTAATTAAGTTTGCTTTTCTACAAATGGGAAATCATTAGCTTCTTGCAGTATTGATAAATCCATTTGTTTATGGGATATAAAAACAGGGAAAATTAAGTTTGTAATAAGAGGTAAGAGCGATGGAAAATCAATTTGCTTTTCACCTAATGGAATCGCATTAGCTTAAGGTAGGGATAAATTTGTATATATATGGAATCTTAAAACAGGAAAGCAAATAATTAAATTTAATGGTCATATTGATATAATTAATTCAGTTTGTTTCTCTCCTGATGGTACTATATTAGCATCTGGTAGTTAGGATAAATCTATACGTTTATGGGATGCTAAGATAGGATAACTAAAAGAAAAATTAGACGGTCATAAATTTTCTGTACAATCAGTCTGTTTCTCTCCTGATTGCACAACATTAGGGTCTGGTAGTGAAGATAACTCAATCCGCCTATGGGATACAAAAACAGGATAATAAAAAGCCAAATTAGATGGTCATTCAAGTTGTGTTAATTAAATCTGTTTTTCTCTTGATGGTACTACATTAGCATCTGGTAGTCTAGATAAGTCTATCCGTTTATGGGATCTTAAGGAAGGATAATAAAAAATCAAATTAGACGGTCATTCGAGTTCTGTTAATTCAATCTGCTTTTCTCTTGATGGTACTATACTAGCATCTGGCAGTCTAGATAAGTCTATCCGTTTATGGGATGTTAAGACAGGATAACAAAAAGATAAATTGGATAGTCATAAAAATTGTGTTTAATCAGTCTGTTTCTCTCCTGATGATACTACATTAGCATCTGGTAGTGCAGATAAGTCTATCTGTTTATGGTAGATTAAGACAGGAGAAGAAAAAGCAAAATTAGAAGGTCATAAAAATTGGGTCCAGTCGGTTTGTTTCTCTCCTGATGGTACTACATTAGCATCTGGTAGCGCAGATAAGTCTATCTGTTTATGGGATGTTAAGACAGGACGATAAAAAGCCAAGTTAGATGGTCATATTGATTGGGTAAAATCAGTCTGTTTCTCTCCCGATGGTACTACATTAGCATCTGGCAGTATAGATAAGTCTATTTGTTTATGGGATATTAAGACAGGATAATAATAAGCGAAATTAGATGGTCATATTGATTGGATCAAGTCAATCTGTTTCTCGTCTAATGGTTTTACATTAGCATCTTGTAGTTTTGATAAGTCTATACGTTTATGGGATGTTAAGACATGGTATTAAAAACCCAAATTATATAATCATGATAATTAGATTTATTCAATCTGTTTCTCTCCTGATAGTACTATATTAGCTTATGGTACTGCAGATAAAGCTATTAGATTAATGGATGTTAAGACAGGATAATAAAAAGCCAAATTAGATGGCCATTTGAGTTATGTTAATTCAGTCTCTTTCTCTCCTGATGGAACTACATTAGCATCTGGTAGCTTTGATAAGTCTATCCATCTATGGGATGTTGAGACAGTTTAATCAAAAGCCAGCTTAGCTGGACATTCAAAATCAGTCTTATCAGTTTGTTTCTCTCCGGATGGTACTACATTAGCATCTGGTAGTGCAGATAAGTCTATTTATTTATGGGATGTTTAGACAGGATAATAATTAGCCAAATTAGATGGTCATGAAAATTGGGTTTAATCAGTCTGTTTTTCCCCTGACGGTACTACATTAGCATCAGGTAGTGCAGATAAATCTATCCGTATATGGGATGTTAAGTCAGGATAATAATTCTTACCTTCAGATAGTTATAAAGAAATTCTCACATAATTTAAAGTCTCCATATTTCCAAATAGCATTCTATTAGATATTCGTATTTTTTTAAATATATCCTTTAGCTAGCTCTTATATTACAATTCTTCGAATTTCATAAAATCCCATTTTCCAAGCCTATGGAACTTTAATTTTTAAAGGCGAGTTTGTAAATTCTTAAGGCTTAGATTTAAGGTCATTATTCAAATCTAAAGGAGGTTGCATTTTATCAAGCAGTAATGGATTTTAATAAAATTGATCATTATTATTCAAAATTTCAGATATTTCAAAATTTATTTTATGCATATTAGATGTCAGCTCTCAATCAACAAATAATATATGATGAATTATTACTTAGGATCTTTTGGGATTAATAATAATTACTTATGCTGATGAATGGATTAATCTAGTTACTCAAATATTGGTTCAAAGTAATTCTTTCAAAAAGTGTCTCAGTTGCAAACGGAAGCAAACTTACAAACTTTAATGTTTTAGAATAGCATAACAATTTTCACCCCAACTCAAACTTGATAATCTTTCATGGTCCCTAATTTAGTATTATATTCAGGAATAGCATTTTATGCATAACTTTTGCATACCCTATTGAATTAGGTTGTTAAGCGTTACTAAGTTGGAAACCTGGATCATTCAGGTAAGGTCTATGGAAGCCATTGGCTCTTAATGTCAAACAGTGATAAAATAAAATAAGCTGTCATGATTTTTATTTTCAATTGTAGAATCTAGATAAGCAAAGATGAATTTAAAGAGACCTTTTGGATGAAGTATACCATCTATGATGAGAGAATATTTGATCAAAGAACTTAGGATATTTAAGGTTGCAAGGAAATTGCTCCTGGTCTAAAAGAACTTAAATAATTGTATCAAAGTCGGTAAGTGTAAGACTATGTGATTTTGTAGGAAATGACAGAGCATTTAGTTGAATCATAGCACCCTCTAAGGAATCAGCTGTGAGAGCATAAGTTGTCAATTAATTTCAAAATTAATCACATGAGTTATTCAAGAAATATATTCGTGTGAAAGACTAACAGGATGTTTGCAGGATGATTTGATCAGATCAGAAATAATTATCGTTAATCTAGCACACCATAAGCATCTAAAGATAGATTTCAGTACTAATTTTGTCGGAAACTCTAGCCTGTGCTAAGATGATGTGAAAGTAACATACAATAAATCTTGTTTATTAAAATTCTTTTTATCTGAATTACATTAGAACTAATAATACTTAAAACATAAGATGTTGTGGGTATAACTTTATTATGGCACTAATACTTGTTTCTCTTTTATTACTCCTAAATATTCGAACTCATAAATTATTTTCAGAATTATATCAAGGTTATTTAAACGCATGCACTACTTGGCTGAGTTAAATTACAAATTTAATTCCAATATGTTCAATAAAAGTTATGCTATTCCAGATGGCACTTATAGTAAATTCCCATCTGCTTATCCCTAATAAGAATCTCAATTAAGAATGAATTAATATCTATTATGCAACTTTTGAAGCAATATATTATCCACTTTTCAGATATTTTAGTCTAAAAACTATGTAAAAGTTATGAAAGAGCTACACTATTTTGACATATTGTTGGCACATATGATTTGCAAAAAAAAATAAATGGTTTAACCAACTTTATGGACTGAATTTGGTGAGCATTACTTGCCACCATTATTCAAAGATATTAGCACCATATTATTAGCTCAAGTTCCTCTAATAATAACATTGTTTTGCTTCAAATTAAGATAACATTCTTGAATCATTATATCGATATACACATTCATTTTGAGAAAATTATTCCAAGCGGTATAATTTAAGTATGCGAACTTGCAATGCATCAAATACAATAAAAAGATAACCAACTGTTTAAATCAGAATAAATAGCAGTTCTTGGAACTGTAATCTCATAAAAAAATGTACACCCTTTGTATAAAAACTTGATATGAATAAAAGAGAAATGAATAATGTTGTAAAAATATCTTTAGCAATAACTTAAAGATTGACTCCTGAGGAAAGGTGATACATGATTTAAATATTTGCCATCAGAAAAGAACAATATTACTCCTTAAATTACTCGCTAGCGCAAGACTCTTGATTCATTTACTCGTGCTCAGAACATTGGTTAACTTAGTTTACCAAATTTATGTTAGAAGGAGAGATAAATAAGAAATTGGAATTCAACAGAAGAATGTATAGGTATCAGAATTATTTGAGCATCGACTCCAAGTTTTAGATAATATCTTACATCTTACTATGTAAAATAAAGTTATAGCATGGCAAGTTAGATAATTACAGATAGCATGTGGAGATGGATATTTACTGCAAGTGTTTAATGGATAAAATGTTATATAATGATAAACCTTAATGGTTGTGCCATTCTGTAGAACCAGAGTTTGCTTGAGAAAAAGTTTAACATGGTTCAAAATACATTAATCACAAGAGTTGTTCAATAAAATCATGTATTATTAGAGTTATTTGTATGAGCACTAATATTTGAGCAAGCAGCACAAGTATTCACATTAGATTAACTAATTAAAAGAACTACTTCAAAGCCTCGATAACTTACACATAAGAAGATGGAGCTTTATAATGTAAAGGAAGTAGCGTACGATTCTTAACAAGCATGGCTTAAATTAGGAACCAAATTGAATATCCACACGTGCACAATTTCACAAATATAACTCTTACAAATTCTTGTACATTATGTCCTATGCGCTGCATAGTAAGCAATCATATCTTATAGAATGGATTACAAGCTGATAATCCGATATACTCCACAATATCCACCGGTACAAATGGATATGACACAATTTCTTGTTGATTCTTATAAAAATTCTAATACTTAAGATTGCAGGGTTGGCAGTATTAAAAGTTCAATTCTTATTAAATACAAAATTGTATTACATGCAATATGCATGATTTTGCTATTCTTGGAAATGATCATGAATTTAGGCTGCCAAAGTCATTTGGTTTGGGTTTAACCTATTAAAATTACAAAATACAGATAGTGCGGATTAATAAAAAAGTCTCAATAAGTCTCAAAGTTAGCTAATATAACATGGTTTCGAAAAATCTTTCAAAAAAAATCAGTACACTCACCTGCTCATTTAAAATATCGCAGCTCTTAATTTTTAGTATCTATTACTAGTTTCAAAAAGTTTTTATAATTATTTAATGTGATTTAGCAAGACATTACAAAAAAACCTGGCTAGGAAGAGGTCGTAAAATAAATGAACTTCAGGTAATATGTAATCAAGACTAGATGCCATAAATTAAGAAAGCAGTCTTACTTGATTCATCAATGAAAGAAAATGAAATGAAATTTATATTTAAAATAAGTAACCTGATTTATCCATAAACGAAGAAAACTTTTTTATATAAATGCCCTTCATTACTAGAATCGTTGAATTTTAATTTGATATCTTTTCCAGTTTAAATAAGGTTTTCGATAACTTAATGTAAATTAAGGTTAGAACATCTTATGTTACTACTTAATACTATTACTATACTTAGTAACCATTTAATGGTTTTATATTATTGCTACGAAAAGAGAGGTTAAAGGATACGATAGAATTAGAGGAGCAGTGATAACAAGAGGAATCCTAGCAAATTTCAATTAATTAATCCCATCTATTATGGTTATCACATTCCTCGTACTCCCTTCTAATTATTCCTAAAGACCAAAGAATGTTCGATTCTACTTTTCAAAATTAATATTTCTGAAACAATAGTCTATAATAGTAGTGTATAAGTTTGGTCACTAAGAATTATTCTAATAATAATAAATAGAATTTAAAGGTATATTTGCAAATTTAGTTTTATTATAGAGCATTTTGTAATATTATAGGTTAGTGAATAAAATCCAAAGCTGATTCAAATTTATCATCTTTCACTAAGAAGAATTCTCCTAATTAACATTTATGAATTCTTGTACTTATTAAATAGATTCATTTACTTTATAAACTAATAGTGGAACAATTCACTAATATTTAAAGCTTAAATTGATTTGAATAATTTCGGATGATATACAATTTATTCTTAAAAAAAATCTAAACACTTTAAGAAGATATATAAATTATGACTTAAGTAGAGCGTATTGAATGACAATAATATGGAATTATGAAAATGGAATAATTTTTTTGATCATAAAGGGGACTTAGAGAATTATTTCCAAATACAGCTTAAAAAGGATAAATTAAGTGAGCAAACAAATACCATTCAGGTTTATTTATATAGTAAACAGTTCATATTGATTGAAACTATTCATTTTGATGGTAAGGCTAAGAATCATTTCATTAATATAATTTTTAAATGATGTAACTAAGGTATGTTTAGAAGGATTTTCTCAGAATAAATAAAAGCAAAGAGATAAACACACAATAAGGAATAATATAATTAATGATATTTATATAATTCAAAGGTCTTTATCCAAATTGGACTAAACTGTTAGTTATATGGATTATTTTTTGATTCATTTCTAATAATTTTAGTCCTAAAAAATACTATAGTGGATTACTATCTCCTTAGATTATTGCTTTTTTTGAATAGAATTTTTCTAATTTTACTAACAATTTATTTAACTTTTTCTTCATTCTACGGTAAAGATGGACATAAATTTTATATCTCAATTAATTAACCCTACTTCTGAGATAATTTGTATATATTCAATTAAGAAAAGAAATCAATAATAGATAATAATTTAATATCTAATACCAAACCAGTCTTTTACTAGTTTTAGATGGAACTTTTTCATTAAATTATTTATAAAGTATTGTATAAAAGAAGCAAATGAGCAAATGATTAAAAATCTTTTAGTTAAGGCGAGGAAGGATTCTTAAAGATAAAATGTTGCATTTATCTTAGAATAATTAATATTTAAATTATTGTATATAACACCAAAAGATGTTCAGTTCAATCTTATATTAGAATGAGCAACACCTTGCCTAATTACCTACTTTAAAAGTCGAATCTCTATCACCACACAATTCCTTTAAGTTTTCAATTTTCCCTTGCTTTGCACAAGCGAGTATTTTATTCATGCAATTTTTAACATATATTTTGTTAACTTATCCTCATTCTTTTGTAGTGATTGTCAAAGCCAAAGAGGAATAATTAAGATATATTTCATAATTATTAAACATAATTTAGAATACATTATTTAAATTTTTTAAATTTTATTTTTAAATCAATATATTCTAATCGGTTCTATCTAAATAAGCAGGCACAAAATTTAAATTTAATAAATTCTATTAAAATAACACTCATTCACAATACCGTTTTTTTTTATGACAGTTGTGTTAGTTTCGACTTGTAAGCTTTTCAAAGTGAAGTCCAAAAGAATATGCATTGCATATAATACTTGTTTAAAGCCTCAAAACCAACTCCTTTCTCTCAATGAAATAACTGACAATCTTAATATAGAAATTGGGATATATTATAATTTAATTTATACGATTCTAAATGTTCTTTTGGTTGTAAATAAGATGCTCGATGTAGAACTTATATAAAATGGAGCTAATACTTACATTAGATAAACTGTTATAACATCATATCAATTATCATTATATGAGTTCAACATATACATAAATATTTTAGGGTATAATGATTAATTATTTGTTTTGTAAATGTGATTTCCCTAAAAATTTAACAGGTTTTGTTTAAGTAATTTAAAGAACTAAAATCTTATAAGAAAACAAAAACTAATACTAGCAATAATTGAGTCAAAATATTCAAAGGGTAATGGGAATAAATTCAATTTTAAAGATTGATGTTTTTAAGATGCAAAATTATGTAATGAAAACAGAAATCCTTCTTTAAATCTTGATTAGAATATTGACTTCAGTCTAGAGAAGCTCTTATTTAGTTAAAATTAGCAAAAAAATACTGAATTTTGTATAGAGTAATGAAAACTTAATGAAGTTTTAATTTCTATCAATAATTAGAATTTGTCCTTATTTTAAAGAATTTTAAGAAGATATGAAGACAATTTTTTGATTAATAATAATTTTCCCTATATATAATGTAAAATATTTAGGTCAAAACTATATAAAATGAAAATCAAAATCATGCCATTAATCCTAAAAGACCTAGTGAAATAACTGACAAGACGTAAGCACTATCGGTGGTAGTTGTTCCATTATCTGTTTCATTGTTAGTACCGTTTGAATTATTTGGAGTGACAGATCCTGCAATACAACTTTCGCATTTATTAGAAATGGCGTTCCAACTATAAGTGTATGCTGATTTAGTGTAGCAAATCTTGGAATCAGTCATGGTTCCTGGGTCAGCAGCAGCACATTTTACGCTTTAAAGAACACAAACAGTGGATGAGGCTCCATCGAAACTTGGAATTGGTTGACAATCAGTTCCTGTGGCAAAGGTATCACATGTATGACTAGCACAAGATGTTCCTGTTGAGTTTTCAGTCCATTTGCACGATGGATTGGTTGTGCAAGCCAATTTATCTTTGCTAGCATCAACACATGCTGAAAAAGTCTTGCATGTTCCATTAACCTTATCAGTTCCTGTAGGAGTGAAAGCACAAACAGTTGATTTATTATTTTCTAAGCCGCCTCAATTACAAGATGTTATCGTCTTATATGTTGAGCAAACAGCCTTAGCGATGCAACTTGTTCCATTGGACACACAAGCCTTTCCAGAAATAATACCCATACAATTAGCATTTGATGTTCCTCCAGTGATATCTTCACATTACTTTAATCTACAAGTCTTAGTTCCTGTTGTGGTCCCAATTTGTAATGCAAAAATGCATTCTCCATCAGTTCCTGTGAAACATCCAGCCTCAACATAGCTTGAGCAAGTTGACAATGGAATACATTTGGTTCCATCAGTTGTGCATGATCCTCCTGTCACAGAAATCAGTTTACATTAGTCATTTGTACCCTTTTACTCATCTCCGCATTCCTTTAACTTTCAAGTATTAGCTGTGGCATTCCAATAACAGATACCATCAGTTCCAAGGTTATTACAAGCTGTTTATGTCTTGTAGGTAGCACAAGTGGCTTTGGCAATACAAGCAGTTCCATCAGTAATACATGTTGGTCCATATGAGAGACATTCATCATTGGTAGCAGCAACAGCATCTGTGCATTATCCGAACTTCTAACATTTTCCAGTTGGTAACCATCCACAAGCTCCATCAGTTCCTAAAACACATGAGGCTTTTAATGTTGTGCTGGCACAATTAGTAATTGGAATACATGTATCTCCATTGGTTGTGCATAATGGTGAGAATGCTTAACATTCTGTATGGGTCTTTTTGATAGCATCTTCACATCTGTCATAATCATAACATGATCCATTAACCCAAAGGCATGGACTATAGTTAGATTTGATACAGAATTATTTATTAGAAAATTCAGTACATGAAGCTCCAGCAACACAGCTTGATCCATTTGTCTTGCATCCTGCAAGGAAAGTATTACATTCATNATTAATCCTAAAAGACCTAGTGAAATAACTGACAAGACGTAAGCACTATCGGTGGTAGTTGTTCCATTATCTGTTTCATTGTTAGTACCGTTTGAATTATTTGGAGTGACAGATCCTGCAATACAACTTTCGCATTTATTAGAAATGGCGTTCCAACTATAAGTGTATGCTGATTTAGTGTAGCAAATCTTGGAATCAGTCATGGTTCCTGGGTCAGCAGCAGCACATTTTACGCTTTAAAGAACACAAACAGTGGATGAGGCTCCATCGAAACTTGGAATTGGTTGACAATCAGTTCCTGTGGCAAAGGTATCACATGTATGACTAGCACAAGATGTTCCTGTTGAGTTTTCAGTCCATTTGCACGATGGATTGGTTGTGCAAGCCAATTTATCTTTGCTAGCATCAACACATGCTGAAAAAGTCTTGCATGTTCCATTAACCTTATCAGTTCCTGTAGGAGTGAAAGCACAAACAGTTGATTTATTATTTTCTAAGCCGCCTCAATTACAAGATGTTATCGTCTTATATGTTGAGCAAACAGCCTTAGCGATGCAACTTGTTCCATTGGACACACAAGCCTTTCCAGAAATAATACCCATACAATTAGCATTTGATGTTCCTCCAGTGATATCTTCACATTACTTTAATCTACAAGTCTTAGTTCCTGTTGTGGTCCCAATTTGTAATGCAAAAATGCATTCTCCATCAGTTCCTGTGAAACATCCAGCCTCAACATAGCTTGAGCAAGTTGACAATGGAATACATTTGGTTCCATCAGTTGTGCATGATCCTCCTGTCACAGAAATCAGTTTACATTAGTCATTTGTACCCTTTTACTCATCTCCGCATTCCTTTAACTTTCAAGTATTAGCTGTGGCATTCCAATAACAGATACCATCAGTTCCAAGGTTATTACAAGCTGTTTATGTCTTGTAGGTAGCACAAGTGGCTTTGGCAATACAAGCAGTTCCATCAGTAATACATGTTGGTCCATATGAGAGACATTCATCATTGGTAGCAGCAACAGCATCTGTGCATTATCCGAACTTCTAACATTTTCCAGTTGGTAACCATCCACAAGCTCCATCAGTTCCTAAAACACATGAGGCTTTTAATGTTGTGCTGGCACAATTAGTAATTGGAATACATGTATCTCCATTGGTTGTGCATAATGGTGAGAATGCTTAACATTCTGTATGGGTCTTTTTGATAGCATCTTCACATCTGTCATAATCATAACATGATCCATTAACCCAAAGGCATGGACTATAGTTAGATTTGATACAGAATTATTTATTAGAAAATTCAGTACATGAAGCTCCAGCAACACAGCTTGATCCATTTGTCTTGCATCCTGCAAGGAAAGTATTACATTCATCATCAGTTAAACCATTCTTGTCACCGCAAATTCTCGCTCTGCATTTATTTGTTGCGGCGTCCCAACCACATCTACCTATTCCATCTTTAGAAGTTGAAGCAGCTAAACAGACAGATTGAGTTTTGTATGATGCACAAGTTGAAATAGTTAAACAACCAGCTCCTGATGTAGTGCAATTAGCAGCAAAGATTTAACATTGAGCATGAGAAGCTATAGTTACCGATTAATCCTCACATGTTTGAGCTCTGCATGTTGAATAAGATTCTTACCAAGCACAAAACTTACCATCAACTTTAGAATTGGTACATTAAGAGTAACTAGTATTGTTATAAGTGGCACATGTTGTAATGGAAGCTGTACATTAATTTGCCCATGTACATTCTTCTCTTAATTTACATGCAGCTTGTGATGTCAAATTGCTGCAGGATTTAGTAGCAGTGCATCCGTAACCAGTAGTTACACAATCCTTATGATATTTCTAACAATCAGCATCAGATGCAAGTGTATTTGGTGCTTCTATGCATACTTTCTTAGCACATATACCTTTGATTGTTCCAACTGTAGTAGCTTTGCATGGACCATCTTTAGCCAAATATGTTGGGCATGTTTCTTCAGTTCCATTGAATGTACTGCAATTCTTTCCATAATCAATACATCCAGTTCCATCGTAGACACAGAAGGGGTCATCTGTAGTCTTGAATGGTGTCATACCATCACTGCATTCCTTATTGTTTTTACCAGTAATATCACTGCATTTCTTCTTTGCACAAGTAGCTGTAGCTAATGCAGCTGAAGTGTTCCAGCAATAATCCTTTCCTGAACTTCCCATGAATTTAGCACAAGTGGCTTAATCTCCTTTAAATGCACTACATGATGATGTTGCATCAACACATCCAGTTCCCTTTGTAATACAACCTTTCAAATATGTAGCACATTCAGCATCTGATGTGGCTGTAGTGTTATCAGCACAAGTTCTTACTTTACATTTTCCAGTGGCAGTATTACCAGCATCTCCAGAACAATATTCATAAGTTGGATTCTTATTAGTATCTAATCCAATGAATTTGTGAATTATTCACATTATTATTTAGTTCCTCTATATGATGTGCAAGGTTCTGTATTTGGAATGCAACCTGTTCCACGTGTGACACATCCAGCTAAATATGAGTCACATTCAGAATCAGATGTAGATGTAACATTGTCATAACATTTTTTGTTTGCACATGCTGAAGATGCAGTAGTAGCAGTAGCTATTGGTTTGCATTTATCTTTTCCTGTTTAATCTAACAAAGCATTGCAGAAATCTGACGAACCATTAATTGTGCTACATTGAGTAGAAGTGCTAACACATGCTTAACCATTTGTCTTGCAAGACTTGAGGTAACTTTAACAATCAAAGTCTGTCTAAAATTATTTATCACTAAATACTCTATCTTTACATTTTTTATTTGTAGAGTCCCAAGCACATAAATCTCCTGATGAATATAAAACTCCCTCACACCATATTTATTTTGCTGCATCATCAGCACCTTATACTGCATAATTTGCACAAGTATCTTTAGCAATATATTTACTTGTATAATAAAGACAGTTATCTGCATTATTAGCACAATCTGTAGCACTGGAGTCATTATCAGTACAAGCCTAGGCTTTAAATTTCTTTTCACTATCTTTCATGCATGGATAATTGGTTTTTGATTTAACTGTTTTGCATTATGTTTCTTCTTAACCAGATTCCGGACCAAGTGCTGGTGTAGTTGTTCCATCATATTTATCGCAAGTATCCTATGTGATACACTTTGTACCTTGAATAAATATGCATTTATTCGTCCCATCAGTTAAAGCTACACAAGCAGCTAGTTTATCTGTTGCATTTGTCACGTCATATGTAGTGCATACATCTTACTTCGCACAGTTAGCACCAGCTGTATAAGTACATTTATCTGTAAGTCCTAGATTTGAGCAGTAGGATCTTTTATCATCTGATGTTGTTCCAATAGCTGGAATATTTTCACAGGAAGCTTCACTTTTTACACAAGTTCCTCTAAAATAAACACATTTTAATGAGTTTGATGAAATGTCACAATCAACTTAAGATGTTGGACTTTAAATATTCTAGCAATCGAAATCTCTGCTTGCAGAGTTTCCAGCTGTAAATCCACATTTCTTACCACTGCCATTTATTTTACTCAAACAATAAGTTTATTTAGCTGTGTCATCGGAGGGTAATGTTGTATATGTATCACAGCTACACAAGCTGATTAGGTGGATCCATTATATTCGTCGTAAGTGCAGAATTCACTTAGTAAATCTTTTGAAAAGATTTAACAATAGGCTGTTTTGGCACTTGAAGCCAAACTTGAGACATCAGTAAAAGGGATTTTAGTTGTATTAGCACAGTCTGATGAAGCAGTAGTAATACTTTTTGGTGTTCTACATTTACTAGCTGAGTATACACATCCAATTAAATGTAAATCACAATCTCCTTAACCGGTTGGGTTTGGAATATTTTCACATGTTCCTACTTTGCACTTGGTTGCATCTTCACTAATACAATATTTAGATTTATCTTAAGTTGATTATGTAATACAAAATGCAGCAGTTGTTTTAGTTGCTCCATCAAAATTTGCTCCAGTCCAAACATCAGTTAAAGTTAGGACACAAGTAGTATTTGCTCCAGTTTGGCAACCTAAGCCATCAGGCATTATTTCACAAAATCCTTTATCAGTTTCATATACTGACTTACAATAATGTGCTTTTTTAGTATCTGTGTCCAAATCAGATGAAAATGATGTTGGACAAGAGCCAACTGATGCATAACATTTTCCAGAATAATAATAACATCCTGCTACTTTGCTGTCGCAATCTTTTTAACTTGTAGCTGAGGCGATAGTAGCACAAGTATATGCTGCACATGAATTACCAGCTGATCATGTACATTCAGTATATATTGCTGTTCCTTAACCAAAATTGTTTACATTATTAACAAATTTCAAAGATTCGCAAACAGATTTTTTATTAGCATCACTTAATTTTGAATCTAAGGTATAACTTGCACAAGATGCAACAGTTGATAAGCAACCTGAATTAGTTACTTTTTAGCATATTCCTTTACCATACCCTAAAGTGTCATTACAAACTTAAGCAGACGTTTAAGTTATTACTTTTTCACAGCTATTCTACAAAGTGCAAGTTGCATCTCCAGTTTTAAATGAACAATAAACTCCAGAGGCATTCATAAATTTCTAACATTGAGTTAATTTTTTGGCATCTGTGTCAATTCCAGTGGGAAATGCATAATCACAATTAGCCTTATCTGGTGAATAAAAAAATGTTCCTGCTAATTTACAAGTTGTATCTGTTGAAGATGAAACATTTTTTTATAAATAAGTAACACAAGTTAATGTAGTTGTATAAGTGCTCAAGAATTGATCACAAGTTCTAGCTGCACACTTTGTTCCTGAGGTCCATCCGCAAAGTAACCCATTATTATCTTTGATATTTGTACAATAATCAAACTTCTATTGGTCGTTTGTTGCAGTATCAGGAGTACTGTAATTACTACAAGCAGCTGCATCAATACATGCTGATCCAGCCTTTAAAAATCTACAAGTTGATTGATAATCTGTACAATCTGAAGCTTACTAGGGATTTGTTTTGTATGCACATACTCTATCTTAGCAGGCATCATACTTTGTGCATCCAACCTTTGTCCATTCTGATAACACTTACAAACCACCACTAAAACTAGAACAAGTTTCAATAGTTCCCTATTATTATGAACAGCTTCTTGCTAACCTAGCAATACATCCTCCATCAGATTTTGCAATACATCCTGTCATGAAAGCCTCACAATCCCTCATCTTTAGTGGCTGTTGTATTATCTGTACATGTTCTTTGAGTGCATGCTGCTGATGTAGATTGTCCAAAACAATATTTTGCATTATTAGTTCCTACAATTGCAGACTCGCAGAAGGCAGCAATACCTGTGTAACTTCCACAAGTTGTGTCACCAGCTTTAGGATCAACACAGCCTCCATTACCATTATAGACACATCCATCTAAAAATGATCCACATGTTCCATCAGTCTAGTTTTCGGCTAATTTGCAAGTCTTAACTTTACAAAAGTCAGTATCAGCAGCACTTGCACTATTGTAACATTAATTTGTATTAAAGTTGATGATTGCTCCACTCTTATAAGCAAATAGTTTATTGCAAGTGTCCTACGTTCCTTTCATTGATGTAAATGGAGTATTGTAATCAACACAACCTTTTCCATTACTAATGCATCCAGGTAGGGATGTAGCACAAGTAGCATTATCTGTAGCATCTGTATTATCTGTACACTTTCTCAATACACAAGGTGTTGTGTCTGTTGCAAGAGATACTTTAGTACAGTAACCTGGATAACTTAAGCAAGTAGATTATGTTCCAAAAAGTTTTTCACAGTCTTATTTGGTTATGCAGGCATCAACTCTATTACTAATGCATGTTGATAGTTCTGCTGCACAATTAGCATCAGTATTGTAATAAGCTCCAGTTAAATCTGAACAAGCCAAATCTTTGCAAGCATTATTCAACCAACCACACTTTCCTGTTACATAGATGTATTTAGCATTTCCTTAATCATCTACTCCATCTTATGTTCTAATCCTAGCCTAATTTGCTAAACAAATTGATTTTTTCTTAAAATCACTGCAAGATGCATTACTAGTACATATTGGTTACCAAGAACAATTGTTAGTACCTTCGCAACTTTATTATTTGACAGTTAAATCACAAGTAGTTTATGAAACACATCCAGATCCAGTTGTCACACAATTAGTGAAATAATTGGCACAAAGAAAATTAGTATTTACATTACTTGCTGCTGAAGCACAATCTCTAGCAACACATTTAGTTCCACTCTTCCATGTGCACTTTCCTTCAGTTCCAATTCTAGATTAACAACTAGTAGCGTCTCCATCATAAGTAGTACAAGATTTCAAATTATTCTTCGTAACACATCCTTTTCCTGTAGTGACACATCCAATTTAATACTTGGCACAAGCATCATCAGTTGTTGTTGTGTCTGGTGCTTCGTCACATACCTTTGGTGCACAAGTAGCTTCCGTAGTTGTACTGGTTCCTTTGCAATAACCATCAGTGCCAATATATACAGCACAAGTAGTGGCAGTTCCTTTATAAGTATTACAAGCTGATAATGTTGAGACACAAGTCTTTCCATTTGTTTTACAACTGCTTTAGTACTATTTACAAAGTTCATCTGTATTGAATACCCCATTTTCACATTTTCTTGCTCTGCATTTAGAACCTCCAGCACACCTTCACAAATTCCATCTGATCCAATATATCCAACACAAGTAGTGCTATCACCTGAATAAGATGAAAACATAATGGTTTTGTTTTTGCTAAAACACAGCCTTTACCGGTTGTAATGCATCCTTTTTAATAGGCCTTACAGTCATCATCAGAAGCTAATGATACAGGAGCATTTGCACATTCTTTGGCTTTACAATTAGTTGTTCCAGCTGCTAATTCACAATTTCCATCAGATCCTATGTATGGTTAACAAGTAGCATCATCTCCTGTGTAAGTAGCGCATGCAGGTCTTGGAGCATTAACACAACCTTAACGTTTAGTCACACATCCACCTAACCAAGTTGAGCATTTTTCATCTGTATTTAAGGTGGTATCAACCTCTGAGCATGCATAATCTCTGCAATTTCCAGCATTTGTATCCCATTTACATTTCAAAATTCCTAAGATACTAGGAGTAGATTCACATTATTATTGTGTGTAATCTTTGCACTCCTTAGCCTCAATACATGCATTTCCATCACTAACACAATAATAGGATATGGCCTAGCAATCTGTTGTTGTAGTTTTAACATATGCTTGGCATCCAGCAAAATGTGTGCATTTTGAGTCAATATAGGCACATCCTAGTGTTTTAGCACAATTAGTTTCTGGTTTATCGACTAATTCGCAATAAGGTTTGAAATAGGTAACTGGATCAACTATTGTTTTTTTCTAACATTTTGCTGCTGTTGTTCCTTATGCAGCCACCCATTCACAAGCTCCAGTTACAGTAATTTCTGATTCACAATCAGTCTGTGATTTTAGTTATCCACAATCATTACATCTATTTGTGTGTTGAACTTGCTATGCTAGTTATTATATTAATGATGTATTATTAATATCATAATCTCTTCATGAGATTTTGATACGGAAGATAATTAACATCATTAATATTAATAATATTTATTTTATGCTTCCACTTTGGCATTGTTTAAGAAGCTAACCTGACTTTATTTCATTCCTATCTACACCATATAAGTAGATATATACACTCCTCTACACTAAAAATATATATATATATCTATGTTTTGAAAATATCATTGAAGACAAATATAAAAGCCTTAAATAACAGCCCTGATTATAAGGCTTTACTCTAATCATATTGCTCTAACAAAGAAGCTGAGAAGGAATTTAGAAGAATATATTCGAAAAAGGAAATTTACCAAAGAAGTAGTCTTAATTTAATTTGGATTTAAGAAAATAAATTAGAGGGAAAGAGATTTGCTTAAGGCTTTTTCTTGATGTCTGATTACTCCTTTATATGTTATGACTTTAAAACTATGAATGTTAACAAAAAAAAAAGTATATAAATAAAATTGCTTTGACCTGCTTATAAGAAAGATAAATATTATGAAGAATTCATCCAATACTTAAACAAGTTTCCAACAGATGTTGTGCTTATGGTTTAAATGAAGTGATGCGAGGTAGTTAAGAAAAGAATTTCTGGAAAATTCAAATTATTTTTTAATTCTATCTGATGGATTTACTAGATTAAGGAAATACTTTAATAATACAAATGGCAATCTATTATTTTATAGCTATCAAGCTTAGAATGTACTTCCAACATAACTTAGTGAAAACTTATGTTAATTTTGTATGTCATAATATATTTTTAGTTATACACATATAAAATCAAAATTAGAATGAAAATTTTATGTTACTAAAATATTTATAATAAATATTTGGCGATAAAGGGATGCAAATAAAATATAGTTTGTGATAGCAATTTTACATGCAAGAAAAGCTCAAAAACATAACAACCAAAACATCAAGATCAAAATATCACTAAAAACTTTTATTTTATCAAATCATCTAAACTGCCTTTTCTAATTACAAAACTTGATCTCAACATTCTAAAGAAGTGATATCATAAAAATAATTTAGAATATTCATAAATTTTTTGCTCTTATTTTTATGACTTCAATTGAATAGCTATGCAAGTATTTTTTAAATTTCTTCTTGCTTTGTTACGATTATTCATCTCGAATTTTGAATCTGAAGATGCTTGAGATGAATTTCCAAACTAATCATGAATATTTTTCAGAAAGTATAGATTATATTATATACTTATAAATAATACTGAAATTATTAAGAAACAAGTATATATATTGTAAAAACACAAGTATGAACCAAAAAATGCATAAATAGCCTCAACTAAAGAGGAAGTAATTAAGACCTTTACTAATGTAAGTACTGAGGTAAAAATCAAATAGAAAGAGATTAAAAACAATCATTTATATAGAACAAAAAGAGATTAATTAGAAAAATTACAATTTTATTCTTAAAAGTCTATTCATATTATTAAACTAATCATCTATTCTATTAATTTAGAAGTAAAATTTGACTCTTAAGCGACTTCTATAACTTAATTAATTTAAGAAATAAAAATTAATTGAGCTTGATAGAATCAATAATTTTAGTTGTGCTTTTTGATTTATTAGAACAGGGATTGTTCATATAAATAGAATATCTATTATAATATTCACATATCACTTGAAAAATATATGTGAGAGTTAAGGAATAAATTGCTGTAAAATTCAAATCCAAAATTTTTTTTAATGCTTTATGTTTAAGGCATTCTATTTAACCTTTGAAAAATAGTAAAAATTGGTGGAAAAAAAATTCCATTATGAATATATTATTATAATTATATAAAAATTACCATTTTTAGAATCGAAAAAAAATATGTATTTTAATTGCAATTTTTCTTATTAATATTTATAATAGGAAAATTACTGCCATAAGAATGTCAAATTAGTACGAAGTCGTTAGCATTGAATATACAAATAATATTATGAATTGCTTATTAATGACAGATAGTAATGCAATGAGACTATTAGATTAATTTTTATGCCAACTCATTTTTATTTCTAAATAAGTTGAATATTTGCTTGATTAGCACGTTATTTGAGATTTCGCATAGTTTAAATACAAAAATTTGCTTGAATCGAGCATAGGAGTCAAGAGTAAAGAAAAAGCAAAGAATTTTGGGAGCCAACCTGCATACATTAATAGATGAATCTGTTTTGAATTTGATATTTTGTTTTAAATTGTCAAATTCATGAATCGGAAGTTTGATTCTCTCTCATAATAAATAATTTGAAGAATAATAAGTAATAATTATGGCTCAATATTATGTATTATGTTATCTCAGTATCGATATGCCTATATATAAATTTAGTCTCTGATTTAAATAGAAGCAGTAAAATATATTTCCTAATCCCTAACAGGATAATGTTATCTTAAATATTAATCAAGTTATTTATACAATTATATAAAAACAACTGAAATAAATTAATTCAATTTTTTCCCCTTTTTTTCTAAATGTGTATTTGAAAGATAATAAAAATAAAAGTTAAATTAATTATGATTAATTTACTCTAATAATTTTGCCAATACTAGTTTTGTGTTAAATTGGATCTTGATATATTTATTGTTAGTTTTGATACTTAATTAATAAATTATAAACTTATATTATCTCCTACTGAATCATAGCTTTTCTCTAACTAATATTTTTTAAATTAAATTAATTTAACTTTCTGATTTGAATACATTGAATAATGGGTTGAGTTATATTTTTCAATTTTAGTATGATTTTGAATTGGAATTCTTTAAATATAGTCTAATTCTCTTTTAAAATTTAATTCGCTGATATCATAAATATTTAAAAATAAGTCTTCATTAATCTTTTGTTGAAATATCACAATTTGTAAGTCTGAATATACAAGTTCATTTTAATGATAAATTTTTTCAAGTCTTAGAAGAGCTGCTACATTTTAATCTATATAATGAGTTTACTTAAATCTTAAAATCTTAAGTACACAAAATGAGAGATATTATCCGCATTATAAGTATTACATATTGAAGTTCTAATTTGATTATTGAGTGATTGAAATTATCTTTATTATTAGCAACGTACCATTTACATTGAAGTCATCAATTTGATTAAAATTGTCAAAAGCTTATTTAAATAGAATAGTTTGATTTGGAATATTATCAAGGATATTAATTTGAATTAAAAAAAACTCTAATTCTTGATTCTAATTGATTTATGCCAACATATAAGTTGTTTCATCCAATTAGTAACAATCAAGAATTTATTAATTTATTACTTTTTCCATTCCATATAATTCAATTAAAGCATCCTTACTTTTATATATAATTAGATTTTAATTACCCTTATTTGAAAAAATCACTAAATCTAAAAAGTAATAGGATCTAACATAAGTATGAACTAAAAGAATATTAAATAAAATTACAATCATCATAATTAAATTCAAAATTCTATTCCAATATCTAGATTTTAGTTATTTTAGCATTATTAGTTTCTGTAAACTTTAGATATATTTCAAAATACGTTATACTGTATGTAAACATAGAAAAGCATATAAAAATATATTTAGACTATTTTTTATCATAAATTACTGATTGAACATTTTAAATTAATTATTATGTATAAATATTTTGTCCCTTTGAAAAATAATTGATCATAAATCTTTCTTTGCTAATCTAGCAGACATTATTATTATAAAAAATGCACTCTATTCTATTCCATGNGATTAATTTACTCTAATAATTTTGCCAATACTAGTTTTGTGTTAAATTGGATCTTGATATATTTATTGTTAGTTTTGATACTTAATTAATAAATTATAAACTTATATTATCTCCTACTGAATCATAGCTTTTCTCTAACTAATATTTTTTAAATTAAATTAATTTAACTTTCTGATTTGAATACATTGAATAATGGGTTGAGTTATATTTTTCAATTTTAGTATGATTTTGAATTGGAATTCTTTAAATATAGTCTAATTCTCTTTTAAAATTTAATTCGCTGATATCATAAATATTTAAAAATAAGTCTTCATTAATCTTTTGTTGAAATATCACAATTTGTAAGTCTGAATATACAAGTTCATTTTAATGATAAATTTTTTCAAGTCTTAGAAGAGCTGCTACATTTTAATCTATATAATGAGTTTACTTAAATCTTAAAATCTTAAGTACACAAAATGAGAGATATTATCCGCATTATAAGTATTACATATTGAAGTTCTAATTTGATTATTGAGTGATTGAAATTATCTTTATTATTAGCAACGTACCATTTACATTGAAGTCATCAATTTGATTAAAATTGTCAAAAGCTTATTTAAATAGAATAGTTTGATTTGGAATATTATCAAGGATATTAATTTGAATTAAAAAAAACTCTAATTCTTGATTCTAATTGATTTATGCCAACATATAAGTTGTTTCATCCAATTAGTAACAATCAAGAATTTATTAATTTATTACTTTTTCCATTCCATATAATTCAATTAAAGCATCCTTACTTTTATATATAATTAGATTTTAATTACCCTTATTTGAAAAAATCACTAAATCTAAAAAGTAATAGGATCTAACATAAGTATGAACTAAAAGAATATTAAATAAAATTACAATCATCATAATTAAATTCAAAATTCTATTCCAATATCTAGATTTTAGTTATTTTAGCATTATTAGTTTCTGTAAACTTTAGATATATTTCAAAATACGTTATACTGTATGTAAACATAGAAAAGCATATAAAAATATATTTAGACTATTTTTTATCATAAATTACTGATTGAACATTTTAAATTAATTATTATGTATAAATATTTTGTCCCTTTGAAAAATAATTGATCATAAATCTTTCTTTGCTAATCTAGCAGACATTATTATTATAAAAAATGCACTCTATTCTATTCCATGTATAATTTACTGGATTCATTTCAATAAATCCATTTTTCTGAATCACCTCAATTTTATCTATGCTACCGTAAATGTTGCTAAGATTTAAGTATCCATTTTGACTGATCAATTACACCTAATTATTGATAATTGCTAAGTTTTAAATAGTATTTAGATGAAGTATTTTTAAAGGCATGTATACATATTAATTAAGACTTTTAATTAAAGATGTAAATTTTATATTTAAATTTTTGATTGTGTAAAAGTCCATATTATTATTTATTAAATCAAAATAATTTAGCTTAATGTTAATTTCCTAGATCTTGTTAAATCTGATTTTCCCATCCTTAAAATAAATGATACTGTCTTAATCTTCTATAAAATTATACACTATTTACTCTTTATTTAATTTTATAATCTTTATCAATGATTTTTTTCCTATATTTTTAATATTATATATAAGTAAACACTTCTCATCCGAATCGTCTTAGACAACTATCATAAAAAATTGAGTTTACAGTTTATAATTTAATGGCTGTATAGGCTTATATTAGTAAAATGGAAGATCATATAAATGAACTAAATTTTAAATATCAATAATATAAAGGCTTATTTTTATACCTTATTCCTCTTAGATTAAAGTTAGAAAGTATGAATTGAATTGAGTATCCTAAAATTTTGTCATAATGAAATCAATAATTCTGGATTCAAATTTTAATTAATACGTAATTTTATTGTTCGGCTTATAATAGATTTCTTGATCCTAGATTATTAAATTAATAGAATAAAGTGAATTTAATCTACAACTTTTGTGCAATTTGAAATTATGAAAAGTCTTCTAATTAAGGGATTTAGATATATCTACTTAATGCAATATACATGACTGAAAGAGTATCCATATTGAGTTTTCATAAATATTTGCAATAATGATCTCATCTGTATAATAGGATACCCAATTAATTATCTGAAAGTTCTCAATTTTATAAATTTCTATAAAGTAATCATAAATTATAATTATTGACTATGAGAAAGCATTTACAAGAGTTAAAATATACTTCGATTGAATCAATATGTTGAATTCTTTTATTAATTTTTACTCTAAAAACATTTTTATTAATATAGAAGTTTAGAATTCCTAAATAAAGATATTTTAGTTTGATCCTAAATTCAAAAACCACACATTCTTTATAGATTCATCTTTAATATTAGCTTCATGAAACCCTTCAAAGCCTTCATCAAATCCTATTTCCTCACCATTTTATTCAATAGAAAATAATGTTAAAGGAAGTGTTTCTTATATCTCGCTTAAATTAATTCTTATTTAAATATCAAATTTTTGTTAAATAATTTGAGTGGTTTTGGGTGCTATTTTTAATTATAGTTTATGAATATCGAAAGGTTCAACTTTCATAATTACTGAGGTCAAATTCAAAATCTTATAAATGCCTATCTTTTCTGATTTCATTTCTTTTAAATAAATATTTCCATTTTGTAATTCAAAAATAGAGAGTTTGCCATTGCTTTCCACTGAAACAAAGTAAAGCATATCAGAAATTTGAAAAAACTGGAAAAATTCTGAATGCAACTAAAACTGCAATTTTTCGCTTAGCTAGACTACTACTTTATCATCGAAATGATGTAAAATGAAATAAGGACTGAAGTAGGATTATCTATAACCTTGAGTACTTATATTGTATTTGTTTTTAAATATTAGGGTACCTAAGATAAGTTTATAATTACCTGTCTTTTTATTAATTTGTGTAATATATGGGTTTTTACAACAATTAAAGAGCTTATATATTTCTAAATTTTCTCGTTTTACCTTATAATTTGGGCTCAATAACTATATTTAATTTGAATAATATAAAACCATCTATTAAAATGCTATGTAAAATTATTCATTTTAACAGATTTCTAACTATATTAATCTTTAAGAGAATTAATTTTAAACTTCTATCAATTTGGTCATTAATTCAGAAAAATATTAAATATTTAGTTTATAGTTTTCTAAATCAATTTCTATTTTATATACAAAGATATCGAAACAATTTTTTTCATAAATAATTAGCATCTAATCTATTTTTGAAAAACCAATCTCACATTTAAACTCATAAGTAAGCTATTTTTGATCAAGTATTTGTAATTTGTTAATTATAAAAATTTATAAGCTATTACCATTCTCTTTGCAAATTACAAGCAGATGATCGTCTTGTAAAAAGTAAACTTGTTCACAATTTTCTTAAGGTAGTTAAATTGAAAAATTTGATATGGTTACAAATAATTTATCGTTTATTAGAAAATTTGTAAATGATAACAAGGCCTTCAGCTGTGATTTCTCATTCACTAATAAAAGAGTTTCATTGTTATTTCTATTTAAAATGCTATAATTTTAATAAAGATTAGAGTAAGTATCAAATTCTTGAACCTTCTATAGTAATTGCAAATTTAGATTTAAAAAATTTTATTCATCATTTTGGTTATTTATAGCCATCTGATAAAAAATGTAGTCCAGCCTTATTTTTTCCTGATCTAAAAATTGTTATTATTGAATCTAGAAAGCTGGTATCACAAGTCTCAGTAAAATTAAATTCATAAACATTTTATAGAAATATTAATATGGTTTTCATTAAAAAATCACTAAAATACAGCAATAATTATGAATTTTATAAATAATAGTTGGATGAGGAATCAATTCCATAAAATAAATAAGAAATATATAACCAAAACTTATATTGTAGCTAAATTATTAGTTAATTCAATCACAAAATCATATACTATTTTCATCCCCTTTGCTATTTTTCATTGTATAGCATATTTTAAAGTGCAAGACTAGTCTCGACTTTATTTATTTATTTTATATGGTTGAGTCATTCATCACTGTGAACTGATATTTAAGTTCAATGATCACACTTGATGAGCATGAATGTTTGAATTCGTCTTAAAATTGATAGAAAAAAGCACATATCAATCATACACTTGGACTTTAAAAATATCGTGCATATTCCTTTGTATTCCATCAGTATATTTAGAATCTCTATAACTTTCTTCTAATGGTAGTCTATTCCCTCGCCTATGTTAAACCTTTAAAATATCAAGTTTATTGTTCAAAATCTTTCGCTGCTATTATGATATTGCAATATCTTTGATGCTCAGTATTTACTTTTCCAAAACAAATTTAAAAGAATCAAAATTACATGAAATTAAAGTTTAAAAAACTAGGAAAAAATACTTTAAGATTTTTAAATCTCAATTTCTATCTAATAATAACAAATAAATTTTATTAAAAAAAAATCTTTCAAAATTATAAGATTCAAAGATAAATATAAATAAGTTCGACCATAGGTTAATTAAGAAATCGATACAATATAAATACTAAAAATAATAGGCACAGTTTACATTATAATTAACATAGTTGAATTAGGATGATTATTATTTAGATATGGTAAGGAATATAATTTGAGTGAGGCAGAATCCTAAACACTAGAAACTTCTAATGCAAAAAACAATCTAGATGACGCAACTAATGCTATGTGAGAAATGTGTGCTTATTCACCTTGTGATACTCTCTATTTGAAAAACTAAAAATTAAATTCTCAAATTAAAGGATATGTTTGGAATGCAGCAATTTATTATTCATTTCATAAACATATTATTTATTACTAAATATGAATCAAAGTTAATTGCCCAATTTTTAAATTTTACCTATTAGACGTTATTATCTTAAAGTTAAAATTTGATTCGAATGAAGAAGGGAATGATTTCGAATAGATCAATATGATTTATTGTATGGGTAGATATTATAATTCATGTTATATGCCCAAACAAAAATGAGAAGATAAATGTAAATTAGTCCAAATGGATATATTGTGAACACAATTCCAATTAATATAAAATAAATATATATTGGATGTTGCTAAAATAAATAAGAATGTTGAATACTTAACCTGTTCGCGCGCTCATAAGATAGTTACTTTTGAAAATACTTAATCAAGATAACATAGCTAAAGCGACTAAGTTTTTGAAGTCTGTAAGCCTAATCTACATCATTCCGATTGAAAAAGTATACAATATTTAACGCATTTTTTTTGAGAAATTTATCGAAAAGAAGAAACCAGGTAACATTTTCAGGCTTTATTTGCAAGGCTTCCAATGATAAAAAATTCTCCTTTAAAATCTGTATAAGGATAAAAAATATCCTATTACAACGCTAACAATATTTCTGTTTTCATGTAGCTATAGTACAATATCAAATCATTTATAATTCTTTACTTTGATTATTTATATTGATTATCTTATGTTTAGAAAAATCAACAAATATTAATAATAATTGTATTCTTATCGTTGGTAAGATATAACTATGAATTATTGAGATAACTTATTGATATTAGGTAAAAAAACATTTAAGTTTTTTTCAATTTGTGTAATGTTTATAAATTATGAAATATTTATTGAATTATTAAAAATTTTATGAATTCATCAGCTTTGAAAAATTTGTAAGGGTATTTGGAAACAGAACATAAATGCAGAGAAAAATATCCATAAATTGATGTAATTGTTGTTTTATCATTCTAAGGAATGTGAAAGCATTTGGAATACTACTATGGATGTAAAAGAATGCTAGAACATTATGAATCTGTTTAGAAACTGTTTTCGCGATTATAAACCTTCTGCTTATTAACACAAAGGAGGTAAACCTAAGTAGGATTGAGATCATTCCAAATATAAATATATAACTGATGACTAATTTACATCATCAAATAGATATTAAATAACATTTAAATAATTAATCCCTTACTAGAATGGCTTATTATTTCTCTTTCTGTACAATTATTTCTGCAATTATCGTTATTAAAAATATTTGTTTTAAATTGTTTTATCGCTTATGTATTATATGTGTATATAAAATCTTAGACTTTTATACTTGTAGTTGAAAGGATTATATAATTTTCAAGAATAAAGTTCCGTTGAAAATTATTGAAAGTTGATTAAACCACAAATATTTTTAATCTATTTCAAAATACAATAATATGATAATTTCAAAATTCTAATAATATCACTATGGATTTAATGAGAAGTTAGATAACAAAATATAACTCATTATTATAAGGATTAAATTTATTATTAAAATAGATTTAAATTAAATGATAAAATATTTGAATCGAATACAAATAATTAGAAAAATATGTGGATTTAATATTTAGGATTTTTAATTGCAATACTAATTAATATAGTAGGCCAAACGATTTTAAATTATGCCCATTTTTTATCAAAAGATAAAATTTCTGTAATAAATCAAGGAGGTGAAGGACCAGAATGTATGCAAAATTATAGCAAAATGATTTATTAATATAAATTATGGATTGCAAGCAATAAAGTTGATTTAGATGAATTATAGTTCTAATTAATTTAGTTAATACTTAATTCAGTATTTCTAATTCATTAATACAATAAATATCGAGTGTGAATTACTCCATTAAAAAACTTGAAATTACAAAATTACAAATAGTGTATGCTATATGATTTCTTTTAACGTTTATCAAGCTTTAGGATGGTAAAATATATTCACTAACATGAAACTCGAGTAAATCTTTGAATAAGACAATTCATCAAGTAGCAATCTTAAAAAACATATTGTTATATGAAGTAATAGTTATAATGTGAAATTTATTAGAGTTATATCCTTACCTTGTAAAAAATAGAATCAAAAATTATTCATTTCATTTAATTCAACCTCTATCTTCTTATAATAATTTATATTTTTTTAATAAATCAAGAATAATAAATAAATGTCTAAATTAGTTGATTATTCAGATGATGAAGAAGAGAATGCAGTGAGAATTGTAAATCGAAGCCATATGAGTGGATTTTATCCATCATTTTGTAAAATTGATGTAACTTCATAATTTCCTAAATTAAAATAAGAAGAATACCACATAAGTTTGAGTCTTAATTTTTAACTAAATTATCATCAAATCAAGGATTTCATAGATTCAATTTAAAATGATATCGATACTTTTTAGGCTTTTACATGTACTTTAAATCATGAAAGTAAAATTTATAAAAATGAAATTACTAAAAAAGAATACTTAGTCTTAGAAGTTAATATCAATAAAGAAAGGGTTAAATAACTAATAAATTTAATAGCATAATCAATAACTTTGTTTGATAAATTATATTAAAGGGTTGAAATAATTCCCCATTGTACTATAAAACAACACCTGAACCTTAAAAATCAAATAACACTTAAGGTTAACACAATAGATATTGTAATAGGAAAATAGATTACGAAAATTCCCTTAAAATAGTGAAAAAATACTATAATTTATTCATCAATTAAAAACTAATAATTTTACTAACATTTTAATCCTAATAAAAGAGTGTAATTAACTAATTTTACCATCCAAATGCTTTTCACATTAAAATTTCTTATCTAATCTAACCTAGTTCCATTAAAAAACCATTAAGCAATTATCTGGAGTTTCTTAACACAAAACAAGTAATAATTATAATATCTTCTTTTTGATCGAGCTTCGTAGTCTTTCATAATAAAGAATGAATCTTTAGATTTTGGTTTTATTTTTAGGTTCAAATAGTCATATAATTTTCATAAGATATATTAGCAAATTATTCTTTTAGTGAATGTAAAATTGTATTCTTAATAAACTTACTCCTTTGTATTTTCTTAGTCAAATAATCACAATCTAAATAAATGTTCATTACCTATTATTATTATTGAATATAAAATTGTGTTCTTAATATGAATTATTCTACTTTTATTAAAAGACTATAATTTGATCAAAAAGCAGGTCAAAAAAACTAAGAAAGGAATTATCCTGTGAAAGATAATTAAGCTAATTTATCTATCATTCTTTGAAACTTTGGATTAATTTAGAGCTATTATTCAAATTATAATATAAAAAGTTAAGGTTTTATTTAAATTCATCTTATTATTCAATTATCATATTTCATTTCTTTGTAATTCTCATTCTTATTTCTATCCTTTTACACCCAGGCACCAACTTTTTTCTCGTTTTCATATTCTCCAATATAAATTATTTAGTTCCAATTATCAAACTGATCGCTCAACTCAATCCAATTTCCTATCTTAATTCCTTCTTCATATGATCCTCCACCACTAAAAATATTGTCATTAGAATATCTACATTTATATACTATTTTTATAAAGCTTCCACATAATATCCCATCGACCATGTTTCTTTCCTTTTATATATTCGCCATTATAGGTAATTTAAGAATTATCATAAAATCCATCACTCAATTCAACCCACTTCCCGATCTTTATGCCATCACCTGTTTCACTGTATGATCCTCCAGCACTGAAAATTTAATTTAAATTTTAGCTTACATCTTTTCAAATTTCTTATCAATCCTGTACCAGATTTCCCATCTACCAATTTTTCTACCATCTTTATATTCACCACTATAAGTAACTTAGGAATTCTCATAAAATCCATCGCTAGGCTCAACCCAATTACCAACCTTTATGCCATCACCCTCTTTGCTATATGATCCGCCACCACTAAACATTTAGAATATTATCACAACTTACAGTTGCTCATTTTGATTATTATCTTCATACACTTTTCGATATGAAACATCCCATCTACCAACTTTTTTCCCATTTTGGTATTGTCCATTATAAAAAATTTATGATCTGTCCCAAAATCCATCACTCAACTCAATCCACTTTCCAATCTTGACACCGTCACCTTCATTAGTATAGAATCCACCTCCACTAATGAATTTGATTACAGAGTAATATATACATTTATTAATTTGCTTGAGCATCATTTTCTGTTAACCAAATATCCCATCTACCAACTTTTTTATCGCTTTTGTACTAGCCTGTATTAGTCACTTATGAATACTTCTCAAACTTATCACTCAATTCAATCCACTTCCCGATCTTTAAATCTCCATAATATACTCCACCACCACTATAATTTTGAATTTTATTTTTACATCTATTTAAAGGGTTAATCCTTTTCTGGTTTATACAAAGTATCCCATTATCCAATTTTTTTACCTTTTTAATACTCCCCTTCATAAATGACTTGTGAATCATCATTGAAATTCTAGCTCAACTCAATCCACTTTCTACACTTCTGGTTGCTTTCTAAATCATATGATCCGCCACCACTAAGAAATTGTTTTAATTAAAATCTTACATAATTTATCGTTCATACTTAATGTTCCATCTACCAACCTTCTTTCCAATTTGATATTCACCATTATGAGTGACTTAATTTTAATCCCAAAATCCATCACCTAACTCTTACCATAAACCATCCTTTACCCCTTATTGATTATATTTTCCACCGCCACTAACCAAATTAATAAAAATATCAAATACATCTCCTTATCATTATAAACATACTACCAGCTTCCTAATTTCAAGTCATTTTCATATCTCCCAACTATGTATGCTTATGAATTGCTAAACAATTATGAAGTTAAAACTTACGTCTCATAATTCTAAACTAAATCTTTCCATACTCCTTATTTTTTTTCATCATGCAAGTATTCTCCTCCAACACCCTTTAAAGTTTCTCCTTTCCAAGTAGCCATCCATTTACCAACCTTTAAGTTATTTTACCCATATTATCCAATCCATTTTAAATGCTTTATTTATTCTAGATTTGTTAGAACTTCGGCTTTCTTCAATTTGTTGTATATTGTATCACTAAAATTAAAAAATAAGCAGATTGATACATTCTCAAAATACATCCATTCAAAGTGTATTAAACTTTCTGATCCTGAATCCAACTAATTTGGAATCTACATTTAATTTACTCTGGAGGATTCAGACTATAATTCCAAATAATCCCTTCATTTTCTTAGGTTACTATTTTATTTTAAGAAGACATATTAAAATTATATTAATAAAAGAAATTTAAAATTTATAATTCAAGTCATTCTAATAATTTTAAGAAAATAACTCGCGACATTTTATTGTTATTGTTTGGGACAATATTAAGTTAGCTACTTAATTTTCATCGCTAGTATATAAACTGAAATTGGTGATCGATAAAATTTATAATTTTCCAAGTCAAGATTTATTTACAGATTATATCGCGTTAATAGATTTGATGGTAGTTTCATGACAACTTAAATTATGCTTAGTCAAGGCCTTTACTCGAAATAATAAACTTATCTAAGCATTTTTCCCTTTGTTATTCAAATTAACGAATCGTAATACTAGATTTACAGTGTTTTACGATATATATTTTTAATGAAAAGTCATAAAAGATATATCAGTAAGAAATATAATATTTATTAAGAATATATGTATTAATTTCTATATATTAGTAACGATTATTTTGTTTAATAAGATCAAGTTTGTTGATCAAATCGAATATTGTTTTTGAATCAATTATTACTTCCAAAGATCTTTAGAATTTTTAATTTTATTATCCAGTTAAGATCAATACTTGAGTTGATTATTTATNTCATTGAAATTCTAGCTCAACTCAATCCACTTTCTACACTTCTGGTTGCTTTCTAAATCATATGATCCGCCACCACTAAGAAATTGTTTTAATTAAAATCTTACATAATTTATCGTTCATACTTAATGTTCCATCTACCAACCTTCTTTCCAATTTGATATTCACCATTATGAGTGACTTAATTTTAATCCCAAAATCCATCACCTAACTCTTACCATAAACCATCCTTTACCCCTTATTGATTATATTTTCCACCGCCACTAACCAAATTAATAAAAATATCAAATACATCTCCTTATCATTATAAACATACTACCAGCTTCCTAATTTCAAGTCATTTTCATATCTCCCAACTATGTATGCTTATGAATTGCTAAACAATTATGAAGTTAAAACTTACGTCTCATAATTCTAAACTAAATCTTTCCATACTCCTTATTTTTTTTCATCATGCAAGTATTCTCCTCCAACACCCTTTAAAGTTTCTCCTTTCCAAGTAGCCATCCATTTACCAACCTTTAAGTTATTTTACCCATATTATCCAATCCATTTTAAATGCTTTATTTATTCTAGATTTGTTAGAACTTCGGCTTTCTTCAATTTGTTGTATATTGTATCACTAAAATTAAAAAATAAGCAGATTGATACATTCTCAAAATACATCCATTCAAAGTGTATTAAACTTTCTGATCCTGAATCCAACTAATTTGGAATCTACATTTAATTTACTCTGGAGGATTCAGACTATAATTCCAAATAATCCCTTCATTTTCTTAGGTTACTATTTTATTTTAAGAAGACATATTAAAATTATATTAATAAAAGAAATTTAAAATTTATAATTCAAGTCATTCTAATAATTTTAAGAAAATAACTCGCGACATTTTATTGTTATTGTTTGGGACAATATTAAGTTAGCTACTTAATTTTCATCGCTAGTATATAAACTGAAATTGGTGATCGATAAAATTTATAATTTTCCAAGTCAAGATTTATTTACAGATTATATCGCGTTAATAGATTTGATGGTAGTTTCATGACAACTTAAATTATGCTTAGTCAAGGCCTTTACTCGAAATAATAAACTTATCTAAGCATTTTTCCCTTTGTTATTCAAATTAACGAATCGTAATACTAGATTTACAGTGTTTTACGATATATATTTTTAATGAAAAGTCATAAAAGATATATCAGTAAGAAATATAATATTTATTAAGAATATATGTATTAATTTCTATATATTAGTAACGATTATTTTGTTTAATAAGATCAAGTTTGTTGATCAAATCGAATATTGTTTTTGAATCAATTATTACTTCCAAAGATCTTTAGAATTTTTAATTTTATTATCCAGTTAAGATCAATACTTGAGTTGATTATTTATACAGCTAATTTTGTTAATAAATTACTTGAAAAAAAGGAAAAATTTTTAGGAAACTTATAATTTTGCAATCCAATTAGAGAGGCAGAAAAAGAAAATTAAAGAGTACAAGCAGTAGTAAGTAAAATTATTGTTACATTATATTTCATTATGTTATATCACCTCCTTTAATAATAATAAAATATATATTCACCAGCCCAATTTAAATCTGAAAAATATCTTCTTTTAATCTGTTATTTATTATGCTAAAATATATTAACTATATTAACTACTTAAATATATGAATAATAAAGAGTTCCTAAAACATAAGAAAACAACTGAATGAAGTATATATATTTGATAAGGAATGAATTCGAAAATTTTGGATTAAATCTTTAATAAAATAAATTAATATTAATAATTGAAAAATAATAAATGTTTTAATGTGCAATTTTTAATAAGGATATTCATCAAGCATCAAGAAATGCTATTTCAAGAAGCTTTTGTCTAAAAGTGGTGAATAAAGTTGATAATTTGAATTGATCTTCAGAAATACTTATTATCAATAATTAGTTTTTCATTATTATTTTTTATAGCCTAAATGAAAATTTAATTATATGATTAAACGGGTTGTTACAAACATAGGAGAATATTATTTGATTATCCTCAAAGCCATTCGAGTAATTTTATTAATAAAATTGACCCTCCAATTTCTTATTTTCATAACATTAAAAATATATTTCAATGTCTATATAGGGAAAAGTTGAATCCATAATTTCAATATATTACCCAATGTAACTATAATCTTGACGATAAAACTAAAATATCTTCATTTGAATTCTGCTCATTAAACTAGGATTTGCTTTGAAAGATTAAGATATGACTAAATCCAAAAAATGAAAATTAGTATCCTCCTTCAAATAAACATTCTCCAGTAACTCAAAGCATTAATGTTCATAATAAAAATTTTCATCTGCTCAATTTAAACAAACACCCTGATGACAATCTATGCAAGATAGAGGGCAACTAAAAGAACATTGATGACATCCATCCTCAAATGTTAAATTGCCATCATCACAATCCTCATCAGCAAGTACAAGCCCATCTCCACAGATAGGTTGGCATTTATTACTAATATTTTAGAATCCACTCTTACAAACTAAACAACCATATCCTTCAATACTGCAGCTCGAGCATGATGAATCACATCTTGTATCTTGGTATTCACTTGTATTTTTAACGCATTAATTCTTAATATACTAATAGCCTTCATAACAATTATAGCAAACTCCCTTTCTACATAAAGAACAAGATGTCGGGCAACTATAAGAACATTAATGGCATCCATCTCCAAATATTGAATTACCGTCATCACAATCCTCATCGGCAAGTACAAGCCCATCTCCACAGATAGGCCGACATTTATTATCAATAATTTAGAATCCGCTCTTACACAGCAAACAGCCATGTCCTTAGATACTGCAGCTCAGACAGGTTGAATCACATCTTGCATCTTGATATTCATTTTTATTTTTAATGCATGAATCCCTTATATACAAATAGTCTTCATAGCAATCTAAGCAAACTCCCTTGCGACATTCTGAACAAGATTAAGGGCAACTATAAGAACATTGGTGGCATCCGTCTCCAAATACTAAATTACCGTCATCACAATCTTCATCTTTTGTGACTATTTAATCCCCACAAATTGAATAACATAAATTATCAATTAATTTGTAGCCTTCTTTACAGTTCTGACAACCAAGTCCAAAGTTATCGCAAGTAAGACAAGAAGCTTAACATTTTGCTTAGCAATTTTAACAACCTCTATACGGTAATATAAATGAATTTTCGCAAGATTCTCCAACTACTATTAGCTAATCTCCACAAATTGGTAAACAAATTTTTTAATAAGAAAGTTAATATCCAGTGGCGCATAATTCACATCTGTTATTTACACAAGTGATGCAAATTGATGGTATTTAACATTAAAATTTACAATGGTCACTACACCCATCATAATTAATTGTATTGCCATCATCGCATTCTTCTAAATAGAATCCATTTGGATCTGTTACAACTAAATTATCACCACATTCGTTTTTGCAATAATAATTCTCTGGTTTAAATCCGGGCAACTCACATCTTAAACATGTGTTAGTCGCATAATTACAGGATGAACACCCAAATCTACAGAAATATCTACAATTATGACATCCATCCTTATCATCCTGATTTCCATCATCACATTATTCTTGGCCTACTATTTGTAAATCTCCACATATCTCTTTGCATTACCAAGGTTGAACTGTTGGATCAATCTGCCATCCATTAGTTAAACATTCAAAACACTCTCCTTTAATGCACTTTGTACATTAAGTTTAGCATTAATACATGCAATTAAAACACCCATCATATTATATAGTATTCCCATCTTCGCACTCTTCTAATCCTGTGACCATCATATCTCCACAAATATCAGGACAAGGTAGAGTAGTAGATGCATCACAAGTTAAACAATGGGCTGGACATTGATATTAACAATTATAACATAAGTCATCCTTGATAGTATTATTATCTTCACATTATTCTTATCCTACCATTTATGAGTCTCCGCAAATAGGTAGACATTATCCAGAGACCAGTTCAAATCCTGAATCACAAGAAGTACATGTAATTGTATGCCATACTTATTGAGAACCAGGACAAAATTTGTAACATGCTTAGAAATCAGGATCTTCTTAAATTGGACAATCTAATATTATTATTTATCTAAATACCAGTGCACACTTCATCTAAATAATAATAGCCAGGTTAGCATCTACAATTTAAACCTCTTAATATTCTATTTAAATTAGAATCACAAGATAAACAACCATCTTTAGTTCCATTAAAACAAGTTTAACATGTAAAATGACACTAAGAACATGTTTTAGAGACTAATTTGTAAAAGTAACCTGTAGGGCATTGACATGTTTATCCCACAATCTCAATATTAGCAATATTATTATTGCAAGTTAAGCAATCATTAGAAGAAGGTCCAGAGCAAGTGCCACAGAATTAATGACATCTTTGGCATTTAGGATTATCAGATATTGGATAGTATCCATCAATACAAATGCACTATTGATTTTATAACTATCGATTATTTGATACTAAACAATTTAAACAGTAGGTTGGACTTAAACATTAACTACATTCAATTGGACAATTTACACACTGATTTTAATCCTCATATTGATTCAATTAACAAATACAACCTAATTTAGATTATATGTAAGTAGGCTAACACGTTTAACAATCTATTTTAGATGTACATGTCAAGCAAGATGCTGGACAAACCAAGCATCCAGTAGTATATTTATCATAATATTCGTTACTTAAACATTCTGCTTAAGAGAATTTGATCACGTTTGGATCATAATCGCTGCTCCATTATAAGCATGAACTTAAATCTGAGCATTATAAACAATAGGGCAAGCATTTATGAATGACTACGTAGTAAAAAAATAAACCACAATAAGCGTTAACTGGTTCATTATTTGGACCGAAACATTCCCAACTTATTGTTAATGTATTTGAGAAGTGATCTACCCTTTCATATACTTTATCAAATTTTACACCATCAGCTTATACTGAAAAAAAACTTGTAGTCGATTTATAAATTGGCGGATTATTTTCAATAGTATATATAAATTATCCATCCGAAGGGAATGCTGGACCATATAGTAAATGAAATGATATTGAAATACTGTAATGCGGTTCAGTTATATAATGAATCCTTTAAAATTTAGCTTGTGCCCATATGAAACGTCCTCCAAAGATTCTCAGTTAATTGAAGTATGAATAATAGATATCTGATCCTTTCATAAAATTAGTGCCATTTTAAGAGATTAGTGTATACCCTGTTTTGTAATCAGGATCAAAAGTATTATTTCGGAAATCTTAAGTTTAATACTAAGAGTCTAATATATAGAATGAAAAGATACAAGGTGTTTCATCATCAATATCTTAACAGTAAGAACCTATTCTTCTTTGANCTTTGCATTACCAAGGTTGAACTGTTGGATCAATCTGCCATCCATTAGTTAAACATTCAAAACACTCTCCTTTAATGCACTTTGTACATTAAGTTTAGCATTAATACATGCAATTAAAACACCCATCATATTATATAGTATTCCCATCTTCGCACTCTTCTAATCCTGTGACCATCATATCTCCACAAATATCAGGACAAGGTAGAGTAGTAGATGCATCACAAGTTAAACAATGGGCTGGACATTGATATTAACAATTATAACATAAGTCATCCTTGATAGTATTATTATCTTCACATTATTCTTATCCTACCATTTATGAGTCTCCGCAAATAGGTAGACATTATCCAGAGACCAGTTCAAATCCTGAATCACAAGAAGTACATGTAATTGTATGCCATACTTATTGAGAACCAGGACAAAATTTGTAACATGCTTAGAAATCAGGATCTTCTTAAATTGGACAATCTAATATTATTATTTATCTAAATACCAGTGCACACTTCATCTAAATAATAATAGCCAGGTTAGCATCTACAATTTAAACCTCTTAATATTCTATTTAAATTAGAATCACAAGATAAACAACCATCTTTAGTTCCATTAAAACAAGTTTAACATGTAAAATGACACTAAGAACATGTTTTAGAGACTAATTTGTAAAAGTAACCTGTAGGGCATTGACATGTTTATCCCACAATCTCAATATTAGCAATATTATTATTGCAAGTTAAGCAATCATTAGAAGAAGGTCCAGAGCAAGTGCCACAGAATTAATGACATCTTTGGCATTTAGGATTATCAGATATTGGATAGTATCCATCAATACAAATGCACTATTGATTTTATAACTATCGATTATTTGATACTAAACAATTTAAACAGTAGGTTGGACTTAAACATTAACTACATTCAATTGGACAATTTACACACTGATTTTAATCCTCATATTGATTCAATTAACAAATACAACCTAATTTAGATTATATGTAAGTAGGCTAACACGTTTAACAATCTATTTTAGATGTACATGTCAAGCAAGATGCTGGACAAACCAAGCATCCAGTAGTATATTTATCATAATATTCGTTACTTAAACATTCTGCTTAAGAGAATTTGATCACGTTTGGATCATAATCGCTGCTCCATTATAAGCATGAACTTAAATCTGAGCATTATAAACAATAGGGCAAGCATTTATGAATGACTACGTAGTAAAAAAATAAACCACAATAAGCGTTAACTGGTTCATTATTTGGACCGAAACATTCCCAACTTATTGTTAATGTATTTGAGAAGTGATCTACCCTTTCATATACTTTATCAAATTTTACACCATCAGCTTATACTGAAAAAAAACTTGTAGTCGATTTATAAATTGGCGGATTATTTTCAATAGTATATATAAATTATCCATCCGAAGGGAATGCTGGACCATATAGTAAATGAAATGATATTGAAATACTGTAATGCGGTTCAGTTATATAATGAATCCTTTAAAATTTAGCTTGTGCCCATATGAAACGTCCTCCAAAGATTCTCAGTTAATTGAAGTATGAATAATAGATATCTGATCCTTTCATAAAATTAGTGCCATTTTAAGAGATTAGTGTATACCCTGTTTTGTAATCAGGATCAAAAGTATTATTTCGGAAATCTTAAGTTTAATACTAAGAGTCTAATATATAGAATGAAAAGATACAAGGTGTTTCATCATCAATATCTTAACAGTAAGAACCTATTCTTCTTTGATATGATTAAGTGCAGTTTGCAATACAAGTATTTTCCCTATACAGATAATATCCACTTTGGCAAATTTTACATTTGAATGATAACCCACACACTTCGCAGTATAAAGGACAGTATCCTGAGGTAACATAAACATAATTCAAACCCCATCCCGCTGTGTCATCCCTATTTTAAATATATACAGTTTTACTTATAATTTCCTCGAGCTGAAAATAGAAATGGAAAACTAGGAATGTCGACATATATAACTAGAGAAAATTATTAAATTAAGGAATAGCCTAATGATGGAGGAAGGCTAGTAGTTTCATAGATCTTTAAATTATTTGTTTGATATCCTTATTCATTTCTGTAAATAGAGCCAATAACGTTATCATTAATCATGAATTATATACCACAATTTATTGGAATGTCATTATAAGTTACAACTGCTATTTTAAATCCGATTAAATATGTGGCTTGATAATTTGAGTCATAAAATTTATAGATACCAGAATTAAATTTAAATATTCCGTATATCCCAGAATCTAGAATAGTTGGTGATGCATCTAAATGTTGTGGGTCATATATAATAGACCATTCCTTTTTAATATTTGATATCAGAACGTCTGAAAATTTGTAAACTAGTATATTCTAGAATAAATACTAGGAAAATCATTGCAAAATCCATTAGAATATAATGACTAATAGATACTACAGGTCATTCTACATCCATATTTTTTCTCAAAATATTAATTGGATGGGCAAGGCGGACATACAGAGTTTGTTGGCGATCCATAATAACAACTTAAACATTTGTAATTATTTGCCGTACATGTTTTGCATAAATAATAACATAAATTTGGATCAGAAATATAAATATTTCTGATAGAGACTTATCCATCATTTTTATTGGATGATGTAAACTTTAGATTTGAATAATCTAAATTCAGCGTTGAAAATGCAAAATGTACTGTTCTTATTTCATAAGGAATATTATTACAAAATCCATTTGACACTTTATAATTGGTGTTAGGAATGTAATTATATGTATATGAAAAAGAGCTGAACTNCTGGACCATATAGTAAATGAAATGATATTGAAATACTGTAATGCGGTTCAGTTATATAATGAATCCTTTAAAATTTAGCTTGTGCCCATATGAAACGTCCTCCAAAGATTCTCAGTTAATTGAAGTATGAATAATAGATATCTGATCCTTTCATAAAATTAGTGCCATTTTAAGAGATTAGTGTATACCCTGTTTTGTAATCAGGATCAAAAGTATTATTTCGGAAATCTTAAGTTTAATACTAAGAGTCTAATATATAGAATGAAAAGATACAAGGTGTTTCATCATCAATATCTTAACAGTAAGAACCTATTCTTCTTTGATATGATTAAGTGCAGTTTGCAATACAAGTATTTTCCCTATACAGATAATATCCACTTTGGCAAATTTTACATTTGAATGATAACCCACACACTTCGCAGTATAAAGGACAGTATCCTGAGGTAACATAAACATAATTCAAACCCCATCCCGCTGTGTCATCCCTATTTTAAATATATACAGTTTTACTTATAATTTCCTCGAGCTGAAAATAGAAATGGAAAACTAGGAATGTCGACATATATAACTAGAGAAAATTATTAAATTAAGGAATAGCCTAATGATGGAGGAAGGCTAGTAGTTTCATAGATCTTTAAATTATTTGTTTGATATCCTTATTCATTTCTGTAAATAGAGCCAATAACGTTATCATTAATCATGAATTATATACCACAATTTATTGGAATGTCATTATAAGTTACAACTGCTATTTTAAATCCGATTAAATATGTGGCTTGATAATTTGAGTCATAAAATTTATAGATACCAGAATTAAATTTAAATATTCCGTATATCCCAGAATCTAGAATAGTTGGTGATGCATCTAAATGTTGTGGGTCATATATAATAGACCATTCCTTTTTAATATTTGATATCAGAACGTCTGAAAATTTGTAAACTAGTATATTCTAGAATAAATACTAGGAAAATCATTGCAAAATCCATTAGAATATAATGACTAATAGATACTACAGGTCATTCTACATCCATATTTTTTCTCAAAATATTAATTGGATGGGCAAGGCGGACATACAGAGTTTGTTGGCGATCCATAATAACAACTTAAACATTTGTAATTATTTGCCGTACATGTTTTGCATAAATAATAACATAAATTTGGATCAGAAATATAAATATTTCTGATAGAGACTTATCCATCATTTTTATTGGATGATGTAAACTTTAGATTTGAATAATCTAAATTCAGCGTTGAAAATGCAAAATGTACTGTTCTTATTTCATAAGGAATATTATTACAAAATCCATTTGACACTTTATAATTGGTGTTAGGAATGTAATTATATGTATATGAAAAAGAGCTGAACTAAATAGTTACAGTTTCTGATGTCCATGTACCTTGAAAAAATAAATCCACAGTTAAAAAACAATACTTAGTAAGTAATTGAGTATCCCTACTTTAAGCTGATGGATAGGAACTATTTAGAGTTATATAGCTTGTTGGAGGTGCTGTGCAAGTTAAAAAATTAGCTGTTTTTTATGTGGATGGTAATAAAAAGTTGCCAGAATATTTATATGCGGTTGGCCCATCCTAATAAGTAAACTTCTCATTACTATATAAATAAGAATATATTAATCGCCAAGATGAAGTTACATTATGAATTAAGCCAGCAAATATAAGGATAATAGACATATTCATCATAAAAATAAATAATAGAAGATAAATGAGTTAAAATTCATATTGTAGAATAAAAAAAAATTTAAAAAAATATTTGGTTGATTATCTGAAAATCTTATATTACAAAATTTATGTAAGATCAATTTGATCAATAAATTTGATCTAATTAATAAATATCTATAAACTTATTTCCACCCTTGTCACTTAGGCTTCAAAAGATTTTCTAAAATTTAATATTAATAAATATCAAGATATCAATATCCGTTCCTTATCTCTTCATTACAACTTATTGTTGCAGTTTACAAAATTTTAATAACCTTTACCTTTACAAAATTTTAAATTTTCTTTCCTTTTCTAAAAGAATGAATTTGATTCAATTTATTTACATTAATTTATTTAGCTTTATTCGGTTATCTCCAGAATATGTTTAGTATGCGAATATGATTATAAGTTATACACCAATGTTATTTAAATCATATTATTTATTTTTGTGTTTAAGTTTGATAAAGAATTAGATTAACAAGTAATAAGCTGAATATACTCCACTTACTTTGTAGAATCCAATTACAATGGTAGGGTTTTATCATTACATATCATCATAATTAATTATGTTAATCAAATTAACAATCCCTTATTTGAATTCTATAAAAACTAATATTTTAATAATACATTTAACAATGATAATTAATAATTAATAAGAATACATAAAATCGCTAGAAAAAAAAGTTCGTAAGTATTCTTTTTTCTGCTCTCTGAATGTCATTATGATTATACTTTGGATAAATTAAGTCCTTTTTAATAACATGATAACCTTTAATCCTTAATTGTAATTTAATACTTTTGAATACTAATTATTGTAAGAAAATTCTATCAAAGAACCTGAATGGTGTTTTTCATTTGCATTTAATAAAGATTCCACAATTTTAGCTGTTGGCTGCTAGTCATACATTAAATTGTTTGAGTTCACAAATGGGAAAGCCTTATTGAATTGGAAATTGGAACATGCTGACTTTGTCAGAGCAATATATTTTATGAAGAATTCATAGAATTTCATCTCAGGTGGAGAGGACTCTTCAGTTTTAGTTTGGCATTAAGGTTAAAATCGTTAATGGCATATCTCTTAAAGACTGATAGGACATTCAAAACCTATTAAACATATCATCATGAATAAAAATGAAGATCTCATTATTTCATGTGGCAATGATTATACAATTAAATTTTGGGTGAAATAAACTGAATGGATATGCTCCTAAACTATTTCTACTCATACATAAAATGTCGTAAGTTTAAGTATTAATGAATCATAAAATAAGTTGATATCTTGTTCTGAAGATAAGTCAATATTAGTTATGGAATTGTCTCCAATTACTAATTAGTGGATTGTTATATAGCGGATATTTGTACATGAACAAGGTAAAAGACTGTGTTTTATTGGAGATAATTAGTTTACATTTTAACCAAAAAATAAAAATATTTTAGAACTTTATTCTTGGAACAGCACATCTAAATCATTTTATTTAGAAATGGACATACCAGTTGATAGTAGTACTGATACCAACTATTATTTCCCTTAAAAATTTATTCACTAGAAATAACTTTTAATCAATAAGAATGGCAATTATATCAATATGTTAAGAAAAAGGGCTGATGGAAAGTTTATAAAAGAAAAAGCAATAAGATTTAGCACAAACTAGATCTTTGGAACAATAAATGATTCAGGAGATTATTTAGTAACTTGGGATCAGGAGCATAAGTAATTATAGTTTAGAAAATTTAGTGAAATATGAATAATATTCACGTGTAAGTTAAAACTGTCAATGAACTTCTTAAATAAAATTCTCATTATTCAATTCGAAGATTCACTCAAATATAAATCAAACATTATTATTGTTACTATTCATTTTTTATAATTTAATTGTTAATCTTATCCTAATAAACTTCCATATTGATAATTAAATTTTAGTTACTATATTTAATATTCTGAATCTAGAATTAATATTATAGACTATTGTAATATTAAATGTAACTCTAATTAAGCATAATTTTCTACAAAACTACTAACTTGTTAATCAGATGAGTTTTAGATTTAGATGAAACAAATTGAATGTCTAGCTCTTATAGAAATGTTACAAACTGAAAGTCATGAGAATTAATTATATTTATCTAGTTGTTGAATACATAATAACTGAAATATATGTTATGAAGTCTCATTTTATAAATATGTAAAGAGAAGCCAAAATGCCAAAAGCAATACAAATTGTTTACCCAGAAATAATTGTCTTTCTTTTCTAATATTATTCTTTATCCTAATATTGACTTTCTATATTTTTATTAATCTGTTATTATTGACCTTCTCCTTGTTTAATATTTTATTATAATGCATCTACTTTATCATTAGAATTAATTTGTTAACTTAGCTTTTGGACTTAGGGAATGTCTTTTGTCAAAATTGTAAATATTTATTTAATCAATTAGGTATTCTAATTTTACAACATGCTATCATCTATTCCACTTTATAAAAATAAAATTGATTCCTTTAGATTAATTACATTAAGTTAGGTTCCTGACGATTATAACAATTATTTTAGCGTGGCTCCAAATTCAAACAATGATTAATCATTAACACAATTGATAATTAATTTTGACTTTGATTGTTTGACTTGGTTGGTAGCAACAGCAAAACTTAAAAGTTAAATCAAAGCCTTTAAATAAATATTACCACCAAAAATTCCGCAACCCCATCTCCCTGTAGAAATATCACAATTAGGCTGGTTTTTCAAGGATAGTTCAAAACCTGCATAACATTTTAACAGTTCTCTATATATGTTGTCTTTTGTAAATTAGTCATCCCTATAAAATGGTTTAGCATCAATTGCCTTTGTAATATTAATTAAAAATACCAGAACATTATAACTATCTCGGATATCTTCATTAGGGAAACTTACAAATGTCTTTTCATATCCGGTATAGTTGCTATATTTTTTCAAGTTTTCGATTAATACTGCTTCTGTTTCTTTCATCTTTGGGATAAAAAGCATACATGTAATAGCTTCAGGGTATATGAGCATTATGACCTAGTTTAAAATAAAATATAATTTTACTTCTTCCTATGCACAATTCCAAGTGTCAAGAACAAGTCCTCCAATGTTTTCATCAGCAAAATCAACAACAGTAGAATTTTTATGATCTTCATTCTTCAATTAGGTAAATTCAAAGTCAATGATCTGGTTATTAGTTTAGTCAAAATTTTTAACGAACTACTCTTTAGTTATCGAATTCTTTGAAAACACTAACTATTAATCCTTAATAGAATCTTAATTTAAATAAAATGTTTTTATATAGTGCTTAAAACATTTTAATTTCTATTAACAGAGATGACTTTTGGTCTATTTTATGTAAGCCATATCAATTAAATAAAATCCTCCTTTTGAGAAGTCTCGCTCTAACAATCCCAAGTACATTAACATTATTAATCTAAAATTTTCTACTCTTTTTAATTGGACTTTAGCTTTGGTGTCCCATTATTAGTATATAGCATCCAAATCTGATCTTAGTTAATTAGGATTATTGAAAATCTCATGTTTGAGATAATTTTTAAACCCCAATTATCCTGTCTGATCTTAGAAAATATCCTATAATGTTTAATCAGAGTCAATGGTTTGATGAATATAATCCAAATAGTTCTATTGATTAAAGCCTTTTAAGCGGCAATATAATACACTTTTCTCCATTCTGGTTTATTGGAAAAATATTTTATTAATGAATTTCATCATTTAAATTTATTAATTTAGAATGTCAACATAGTATCATGAACATTTAAAATTTATTAAAGAAATTCAGTATTAACAAGAAATACTCTTGATAGAGGAGAAACATAAATAATAAATATTCAAATAGATGATTGAAATTATTTTAGATTGAGCATTGAAATACAAATGATTTATAACATTGATTAAATATTCACATTTTTTCGACTCATTCTTTTCCATATAATCTATCTATTTCTTTGTGGTTTAATCCCTTTGTTTCTTTAACAAAAATGTAAAAGAATATGGTGGATAAAATTGTTAAAATTCCAAATACAATGAAAGCACCACTCATTTAAATTCCATCTAACATAAATGGGAATATATATAAAACAAGTAATTGCCAAGCATATAGAGTCACAAAACAAAAGTAGGTTCCCTCGCTCGAGTTGATTTCAGGTGTCATAGACTAATTTCATATGATATTTTAAATTACCCATGTAATCGGTCCCAAAGTCATAGCATATTGAACTGAGAAGAGACAAATAATAATAAATTTAACAATAGTGGCAGCCAATGCATCAGAGTAACTCAAACCAATAATGAGTATCTAACAAACAATAAGGAAAATTAGACCATAAAGCAATAGTGGTCGTTTACCCCACCTTCCATAAACATACTTTGAAATAAATGCAGGAGTAAACTGCACAAGTCCAATAATAAGTGTAAATATTGTGTTCAATGTTATATCTCCATCAGACATTATAGCAAAGATTTACGAACTGTATGAGAACAAAGCAAATAATCCGCACCAAGTGTACACAAAAACCAAGACACATCCAATGCATAATGTTTTAAAATGCTTTTTAGTAAAAAGACTTAGTATTCCTTCCTAATGCTCTTCATTGTATTGCACTCTTAACTAACATTTCAAGAGGACTTGGTCTATGAATTGTGGTTGATAGATTTTCTCTATAATTTATTTGGCTGACAATGGCATTTTGATTTACACCAATCCAACAGGACTATCCATTTTGTAGATAACTGTGACAATAAAGGATCTAAAAAAATGAATTATTGCAGGGATAGCAAAAACAATCTACCAATAGTATGAATTGACTCCTCTTAATTCATCATTTATATATCCCAACCCCATAAAATTAGCGAACAATAATCCTCCTCCAACTAAAAAACCTGCCATGACAGAGAATGATTCGTAATATTTCTAAGGACTTAATTCCTTGACATAGAGAGGCATAATGATTGTAGATATGCCTAAACATACTCCATAACAGAATCTAAATGCCAGAATTACTTCTCTGTTAGGCACAACTTGTAAAATGCTCAAGACTCCACATATATCAGCTATTAAAAGTGATTAATTTCTCGTTGTATATTTTAATAATGGCTTGGTCATCAAAGCGCCTACTACCTAACCTATTGATAGGACAGCACTGAACAAACCCTGCTCTTCAATTTCAGTTCCTTTTAGAGTACTTTAATTAGTATAGATTAATACATTTATGAGAATAAAGTTGTGAACGACATTGATAGATATGATAAAGAGTACCCCAAAGAAAAATTTCCACTCTAAATCGCTACCAATATAACGCTTAGGTGAAATATAGAATTCACTTCTTCCTCAACTTCATTTTCCAACTACACCGTTCCTCTCTTTCTTTATTTATTAGGAGGAATCGGAGTAGGTGCAGTTGGCTGTTATCTTACACTTGAATTTTTAGATATTACAGATTAACTGTTGTCTGAGTTTAAATTTTCATCTTCTTAAGTTTATAATGGAATAACTTAGCTCGTCATATTGAAATGATAGATTTGATATATTAAAAATTATTTATAAGTAACTGAATATTCCTTTATTTATGCTATAAATTAAAAATAATCATCTCTTATATAAAAACCAAGCTCTAACCCACCACGTTCCTTTGTCTCTGTACTCTAGATCATACAATTTTTTAGCTGTATTATGCATGTCCTAATTTAGAACTTGGCACTAAGGACACTAATTAGATAATTCCAAGCCTTCGTAAATAGTTCCCTTCCAGCCATACCCACCTGTCCAGCAATAACTAGAATGTAACGATGAATTCATTACCCAAAGGATCCTCCACCTTCTAATTTGCAATGTCTTTTGGGGTCTTTTTTTGACTCTTTATCATGCTGTTGCATTAATTCATGAGTGTGAGCTCTTAATTTAAGCATAGTCTCAATCAGCTATTGATTTCCAGCTTCAATTGAAATCATTTAGGATTTAGTTAACCATGATTAATCTTATTGAGGTTATTACTAAATCTGCGATTAAATTATTTAAGATTATTACTATACTTATTATTATTACTATTGATATTATTATTGCTATTAAAATTATTATATTTAAGGAGCAAATTAGATAATTGATTATACCAATACTTATTATGCCTATTATTCTTCCATTAATTGTTTTTATGTCTAGATTTGTTTTTTTACTCTGTTGGACCAAAATTATTTCTGATTATTTAATAATTTGTTTAATGGTTCAAAATGGTTAGTATTACACAATTATTCAAATTATGCACGGAAGGATGCTGCAAAATCCAGTTATTCTGTATAAACTTTTGACATCACGTTTTATAGATTTTAATTTCTTTCGAATATCAATGTTAGTAAGTGATTTTGAATGCTGTTTTCTGGATTAGTGAAATTTTCCATCAAAAAGTCAACATCAAAACTAGTTAAGTCTTTTTCGGCTAAATAAAAGCATCTTTAAAAAACATCAGTTGCTTGTGTTAAATATCCTTTCAAAACTTGAGTATCGTAATTTGCAAATGCTTATAGATCTTTAATTACCTTTTTCATTTTCTCAATAAATTAATTGCAGCATTTCTCTACTACTTACACAACTTTCTCGAATTCCTCCACAATTAACTCAGGGGAACATCCTGGTAAAGCATTACTTAAAAGCAGATATTTATCGGCTAACAATTCATAATTATTATTTATTATTTCGGGCATTTGATGATGTTTTTACTTTAACACTTTTATTATAAATGGCAAATACATGATTAATGGTCTTCTCTGACAATCAAGGGATTTTTCAATTGAGCCAACAATATATCCAAGGGGACAGAATCAGGGATCTGTTATTGGTGTTATTACATTTTATATTAATTTTTATTAGATATATTACAAATGCATATTGTACGAATAAATTTACCCAATTTAAGAACAGATATAAAAATATATTTTTAAAAGTATTTTGAAATCCGACGATCAGAAATAGGTTTCGTTCGTTTACTAGTAACATAATTTATAAATCGATTTATGTTATTTATGATAAATCATGCTAATTTGAAGAGATAGGTTGTTTTGTATTATTGATTAATTATATACTATTATAGCGATGTTATTTAATTATGAAAATTTTTATTAGTCTAATTACAACTCAGTGCATTTCGACTATTATCGCATTCACAGAATTTGAGGAACCAAAAGAGATTATAGCATTGGCTTTGGAACTTGCCGGAATGTTTGCGTTACTCTTACTTTATAAACTTAAACTTCCAGAGCTTTTTTAAAGATTAATACTGTTGAGTTAAGCTATCTTAATTTTTTTTTTGATGCCAAATTCGCAATATAAATATTTTACAGGGGCATATCATATAATAATTCGTCTAATAGCGTTTCAATAAGTTTCTAAACTGTTAATGCTAGAATGGCTAGGTATTATTACAAAATATATAAACAATAGCTTTACTAATACTCCTATTTACATTAGGAACTGCTAATGAAATACATCAAATCTTTCGTAGTATTTTTGCTTTTCTTTGTTTAATGTCCATTCAAAGTTTCAATCTTTTGGGTTATATGCAGAAAAATTAAAAGAAACCAGAAATATTGGTTCACTCAAAAATACAGTATACGGGTTATGATTCAATCCCCGAAAGAATGTCAGATCCCAATTTCTCTGTATTGTATTTGGATGACCAATTTAACGAAACGAGTTTTTAGAATTAATGTTCAATACTGAAAGACTTAAAAATTAGTTTGTAATCTATCCTCCATGATTTAATAATCAACAAAATTGACTCGAATTCCAAATCCATACTGTAATGGAAGAACCCAGGCTGTTCTCTACAAAATTTGCTAGATTAAATTCGAGCAACCAAACCACCATTGATGGTTCAGATCCTTGATTACAGTCATCCAAAACTCAACAATTACTTTATTAAAATTATTTTCACACATGAATTCAAAATACAATTTTTGGAACTAGAGGAAAGAGACAGATTTTTAAAATAGAAATACATATTTGCTATTTTGAAGTAACTCCTAAGCACAATGTCACACGAATTTGGAACCTCCTTAAATTATTTATTGGCCATAGCCTAAGTTGCCATTGAAAAATACTCTAATTCTGATATGCTTTCCTATTTTCTGCCTATTAAATCTATGGGGTTGATAATGCATAACTTTGTATTAGACATGGTGGATTACAATAATATATAAGGGAAAAAACTTGAGTTGCAATTGGAAAAGATAGATGTAAATAATGTAATAATTTAGATCTTTTAATTGTTGGAAGAAGTCATAAATATCTTTCTCCATACGCTCTAACAAAAGGGACTCAAAATTACCTATGAAATCTTTTTGGCTGAGAAAACTATTTTAACTGATGGAAGAAGACTTAAACAAATATTGATCACTCTGATATAGAATGCCCAAAAGTTTACATCCTAAGGAGGTATCAAAATAATAGTGAAATCAATTTAATAAAACAAATATGTTTAATTTGAAATCCAAGATACAGGTATAGGGATGACCCAAAATGAAATCGATAATCTAACTGAAATGCTTAAATATGATTATAAACAGGAAAAAAAGATATCTAAAAATACTGCAGGATTTGGATTAGGCAGTTTTTTATGCAATAAGATTGCCATGAGTTTAGGCAATCTAAAATACGAAGAGGGCGGCGGAATAAGATATTATAGTGATTAAGAGAGTAAAGGTACAACGGTGGTTTTCAAGATTGTTAATGAACCTTTCAGTATCAATTATACTCTTACTGCTCCTTAAGATAATGCTAGTGGAATAGTAAAAGTAGGAAAAAATGCTGTTATTGATCTTAAACAATCTCAGATTGATTTAGGAATAAGTTAATTCAAAAACCAAATAACGAATAACTTTAGTACTGTTTTATTGCCAAAAGTGAAGAGCCTCCACGATGACTAAGTGAAAGAACGTTTTACTACTAAGGATAAATTTGGAGCTCTCTATTCAAAATAAATTAAATAAACTACTAAGGAATTAGACAGTATTAATGAGGAAACAAACGAAGAGGATTATTAAAAAAGACTATAATTTTAAGATATCAGAAACACTCCTATTCCAAAATAATGTAAATCCAGCAAAAAAATTTCCTGTGATGAATTTGAGAATGTAATTGTGAATTGCAGTTGCAAATAGATTCTCATTGTTGATGATGAGATGATTAATATTTTAGGATTGTAACTTATGTTAAAGTCTTTCAATCAGGAATCAGATGCATCCTACAATGGCCAAGAAGCACTAGCTAAATTGGATCAAGGTAAGAAATTTATGAAATATATGACTAGCCCATTGTTTATACAATTGCATATTTATGGACATCAATATGCCAATCATGGATGGATTTGCTACTACTAAAGCCATAATTGAGAAATACAAGGAAGATGCTCCCATAATTATTGCTTGCACAGCCTTCAATGACAGTGAAACCAAACAATACTGTTATGAAGTAGGCATGTCTCATTTTATAAGTAAACCTGTCAATAAAAATGAGCTACAGAAACTTCTATGTTATCTTTTTGCCTGATTTTGATTAGTATTCAATATAAATATCTTTTATATTATTAAATATTTATAATAAATTGAACATCAGTTAAGATAGAATTAAATATTGAAATTAACATAATTATCATCATAATTTTTATTTATAAATTAATTCCCACCCTCCATAGTTCTTTTTCTTAGTTTTATTGTAAACATGTTCAACTATAAATTAACCCAAATCTGTTAAGCCCATTTTGTTTAACCTTTCAGTTACAGGAGTTGAAAATGCAAACGTTGGTGAAGCATTTACTTCGATTAACCAAGGATTGCAATCCTCATCAACGATGAAATCTAATCCAAATACCTCAAAAGTATTCTTTCTTATTTCAATAGACTTTTAACATGATTTCATTGTGGCTATAATAATGCTTTTGAATTATTCTCTAACTTAACTCTCAAAATCAAATCCTCTATTCTTCAAAACCTAAGCAAACTCCTCTTAACTCATCATCAACTTCTCCTCCTAATTGTCTTCATTATGTTTTTACACACTGAAATTGGTTAAATGAGCATACCTACGATAGTATTAAATAAGTCATACCTATTTTTTAAGTCCTCTGTATTATACTCGACACCACAAAATCGAACATAACATTCTTTATACATCCAAATCGTCAAAGGTTGAATATCTGATACGATCATCCATTATCTTATATCAAATTTCCTTTTTTCGATTGTCATTATATTTTCTAAGCATTTTTAAGCAACAAAATTCACATCCTTAGCTCCAAAAGTATAAGCCAAAATCTCTTCTAACTCTTTAAAATATTTGACTCCTCTTCCTCTTGACAACCCACAAGGTTTTGTGACCCAAATATTCTCTCCTTTTGAAATTTTAAATTAAGGGTCAACAGCTGCTAAACTTGATAATTTTTCTTTAACTGATTCCATAATATTTGGATTAGTAAATTAAACAATTTCTTACTTAGGCTCTGGTTTATTGTATAATATTTACCATTATTAAGGAGTACAAACTGGATAATCATCAGCAGTCTAAATATTAATTAAATTGTACAATTCTATTAATTTTATTTTAGATTGGCAACAATTTAGAATCTAATATTTATATTGCAATAAGTATCTTTTCTTCATCCTTAGGGTTTTTCTTGAGATAGTTTTCTGCAAACGTAAATTTGTATTCCTCCAAAAAGTCTTCGAAATCACCTTCATCACTTAAATCATAGCATCTAGGAAAGAATGTGTTAGGGTCGACCCCTCCTAAAATAAAACAACTTTTAAGAGATCTAGCCAATCCAAATTTTGTTGTCAATAATTTAGTACTAGCAAATCTACTTACAACTTATTCGGGGATTGGTTTATGCAAAAATTTCTTTAAATAACAAAATTTGAAATCATAAACTTAAGTGTAAACGTCCTCTATTTCTACCCAACCTAGTAAAATAAGAAATTGAATACTATACCTAATTAATTAAAGAGGGTTTTGATATCATCAAAGTATGATCCTTATATTACATATAAATATTAATTTTGATTTAAATTGTGTTTTTTCCGCAATTTTTCAATTTCCTCCTTGACTTGAGCTTCAGATAATGGTTATATTTGAGCCAATATTTTTTCAGTTTCCTCCTCCTTTTTCCTTTATTCTTCACTTTAGTCATCTAAATCCAAATATAACTTCTGAAATTCTTTATCATTCTGTGCTTTATTTAATACGCTTCTTATATCAACTTATGTATATATTACAATACTTACTTCCCATTGACTTAAGTAAAGGCTATCTAGTTATTTAAAACATAGATCTAGTGATGAATCGACAACTCAATTCTAATTGAGCAGCTATTTTAGATAACTATTCTTCTAAATTCTTCTTTTGGTTGTTATTTGGCTGGACTGTCTTTTTTAATTTAGGATCAAATTTGCAGTAATATTATGGTTTCCCCATTTGAGTAATTAATGTGGAGATCCTATATCTAAAACAAATTGAGATTCTGTCATAGACATTCACTTCAGTTTAAGCAGTTTATTTGATTTCTTGTTTTTTTGTTCTCTTTTCACTCAATTTCGGTTTACTTACGTGAGACCAATCGACCTAAAAATTTTCAAGTTCTGATTATTACTACATTAATTTATGAATTTAACATTTGAAGCAGTTCGAAAAATTGTACAACAAGGATAGAATGTGACAGATTTGAAATAGAAGATCGATTGCAATTATACTTTGTAAATTGTGGAGAACTATTTTCCTCAATCATCCAAGGAGAAATTGGATTAATTGTTATGTTTCCGCGTTTCTGATGGCTATGCTAAAATGAAAGCCTTATTTTTTAGAACTCCAAATCCAGACTTTGTTCAACTAAGGGAAACAGACCCCTTAGTGAAATACCCTTTAATTAAAGTCACAAGTTTTCGAATTTTGGGAAGGCCTGTTGAGGGCGACGATTTTCCAATATTAATTTTAGAATTTGAAAGACTTTAAATTCTTGAAAAAATTATTGGCCAACCAATGTCCTTCAAATCTTATGTTGCGAACGGTTACTAAAATCCTAATGGAGCTACCTCTCTAGATGATTACGAATTTGCTGGGATCGACGATTTATTGTTTTCAAATCACAAATCCCAATCTATTGGCTGCAATTAGCCCAAAAATACAATACAACAAAACATATAAGAAATACCAAATAAGCAGGAAGACAAACCGAAACAAGGAGTAATGCTATTATGTTAAATTTGTAGATTAAGATTTCATTAAGTAAAACTAAATTCTAAAAACAACAATAAGCCGATCCGCCTTAGACAGAATTAGTTCAATAATAGCAAAAGGCTTAAGTTTAGAAGCAATCCTATGATTAGATGGCGCAAAATCAATAATTTTAATAGATTTAATAAACCAAAAATAACCAGGATTAACTAAATTAATAGTAAAACTTAAAAAAATAATAACTGAGAGTATAAATTCAGCCATAACAATAGTAATAATAATAATAATAATAATAACAGAATAATCAATTCAATAATAAAATACAGAATTAAAGAAATAATAAAAATAATCCTTAAATTGATGTAAAAATTTATTATTTTTTAATAGTTCTTCCCTCTTTATTAAATCAATCCTAGTTTTTAATAACCCTTTAGAGGCAGAGTTGTTAAAGTTAACGAAATAAAAAGTTATACTACTAAAAATTAGAAGGATGGTAAGATGTTTGGAATTTAAGTCATCGATGAAGAAAATCTAGTCTCTGCAATGTTTTTTGATTCAGCAGCTGAGAAATTCCATGATTACATAATTTAAGGGAGGTGCTATATATTTTCAGGTGTCTAAGTAAAGCCAGCTAAAAATTTAGAATAATTACAAAAGATTGGAAGTCTCCCCTTTGATTATACTTTTGATCAAAATTCCTCAATTATTGAAATTGATGATGTCCCTGGAATTCCTTTAAATACCTTTAACTTTGTAAAACTTAATTCAATCAGCCAATAAAAAGTTGGATCAATATAGGATGTAGTAGTAGTTATAAAGTCTTCCAGCGGTGTTAAAGAGTTTCAATAAAAAAATAAAGATGAAAAATCAACAAGAATTTAATTGGGTGTCTATGATGATTCCTTATAAGAGATTGAAATAACACTCTATGGAAATTTAGCTCAATAATACCCATACTAAGTGGGAGACATTTACATGTTCAAGAGTTTAAAAATAAATGAATATTAAGGAAGAAAAAGTTTATAAAACAATTACTAGACTTCCATTCATTATGACAAAAACTAAAAGGAAGTGAAAGATTTGCAGAATTGGTTATAGAATTTTGATGGTAAATTGGCTGAACCAGTATCAAAGATTAAATTAATATCTGAATTAATAAATGAATCAAATAAATGCGAATTAGATCAAAATTTAAAAATATACTCAGATGTTAGAGCATAATTAGTGTTAGTTAAGAACTCAGGAACTCTTTACTATTAATCCTGTACAAATTGTCTTAAGAAAGTTTCAACAGAATTGGATGCCTATTATTGCTCATCCTGTAATTTGACCTTAAAAGAGCCTAAGTTCAGATACATTCTAAATTGTAAAATAGCTGACTCTAGCGGTAACATCTGGGTTAGTGTAGGAGATTAATAAGCTAATTAGTTAATTGATATTCCTGCTAATCTTCTTAAACAATTGACAGATGAAGGGAAAGAAAAAGAAAAGAATGAAGCACTAAGCAAATCCGCGTACAAAGAGTTCAGATTTAAGTTAACCTCTAAATTGGAAGAATTTAATGATGTAAAAAGAGTGAAGCATGCAGTATAATCAATTACTCCAATTTCAAATGCGGACACATAGGCTATTTTGAACTAAATAGAATTTTACATGAAGAATATTTGATTTATATTTCAAGTATAACTCAAAGTTATTAATTAGAATCTAAAGTATTAGATCAATATTAATATTTTCTTAAAACTTATAATAATCATTGATATTTCTCTATTACTGAAATAAATATAAAAAGATACATATATATACATGACAATATAAACTAATGTAGTAAAAAGTCATTTGTGAATTTATAATATAATTTTGATTTTCTATTAAGATTTATATTAGAATTACATATTATAATCATGGATCCAACTGATGAATAGGAGAATGATAATCAATCAGTCCTTTTCAGATCGAAAATTGATCTTGGTATATGACGATATTTATAATATATGATTCTGTATAATAATCAATATGCTTAATAAGCTGCTATGGCTCCTGATATCAAACCTCCAAGGCCTATAACTCCATCGTTAAGGTTGATTTTTAAAACTTTGGGGAAAAACTCTGACCCTTAACCAGCTGGCATCAAATCTCCAAATATCTTGATCAGGTTTAGGTAAAGAGCTTTGTTTTGGTTTTATTTATTTTAGACTTATTGTTGAGCACTTTGATTAGATTTATTTTGTTAGATATATTAGAAGTTGACAACCAATGATCTAATAGTGTCAACAAGGTTTGTTATGATTGCAATAAACCAAAATGTCATTGCTTTTTTTTGCAATGGCTTTGGATCGCTGGTGGTGAACTTGATAGATGATAACACACTCAAGTTATCAAAAAACCTAAAACCTTAGTGAATTTGTATACCAATATAACAGAAACCAAACTCTGGTTAAAATGTTTAATGCCTTGGCTAACTACTCTTGAGGATTCTTGCAATTTTATCCCAATTTATCAATTATAGTTTACAATTCATTCAGAGACTTGGCTAATCTGAATAACTTTCTGGCATCTCTTGTGCTTTCTATATAGTGATAAACAAATCAAGTACAAAATAAATTCTTAAATTGATTGGACAATTGTTCATTTCCACTGTTTGTCTTGAGGTGCCACATTAAAAATCTGGATCCGTATTGCAAAACTTTGCATATCTTATCTCTGCCTTCAGTCTTGTTGAACCATTTCACTGTTGAATCAAGTGTTTACATATTTTTAGAAAAAATATTAATTACTCATAAATACTCAAAGTGCGTATTTCTAATACATTTTTATATTAATCTTGATAATGCACTACTGTTCAGATATCCTTTTCTTAAATCAAAAATAATATCAGAGATTTATTAGAGTATGTAGACTATTCCTTATTTGTATACGATTCAATAGATTATTAACTTAAATGTGAGATTATTTGTGATTATTTTGAGCAAATGTAGCATCAACTCCCATTTTCAACTAATGGATTAGAAAAATTTGAAATAGAACATACTCATAATTTGTTATGTAAGTTTAAACTCCTGCTGATAAATAGAGTCTAGTTCAATAATGAGATAGATAATTATAGATTTGACTATATAGTCATTACAGTAGAAATATTATCTGGTAATTTTGGATTGGGCTACTCCTTGTTATACCTATCAATCTCATTTCTAAAGTATTTTTCTAGATTTTGATACTTCTATATAAATGGATAGTCCAATATCATTATATATTTTGAAATTAACTAAAATCAACTCTAATTTACAATAACCCATTAGAATTAAGCAAATAATATCTTAAATTTATCAACCGGTTTATGCAAAATAAGCTTCTAAAAAGTTAATTAAGAGTTTAATATGATGATGAATATAAAGAGGAGTCCATTTACAAGAAAACATAATATCGATAGATTGTGTTTTGATGTTTTTTACACAAGTTGTGATTATTTGCAATATTCTCATTTGTATCAATGTCAATATGGAGATATTACTTAAAATATCGTGAATGATTAAGTTGATTATGACTTTTATAATTTTATAGAAAATACGAATAATATTGTGTAAGGATTATTTGATAATACTATGTCAAATATTAATAATTGGTTGAAGCTACACTGAAATTTCAAAAGGAGTAATAACTAAATTTTTAGAAGTATGTTTGTACTAATTATAATAAGCTTTAACATTAGATCTCAAGTACATGAGTAATATAGTGTTTGAAGTTTTACTTCTTCTTTGTAAAAGAGACTATGAAGTTAAATAATACAGTGATAGACTAATGATAAATGATGTTATTTAATAATGAAATAGATTAATTACTTATTAATACTAATATAAACAATCAATTTAGATAATAAGATAGTATTTCAATTAGTTAATCTTTTTTGACTGGCTTTTGAATGTGATAACTCATTCCACTTTTATAACAAGTGTTTCGAGTTTCTGTGTCAGAGAAGGCAGTGCATGCAATAACTATAATGTTAGCATATTTGGATTTGATTCTGATTGTGGTTTGGATTCCATCTAAGATGGGCATATTGATATCCATGAAGATCATGCGATATTGCTATGTTCTGCATTTATTACATTTGGCTAAAAGATATTATAGGATTATAAATATACTTTTTTTTTGATTACTAAAGATGAGATTGACGCATTCTTCTCCATTGAATACTGAATCACTTGCATAGCCCATTTGATCCAGCATCATTGACAAAGCCATGATGTTGATTTGTTCATCATCAACTATCAGAATTTGTGGACAATTGCATTTCTAAGTGTTAGTAAAATTCTCATTCAAATGCTTAATTCTATTTTCAAACTCTTAATCATTTGTTTCTTGATTAATACTAAAGGATTCAATTTTCCTCTCAGATGTAATAGCGGCAAGAAACAACTCTCTGGCTATTTTGGATGGAGGCTTACACAATTTGAGTGATAACTCTTTGCTTAATCCCCTTTCTGATTTGACATCTTTGATTCCTAGAATTTATGAAAACTTCTATCTCATTGGTAATGCATTGACTCTGCTGATTTGCGATTCCATTGTATCTATTTAGATCTTCTTGCGAATGCGAACAATGGGTGTCGGATTACTTTACTAGTAGACAGGACTGAATGATTGATTTCTAGCCATGAACCAAGCATGAAATCCTTATTAATACTTTGACTCGAATCTCAATCCTCCCCCTTTTTCATATCTAGTTTGACTTAACACTTCAGCAATCTTGTTGGAAATGTATAATCCCAATCCAAATCCTACTGTATTTTGTGAGATTCTGGCTGATTGTGGTATACCTGATGACAAAAGTTGATGCAATCTTTCTATTTCTTCTTGTTTCATACCTATGCCTGTATCAATTACATGGAAGATGACACACAATTATTTGTTATTAATCACTGCTCCCACTTATATTTTGATCTAACCAGAAAAAGTGAATTTCTAAGCATTGGATACCAAATTAATCAAAATTTACCTTATCCTATTTCTATCACTAACTAAGTCATAATTGAGTAGATTGTTTTGGAATTGAATTTTAAGATGTTTCTGATTTATTTAGTATTTGAAGAGATCAACGACTTCGCTTATCAATTGTGGAATGTTAAAATTACTAACTTCCACGTTGAACTGCTTGCTTAAGATTAGATTGTAATCCATAATGTCGCTGATGAAACTATGCATGATTCTCCCACAATGCAAAATGGGTAGAAAATACTTTTCCGATACTATCTTTGGCACATTCTCGTGACATTGAGCCACTTGAGCTAATGCCAGAATGTAATTCAAGGAAGTATTCAACTCATGACTAAAACTCTTGAATAGTTGTTTCATAGTTGTCTGCTGATGTTTCTTCTTGATGAAATAAGTATAGTCTGACATTGACTGGAAGAGCATGTTATAAATTGTTTTATCATCACTCTCCTTTACGATGAGGATTTAAAAGTAAAATTCTTCAAAACCTTGCAAAACGTATACGTCCAACTGGTGGGGGAGAGTGAGATTTAACTTGATGCTGTCCAATAATTCCTTTAAGGTTGTCAATGTCATGGAATCTCGGAAGTCTTGGATTGATTGTAACTTGATATTGCATTATTCTTGCAACAATTGTTTGGTTTGCTTGTCAATCAGTGTTGGGGATTGCATAATTAGGTCATTTATTGATTTGTCCTTTATTAAATGACTTGATTTTTTATTCTAATAAATTGTTTCGAACTATTCATTTAATACAATTACACCCACTATTCCATTTGTAGTATCATTGATTTTGTCATGTTCCAGATGCAACTTGAAGTTGCATGTCTCCTCAATTATGGTTGTATTGTTCTGAGTTGCCTTCGGTTCCCTTTCTGGATTCTAGTTTTTGGCTAGAAGGAGCAGAGTTACTATGAGGAATTGAATCACCGGCTAACCGTTCTGAATGTCTTGCAAACTATAATAAAGCATCAGCAATAGCAGATGTAGCAGTTTGATCAGCAGGAAATACCTCTTCATAAATATCTCTTTGTCGTTCTATTAATAAATTACTATTGGCAGGACAAATGTAATGAAGGAGTACTAATTGAAGTTCTCCAAGATTTCTAAATATAACATGAAAGTTAATACATATTATGTTGAGTGAGATGATCATAATCGGAGAAAACAACATGCAATATTTTATTTTTGCCTTGCAGAGTGATAACAACAAAAATACTATCAGTATTAACAACTCAATTATCAATAACCACAACTTTCAAAATTATATATGGAGGATTACTCAAATTCGAAAGAATAAAAAGTATTGCACAGCCACGAACAACATAGCAAGATTTCACATAACATATTTTATTAAAATTAATTTATTTATTATAATTCAATGATTATTAATCAAATATATATAGATATTTAATCAAAATTGACTCTCTTGACATTAATCTATAATTTATTTACTTCTAGAAGGATGCTTTTAAGGAATCAAACTAAGTATATTTTAATAATATGGTATTTTATTATTTTCTTTTGAAATTCTATGTATGTATTCATCATCACATACTTCAATATCATCTTCACTTGAACTCGTTACATGCAGTTGATCTTCCTTACCAAGTCTAGATGACAGGATCTCACAAGAACTTTGTTCTCTCAACTCCAAAATTGTTCGTAATGACGGCAAAATCTTAGGCTTCTCATTCTATCCATTCTACTTCTACCTCTAATTGGTCAACCACTAATGAGCCAAAGCATTATTCAAAGTAATCCTATTCTAAAAGTCTGGGTCCAATAGCCCACACAATAACTCAATCAGAGAGAAAGAATATTCCTATTATTATTCTTGCTTTATCGACTTCAACCATTGATAATCAACTTTGAAGTTATCCAGAGATTTAATAAATGACTGCTATGATTTATTTACATTCGTATGAAAAGTCAAATAATACAACAACACTCCAATCTGATACCCATCAATATTTTAAAATTCCGGTTTAATTTATAAATTGTTGAACTCTGGAGGAATCCATTGTTTTGGCACTCTCTTATTTAGCCAAGTCAAATTATATTGATTTGCATCACGATAAGCGAAATTGAATAAAGTGATTTTCAATTGTTGTCCCTATTGATTCTGCGGTCCCGTGGCTCTATGTAACACGATATTGGTGGGTAGAATGGCTCCATGATACAGATTATTCTAATGCAGAAATCGAACCACTTTGATAATCTAGAAGATGATTTGGGCTATCTGTGACGCTGTCAATTTAAAGCCCTGTTACAGCAACTTATACAAGGTATCACCTACCCAGTAATCATACAGTATGTAGAGGATGTCTCCATCTTCAAAGAGGGCGTGGAACTAGTGCAATCCATTCTGTTTAAAACACATTAGGATATTTATTTCGTTCATCAAAGCCTCATAAAGTTATTCGCTCAAACTTGACAATCTTATTAGTTGAACCGTATAAACGCGATCTAGATAGATTGTATCAATTTGTTACTATTCTTGTTCTTCACGCATGCGTAATGATTTTATATAGAAAGTTTCTCTTGAATTGTGTATTTATTGGAAAAATTTTATAGTTTGGAAAATCTCTTCAATTGTTTCTCCCACTAGAAATAATAAGTGAGTTGTGATACATTCAGTTACTACACGTAGGACTCGTAAAATAAGAATAGGTTGCCTTGGCTGTTGAGCAATTGGACTCCTTGGGCTGTAAATTCCTTATATTAGATTATCTTCTTGTTCATTATGCAGGAGGACAAGACCAAGTACTCCTGATTGTCTCCAATGAGCATGTTGGGGTAGAGTGTAAATTACATTTACGTGAATTTGTTGATTTTGTTATCGAAAGTGTACAGACTCGATTTTAGTAATTGATCGCAATCTTGGAGTTTGCTTAATTAAGCTGCTGAAATTTTCTTCATATTCGATTGCTGTAGCTAATATTTGGGTATTTGATCCAGGAGATTGAGGATCCATTCTATGTTGGTAGGTTTTTAATTTTTTATATAGCTAACTCTCTTTTTTGTTTATTTCATATTGCATATCCCCCACAATAGATAATCAGTTATATTTTTATTATATCACATGTCCCTCAATTCACAATTCCCAAAGCAAGTCCCCTTCCTGCCTGGCCATGTCTTCTCAGATCCCTTCAAAGAAAATCATCACAAAACTCAGCAATTTTCACACATCAACGGCACGGTGCAAGAGAAAACCAACTTCATCCACGAGGAATTCGATCCAAACCTAATGGATTCAATGAAATTCAATGCTCCTCCCAACCTGACCTATGGGAGCAGACAACCACCAGAAAATGATTACATTCCTCGCATCTAACCACCATGGTTGAAATATGATCGAGCTGTTTTACGTTTCTACGGTTACTTCCAAGAATCAGTCGTTGAAAACCCCAACGAGAACTTCAGAATCAGAAGAGTCATCATATACTACTATTTATCAGATGGAACAATACATGTGACAGAAGTACATTACATAATAATATCAATTTACAGCCCAGAGTACCCAATGCTGGAATCCCTCAAGGCTTATTTATCAAGAGACAGAAGATCACCAAAAAGTTGGGCAAGCAAGACTTCTACAAATGGGAGGATTTTCAATTATGTACAAATGTCAATTTTTACGAAAGAGTAATACATATTCAAATTTTATTAATCTAGGTTTTTAGAATTCAAGATTGTGACACTTACACCAGAGAATTCTATGAATACATGGGCAAACCATTGAATTTACCAGAACAAATGCCAAGAGACAACTTTGAAAACATAAGAGAAACTAAAGATCTTAAAATCAACCCACCCGACACCAAAGAATACAAGGAATATTTCGAAGTCAAATTAGGAGGAGGCCATCCCAATGGAGGACTCAATAAATATTTACAAAATGATAGGAAAGTCTTGTCTTTTGATATCATATGGGACGATGCCTCCATCGAAGGCTAACTTAATTATTACACATTAAACTATTACTTGGCTGATGATACATGTGAAGTCAAAGAAGTTAGAAAATAGAATTCAGGAAAAGACCCTTATCCTTTGATGTTGAGGAGACAAAAGATCCCCAAGGCTCCCATTCTCACTCATTATCCAGGAATGACTCTAAAGAAGGAAGAATTTTATAGTCCCCAAGATCTTATTTGTGGGAACACAGTTAAAATTTATGGAAGAGAATGCTTCATTTATGGATGTGATGATTTCACTAAGGAATATTACTTGAATGTTTTAGGAATCCAATAAAAGTAATGTATTCTTATCTATGCAAGGCCTGCCACATTAAAATAAGAGAGAGGCAAAAAGTTTTATTAGCCAGTTCCTCCCTATAATGGTTATGGTTATGAAGAGGATTCCTTGGGATCAGTCTATTCCTTGTAACCAAAACCACCTAAGAAGGATGTACGAAAGAACTTCACTTAAGATCAATTCATCCTCAGATTTGAAGCTAGACAGATCAGCGAAGTCAGAGAGGAGAATTCCAGAAGATTCATAATATCCTTCTACTGCGGGGATGATACTGTCTAGGTGTACCAAACATCTGAAAGGAACAGTGGTATTTGGGTATTCTAATATGATTATTATCAAAGGGTGGCAAATTCCAAGAGAGATCCAGATAAAAGAACCCATTAACCAATGATTATTATACTGAGAGGGTACTTATTTTTGCGATTAATCTAAGGATTTCTAATTGGGAGGCATCGTTTAATTCAACGTCTACAAATTCTAATTGATGAGAGCAGATGAGTTCACCATTAATTACATGAGACAGAAACCAGACGTTTTCAAGGAGGCTGACATCTCCTAAATCATCGCCAAATTAAGGTTATTTGCCGATGGATATCCCAATTTCGATAGTTTCTTGTTGGACTTGATGAAGTATTAATGGCCACATATATGAATATAGGAAGTTGGATAAATAACTTAAAGGATACATTGACTTTGAAGAGCTATCTTAAGGGTTATTGGAGTTAGGATTTAATTTGACTTTGCAGGAGCAATATTTCTTGATGAGAGAATTTGATAGGAATGGAGAGTGGAAATTGTGTATGCAATCATTGTGGGAATCATTGGGAGGCAAAAGAGCTTGATCGATTTATTATATAAACAGATACATTTATTACATAAAACAAAAAAATAATGATCAAAAAGAGAAGTTCATTGAATATCATGGAGTTGCCAACCAGACCTGCTTCTGGTAGCACTAACCCTGTAAGTGGCATGATTATTTGATAGGACGCACCATCTCCATTAAAATTCATAAGGAAACTGACAAGGCAAGCCTCTACAGTGAATGGATCATCTACGAAAATTTAGACTTGCATTTCATCTGTTCCTAATAAAACCCAGGAGGTGATCCAACAATGCATAGCCATGGTCGAATAACTGAGACAATAGCATCAGGAAAGGTAGGCTAGTAGATTCTTTCATATCCGGTCATGTTCTATGCCTTGCGATCGAGTTTCGATTATCAACTCGTTGATTGATACAATTTTGCCTCAATCTCCGAGGAAACCACAAAGATCATTAGAGTAGGCTTGTGTATTGTTATTCTTAGAGGAGAGATTCAATCAGTCATGCAATAGTTGATAGAGGAGAAGCAATGCAAATAGAGGGCGATTGATCAGAGGGATAGTCTGGCCAAAAGATAGGATTATTCCATATAGTAATTAGTAAGATTTTATAGATATGCTTTAAGAAATCTCGAATTGAGCAATATTAAAAGATAAATTGAGTATATAAAAAATCATGAATCTCAAAAATGCTTTTTATTGTTCTCATGTATTATAAATTAAATCTGATGTCAAAATATAATTGCACTATAATATTCCATATTTTAAACTATTTTAATGAGCACTTGATTGCATAAACAATTACACAAGTGAATCACTCTTCAATCTGTAGTAAAATTAGTTTCAAAGGCCATATTCATAATATTAATATAAATTATATTTATTAACATGGGTAATATGTGTTATCGAGATTATGATGAGGAGAAATTGTTGGGAGGACAGGAAATCAAGAAACCGGAATCTGTGTAAGGATCAATTATGAAACCGAAACGTAAATTAATTTTAAGATCATGGAGCTAGTGGAGATGGTTAGACAAGCGAAGTGGTAAATTAGAATTAAACTGAAATGACCGATGATCCTGAATTGCAAGTGGAAAAGGATGAATTTTACAAATTGTCCAATGTATGAGATAGCTTTAGCAATTTTAGGAAAATACAAGGCAATTGGATATAGCATCTAAAACAAATGAGAGTGAAGGGCAGGGCTAATAAACTCAGAAGGTAAACATAGACAGTTTCAGATTGTTGAAAGTCTTGGGAAAGGGATCATTTGGGAAAGTTATGTTAGTGCAATATAAATCGAATTGTAATGAGTATTTTAGAGTTAGCAAAATATTATGCAATGAAGGTGTTACAAAAGAAGAATATCAAGAATGAGAGATAAAAACGTCATACAGAGACTGAGAGAATCATTTTGGCAACATGTTCTAGTATCTTTTTAGTAAGATTGAGATATGCATTTTAATCATAATATAAATTGTATCTTGTTGTAGACTATATGCCAGGTGGAGAACTATTTTACCATTTAAGAAAAGTGGGAAGATTCAAGGAGGAAGTGGCTAAGTTTTATGCAGCTGAAATACTTTTGGGATTACAATATTTACATGAAAACCATATCATCTATAGAGATCTTAAACCAGAAAACATATTGCTTGATGAAAATGGTCACATCAAATTGACTGACTTTGGTCTTTCCAAAATTATGATGGAGGAAGATGAAACTGCATTCAGCTTATGTGGAACTCCTGAATATTTAGCCCCTGAGATCCTGACTACAAGTACTATTTCTTCTCATTCTTAGAAACCGGCTATGATAAAACCTGTGATTGGTGGAGTTTTGGAGCCTTGTTGTATGAGATGCTTGTGGGAGCCCCCCCTCATTACAAAGAGAATAAGAAGGAAATGATTCGAAGGATATTGACATAACCTATTCCCTATCCTTAATATCTTTCTGAAAATGCTCGATCTTTGTTGGAGTAATTGTTGGTCGTAGATGTAAATCACATCTTGTTACATTATTTTAGCCGAAAAAAAGATTGGGATATGAAAATGATGGATATGATATCATGAAACATGATTTCTTTGGAGGCATTGATTTGACTGAAATCATTTAACATAGAGTATTCATAATATCACATTTAGATCCAACCACCATACAAATTCGACAAAAAGGAATTGAAGTATTTTGACGAGGGAATGACTAAATAAATTGCTAAAGACACTCCTGTTAATGGTACTTTGTTACCAAACTAAAATTTTTCAAATTTCACATATCAACCCAGCATGCAACAAGGTGCTAATATGAAAAAATGAAGAACGAAAGGAATGTAATATTTTGTATCAAACCCATTAAATAAATTAATCAATTTTAGTTTATCAATGATAGCACGCTTGTCTTCAACATTCTTAAAAAACTTAAGACAAGCTATTTGCTATGTCCCAGATACCGAAACCACATTGAATGATAAAGTCTTCTATTTTGAATAAGTAATACTAAACTCAAATCTTAGAATAAAGTTTAAGCAATACCTGTTAAGTCTCTACTCAAAGAATATTTACTGTTGGAAACTGAATATGTTGAGGAAGCTAGTCAAACAGAATAGGACTCCAATGAAAACTAAGAATAATAGGAGGAATATTCTGATGATGAAAATAATGGAGATGACTAGGGACCTTCCGGTGGAAGAATGATGCCCGTAATTGAACTAATTAAAGGATTTATTCCTAGAGTTGTTGGTGCAATTTGAGCATTTTAAATTCAAAATTTACACGCAATTATATAATTAAAATTCATATATATATATCAGAATACATAATCATTAATTGCTCATATGACTTAATAATATAGTTATTGATAAATAAACAATATTATAAGATTTATTTTATTGATAATGCATTTATATATACTCTTATACTACGTTTAAACGAAATAAACAAGTATTTATCCTTAGAATCTTATTTTATTTTTTTTTATAAAATAAATAATCAAGGGTTTGTAGTCCTCAAAATATAAAATGAATTCATATTTTTAATCTACTGCTCTTCGTAAATCATTATATTCAATACTAACCTAGTTTAATTATTAGTATTTGTAGAGCAGATCAGAAAGTATTAATTAATTTATTCTAAAATTTAAGAGTAGAAGTTTAATTTTTTGTATTATGTAAAGTAAATCTGTATTAAATTGTTTGAGAGAAGTATGTTATGCTAAAACATGATCAATAAATTACGATATTTCTAGATTTAGATTAATAGATTGTTAATTATTATGAATAGAACAAATAAATATAAAAATATTAATTGATATGATGAGTGATGATAAAATGGTTATAAGAAGAAGATCCCATTAGAAGTAAGAACTAACGAATCTTCAAAGAAGCGAATTAATATCGTTTAATAATTACACTTCGGATGAATTATATGAAAAACAAAAAACTTAAGGAGTTAGCCCAGTTAACATTAGAATTAATAAACACTAATTAGCATTACCAAAAATAAAACATTCTTCAAACATTAAAACTAACAAATACATAGGAGAATATAATAATATGCTTGGAATTTTAACTAGTAAACATAAAATTCCGCATCGAAATAATAGCTCAAATAGAAGTGCCTGTTACAATCATAATCATGATATTTTTATAGAGAGATAAAACTTTGTGATTAACTAATTTTTTAGGCCAAAGAAATTGGGATCCTGCAGATGAGCTTTATTTAATTTTGATTAACTCCTTTTCTTACAAGTTGAATTTAATAATTAATGTAGTAAATATCATTTTTTCTTCATCACCAGTTCCGACCTTTTAACTGCTCTCAAATAAGTATATTAGAGGGCAACCTCTTACTTTTTAGAGAGCTTATCGTTCTGCTTTTAATAATAATTATTTTATGGAACAATTTTATTGTTTTAATCCAATACACTTCTCTAATCCTTCTATGAAGATCGACAAGGATTTGGCTATTCAATTTTATAATCGTGTCTATGTTTGATTGTATCAACATAGAACCAATTGACATCTGATGGTAGTGTTTTTTCTTTATTGTAATTTAGATTCACTTCATAGATATCATTCTAATCAACATGTGAACTCTTATTATCCATTATTCTTCTTTTCTAAGGAGATACCGTCTCTGACTGCCCTTATTATTATTTTATTGGCGAACGAGTAATTTTTATTTCCTATCCATAAATATCTGAAATCTTTCTGCTTAATGGATCCCTTATATTTTCCTTAGGTTGAAATGTACTCAAACTCTTTCTCAGATCCCTCTTCTAATATGAATTATCTTGTGGATAGAAATGCTCATTTGAGTGATCTGGGATTTTGTGTCTGTTAGGAGTTTTATTCAAAGGAGTACTCTTAACAATACACGAGCTTTGAATATGATCATGTGTAGTGAATGTTCTTTTGCCTCTATTTTGGATTTTACAAACAGCATTCCCTGTAATGGGATTGTTTTTTATGTGTGATTACATTATATTAATTCTAATATTCTTATTATCTCTACTAAATTATGATATCATTAACTTAAACAGAAGTCTAGGTAATTCAATTGATGATTTTTATAAGATGCCACAAGAACCAACACAATCAAAGCAAAAAAGGAAGAAAACTAAGTAAACCAAAAAATCAGTCTAATGGTCAGAGGATACGATTGATAACGAAAATGCAGGAAAATTAAAATTTAATGGTAACAAATGTATAAACTTTTAGTTTGCAGAGCACAGTTTACCCATAAATTAGACGAAAATGAGAAATCTGACACATGCACAAGTGATGACGAATCAAATGCCATAGAAAGAGACAAAAAATCAAAGCAGAGACACAAATTAAAATGTTCTAAACTTAAGCAAAAGGACAATTCATGAGAAATGATATAAAATTAATCAGAATTGTTATTCAATCTTTGCAATGATGTCCATCCATTTTATAATATTTTTATAATAATTCTCACACATTTTATTAAGAATCAAATTCCAATTGTTTGATGACTCAATATAAGTAAAATAAAGATTGATAGCATTTCTTTCATAACTCTATTTTTTAAACATATCCAAAGGATATATCATAAATATCAGATAAACCATTACATTAATTTTGAGTACTATGATATTTCAAGCAGTTTTGAGACCATTAGATCTGATATACTTTTTGATATATTTATTCAAAATATCAACAACTACTTATTAATATCAAACTGAAAAAAGTAAATTAATTGAATTAAGAATAGTGCATAATCACACGATATCAATTAAATAAATTTGTCAAATAGAATATTAAGTTCGTTCAAATCATAATTAATCTAAAAAATATTTTCAAAATAATATTTGTTAAAATATCTCTATGAGCAAAATAAATTGATTCGAAAGCAAATAAGTAATTTAAGATTTATTGTTCCAGCCAAAGAGAGCATGATACAATTATAAATTATGGATTACTTATATTATAAAAAGAAACATTTTTTCATCTTGGTCTATTTTCCAAACATGATAAGGTTTTTTTTTTTTCCTGAATTTTTGTTACCATTTATTTGAAAGATTATTATATTTCTTTATTTAATTTCTATTATTTATAGATTATAAATTATAATATAATTTGAAAATGGATGCTTAAATTTAGGTTTCATCAGACGACTTTGAAGTAAGCCAAGCTTAAAAGAATAGCAATCATATAGAAGATTCAGATAGTATGTATGAATTTGCTGAAAAAAAAAAAGGTATTTAAATTATTATTATAAAGGTCGTAAAGGAAGAGGTAAAAAAAAAGAATAACAACCAAATATGAAGAAGGCAATCAACAAAAAAGATTATGTTAAGAATAATAAGTAATAACCACAAAGCAAAAACATTGCAGGTAAGAGGGAGCATACGATTAAAAATAATAATTTTGCTGTGTAATTTGCCGAGGTTTTTGATGAAGAGTTTTTACAATATGAGAAAGTAAAGAATGGGACAAATTAAAATATTCTATAGGAAAACTTTGTCAACAAAGTTTAAGAGGAAAATCAATTCAATCAAATTGAATCAGAGAAAAATCAGTTTAATTTTATTTAATAACCAGAAGAAGAGCAAATACAAGCCAATGAGGTTTAACAAAACTGGTTTCCCACTTACCTTGATAATAAAGGAAACTATAAATATCTCAGGAGGGCTTTGTCAAGGGAAAATCAACATTAGCAGCTCTTCTTTAAACGATTTTTAAATTCCCTATAAATGACACAAGAGGAATATGATAATATAAAGTAATCATTTCCAGAAATACCTTCTGAGTACCTACCTTAGCTGATTTTGGAATAGAGTTCAATCAATAAAGTATTTTAAAAAAGGCTACCTTAATAACAATAATAGTAATAATAAATCAATTAAAATTAATAATAATAGTAGGATTAGGGAAATTAATTATTTCAGAACTAACAGTAGCTCTAAGGAAATTAATTAAATTTTATTGAAACTGAGTTTAAGCATAACCCAAATTTGTCAGATGACAATTTAGAGTGTGCTATTTGTGCTTAAACATACTTGGACGGAGATAAGTTGGCAATATTACTTTGCATCCACAGATTCCATTTAACTTGCTTTACTAGTTGGTTGAAAAGGTCTAAATAGTGTCCTATTTGTCATCATGGTTGATTTGCTTTATTCATTTAAAATTAAAATGCCTTTTTCTCAAGTATTTTTTGAATTATTTTATTAATATTATTGAAAAAGTATAAATTGAAATTCTATAGTAGTATAATTAATAATCTATTTAACTGCCTTAAGAATATCGAAGTCTTAAGTCATAAAATTATGTTATGATTTTTAATTAGAAGTTTTAATAATCATAGTCAAATTTCGATTTTAATGTTAGCGTTTCAATTTATTTTGGTTATCAACTAAAACAGAGATAAAATTATTTACTTAATAATTTACCGATTGTTTAATATTAAAATACAAAAATATTAATTCTAATTCATAAATAGATGAATGAACTTCGAAAATGCATGATGGATATATATCTAATATTAAATTTTCCTATCAATAAGTATCGAAATTGCAATGTTATTTTATTTTGAATATTAATCATAATATGAATTCTGAAGAAATTGTTTTCAAAATTTCGATTAAAAACATAATTATTTTTTATTTATAAATGAAATAGAGCATCGATCCTAGTGATAGTGCAAATTAAATCACTTAGCTTTGTCTAGTTTACTCTCCGGAACCATAAACTAAGACATTGCTTAGTCCTAAGGATTTTAGAATACGGAAACCAGCTCCTTTAGTCCTAAAACCTATGTTATGTGATCAATAGGAGGACTCTTAAAAGGCAGTGGGATGTGAATACAATTTTAAAGACTTGAGATTGGGAAAGAAGATTGGTAGTGGAGCATTTGGAGATGTTTTTGTAGGATTCATTCAAGGTAAATTTATTGCAGTAAAATAAATGGATGGTAAGTAATTAATAGAATCAGTGGATAATGAGATTATAATTCTATCGAAATTGACTCATAAAAACATTGTATAATATTATGGATACATGAGAGAGGCAGGGATGCTAAATGTTTATTTGGAATACATGGATGGTAATAGTAAACACATTAAAAATAGGTGGCAGTTTGTCTGATAGATTAAAATAGTTTGGAAAGTTTAATGAAACTTTGATAAGAAAATTTACAATTCAAATTTTGGATGGATTAATTTATTTGCATCGTCAGGCAGTTGTGCATAGAGATTTAAAATGTGGGAACATTCTTTCAAATTAGAGAGGGTAAATAAAGATAGCTGACTTTGGATCATCGTCATGGAAGGAAGCCATCAATTTGTCAGATACTGAATTTTGTTAGTCTATGAAAGGGTATTATTCAGTAAAATTGTAGTTCTTTTAAATGGATGGCTCCAGAACTGCTTTTGAAGGAGAAGAAATATGGGAGAAGAGTCGATGTATGGAGTTTGGGATGCGTGATAATAGAGATGGCAACAGCAGAACATCCATGGTACATACGCATTTTGTATTGAGATTAGGCCAAATATAAAATCTTTAGCTTAGTTGTTAGAGGCGATTTAGAATTTGAAATGTCCACCAATACCCACTCATCTCTCGAAAGAATGCTAAAACTTTATAAAAAGATGTTGTACTTATAATAAAGACCAAAGACCACATGCCGAAATATTAAAGGAAGATCCTTGGATAAAAAAGGAAATTTGAATATTTTCTAATGATAACTTAAATTCTCATTATAAATTCGTGTAATGATGAGAAGTTTATCTTAATTTTATTTAAATTTGAAGCATTGAGAAAGTCAATGAGATATAAGGAAAATTTATCTAAATTTAAATAATGTAATAATAAATGGAACCAACATTAAAGAATATTCTAGAGAATCCATCTCTAAAGTGGATTTTTGTTGGAGGAAAAGGAGGTGTGGGAAAAACAACCACTTCAAGTTCTTTAGCCACTTTATTTGCCAAGAGTGGCAAGAAAGTATGATTAGAAATTAAGTGTAGACAATAATCATCTCAACTGATCCTGCTCATAATCTGAGTGATTGTTTTGATTAGAAAATAGGAGGGCAACCTACATTAATTAAAGGAATTGACAATTTAAGTGCAATGGAGATTGATCCTACTGTAGATCCAGATAAACTCAAATTGCCAACTCTCTAAGGATTTATGAATGACTAGGCTACAAAGTCTTTGCTATCTGAATTAATCAGTTCAGTACCAGGAATCGATGAAGCAATGAGTTTTGCTGAATTGATGAAGTAATTGGTCATTGATAATATAGTTCTGTTGATGAAATGAAATACGATTTGATTATATTCGATACAGCACCCACTGGGCATACATTGAGATTACTCAATTTTCCCAATATCATGGAGAAGGGATTGAATAAGTTGGTGCAATTGAGATACAATTTCTAAAACTTGGCTTCCTAATTTTAAGGACTATTTGGATCCCAAGAGGAATTTGATTAATAAATGAATCAAATGTTTAGTAAGATTGAGACAATGAAGGACACTGTCACTAAGGTCAATGCATAAATGAAGGATAAGGTATACATCATTCATATAAGAAAGAATAAAACAACTTTCATTGGTGTTTGCATTCCAGAGTTCCTTTCTATGTATGAAACTGAAAGGCTTGTGTAAGAACTAACAAAATTCAAAATAGACATTCATAACATAGTTATAAATTAAGTGCTATTTCCAGGTATAATATTTTGTAATGTCCAATTTAGATGATCAATGCAAAATGTGTAATGCCAGAGCTAGAATGCAAAAGAAATACTTAGATCAAATGATCGATTTATATGATGATTTTCATGTTGTTATTATGCCACTCTAAGAAAATGAAGTCAGAGGGATTGATGGTCTCAAACAATTTTGTGAACTATTGTTAAAGCCTAAAAGTGTGCCATAAGTTTGATTAAGGGGTTATTTAATATATATTTAATAATAAAAAATGCAATAGAACTCATCTTAAACGGCTATCCAAACATAATAAAGCAAAAGCTTTGTAAGGGAATCCAAATATGTAACCAAAGTTGATGCTAAGTTGGTTGAAATTCCAGACAATGATGAATTCGAGAAAATAGTGGAATTTAGCAAGGAACGTGAATATGGTCTTTGTATAATTTAATGAATCATTCATTATTTTTATTCTAAAGATTCAACTATATCCATAGATTAGATCTCTGCCTTAGTATTGGGCTTCTAATTTTCAAATGATTAAATGCTTAATAAATATATGAGGTTTCCTTCTTATAATTAAATATGCAATAAAAAATGTAACAAATCGAAACAGCACAATCAATGTAAAATTTGATATGAAAATTTAATACTGCTTTTGTGGCAAGATACTCTATGGAAATGTCAAGATATTCTTTGGATGAATTATTTTTATATTGTAAAATCTACTTTATCATTAAAATCGTTGATTTACAGTAGTTATTATCATAATAATAAATAGAAGGTTGATAATTAGTGTGTAAATTATTAATTTTGATATCATTAATTATGCTGAAGTAGTTACTCATATATAATTAAACAAACACACAAATGCAATATTTTTAATTCCAATCAAAATGAAACTTTTATTTTATTTATTCTTCTAAAAATTAAAGACCCTTTACTATTATTATTATTATTATTAATCATATCTTTATTATTATTCCAATTCATAGATTGTTTAATTCAATATTTTGAAAATTTAAATTATTGAATATTCCAGTCCACACTCAAGTTACCCTTAAATGTGATCTTTAAAATGAGGCTATTATTTTTAATTAGTATATGAGACAAAATTGTCTTTGGATATTGGGCTATCGGAGGACTTACTTAACCATATATATATATAATCACTATTTATAGTGAGATTACAATATGAGGAAAAGAGATCTTATAAACCTGAAGAATGGTTTGCTGATGTCACATCTGTTCCACTCAATTAGCATGTTCTGTGAACTTGCCTAATAATAAGGATAGAGATTAATTTGGTTTTAAAAGCCAAGTACTATAATGTCTATTTGGTTTATCAAGCTAATAAAACCAGGATTATTGGGGTCAAAATCCAAAGTAATAAGTAACTCTGGCATCTATAAGAGCTGCTCTCCAAGGCTTAATCAAAAGTCTGATTGCATTATTTACTATTCCAGAGGACCATTTTGAGGCAAAGAAGGAGAACTTCTTCAATCAAGAAGTGTTCTGGATAGCTGAGAAGCTTAGTAAAGTGCTGGAGAACCGAAATAGGGCTGTAGGTGAAAATTGACATGTATTGATTTTCAATTATTTGAAGCGGAGGAAATTTTAAGAATTTAAAAACCAGAAGCGTTTGCAACTCTTGTGGGGTTAAAGAAGGACAATGAAAACTTTGCTAATTTAGCCGCAATTAAGAAATATCGATTTTCAGATAAGATGATAGCTCGTCCATTCTATCCACATGGAATGAATAGATGGGGTTGGGTAGATATATTTATATTATTTTACATATATATGGATATTTGTTTAGTTTTATGAAAATTGTATTGTTATTTTAAACTATATTCCATTTTATTATTAATAATTATAATGAATAATATGGAATAGTGAAACATTATTGATGCATACTGATTTAATAATATATGGAAAATCGTTAAAATAAGGAACATATAAACATTTAAACAACATTCAGTCCTATTTTGTCAATAGATGTTAAATAGAAACGAAGAAATAAGTTATTGTATTTCTAAGATGAAAAGTGAGAATGGTTTTTCTAATTTCACACTTTTGGGCACTTGCCGTTCTATAGAATCGAAACCATTTTATTAGAATTTAATCGGTTGGATGATTCCCTTCATGTTAGTCTCTCCTTCTTTTTGAATAACTTCGATCATATCGCAGAAGGATTCCTTGATCTAATAATATTGATATATAATCATACAGGTTTCTTGTATCTGTAGGACATTCTATCTTTCAGCCATTCAGAATTTGAAATGGAAGTGTCCTCCTTTAGATTGTATTTGTTGTTGGGAGAGCAGAATACCTAAGTTAATCGCACAAATCAATTACAGTAGCTTTCATATCGAAATAACGAGATATGAGCACAATTTCAATGTCACACAAAATTTGGGTACCTTCAATGATTCTGTTTTTTTGAGGCATATTCTATGGTTTGAGTTGCTCATTTAAAATGAATGATGCGAAATGATTCTAAGTAGTTTGTGGTTGAACATTTCTCATAACATCCTCTGCATTAATGAAGGGTGTAGATGCTCCAAATTAAAAACTTGGAATGGACATCCCAGGTCCGAGATGTCCCATTTGTAAACTATCTGTTTATTTCAATATTTATGGGAAAGATTCACCTACATTATCTAAGCTATTTTACTTGAATTTCGGACTTGTAATGTTGGGGGTTGATTCATAAAATCTTAAACAACTGGGATGTAACAATTGTAGACGAAGAATGTGCTGCTGGGAGCTTGATTCAATTGAGGAACCAATTAATCCTATTTAATCTCCTTGTTGACTTCTGATAACATTGATTTATTTCTTAAATATAAATGAATTAAATTTTAAAGTATTCTAATTATATAGACAATATTTTAAAAATAATTTTTCGGAGTACAACAGTAAGAATCAGAATGATTCCATATACACTCAAATAATCGAGAGTGGTGGTCACGATTGCCATTAATCCAAATTAGAATAGTAGCCATTCCCATTGTCCACTTCTATATGTTTGTGATGATAGGATCTAAATTCTATAATGAGATGAAGTAATATAAAATTGTCATATTAATTATAAATTTTATAATTTAAATAATTAAACATATGAATAAGATATTGGATGCAATCGAAATTCCACTCAAAACAATGATTCAGTCTATGATAATATACTGTAAAAATAATATTTAATATCATGCAACTACTTTTTCCCTTTTTTTAGTATCCAAGTATTCCTTAAAATTTGATTTAGGTGGAAAAGGTCGTTCACCTAAAATAGTAATAAGATCATTCAGATCAAGAGTCTCCTTGACTAATAACTGCTCAGACAATTTCTAGATTTGTTGATGATATTTTTAAATAATTTCCTCAGTTCTTTTGGTACACTACAAAACGATTTCTCTGACTTCATCATCAATAACCTTGCTGGTCTCATCACTAAACGAATTGACATTCTCATCCCTAAAGCCTTAATTGCCAATCTTCTCACTCATCCCATACTTGGTCACAATGTTATAAGCCAAATTCTTGACTTTTTGTAAATCATCATAAGCCCCAGTGGTTACTCTTTAAAAGAAGTGTTTCTCACTGCATCTACCACCCAAGATGCAACATATTTTGTCTAGTAATTCCTACTTGGTGAAAAGAGCACTTTCATTAGGTAAATACTACGCATAACCCAGAGACCCTTTGGAACGCGGAATGATGGTTAACTATAGAAATAATATGATAGTAATTACTTTTAATAAAGGATCTCCACCCTCTAAGAACCAACTCACAGCAGCATGTCCACTTTCATGATATGCAACTACCTTTCGTTCTTCTTCAGAGATGATTCTTTTCTTCTCAATGCCAGCCATGACTCTCTCCGCAGCCATCTCAAAATCATGTGCATCTACATGTTATTTGGATTATCTAGCTGCTAATATTGCAGCTTCATTGCATAAATTGGCTATTTCAGCTCCACTGAATCCAGGAGTGAGAGTGGCCAATCTGTTTGCATATTCTTCAACAGTTTTGGATGGATCCAAATTCAAAGGTTTAAGATGAACCAAAAAGATTTATTTCCTGCCATTGATATCTGGCAAGGTGACTTCTATGAATCTGTCCAATCTGCCTGGTCTTGTTAATGCAGAATCTAATTGATCAGCCATATTAGTTGCAGCCAAAACAATTACATTATGATCCGTAGCAAATCCATCCATTTCAACCAACAATTGATTCAGAGTGTTTTCAGATTCATCATTACCAAATTTCGCTTGTCTTTTCTTTCCAATTGCATCTATTTCATCAATAAAAATAATGGAAGGACTCTTTTATTTAGCCTATTCAAACAGATCCCTAACTCTACTTGCACCCAATCCTACAAACATTTCTACAAACTCTGAACCACTTACATAAAAGAATGGCACTCCAGCTTCTCCAGCACATGCCTTTGCTAACATTGTCTTACCTGTTCCTGGAGGTCCTGTCAATAAAGCTCCTCTTGGTATTTTAGCACCCAATTGCTTAAACTTTTTACTATTTGTTAAGAAATCAACGAACTCCTTTATCTCTACCTTCACTTCATCCAATCCTGCTACATCTGTGAATTTGACTTTCACATTCTATTCCATCTAAAATTGCTTATGATTCTACTTGAACATTCCCATCATTCCTCCAGGTCCTTTTTCTCGAAATAGTCTCAAAAATCTAATCACATTGTAAGAAATGAATATCACGAAACCAAGGGGGACTATGTCCAAGACTCTGTCCAATAAGTATGAGTTGGAGTTCTCTTTGAATGATACCTTTATGAGGTTTTCAGGTTCCACATTTGCCTTCAATTGCAAATATTCTAGATTTTCTAAGAACGTGTCAGGATTAGCTAATTTTAACTTGTATTTTCCTTTTTCTGAAGTGATATGAGCATATATGGCTTCGGAATCGGCGGATGGCTTGATTTCTATTGATTTTGTAGTAGGATAGATCTGATTCACGAATTGAGTGATGTTGATTCGAGTTTCTCTGCCGGGCAAAACATAATCAATCAAGTAATAGCCCATCAATGCACCTGATATGGTGAAAAGCAATCTGCTTTGATTATCTTAATCTTCAGGTTGATTCTGCTGTTGCTGTTGTTTCTTCCATTTTGATTGTGAACTGAAGTCTTTATTGTTTTTGTTGGATGTTTGCGATTCCTATCTCTCTTGCTCCTGTTGCTGCTCCTCCTTCGCCTCCTTCTCCAACCCAGTTCTTCCTTATTCTTCTTCAACTCTTGGTCTCTCAAAATTTTCAAACCCTTTGGGAGGCTTCCTGTTTCCAAAGAAAAACTTCGGAGTTCTTTGAATGATTCTTAATATTCGATTTTGAAGCATAAATAAAAATAATTCAATTTATTAATCGTTTAAACTCCCCTAATTATACCAATTTCCCTAACAGAGCTTCTTAATTATCGGAATTACCACCCTCAGGATATTGCATGTACTGTAGTGTTTGTTAGGAATTTAAATTGATGGAAATATAAATATATATTAATTTACAAAATATGATCTCAGACATCTTTATTGAATTTGAGTAAAGTTATAATGTCGATCAGAATTAGGCAGATCAAAATCACAGTCATTTAGATGATTCTCACAAAAAAAGTACTGGTGGACCTGCTCGATTTACTCAAAAAGTAGATCCTTTGGATGAAGGGGATAACCCTATCCAATCACCTTCAATTGGAAGTTAAATCATTGAAAACCCTTTGTCATCAAGATAGGATAAACCTTTAGAACTTTAAAAATTGTAGATGTCCCATCAAGATGCCATAATCGAGGAAAACCCCTTGGTTTTAACATCAAAACTCGAAATAAATAGAGAATCAAATGATACTAAACTCAAGAACACAGCCCAAATAAATAATCCTTCCTAGATTAACAATTTCTTGAAATTGGTAATTGCTAAAAGCTCGTTCAATAGATTTATCGAGAATTTATTATAAAAGTCATATGTGAAGAAATCTCATCATTTTAGTGATTACCAAAAAACTTTGATGGATGATCTTAGATATTTATATTCACACAAAAGAGTCAAAAAAAATTGCCTATAAAAAATATGTAAACGTCTGAAATTTTTCCCCATATTAGATCAAAGCAGCAATCTTGTCATAGCATGGCAAATTCTGCACATTCTAACCACAATAATGGTGTTTTTTTGGACTCCTTTTAACATTTCATTTGGTGTAACCTATTAATAAAAAGTGTTTGGGGAACTGACAGTAAAAAGTGTTGAAAATTTTTTCCTCTTCAGCATCCTGATTGACAGTTTTATTGTCATTAATACTTCCATTATTGAAAAAGGAGTGATTATTCGATCGAGAAGGAAGATTTTTATAAATTACCTAAATAGTTAGGGAATTTACGATTTGGTATAACATTGTAATCTATAAAAGTTGTCATTCGTAGCACTACTTGTTGGGATCTAGAATGATACAGACAGTTCTCATGATAAATTGGGATGGCAAATATGTCCATATTTAATTTATTATTGTAGCAGATAATTTAAGCTTTAGGATAGAGTTCGTAAATTAGAAGAGTATAAATATAATATTTAAATTAGATTCTTTAATTTTACAGGTTTATATTAAGATTTCATAGAATTGATTAAATTGTTATTCATGGTGATTTATGTAGGACATCTCTTTGCTTGTTTGTGGCATGGGGTTGCATTTTATTAGTAGGGTCATCGTTAAACATGGATAGACACCTATGTTTAAGATCCTGATATGTTCCAAAAATATAATTATGCAATTTATTGGGCTGTTTAAACTATGATTACTGTTGGATACGGTGATTTGACACCTTAGAATCAAGCAGAGAGAATTTGTGCAAATTTTAGTATGTTTTTGGCTTGCGGAGTTTTTGCCTTTTCTTTTAATTCAATAGGTTTGATGCTCACCAATCTAAATTCTAGATAAGTTCTATATAAGAAAAGTGTAAATCTATTGAATTAATATTTAATAAAAAATCAAATTCAGACTGAGTTGTAACAACGTATTCGCAATTATTATGATTATATATTCGCAGAGGAGCAGGAAATAAATGATGAAGAGATTTAACAGATTAAATCAAAGTTATCAAATAGTTTATTGGAGGAACTGAATTTTGAGATTAGACACAATGTAATGAAGACAAATACCTTACTAGCCAAATTCTCTTAGAAAACCCTAAAATTACTATCTTTGGTGATGGAAGAAGTAAGATTTTCACCTGAGGATTAAATTATTGTGTAAGATACAATTGATGATGCAGCTATGTACATGATAACTAAAGGAACTATTTCCATCTAATTTTAGGATCTCAATGAAGAGAGTAATTGTAGAGAGTTATCGTATTTAAGCAAAGGAGATTCTTTTGGAGAATACGCTTTCTTTACAGGAATGCCTAGAACTGCATCTGCCAAAAGTGTAGGCTTTTCTAGAGCATACAAGATTTCAAGGTTGCACCTATTGAATGTTTTGGCATAATTCCCATTAGACATGGTATTTTTATAGAGAATTTAAGTTAGGAAAAGTTTTGTGAAGTGAAAGATAGCATTCTGGAGAGTAACAATTATCAACCTGCTAAGTTGAGTTGCTATTCATGTAGCAAATTTACTCATCTCATCAAGGATTGTCCTGTTTTACATTATGTTGCTGATCAAGAGAGGGTACTTAAGAAAGAGAATTTTCCATTTCAATAAGAAAGGAATTGCAAGTATTAAAGAAAAAGTAGAAAGAAGTATCATGCACTTAGAGAGTCTAAAACAAATTATAAAATTGTGAAAGATTTTCAAACCAATTATGCATTAGATAATGTATCTTGTGAGGATGAGGAATTTGAAGACTCTCAAAGTGAATTAGCTGTCTCTCCCTAGGAGTATTGTAACAAACATTACTGATATTAGCCTCATAAACTAAGAGTCTCTCTAGATTGTCTAGACAACAGTCTCAAAATAGGAGTCAATCATAAGACAACCATCTTCAACCGATTTAAGAAAGTGATAGTTCAAAAGATAGTGGAGGTGTGCAAAATACAAGAGTGAAATAATCCAAATAAAAAAATCAAACTGCTGGCTTCTTTGTTTCAGATTCAATTAATAATAAGTTGGCTTCCATCAAAGAAGAATAACTAACTGATTCAATATAAGATAGATAACAGTAATCGTCCATCAATATCTCAATATCTAATCTTCAGAAATTAGAAGATTTCAGATTTTCCTAAATCAATGATCAACATTAGTTAGCAAGTAATGAGAATCAGAAATAATTTCATTAAAGAAATAGTTAACTAAAGAAACAAAAGAAGTTTGATTCTCAAAATAACATTCAATCTTAAACTTAATTAGAACTTAGAGATAGAGGTCAATCATTTTCTAATCAAATTAGGAAATGCCGATTGTCAAAGGACATGAGAGAAACCTCATAAGAGTTTTAGTTTCCAGATAAAAGAGATTTATTCAAAAAGAAGTCCTCAAAAACAAATCTAACAAAAACTACCAAAACGTTAAGGACTTTAAAGATCCAAGATAATCCCTCCCAGACTCAAAATTAAGAAATGTCTGCTCCTGTTTTCGATTGCTCATGTCCTTCTTAATCTATGGAGTTGGAAAATTTTGAATAGATGAAAAACTTTCGGTTTTATTTTAGTTGGAACAACCCTTGCGTGGTGGTACCCAGAGCCTTGAGGATTCTGAAGATGAATATAGACAAAAGGAAGAACTTTGGGAATAATTTCTCATCGTATACCTACAATAATTTGGCTATGAACAAGGCTCTCAGAATCAAACGAAAATTAAAATTAATGTAATTTAAAAAGTAATTCTATTAGCGATGATCCATTTTAAGATGAAATCAATACCAAGAAATCCAAGCATGCATCCAGAATTCCACGGTAAACGAGGATTGGGAATAAGAGAAACACTTAATAATCAGATTTTGGTGGTTTGCATCCTGAAAAAGTATTCCATGGAACTCAGGTCTCTGTTCATAAGTCAAATCTTTATGAATTTAAAAACAATTGAATCAAATAGGCTCCATTTAGATTCTCCAGTAATGGCCAGAATTTATATATAATTATTTTATTACTCTAAATAATAAATTATATTAATATTTATACATTACTTAAAAAATGGGCTGTTGTGCCAGCGCTGCCAATGAAATCTCTGTCCCTGAAAATAATACGTAAGATAATCCCAGAGCATAACCAAAAAAATAGAAATAACAGATACAGCAGAATAATAATCAATTTGATTCAGAATAATAAATCAAAAATGAAAATTAAAAGCAAGGACACATAGAGTAGCAAAATTCTATTTCTTGTGTTCCCCAGCAATTATTACATAAGACAAGTTTATCAATGTAGAATTTACTAATATAACATTCTAGCCCTCAGAGTCAATAAAAATCGGTGTAGGAAAAGGAATTGAATATGTACAACCCGTGCATGAGTCGTGTAGACTATGCATCTGATTTAGATGATTAAGAATCAAGTAAAATTACTTTTCATAATTTAAGAGCCTGAAATAGTCTCAATACCACAAACCCAAATTAAATAGTTCTTAATTAGAATGAGATCACTCAAAAAATAATTTCAATAGAATTCTATTGATTAAATGAATATCATTGAAGAAGTAGAAGAATAAATTTACTCCAAAAAGTTAAAATTAGACTCCTTGAATGTAAACTAATTTTTTATAAATTAAAGGAAATTTGTTTAAAACACAATAAATCCTTAATAGAAGTCTTATCCTTAATGAATCAACAAAGCTTTTACCTAATTGAATTAATCCTCATTTACATCGATGATTATGAAATTATTCAACATGTCTTACTCAATCACTCTCTGCCAAACAAGTAGATTTAATAAGCCACTGCTATTCGACTCATTAACAAAATGAAGCCCTTGTTTAGTAGCAAAGAAAAAATAGAATAAACTGTGAAATTCATCTAATCAATAATGCTCTCTTCAGAGGAAGTTGTTCGCATTTTAAATCAGTTGTAATTTGTCAATATTGATTCATACATAGACATGAAGGATTATACCTAATTGAAACTATTTGGATTGATTAGTAAGCTCTTTTTATAAAGTGAACTCCCCTTGGCATTAAGTTTTATTAAGATATATAAGGAGGCTAAAATTAATTATCAATTTCAAAATTTAATCGTACCAAAATCCATACCATTAGGATAGAGTACTATCACACTTGTGAGTAAGGCCGTTTTGACCCATCTATAATTTAATATCTTCCATTAAATCGCACTTTAAAAAAAATGGGATACATTCTTGCAATATTCCAATGACTATTATTTGTCACCAAATATTTCATAAGTCACTCCCATGATGATGCTATTTTAAAATGCCCCATTTCATTACATAAATGAATATGTCACCCTATATCCACATTATTTGGAAAAATCATTGGATTTTTCAACAAAACAGGGCAAAAATTTAATCCATTGCTTCTGTTTAAATAAATCCCCAAGAACTAATAATGAAATCAAATCCATTATTGACAAACTGAATGAATATTAAGATTTGTTAAAGCCATTATTAATCTAACCCTATAATGAATAGATTCCTTTAGTTATATACTTGGATTCTCAGAAGGACCCTTAAGATTTTATCATTTAATTCTTAAGCTAGCATTTATAAAAGGAATTTGATTTCTATAAAATCTACTTAGAGGTCATGAATTCAGCAGCTGAAAGAAATCAGTTAGAGTGGAGGAGACAAAGGATAAATCCAAGTACTAAATATTTTTATTCAATTTAAAATAACAAAACTCCAAAGAGATTGAGAATCAATAAATATGAAGAACAGAATTATGAAAAATTTGATATAATATATTTTCAGTACATTTAAGTTGTAAAGCAATTAATAAAACATAAATTCAAAATAAATTTAAATTGGATTACTAATTTTGATGTGCACTCCACTCATTATCCATATGAATTCAATGGCATTGTGAGACCATTGCTCATTTAATTGGTTCAACTCAATTACTTTGATTTAGTCAACCAATAAGTTGAACTAATAAAACCTTATTATAAACAACAATTCGAGAATGAGAATGAAATCGATATTAAAGCGCAATTCATATCTAAATTGATCTAAATTATCAAATAATCATAAGATAGATCTCAATTAAGGCCTATCATTGAATTTATCAAAGAATCAATAAACTCAAATCCTGTATTGCTAAAAGTGCCTCTACATGGATACTTAGAAGCAAAATCAAAATGTAGGTTGTATTGCTTTGATTGTATTTATAACCAACTTGTAGAGTTGGATGATAAATCGTTTGATTAATGCTATAAAGCGTTATAATTATAGCAAAACGAACCAGAATGCTTACAAATCATTAGAAAACTCTTTCGAAACAATAAACTGTTATTAGTAGATGATGATTTCATTAATTCAATTTATGAGAAGATCACTTTTGTTGCTAATTTTCAAACAGAGGATGACCCTTCCTATAAAAAGGGAAAGAAAACTTAACCTAGTGAAACAAGTCGAAAAAGAGTTGTTTTAGTATTATATACATTTAAGGCTACAAATTGTCAAACGTATAACTTTAAGGAATTTATTTAGTTCTTGAAAATAAAGGAGTTTGAATACTCAGTAAAGAAACAAAAGTTATTTGATGAAATATGTTATTTGTATAATGAAAAGTAAGCCTAAATACTAATTAAACTAAACTTCAATGATAACTTTGGTAAGTTCCCATCAGGTTTGCATTTATTGAATGATTACTTTGAAATCAGCAATAATCCTAAACGTTGGAGTTCTTCACTCTTCATTCAAGCAAATAAGGTTAAGTCTGATTTTTCTTTTATTGTTAAAGGTGAAACAATAAACTTTACAATTTTTAGCATTCAAGGTGATCAATTTGAAACATACTATAATTGGGCATTGCGTGGATTGAGCCCAAATTTAGTGGTGTATCCAAAGGAATATCCTGTGGCTTAGAACTACAAAGAAAAGGCTGTTATTTATGCCTTATAAAACCGTAAGCCCTTTGCTGCATCATTGATAACAATAAAAGAATGTTTGGAGGACTTACTGAAAGTATATCTACCCAAAATTAAAAGGATCTTGATTGGCTAATTATCATTAAAACATATAATACAGAATAATGCCCTTGTCAATTTAAATCTTTTAGTTTTAAAGTGTGATATTGGCTTCGACACATAAGCTTCTATTTTGGCTCATGAATATTTCCCTATAGGTTATAGTTGTAAGTAAAATGATGAGGAAGTTGAGAAATTTAATGCAGATTTAATTAAATTATTTGAAAATGGAAATCATCGAGATTAAAAGTCTTTTGGGTTAAGGAGAGATGAAATTTGCTTCCTTTTTTAATTCATAAATTTTGAGTCTTATATTACTATTAAGCCAAATATAGAAGACTATATGAAAAATGGTCATCTGAAAGCTATTATACTATCCTGTAGGTCTAAGGAAGTGAAAATTGAATTGATAAAAAATATGGCAGATGATCAATTAGAATTTTATGGGGCTTCTTTGGTAAGGATATGCTAAAGAGATAATGAATTGATGACCCATCAATTATAAAGAATTCAAGGAGCTATATTAGAAAAAAAGACCTTGATTTTTATGAAGGTGTTATCTCTAATTGCATTTGATCAGAGGAATCCTCAGAATTGCAATATTATAATAGAGTTACTTAAGCAAGAAGGATTGAAAGATCGGATAAAATTAATATAGAATTTATATGCAAAGGCTTATACGAATAAAGACGAGGAGCATTTAAATTATTTATTGGGATTTTTGGAGCAAGATGCTAAGAAAAATAAACGGAAGATGAATTTCATGTTAGGGAGTCAGTTTAGTGTTGATGATGAATATATTAATTATTTTTTGGCCTTAAAACATAAACCCTGTTTTGCGTTAAACTGTTAATAATATAAACGGTATCTGATTTAGAACAAGTTCAACATCAAGAAATTATACAATGATTATTTATTATGTTTAAGGGAGGGATTGAATGAGAAAATCGAAATATTGAATGAGTTAATTGGTTCATTTGACAATATCCAAAATAAGGAGACTTTCTGTAAGGTTCTTGCAACCATTTTAATAGAAGCTAAAGTTTAGCCCTATAACGAATCCTTATTGGATCATTAGTAAGATTTTCTAAAGGCGTACCTTTAGTAAATGAATAAAATGGAGAGATATTAGTCTTTCAGTTTGAATCATCCGTATACTTTGGAAAGAAAATAATTAAAATAAAAGAATTCAATTGCATTCATCTCTAAAAGAGCTCAGGAATAGTTTGATAACTCTGAGAAAGTTATTAATCATCAATAAAAAAAGCAAGAGTATATCAACAATTTAGAATCCTAATTAATGTATGCTTAAGATAAAGCGTATACAAAGTAGAACCAAAATTATTCTTGTTTGTTTTCATCTAGTATTAATTCACAATCATAAGATTATGAGAAGTGTTTTGAGATTGTTTAAAGGTGGGCAAATCATAAAAATCTGATTTAATTATCTCCATTTTATGAAAGAATGTATGCCCTTCGATATCCAAATAAACAATAGGTTCATTAAAAGGAAGTATTAGTAGAAATATTGATCAAGTACTTTTTACTGAAAAAGAATGGACCCAAAATCTTGGATTATAGATCAAAAGAATATATTGAATTACTGAAAGTAAATTGTACAACCTCAATTAATAAATATGTACTTGACAACTTTAGAAATATACGCCCTAAAATGCAGGAATTCTTTGTGTCTGAATTCATATGTGAGGATAGGAAATACGATCCCAGTCATGAGGATTTAGATTATATAATGATGACTATGAAATATCAGAATATTAAATTGGTACCAATTATGAGAAAGAAGTATAAAGGATTATCCACAATCAAATTCAATTAGGCTACTTTATTTTATGCAAAAAATGAAGTTAATATTTTACCTGAGAAGAATTATGATGTTTACACTCCCACCTTTTAAAAAAGGATGGAATTCTTCAGTAAATTCATCAGTGGAGTTGGAGCTAATCTACAGAATCTGACTTCAAATTAGGTTTTCTTGATTTATGGTAAACACAATCACATCTTGTAGAAACCAAAATTTAGTTATGAAAACTTGGTTCTTGCTCTTATTAGTGGGAATATTGAAACAATAAATTATATAATATCACTTCATTTAAATCCAAATCAGTTGGTCTATGAGTAGAACATTTTCCAATTGATCATCTATGGAAATTATAATGACAACGAGATTATAAAATTCTACAATCATTACATTAAAGATGAAGTCAAATAAACAAACAGAATTTTCGTACTTGATAATTAACCGATTCTGTATTACCTAATGTTAATGAAGAGACAAAGGTTGTTTGAGGAAATATATTTACCATTTATGATTCAAATTCATGGATAAATTAAGGCTATCAAGATTCTAAAGTAAGAATTATTATTTAATTATGTGGATTAATCAGGTAAGAGTGAAGTAGGATAATAGTCAGATAGAGATAATTTTAAGACAGACATATTAAGTCTGGCATTGATGAGAAAAAACTATTTTATTTTGAATTATTGTTCAAAAATCATCAAATATTTTCATTTAAGGTCCATTCTACATTTTGATATTAATTACTTTTAATCAATTTAACCTGAAATTAATAACACTCCCTTTTCCAAATTCATTTAGTTGTACTAAAAGTATCTTCCTTTATGCTGTACTTTGTTAGAATACAATTCAAATGAAAATATTAGATAAGCATAAATATAATAACTCATCAAATTTGAGTAGGCTTGCATTAATTAGATTTTTAAATTGGATACAATTTACTACTTCAATAATAAATTATTAACTATACATATGGCTTTGAAAAAATGGACTATGCTAGGTAACTACTAATTCAATCCTATTCTTTTATAATAATACCTAGAAGAATATAGACAAAGTGATGGATCATATAATTTGACCTAGGAACGATGTAGGATGATTCTTGAATAATGTTAGAAATATACTACATTTCAGAATCCAATCTATGATAAACTTGCTGCTATGTATCCTAAATTATTCATCGAAGTTACGGATCCTGTATTTTTTACTATATCAACAGTGATTGTTGTGAATCAGGCTTTATACCAAACTCCTGAATTAATTAAATATGTGTCCTATCACAAGGATAAATATCTGGAATCAATTAAATAAGAAGAATAACAAGAACAAAACAAATCAGTAGATTAGAACGATTAACAAATTGATGTTCATAAGGAGTAGATTGAAAGAAATGAGAAGAAAGTTTACAATAATAGATTTGTTTATAAGGAGGTATGGACCGAATTAAGCTTTGAAATTTTCGAGCCAGAATCTGAGGATAGTGAAATTATTTTTGAAGATTCCGAATAGAATTAATCATAAGATGGAAATAAATTAGAACTATCAGCAAATAAAAACGAGGAAGAAGTAGCAACAAATAAAAATGAATTAGAAATGCCAACAAATAACAAAGAGTTGGAAATGGCAACAAATAAAAATGAATTAGAAGTAGCAACAAATAACAAAGAGTTGGAAATAGCAACAAATAAAAATGAATTATAATTAGAAACAAATAAAAAAGAGTTAGAAATAGAAACAAATTAATATGAGATGCCCTAAAACATTGCTTATGCCTTTTATTTATTGCTTTGCATCTAATAGGATCAATATGAAGAATAGGTTATTCAATAAAAATAGTTAATTGTCATTAAGGAAGTCTACTTAAATCTATTCAAATTTGAATAAAAGACCTCAAAGAAATCATAATTTTTAACTGAAAATAGTAAGATATTCTTGCTTTCTCTATTAAATCAAAATTATAAATTTAAGGACACTTCCTATTTCGAATAGATTTTAGAAAAGCAAAACTCAAAGGAATTAGCCATTTTAAAGGGAATAATGTATATAAAATAGATAAATGAAATCATTGATGGGTTTATTAACAGGTTGAGCCAAGAGATTACAACGATGACTAACTTTAAGAAAAACGTACTTCTTGTTTTTGGATAAGAGTAGATAACTTATGAATAGGAGGGATTCACTATCCCACTTTAATTCGATGATGATTCATTTTATTTATCCGAAGCCAATATTTGTAAAGCTATTCCATAGTTAAAGATGGCAAATTATTAAATGAACATAGAGGTTGAATTAACTCAATATTACGAAATCTAGGAGAATTGGAAGAACTTTGATTTCAGTTCAATCACAACAGTCGATTTTCATGAGATCATTATCAATTCAAAGGAGAATGTGTTAGAAAAATGTTTGTTCTTTAAGAATCTGATGGAATAGGAGTTTGATAAAGTGGGTATTTATTAAATAGATGATGTGTTCGCTCCTCATTAGCATGAGTAGATTAGATAAACCGATACGCAATTATATCAATCCCAAAATCAGCCTCCTTCTCTAATTCATTAGAGTCATAGTCAAGTGGGTGTATCATCATAAGGCACTCAGTTGCAGAGATAATCAACTATAAATCAATAACAAATAATGAAAGAAGATTTCCAATTCATGTTTGAGTTGTTACCTGATAATACTTATTAGGTGAGATAGAAGAAGAAATACAAAAACTAGAAAGAATTGATATTCGCTGAATTTTATCATTTTATTTAACCCTAAGTAGTCATTAATTTGCTAAAACTATCAGAAGAGGAATTCATTACCAAATACAATGGGAATACTGTAATTTCAATGATAATATAAGATTTTTATAGATATAATGAATTTATAAGTAGTGTAATTGAACAGAAGCAATAACAAGTGTGGAAATTGGAATTTCCATTTTATATTAAAAACTAACACTTTGTCTTTTAGGATTAATTGTTTTCAACCTACAACATTTAAATGATATTTACAAAATTGGTTACATTCATAGAGAAAGTTAAGTAATTGCTGGGTAGAAGTGAAGATCAGAGCAAATTGGTCTGGAGAATAAATACAATATCATTTTTAGAAGTCATAGTGAGCAAATTAGTTGAAATGTAATAAGTAACAAATAAAGTGATTAATGTCTATTCAATAATTGAATCGGTATTCAGTTGGGACACCTTGATTATGATTTTACACTAATTGCTTTACCATAATTTGATAAAAGCATAGCAGGTTTTAAAAGTGATCAGAGGGGTTTATGTTGAATTCAATGAATAGTAAGGGATTGAATTCATACAGAATAAATAAAAGAAAGGATTAGATAGAATCTTCTAATTTGGCAATACTACTTATCTTCTTTACAATCATATCCTGATCATCAGGTTGAATATAGGGATATGCAATTAAAGTGAACAAATCAATCAATAGGATAAATAAATTGCTTAGATTCAATAGAGTAGTAGAATTGTATTTAAACCAGATCCAATTATATAGGAATATTTCCACAGCATCATAAATGAGTATGATTTCTATAATTAAATATTCAACCCAGAATAACTTGTGCAATACTTATTCAATAAATTGGACATTGATCGACATCTGCTGAATTATTCAAATTAATTGAGTAAGATTCTAAATAAAACTATTACCTTATCAGTTGATCATTAATCTTTAGCTTCAATCTTCTCAAGTGAAATCTAGAAGATTTGCCAGAATAAGAATAGCAAAAGCAGATTAAAGGAGATGGAACAGATTTGGTATATTTTATTAAAATTGAATAAATATTTTAAAGAGGAATTGTACAATTATATACTCAAATAAATAAAAGCTGAAAGATTTGATGAAATGTTTAATATTAGATTGTCATGTTTGTTATCTGCTTTGAGGTAAAATAAACCGTTAATGAACATAATTGTATCGAATACTAGATAATTACAATTAAAATAGAAGTCTAAGATTTTATAGAGATTATGCTAGGTCACACAGAAGAGTGATATCAAATTATCGTATCATTTTGGATTTTAGATATCTAAAAATTATTATGTAAATAATAGTAAATTAGGAGATGTTTGTATGATAGTTTATTGTGAGAATCAGAAAAACAATTTAGTGTCCTGTTAATTGGTGTATAATTCTAAACCAGGACACTTTTTATTTTCTTAATTGGATTACATGAGCGAAGTGCTCTTAACACATGATAGAATAACTAGAAATCAAGCACATTATTCTGGATATACTTATTCACATCATGAACTGCTTTACGTTTAAATTGAAGACTTAGTATCAATTGTATTATTTCAGCCTATTTGGCCATCTGATCCTATTTTTAATCAATCAATCCTAAATGTATTTTTCACTGATCAAGATGGAAATATATCAATATGCAATGAACCTAAATTCGTGTCTCTAATGAGTTAAATCTAATGCGAATAAGATGAATTCAATAAATAAGACATGCTTGACAATCTCTTTGGAAATGGTCTCGTTTCTTCCTACAATGATTTAAGTTTAACATAATTGACTCCAATTTTCCCTGATTAAATCAATTTCGATTTTGCTGCCATCCATCAATTAAAGAAATAGCAATCCTTAATTTAAGGTTAAACTGTCTACATACGAATCTTTGGAGACAAGTTCAAATTTGATTAGATTGATATTGCATCTGTAAGTATGGCCTGTCACTTTGAAACCAATGTAGTCGCTCAGTAGTTATAAAAAAACTTTATTAAATTCCTTAATGAGCACACTGAATTGGCAAACATCTTTCTACATTTTGATGATTAGTTGAATTAAAATCCCAATTACCATTTAGATTGTCTCCTTGTTGGAGGAACAATATTCGAATCCTTTTAATATGGCTACTAAACATTCAAAGACGGTTACTCTTATCCAAAGTTGAATAACTCACTACAGTATCTATTTGAAATCTAATCAATTCAGAGTATCAAAATCAATTTCGTAAAGACATTTATTGAAAAGGTTGAATTCATTTTTGAAAAAAGCATTGAAACTCAAAAATCACTAATTCAATATGAGAATAGGACTCTAAAATTCTATACCCTCATTGACAGTAAGGAAAATATACAAGTGCCTGATTCAGATCAGATTGCTTAGTTTCTATTTAATTTAATCTTGAAATTCTAGGTGAATAAAATGGACTCCTATTTTACTTATGAAAACTTACACATAGTAGAAGTTGGAGACATTTAAGTAGAAAGCATTAAGACAGTGGTTGATATAATATTGTTGGTCAAGTATTTGTTTAAATTGTTGACACTGATTAATCCAAATATTAAACTAAAGGTATCCATTTTAGCATAGAAGGAAATCAAGACTGAATTTAAAAACACAATCTATTAATTTCTTCAGGATGGCTCTCATTTAATAATTAATTATGAAACCTTCGCCGACTTCAATATCTGCGATTTCTTTTTAGATTATCTTAACAAAAATCAATTTTACATTAACAATAGATATAATGACAAGATCAAATTCGAAAAACCAGAGATTATTCTAGACAGCTTAAAACTTAATCCTCGAAAACTATTAAGTGGAATAGATGACAAATCTCAAATAGAATTATTGGTATTTAATTTAGAAAAGGGGAGAATCTAAGGCTTAGAAGTACTTAATCCATAGCAATTTAACTCAATTTTCCTTATCTTTAAGATAGATGGAATTCATCTTAAGTTCTAAACCTTGAAAAGTTGCACTTAAAAATCATTACCAGGTTATTTCTCTTAAAACACCTACTAATAAAATATTTGCAATCCCCTCTATTTAATGATATTCGATGTGGAATCTAATAAACCTTTAGAACCTCAATTAAGTAAGATAGAAATATCATAGGCCAGATAAAAGAACACAAATCTATCCAATTTAATAAAAAAGGAAAAAAAGAAAGGACAACTTCAGGTTTCCTATAAATTTATTACAAATCGAGTGCTGTTGGTGGAATTTCTCAGCGATAAAGTACTAAAAATGCAGTTGAAAGCTTTGCTCCCACATACAATATCGATGATCCAAGATCAATTGGGATCTCAAATAACATTTGAATACACTACTTAAAATACATAGGATTTAAGCAAAACAACACATATGCAAGTTACAATAGAAAATAAAATTAAGTTGGTTGAAGTTGAATAAGAAGAGCAAGTAGCTTTTGGAATTGGGGAAGCCAAAATGATGAAACTATTGTTAAAGAAGTCAAATTAAAAGATGGACGAGGTACTATTCCATAAGGAATGTGAACCAATAGCTCATTCTAAGGATTTGCAATTGAGCAATACAATTAATATGTTGAGTAAACAAGAACTTGGAGTGGCATCGAGAGCTGGACAGGAAAGAATCGATTACATTGTGTTTAAAGATAGTCTGGGGAACCGTATCAATAATTTCTCATACACTACTCTAATTTTTGTGCATTCCTTATTCAATTAGATTCAATACATTCCAAAATAAGAATAGGTAGGATTAGGGTTAAATTTAATTTGGACTCCAATTTTCAAAGGAGTCTATAAATTGTACATAGATGATATCAGAATCAAAGGGAGATACGTTATATTGGCCAACATGCCTAATCTCTAGGAGAGTGAAATTGAGACTCCTTAAGAATTGCAAACAATACCATTTTACGAAGACATTCCATTTACATTCTAATTAAGAGATTCCTATTCGAACATCTATGGGGATATTGAGTATGACATTTATTTGGATTGCAAATGTGCAATTACTTGTAATGAAGGAGTTTCATTATAAGTTAATTTTTAAAACTTGACAAAAAGTGGATCTATGAATGCTAAAGCTCATTTCTCTCCTGAAGATGCATAAGCAGATGAGCGAGAGACTGAATTAAAGATTTTTATTAACAATCAAGTTAAAAAAGGTATGAAAATTATTATTACATTTCAAAGTTCTACCCATTAAGATTTCAGGAGTTTGTTTAGAAAAAAGAAGAAAGAAATTTGAAGCAGAACTAGAAAAAAGTTTTAAACGAACTGATTACTCGTTAGTGATTAGAAGATTGAGTTTCTTAAAGGATTTATTAGTTTTGGCTGATAAGAAGATGAATTATAATTTCACTATTAAGTTTCAAGATGAGCCTGGTATTGATGCTGGAGGACTCAAGAGAGAATTTTATGATATGATAGGCAACACTCTTAAAGATGACACATACAAATTCTTCCAGCCTGTTCAAGGTAATTTGGGGAAGTATTTTCTGCATAGCAATTTTAATAAAATAAAAAATAAAAAAGAGTATGCTTTATTATTTGGAAAGGTATTATCTATTTTAATTAATTTTTAGTTAATTGCTAATGCAATAGCTAATGGCTATTTAATTGGGATTGATATTATTAGTCCATTTTGGAAGGTTGTTTATGATGAGAAGATAGTGTTTGAAGATCTAGTCTTAATTTGGGATAAATAAACTTATTCTAACTATGCTAATCTTAAAAACATGAGTCCTGAGACACTAGAATCTCTCTATTTGGATTTCACTTATTAAATAGGCAATTCTACTATTGAGTTGATTCCAAATGGTTCTACCATGCCTGTTACTTCAAATAATGTTCATTAATATTTAGACAAAACAGCAGAATATATTATTTATAAATAATTCCAAGAAATTTATAAAGCTTTTATTGAAGGATTTACAACTGTAGTTGATTTAAAGGTAATTTCCATTTAAATAGCTTTAAGATTTTCTAAAAGTGGTTGAAGCCCTTTGAAATATCATTGCTTACTTAAGGATTACTTGAGATTAAGCCTGATGTTGTATTACAAAAAATACAATATTCTGGAGGAAAGGCTAATCACAAATCTTACTTTGAAACGTACATCAACCAAGCTGATCCATAAACGTTGAAGAACATGTTAAAATTCATTACTGGTTTTTTATTCAATTAATATATAGGTTCTTCTACTATTCCTTTTGATTAGAGTTCATATATAATATCAGTTGAATTCAAGAGTAATTTGGATATTCGTAAATTGCCTCTAGCTCATACGTGCTTTAAATCGATTGAAGTTCCATTATATGCAAATTATGGCTAAATGAAATAAAAATTAGACATTGCCTTTACTATTGGTTTGGAAGGATATGGATTTGGTTGATATAATTATAAATTGTGCTAATTTAATTAAAATAATAATTGTTTATTGTAATTTTTATTCATTCTGTTTCTATAATTCATGCAAATAGATCATCATCAAATGGCGTTGACCTTCTTTAAATTGGAGGCTAAACTACTTAGGCCGGTTGGTCAAACATATCCTCCAATTCTTTTGACATATGTTTTTGTGTTTATTATTAATATGAAGTTGTCATAGGTTACAATGACTATGTTGTTCTATAATACTGTTGTGTGGGTTAGGGCTGATTTGAACACTAGGATTGGGACTAATAGTTAAATTGATTAGGAAATTGATTGTTTTAGATTTGGCTTGATTGCATCGAATATTATAAAGGTGTAATCTAGGACTAAATTTGAATTGGCATTAAGGAAGCTTAGGAATGGCTCTTTTTGAATTCTTATTACTGAGTTGAGTAATTGATCTAATTTTGTTAAGGCTAACTAGATTCAAAAAGATCCAAGAGATCAACTTATTATGATTATTTTGATTATGGTTGGATACTTTAAAAAGTCAATGCTTATTATTATTACTAATGATATTATTGCTATTATTATTATTACTATTATTACTAGTGTTGTTATTATAATTATTATTGTTGAATCTAAAATAATAATTATTATTGTTATTATATTAATTATTCTTATTATTAGTATTGATTACTAAAATTATATTAATTAAATAATTGATTTTGATTTTATGAGTTTAATATTTGCGGTGTAATCAAGTTATTAGATTATGAATCTGTTTTATTGGGAGGTTTGGTTTCTGAATATTATTATGGTGACTGCAATTGCTTAATTTGTGAAGATTGTTGAGTGCAACCAAAATTACAATTATTTTACGGTTATGGTTGTCCAATCCAAGAATTTTAATTGAACTCAAAAAAAGGATTACTTTTTTCATTTTAATTGTGATTATTTTGCTGTTGAATTTATTAACTTGATTTTTTAGATTCTTTTTGGGGGGTGTCAAATGTGAAACCAAAGTTGCCAAAATAATTGTCTGTTCCATTAGTTGAAGGTGTACCAAAATTGGCGAACTCTTCATTGGCTCCTTATTTCCACCAAAGTTCTTATTATTTTGGGGCTATTTTATTTTAAGGGTTGTTTGTTTATTCTTAATGCACATCTAATTTAAGTTTCTACCATAGAGCTTATGATATCTTTTTTGGAGGTTCTGGACCCTTCAGAGGACTGAGATCATATTCATCATTATCCTCATTCTTTAAAGGCCTATTTTGAGTAGTACGACCTTTAACATCGTTGTGAGGATTATAATATTAAGCGAAAGGAATATTGTCCAAATAAAGTTCATAAGAGTCTGATCTAGGGGCAATAGTTACAAGACACTTTTAAATGTAATGAAGGTATCTAAAATCACCAAAAAAACTGAAAATAATGATATGGAAAAAGTTTTACCTAGATTCTTAATGAATTGATCTCTAATTGTGTCTAACTTCTTTCTTGCCTGAAAGGGAAGAAACCAAAAGGGCGATTTCCTGTTCAACATTATCTAGAAAGAACTTCCACACATATTTCTTTTTTGAACTAAAGTTGCCATAATGATTAAACTTACCTTCTAACGTTGCGACCGACTTCTTATTCTGAAAAATGAATGGCTTTAATAAACATAAGTAAAAAGGAAATTAAAATATAGAGTAGTTACATGACACACTAAAGAATTATATAATAAAATATCAATCTGAATCTGATGAGAATAGTAAGAATTTTTAAATGAAAAAGAAGGTTCAATTACTATTCTTTATTGGTTAGAATTGCATGGCGAATTAAAATACGAGATCCACACATAATCAAAAACCAAATTGAAAAATTTTGGTCCAATAATGTCTGCCTAAAGTGTAAAGAGGGCTCGGTTCATTTAATGAAGTAAAATAGATTTATCATAGTATTGAGTAAACTTGAATTATGAATACTATCACTACTCTTCGAATTAATTCTCTTTATCATTTTAGTACATGGTCTAATTTACAAATAAATCATTGTAATAGTTGAAGCTGAGAGGAAATTATGGAAGAAAACCAAAATTGTAAAGGAGACTTCTATCTGATGTTATTGGTTATGGGTAGACCATCTCTTCAGGGTATGTTGGCTGGAATATTGGAAAGTCTAATTGATGTTAAGATAAAATGGGTTATTAATAGAAAGGGCAGAAATGCTAGATTGGCTACGTAATTTGATTGTCCTTTCTCTTTCGTCCTGCACCTTTTTATCGTTTCTTGACTTGGTGGATGAAAGGATTGAATTTTTAATGATGCGATCTAATTTGATAAATTGAATTCATAATACCTACATTAAGAAGGACTACGACTGCCAATAAGCTCACTCATTTATTTGAAGATTTTATTGCTTTTCTTTTGATCCTGAGACTCCATAATTTATTTATGCTATTGTAGAAAATCTAAATAAGTTTGATGTTCTTATTGGCTCCAATGTCCAGTGTTTTAAGTAGGATTGACAATTTGCCTTTTTTTATTTTTCCTACGATAAGGAACTGTAGAAACAGGCTGAATGGGTTAGTTAACTCCTTCTTCTTCCTTTAATTGTTAACTCAAACTCATGAAAATATTTTTATATTTATTATTTTTTGTATTAACAAATATCTTTTCACCATGTTTTTACTGGTGCATATTTTGGAATTGTGCTACCCTCATGTTGGATTGTTTACGATGCCGAATAATTTCCAGCCTTAGCACATTTAACAAGATCTGGACCATTCAGTAATTCTGCAATAAATCTAAGGAATGTAAACTTAATTGATTACCCTCCGCAAAAAGAATCACCAGCACTGTTTGTATCTACAATCTTTGAAACATCAACCAATTAAACTTCAACGGTTATGGCTTCATTCTTTTTAGCAATCAATGTTGGTTTCTTACCTTAAGTGCATACAACCACTCTTTCTCTTTGTCCATGTTTTTCATATCCAGCTATTTATTACATTACCTATGAGAGATCTCCCTCAAACTTCAAATTCTTAGCAAATTATTCAACTTCCTCCTCATTACCAAACAAGTAATCAACATATGGGAGAACAGCCAATATTTCATTGAATCTATCACTTACGGCATTTACACTTGAAAGAGTCAAGCATGTGTTCACTCCACTTTCTGAAGCAATTTTATATATTTTCTTTGTAAGTTCAGCTCTTGGATATAAGAAATACACTTCACTAAATAATACAGTAGCTGTTTTGATATCCTCGATATGTTAATCAACATATTCTTCAGACAAATAAGCTGCTGCACCTATTAATGGAACCAAACATCTAATAGTAATTATATATTATAAATACCTATCCTTATTGCATAATAACACTCCGCATTTTCCTGTAGGTTGATCTTATTCGTCAAATAAGGTTGTCACTCCATCTTTGTTTGTAACCTCAATTAACATATTGGCAAATTTGTCTTTCTTTCCAACACAACCAATAAATTTGACTTGATCTTAACCTGCTTAAGCCATCCATCTAGCCAATCTAATAGTATTGAGTGCGGATCCTTCGAATAGATTATTATCTTTTACCTCCTGGAACATGAGAGTGAGTTGGAATGTTAATCAATTCCTCATACAGTGGTAAATGTTTCTCCTCTGCGAAATATGTGTTATTGAGTGTCAATCCGTACTTCTCAAGGAATTCTGCTGGGACTTCTGCTTGAATATCAAGCAATGGACTGCCTAATCCAATAATCTTCTTTGCTTCCATTAATTATTTATGTTATGTAATTATTTCTCTCACATTAAATTTCCCATTTTTAAATAAAGATACTTGCAATAACATATTATCATATTAGTATTTTAGAAGATAATTCAAATCAATCAATTATAATCTTTCTACATGAATTATAATGAATTCAAACTTGTTATTCAGCTCCTTAAAATTTTATAAAGCAGCTATTTCTCCGTTTCATCTTTTTCTTTACTTACAACATACCAGGAAAACAAGGTTACTGCAAAGATAATTGCAACTATTAGAAACTCACCTGAAAATATTCCAATCTTATGCAAATTGCAAGCCTTATGATCTATCTAGGGATATCTAATTTATTCGTCTTCTCCCAACTAATAATAGCAAATCATCTTTTGAATCTGCCTGCTCACTTGACATTGCTTTATTTCATTCATCTAGGCATAAGTGCATCGATTGCACTAATCATCCACTTCACATTCTATTAAATGGTACTCCTCTATTGGATTCGTTAGGGTACTCTTTTATGATTATTTCAACTTATTACTTAGACTTCTTCATTAAAACAATAGCAAAGAAAGATGACAAATTATAAAGTTAATATTAACATCAACTAATATAAATAAAAACCAAAAAACCTAAGCTTACTTTCAGACTTCAATTTTAACTCAATAAACATTCTTATAAGCTTATAATTAAATAATGAATCCATTTCTGATTATTTATTTGAACAATATAGAAATTGATACAAAAAATTTCATTTTAAGATTAAGAGAAATCCATTTTTTATATAATATAATCTGAAATGTAAAACAGCTACCTTGCTTAATTGGACTGTAATCAATATTCATAATTAATTTACTAGAAATCTAAGAATAAGCTATTCAAATGGCCTATTAATAGCCATAGGAAGGTTAATGGAACAAGGAACACGATAAAAATGACTGCATCATTTATACTAAATTAAATCAAGTTGGACTAAAGATGACAAGAACCGAGCTGAAATTGAACGTGGATCCAAAGAAGGCTATGGATCTTATCTTCGATATGACTAGGAGAGCTGAATTCGATGAGTATTTTTTGGAAGTAATTAAATCAATCATTTTAGGCCAAAGTTGTAGAAAAAATAGACGAAAATAATGTTATTTATCATGGAGCTGGTAAATCCCCCATAGTCTTGGTTGACCCAAGAGACATGGTTGCTCTCACTAGAAGAATCGTTCTTAAGGATGGTACTCATATGGTTGTTTGTAATATTATCAAAATCTATTTCAGCTAAATCTGTCGAGTTAGATTCCGTTCCTAAGAAGAAAAATTATACTCGTTGCGAAATTATTATTTCAGCATTTTTGATTAAATAGATTTCATAAGACATTTGCCAAGTTGTTATCATCGCTAATGTTGATCCCAAAGGTAGTATTCCAAAGATGTTAATCAATTCTGGAGTATCTATGCAAGCAGATGCTGTTAAGAAGTTGATGGAAAAAATGAGATAGCATACCTTGAAAGTTTGAAATTTATATGTGTATTCATCATATTTAGATGATAACAACAATTCCTTTAACACAATGTTTTTATGCATTCTAATACTATACACTTTCCATTGTTATCAAAGAAGTTTCTTATTTAATTTATGAAAAATATGGATTCTCTTGTTACTCAAACAAATTAATTAGTTTATATTTTATAATTTCCGGCTTTTTAATCAAATTTATATTTAATTCACTTATATGTTACAATAACAATTATATATTTAAAATGGAGTCTACAACTTTTATATTTCGCTATTTTTCATAGAGCTCAAAATAGCAATTAGATATTAGCTATCATCCACTTTTTTCGACCAAGAATGTTTAACTAATTAATAGATTTCAAGTGTCAAAGATGAAGTATCGATACTTAATAATAGATATTATCTTCTCATTTTACGGATTTCCATAAATCAATTAAGATCGAAATTATAGAAATCTATTAGTTTGATCGCATAAAATCTGGTCTAAATTTTTATTAATTTTGTGAAAGTAGTAAAGAAGCATTAGAATATTAGGTTTTATTTTGAAAATTAATAAAATAAGGTTGAATAAGCACCTTTAAGATATTTATTTAGTTATATTTCTTTGAAATCGGAAAGGTGATCACTCAAGCAAATACATCAGAGTATTATAGAAAATAGATCAGATATCCATGAATAAATGGTACAATTAATTCTTCTAAGAGTACATTAAACTTCAGTGCGGATCAAATATATTTACTTATTTTAATATATAGTATTTTATTAGATAATAAAGATTATTATTAATAATGCTAAACGAAGATCCAAAGATTTAACAACTCTATTCTAGCTTGTAGTTTTGTATAAAATCACTTGATCAAATATTGTAAGCGAAAATGAAGCCTCCTTAAAAGTAAAGCACTGCTGAAAGAATAATCATTAAATAAGAAAGTGTTGAAATGTTAAATCATATAATATTCTAAGTTCTGAGGATTTCTAAAACCTAACTAAAGAATTAGAAAGTATCAAATTCTAACATGAATCAATGTTGGTTAAACTCATGAAACTTAGAAAGAAGTTAGCAAGTTTATAAATTAAGTATTCTGAACTTGATGAAGAATTCTAAGCTTAAACAGAGCTTCTTAAATAATATAAAATTACTAAAATAAACCCTAGGTATATAGAACTTCCAAGAGAAGAGATCAATCTCTACAAGTCTCTCAAAACTTATATAAACTTGAATTAATCTAAGTTTTCGTTATTTTTAAAATCCTTATTGCATGAAAACAAAGATGAAAAGTTCTTAAATTTAGATTAGTTATTAAATTCAATACAAGATTATTACAAAAACTAATAAATGTATTTGAAACCAAAATTCAGTTTAAATAGTGTTGAGAGAGTTCGATTACCAAGCTTAGAAATTCGATATTTTACAAATAGGAGATCAAAAGATTATAATTATAACAACTCGAGTATAGATTAGGAATCAAAATCATTATCATTTGCTGTATGAAATTATATTGAATATCTATATATAAATTTGGCTGATAAATAAATAAATTAATGTTATCACTTTTTTTTTACCATCATCATTGGTTTTCTATATATGCTTAAAATTAAATATATTAATGTACTTTGGCTATTGAATCTATTGGTTTTGCTGAGTACTATTATCATTCTGATCAATCAGACTCTTAGTTTCCTCTTCATTATTAGTATGTAGAGAATTTTATTATTCAATTGGTTTTTCTATTTGTGTATTCTCTTATTAAACTTCCTTTTATTCGATAGACTTTTATTTCTATTCGTTTTTAATATCTCGTTGTTCATGCGTGGTTTTGTTAGTTTATTCCATTGATCTTGGTTATCTTAAGTTTTATTGTTGAACATCTAAATTTGGTACTGTTTCTTCAAATTATTCTTCCTTAATAATTTCTACTTTATTTTAAGAGGGAATTTTCCTAATTGATCCTTTATCCGATTTTGGAGATGGAGTTTCCTTTCTAGGAGTTGTAGGTTTCCTGGGTGCTGAAAATACAGGTTTACTTGATCTTTATGAAGATTTCTCATTCAATCTCAAATATCGATTTGCTTCATGTATGAAAACCCTGTTGATTTTTGTATCTCTTTCTAATTTGATCAATAGATTTCTCTTTTGTTCAACTTCATTTTTAATTTAGTTTCTATCTGATTCCAATTTTTTGTATTTCTCACTATAATTTTTCATTGTTTCATCTTTTTTTTTCTAGAGTTCAAAAATTTCATCTTCCAATTATTTCAATTTATTATCATCTACTTCTTCTTCAACTTACTTATTTCTCTTTTTCTATGCTATTTTTTATTAGAGATCTGATATTTGTTTTAATTTGGTTACTCTTTCATTATGTAACTTTTGAACATCTTTTTCAATTCTATTGATTTCCTCAACTAAGGTTCTAGAAGTTTTTTATTCATCCTACAATTCCTTCTTAATAGAAGCAATGATCTATTATTATTCTTTCAAGTCCATTTGTTTCAATCCTTCATTTTATTTTTGATCAATCTTCTGCTGTGATTCATACTCTTTGTATAATTTAGAATATTCATTTTCCAAGTATCTTTTCTTATCTTCCTTCTCTTTAATCCTAACAATTAACAATGATCATTACTTATTTATATCATAGGTTTATTCTAATTACTTTGACAAAAATTTGATTTGTGCAATATTATCATTAATTTATTTTTCTTGCTGATTTAAAACAGACTTCTTATCTGCAGGTTCTAATGGTTTGGCAAATTTCTTTTATTTTTCTTCCTTTTACTTTTCTTTTTAATTTTTAACAATATTATCAAGATGCACAATTAGCTCTTACAACTACTCCTTTAATTTCACATTCTGTTCAATTAATTTAGTAGGTTCTATCTATAAGGTCAATTTGATATTATACATTTTCATGTTTTTTTGAAACATTCTATTGTTCCTTTGCATAGCTTTTCATCTTATCATGTTTAGAGACTACCTACTATTTTTCTATTTTTGATTTCTCAATTTGACTTACAGCTACAGAATTATTTTACTAAGCCGAACTTGCCCTTGATTATTTCAAATTAGGCGATTGTTATCTCATAATTTATTAATTGTTTAATAAGATAAAAAAATATATGAAACAAGCTCACCAATTTTCATCATTTTTATAATCATTTCGAAGTCAATTAGTAATTTTGGCCAATTTAATCAATTCTATGTACACCAAAGTCTCTTTATCTAATGGAATTTAAAGATTTGTTTCCAATTCTTTTTCAATTCCTTTGATAAAATAATGAAGGATTTCTTCCTCATGATCATAAATCTAAAAAGAAACTCAATCTAATTACTTACTTTTGCACTCATCTATTGATTAAGTTTGTATTATCTCTTTGAAATTAAGACTAATTACAATAAGATATCTGATATTTGATCAAACAATGTTTTATTCATTTTCACTTGTTATTCCAAACGCTTAATTTATGTAATAATTTTATGAAATGAAGGGATGTAGAAATACTGTTCATTTTTTTAAATCTCATTATAATTTGATTTTAAATGTTCTTCATAAAAAGCATTAATGCGAGGGATTCTGTTTTGATCTCGAAATAGTATTGGCATCGTTCCTATGTAGTCTTTTAAGAGTAATTGAATGCCATATTTGTATACAATAAACAATCCCTCTAGATCATGATTTTTCTATAATTTCTCTGCTAACTCTATCCAATATGCCAATGCATCTTAGCGGTCATGCTTATTAGGGCTTCTCACTACTGAATATATGATAAACTAGGAGATAGTATTGATTCTTCTGAAATACTAAATTTAGTAATTAAATGTATACGTTATTTAATCCCCCCTTAACAATAACATTTTTTATTTATAACCCAGCATAAAACGACTAATTCATGAAACTTAATACAAAAGCAACTTCATCAGTTGTCCACGGTAGCATTGATTTGGATTTGACACCAAATGAAGTTATTTTTGGCTAAAACATTCCTACCGATAAGTAAGATCTCTAGGTTTCTGAACATTGTTTTAATATTGTTTTTTCTGGGAAAGGCTGCACTATGTATTCTATCATCGTAACCAATTGTTGTTCAATTCTAAATTCATTAATTCTTAAAGTTATCATCAAGACAATGAATTCACTAATAGAATTTGAATTCGAAACAAAATTTGACATGTCTTATTAGTTTTCATTTTTAATCCATTTCCAAAGAAGAAAGAAAGTAAAAGTAGTTAGATTTGTAAAATAATCTAAAGTAAGAATTAACTTCCGTTTCTTTTTTGAATCATCCCCATTAAATGCAGTTTCTACTAAGGAGTTGAAAAGAGATTCTTTAAAAAAACTATTCACTTTTAAACATTTCTCATAAAAATTTCTAACAATATCTGAAGATTGATTTCCTAAGAGGAATACATATCTAGCCTATTCCGAAAGGATTTCAGGATCTTTTACATATCACTTATATATTTTACCAAGACGCTTTTAATAATTTTACATTAATGATTCATCTGCAAAAGTTCTAGAACTACGAAGACTACTATTAGAACTAGATGTATCACATTGAATTCGTTTGCCATCACTAAATTATTCATGCTCATCCGAGATGTTGGAGAAAAAACTAGTTGCATTAGGTTAAGAAATTGAATCAAATGCTTTTATCTTAATTATTTCCAGATCACTGTCCTCCAATATAGATTTCAGAGGCTAATTTCGCATTTTTAATCTCTTACAAAAAGTATATATATATAAATAATTTTATCAACTACAAAAAAAATCTACCGATCAGGTTAATCATATCACCCAGTTTTATCTCAACCAAATAATTAAAAATTCTAATATCACTTTTTTATATCTTTTTTATTTATATTACAAATTTTCTAATTCTCTTATTATTATCTTAAGAAATAATTTCATTTAAATAAAGTAGCTCTTATTATTGAATTCAATTATTTTGCATATATTAAATTCTATCAAGTATTTCTAGATACAAAGTATACTCAAATCACTAAGACTCATAATTTATTGTTTAAGATTATAAATTAAGTTATTAAATTTAGAATATAAAGTAAGTATAAATTTTATACATTTAACTTTCAGCAATTCATTTCCTTTTTTCTATTTTAGGAGTATTTTCGGTAGCATTATCATTTAAAGCTTATTCATCGATTATCATATCTTTATGCTGAATAATCAATTATAATTATTCAATTTTTTAGTAACTCTATTCCAATTCTAATTTAAACATATTATTTTTCCTTTTCAATTTTTAGGAAGCATGTCCTTTGTCCTTTAAGTATTAGTTCTCATCTTTTAATTCTTTTAATTCGATTTCAGCCTTCTCCAGTTTTCCCCTCAAGTTTCTAATATTGTTTAACAATTAAGTTCTCTCCTCTAACACAGTTCTGCAAGAATCACAATAGTCCATTTTTTTAAATTATTATCTAAATTTTTACTAATAACGAAATCTGATTAATTTCTTCATTTTATAATAATTTGCTAACTAATTCTTTTAGGATATATCCATAAATATATGAATCAAAATTTATATTTATACTTAAAAATATTGGAATTCTAAGAATTTGACTGTCTTAATACAAAGCTCTATAATTTTTATTAGTTAAACAAATTGAGAAATATTTCGATATGTATTAATCTATTGCTTTTGATTCATAAAAATAAACTCAATTTAATAGAATTGTAAAGAGTTATCAAATTCTATTGTTCAATTATTAAAGTTAAATTGGCACATTATATTACAATGATTCTCATGCAATATTATTTTATCCTCTAAAATTAAGAAACAAAATAAATCATTTTGATATATTTAAATATTTGAATCCTTTTTCATGCTCATCCAATATATTAAAAAAGGAGTCAGTTAATCATGTTTCCATCTCTATTCTTGAAATAAAGAATCGAAAAAGTAAATAAAAAAAATTTGAAGTGAAAATGGTTAATTAGTTGCCAAAAAGATAATATATATCTGCTTACTAAATTTTCTACAAAGAATAGACCAAGGTATTTTAGTAGAATGGGGTTGGGATCAATATGGTAGGGACTTTATTGTAAAGGAAATGGGAATAATTGGCTCATGAGGAACAAAGGTATTACCAGGAATAATTTGAAAAATTTGAAGTGAAATATTAAGAGTAATTAAATGAATTTAAAAAAATTAATCAAATGTTGAATTAATCCAAAAAGATAGAGAAATCGTTTATTAAACCAAAAAAACCTTAGATTCCACAAATTCATTATGTTATATAAAATAGATATAAATATAAAGGAAAGAATTACAGTTAAAACTAAATTTATGCTGAATTAATAAAGGAATTCAGCATTTAGAGATTGGAAGTGAAGGAATAGTTAGAATGGGAATATGAGAGTAAATAAACTATATATGATTGTGAAATGATTGAATTGCTGAAGTAAATTAAATTATAAATTAATTATATTAGGCAGAATTGTTAGAAGTATTAAAGTTTGAAGGAGAAATTATTAATGAATTTTTAATAGCAAGCAGAAGAGTAAGAATTCAATTCTCATGAGTATGTGTAAAAGAACTTTGCAGTAGATATAAATGGTCAAAATCAAGTAATGGGAAGTTAAGTAAGTTTAAATGCCTATCAATGTTAGCAAGTGTGCAAATTTAAGAGCAGCAACAATTTAAAAGGGCTGAGTCTGATTGCTGTGAAATTACCATTTGAAGAGTAAAATTTATAAGGGAAGAAAGGGAGAAACTTGAATTGAATTTTTATGTTATATATAGATTTTAAAATAAGTAATGATACTATCTTTTAAAAAGGGCACTAACATTTTAGTGTAAATTACAAAGATAAATCAATTACTATCTTCATTAGATTATTTATGTTGAGCGAAGTAGCTTCTGGCGAATTGTTTGGATCTCCAAAAACTTGTATCTATAGAAGATTTTGTCTTTTATGGATTAAATTTTTAGTGATGCGATCTTATATTATGGGTTCTTACCTGCATTAACTAGGTGTACGAGTGCCAACAACTTAACTCATTCTCTTGAACAATCTTTAGCCTTTGGTATGGTTGGCATTCTCCAATAAAAAATTGAGATAAGTATTGTGCTCAATTTGATTCCAATGACCTTGCTGTTTGGTGATTCTCTTGGATACTGTCTGCAAATCGCAGGATTACTTTGTAGCTTCAGAATCATTTTAAGCCATTAATTAGATTTAGAATAAAAATATTAATAACTTAATTTGTTAAGCTCAACTCAATATTAATATATATGAATGATATTAAAATTCTAAATTTCTAATTCAGAAGAAATTACTAATTACTAAAGTATTTTTTCAGGATAATTGAGAAAAGTTATCATTTATAAATCCAAAAGGCATTTTGTAAAACTAATTTAAAAGGAATTACAAATCAATCATATTCAATGTTAAATCTATTTCTTTATTTGTTATTAAAAGCAAAGAGAAAATCATATAATTAAGTTAATTCCCTATAAATTTGTAATTTAGGCTGGTTTTTCATTAAAAAGTCTGAGATGTATCTTCAATCTTCAAAATATATTAAATTCTAAATCGTATTAACCTTATGTTTTTATTCAATTGTTTTAATAAGAATGTATTTTAACAAATTTGTAATTTTATAATAAGGAGAATAAATTTTTAATTCTTTATGGGCAGGAGTAATTTCCATTTAATTTATTAAATATACTTATAGTCTTATATTAACAACAACACAATAATAGTTATTGTGTTATTGTTAATATTAATTATATGAACAGCATTTTAACAGCTTATAGCATCATTTACGTTTTAGATTTAGAATCTAAATGGTTCTATAATTGCAATTGTGGCTAAACTTCTTTCAAAATTTTAGCATGATAAACAAAACAAGGAAGAAGACTTTATAAAATAATCTACTAGTCTTGAATAAATCCTATGTAAATATTAATATTTGACGTTCTTATAGAATAGTAACAAAAAGGAATTTTTCTCCTATTTGCTTAGGATTAATAAAAGCCTAAGTCTGGTCTTGTGATATATATATTAAAATATCTTTATTTGATTATTTATTATCTTATGCTGTATAAGTTATCCATTCCATTGTCAGGATAAACAGGTACTTAGTCTTAGAAATAGTATGAGTTCCAGATTTCTATGAAGTTGCTCCAGAACTAGTTGAATTCTGCCATTTGGACATTTAAATAAATCTTGCGACAAGAAGATGAGCTCAGATATGTTTACGTTGTTTTTAGGGACAGCCTCATTAATGGATGCCCATGCAAAAGTATGTAAGGGCGTATCGAAAAGAAAATCTGATTTTGCTAGTTTATAATTTCCTGATTGAGTTAATGATGTATTATTCATTATAATTAATGGAGAATGGACATTCAATACCTGTATTTTTGACTAAGCTTTATACGATCGTATAAGGGAATTAAGAACAAGAGATACTAAGATTTGATGAAAGTGGTCGAATTCTAGTGTTAGCAGATTAGGAGAGATTGCAATAGTACTTGCTTCCAGAATATTTTGGACATAAGAATTTACCTAGTTTTCTTAGGTATTACAGCATAACTAAGGATAGATAATTGAACATGTATGGATTCAAGAAGAGACACAACAATGGTTTGTTGGAATTTAAACATAAATATTTTAGAAGGGATGGGAAGTAAGGCTTGCAAGTTAATTAGGATAATTTTTGAATCAAATCAAGAGAAGAAATGAGATAGAAATGGTTTAGCAGATACCTGATCAGGAAGATATCAATGCATCAATTGATCAGCTAAGATAAACACAATAAAGTCTGCAGAGTCTAATTCAAAATGTGGCATCATAAAACTTTATGATTATGAACACAATTATGCATCAATAGCAAGTAAGTGTTTGATTGATCCAAGCAAATGGCAGAAACTAGTACTGCTAATTTTGTAAGGTTTGCTCATTTAAGCGATTTGATCTAGTAGGTAGTTTCGCATTTCCAGATTGATGCTGCCAACGAAATTGAGAGTAATCTCGCTCATTAGAGGAGAGAAGCCTAACGAGGTGTGGAATACATTATAGAAGATACGGAAAAATGATTCTAATATATCAATTAATTAAAGTGTTGTAGGGGAGCAGATGCAATGGCCATAAAACAAGGGTAACGAAGTGAACACACTCAGCAAAATCTCACTCCAGAATTGTTCCATCTGTCTATCTTTAAGGTTTCTCACTTTCCCTTTCTTTTAATATAAACTTTTATATTGTCATACCGGGGTACTCAAAGGGCGTGTTTGATTCCAAGATTTTTAAGTATTATTTAAAACATGACAACCATCGAGGAGTGCCCTGTATTACGGCCAACATCTTAAGAGTTCGAAAACTTCTATGATTACATCGAGAAAATAGATAAATAATATTCGCCCAACTACGGGATGGTGAAAGTAAATTATATTATTTAAATTAATTCGTAGATCATTCCCCCAAAGAACTTCCGAATTCGCTAGCAAGATTACAATAAATCTCTTGACAATCTTATTATTTAAGGTCCTATTGAGTAGAATGTTTACGGTAAGGGTGGCAACTATGAATGTTTGCACATCTTAAAAAAGTCAATGCCCCTCAAAGATTATCGAGCTAAGCAAACAGAAATAGATAAACAACACGAAGGACTAAATTCAGATCAACTTGAAAGGCTTTACTGGAAAAGTTTAGCATTTAGTCCTCCTCTTTATGGAGCCGATATAAAGCTTAGTCTTATGGATGTTGACAATTCTTGGAACCTTAACCAAATTACAAGTTTACTCAATTTTGGACTCAAGAATCGCATCCCAGGAGTCAATGAACCTTATATTTATGTTGGTTCCTGGAAAACATTTTTTGCTTGGCACAAAGAAGATTTAGATCTTTGCAGTGTCAATTACCTTCACGTTGGCAAAGACAAGTAAAGACTTTATGTAATTATTATTAGGTTTTGGTATTCAATACCTGAAGCTGATAGTCATCTTCTTGAAAAATATGCTAAATAGATATATGGAGATCATTTTACTAAGTGTTCAGAATATTTGAGACATAAAACAACAGTTATAAATCCGTATTTGCTTAAGGAGAAAATTCCTGAAATTAGAATTTCAAAAATGGCTCATCATTAAGGAGAATTTATGTTTATTTTTGCCGGAGCCTACCATTAAGGATTCAACTGTGGATTCAACGTTGCTGAAGCAGTCAATTTAGCCACTCTTAACTGGTTACCTTTACTCTTAGAAGCAAAAACTTGTCTATGTGTCAAAGATAATGTCAAAATTGATTCTATTAGTTTTGCTGAAAATCTAAAACGTTCCAATAAATTTAAAGAGGATGAAAGAGTCAAAAACTTCTTGGAAAAGACCAAATCCATGCAAAGCATACTACGGAAAAACATTAAGAAAATTAGAGTATGATTAATTAAAATAACTATTACGAAATATTCTTATATTTTATAAATCTACTAATATATTATAAATTGTAATAATCAATTTTCCTCCTCATATGATTATTCATCTTTCTTTTGATTCTAAAAGGGATCAATTTTGACATTCTTGTCATAATTTATCTTTGGGAGCAGATCAGAATCCTGACTATCTCCAATTATGTCTTATTGTTTAGACTGCTAATTATAATAAAAATATAGTACAGCCTTCAAGTCCTTAACATATTTTCTTAAGAGAGGTTTATTAGTGAGTTTGATCTATTCTGAATTGAGTTTATCAAACATGCTCTACTCCACTACATTGCCTGTAATTGGGATTGTATAGATGGAATGTTTTGACATAATTTAAAGTTCATCAGAAAATTGTCCAACTCTTTCTGCATCTATTTGAACGAATACTTCTCTGACTAAACCGAGAGATATCTAAAAATAATTAATTAATTAGGATACCGAGCCCATCTATTTCATTAAAGCTTTGATATTTGTATTTAAAGGTTACTTTAAAACTATGCGTTAAGCCATGATATCCTCATTTTTAACCGAAATTTTAATCTCGTATGATCCACCTTGCTTAAGTTCTCCAAACTAAACATTTATGGGATAAATCAATAGATCCTTCTTTAACCTATCATTGATATCGCTTGTAACCATGAGATTCTTTTTATCTATAAGATCATCCAAATTATTTTTCTTATCTAAAGTCCTTATGATGGTTTGATGCATGCCTTCATTTCTAAGTTGACTAATAGGAGCAGCTTATTGATAAACTCTTGTAGCCATAGAACTAATTTTTATTCTATTGTCTGTGGAGGCATCTGTTAGAATATACTTTTAATTCAATTCAGATTTTGGATTAGTTTTAAGAAGACAAGGTACTAATTTAATATCTTTTCTTTCCTTTCCATAAACATCAAAATCTCTCTTCTTTACTTATCTATATCTAATTGAGTCATCAAGTTGTTTTCTTTATTTAACTTCATCATCAATTTCTGCTTGAGTAAAAACAGAGGGTTTAATGATCACTTTTGTGAGGTTATTTGTATTATTATATTAAGGTGTAGGCAATTAAGGTTATTCTAATGGAATAATTCCTTCAGGCAGTGTCTTTTAAGCTTCTTGCTGATTTTATGTTAACTATTGTTATTATTGTTCCTCTGTAGGTTAGACTATTCTTTCTCTTGGCTTTTTGATTGGAGGATTTTCTGGAGCTGTTTTCAAATATTCATGTCCTTCTTTTGTATCAAAGTAATTTTAGACAAACCCTTTGGCTTCAGCAGTTGGTTTTATGGATTTTTGGAGCGAAATAGTTTGTACTTTCCTTTGTACATCAACAAATACTTATTAGACTACTTATTAGACTTTAGTTGTTCTAACTAGAGTCTATTCAAGGTGTTCGACTGCATTGGATGCCATATCAGGCAAAGCAATTTTACTTTTGGCTTGATCATAGGATTCATATGAATAATCAGTTCTTCTGCTTTCCAAAATTTTCATTTGGATAATAAATTCAGCATCTCTTTCATCTTCTGACTTTTGTATAACTCCAAATTCATTTTAAGCTTTCTACATAGCCTTCTACCAAACTTCATATTTTTACAATGACTATTCATGAAGAGCTCTTTGATCTTTATCAAAAGGAAGGTACTCCAAGAAATTACGATAGGTAAAGACTTTATGAGGAATGATAGTTGTTTTTTAAACTGTTTTGGGTACAATATCAAGTGTTTATGGTATTTTGACTTCGATGAACTTTTTGGTAAGATTCTTCAATTCAGTGATAAATGAAATCGACTTGACATTATTTGGTAATTCATCAATCAATTTATTACAGAATGGATTTTCTGATTTAAGTCTGAAGTAATCCTATAATTGAGTTTGATTAAATAATTCCACGCCTGTGTTATCATTTTTAACTAAAAATAATCTGGGAGGAACCCATGATTTTGGTGGTGGAAGTACTTTGTTTTCCTCATCAACAAATAAGCCATCTGGAATGTAATCAGGAGTAGAGGGTTCTTGATTTAATGATACTGAAATCTTAGATGTAACATTTCCATCCTCATCAATTTAGAAATAATTGGATTCTTCATCTTTAGTAAAGATACATTTTCTAGTCAAATCAATTGTATAAACTCCAGCTTTACGTTCGTCTGAAACAGAAAACAATTACAACCAATAGTCAATGTCTTAACCCAATGGTTTCTTCTCTCCTTTATTATTGAGTCTGACTCTCTCTTCAGCAGTGACAATGACTATTTCCCCATCATCAACTACCTTAGCAACACTCCCATCATGAGTGTACATCAAATGAATTCGATTAGTCTTATATTACTTGTACTCTGGTAGTTCTTATTTTTCGATATAAGAGATCACCTTGCATCCTGAATAAAAGGTTTCTACCACTCTACCATCATTACTTCTTTCGAAGATATTGTCAAAACCCACATTTGCATAAGCACTGCCCATTCCAATGATAGTTCCAGTTCTCTATTTGACCTTATCGATTGTGACTACAACACTAGCAAAATTAGGATGTTCCACAATCACCTTATCTCCTTTTATAAGCATTATGGTTCCATCGTAATGTTAAGTATACTGAGATCCATCCTTGTAATAAATGATGAGAGTTTGATCATCTCGAATATAAACTTTGGCACCACTCTCAGGATCATTTTTTGTGGCGCATGGGACTTTTTCTATTCCCTTCTATGATTTTCTAACTCCCTTATTATTAGTCGTTATCCACATGTCATTTTTGTACATAGAGACATTACCATTTGCATATAACACTATGATTGATCCATCTTTCTTATACACTATTACTGTTCCTTATCCTGTAATAACTCTTTTAATTTCTAATTCATGATTGATTTCTGCATTATCATATAAATTTAGCAATGTCTGAGTCTACTCTTATGGTTTTTGATAAAGATATTATTAAACTACTTCTCCCTTCTGAGTAAACCTTAAACAAAGACCATTTTTAAATGTCAAATTCATTATTTGATCTTGGGCACTCATTCTCAAATCTCTAAATTAAGCATAAAAACCTCCTTGTATTCCAAAAACCACATTCTCTTTAATAACTCTGTATCTTATACGTTCTACCTCTCCTACAGTAAATTTGGTGGCAATTATTAATGAATTATCAGTGGGATACATGATTTTTGATCTCTCAGTAATAGCCCCAATTTATTAGTAGTCAATATCATAATAGTATTCACTATTAAAGTTACGAACTTGGATAAAGTATTCTAAATTAGGTAAAACTCTCCATTCAGCTGACCATTTTTTTCTTAATGTTCTGCCAGGAGGATTCTTATAATAACAACAAACCATAAGAGCATCATCATCAGGTAAATATTTTAGAACTACTTGAGGATCGTGTAATAATGCTTCATAAAACTGTTATCTTAGTGTATTTTTATTATGTCTCTCTAAGTAAATACGATCACCTAAATACCAGTCTTATTCTGGTTCATTTTCTTTGAGTAATTCCTCAAAAGACAAGAGAAGTTGCCTTCTTTCAAATTCACTTACATCCACATTTATAAATGGATGCAACTTGGCCTTATTAGCCTTTCGTAATTTCTCTGATTTCTCTGCTATTTCAGGCATACCTTGTCTATCAATACCAGGAAAACATAAGTTGTCAAAGATCTTATGTTCTCTCTCGACGATAAATTATTAGTCATGTAATTAACCAAAATGTCCTCTTAATTCAATCCAATCACATTCGTCCAATATTAATTATTTGGCACCTTCTATTTATTGTTACTCTTTCTTTTGGTTTGCCAAAAGCCTATTAACTTGTTCTGCATCCTCTTAGTCCTCTAAACATGGAGGTACTTTAGAACTTTAAATATAAGCAGCCTCAGCAGATAATTAATCTAATAAACATTCTAATAGGATGCAAGGTCCTACTTTTGACAATTGCACATCAGATAATTATCGCTTATAATATTATAAATGTAATTTGGCTTTCATTTTCTGTTGTTATTCCAAAGCTTCTTCAATCTATTATTTTCTCAATTCATTTTATTTGTTCTTCTCTATTTCTGCTAATCTCTCAGCTTCTAATTCAGCATCAGTTTTCTTAGCATCTTTCTTTGCTCCTTTTTTGTTCTTTTCTGCAGCAACTGCCTCTTCTGCTGCTTTCTGTTGTTCCTCTGCTTGATGAGCCTCATGCTTAATACGTTCAACTTCTAAATCGAATGGATCTTTGGGTGCTTCCTTGGTAATCAAAGGAATTGGTTTCTTATTCACAATCCATTCATTAAATTGCTATTGATCTACGCTAAATTGGCAGATCTCCTCAATCAATTATTCATGGAATTATTTAAGTGTTTCTTCCTCAACTTCCAAATCCATTTCCAAGATCAATTCCTTAATAGTTAGCTATCTAAGTGGATCTGTCTTTTGCGAACCATTTCTTTGTTTTTTAATTTCTTCAATGACTGCCCTTTCTGCAGCAGTATAATGTAGAGATTCTTCTGAGTAAGATCTCTTAATTGTAACTGGCTATACGAATTCCTCCATGCGCTTCTCCAATTCTTCTTAGAAATCTTCTCCTTGTTCCAAGAGATTCATGTCAACTCCACCCCAATTAGTTACTTTCTCTTTGACATGCATGATTAATTCAATTTATTCTTATGGTACCTGAGGGAACCCTTGGACAATGAAAACAATGTCAAAATTCTTAGTGTACTCCTTTTCAGGCACAGCCTTTTCAGGTTCAGGAATTGGTGCAACTGCCGCTGCTTCTTTGCCTCCCTTCTTTGCATCCTTCTTGTCGTCTTTCTTTGGGGGAGCAGCTTTCTCTGCTGCCAATGCTTGAGCTGCCTAATACTTGGCTTTCCTTATTGACAAGACTTAATCTTAAATGAACATCTAAAATCCCTTATTCATAACATCTGATGTCAATTCCGTAGCTACTTCTGCCATAAATTTAGAATCCTATTATCAATACCAACACTCTACTTTCTTTTATTTATCAGTCAAAGTAGCAGGATCGACATACAACTATTTCTCCTTACAAAAGTTGATTATTTCTTCTCTAGTTACATTCTTCTGAAATGATTTGCATTCCTTAAGTAAGTTGAATAATTTTCCAGCACGAGCCTTTCCTGCCTCAATTCGAATCCCCACGCAAAGATGCTTGAGTGGTGGTAATGCATTCAAGTCAACTTCATCCTTTTTAGGTGGCATTTTTATTATATTAATTAATCCTTTATAATGTAAACCAATCATTAAAACTCAATATCTTCAAAGACATCTCTCTTATTTTTACTATCTTCAGAATACTCCTGATTGACCACCTACTTTCGTTATGTATGATAGAAATGCCTCTATTAAATGTTTTTATACTTAAAAGAAATATATTTAATTATTTTAAAAAGAATTGAGGTTTCACATCATTGACAGGCATTTTATAATGTGATTATTAACCAATTAAAACCAGGAAATTAATAGACTCTTAAGTACGAGATGTTTATTATGAGCACCATTAATTTAATTAAGATGTCAGGTTCTCCTGTGTCAGTCTCATCATAAGAAGAATATATGGTCGAAGCAATTACGAATAAACGAGTCAAGAATGGAAGAACTGAGTACGAAGTAAAATGGTAGGGATATTCTGATAATGAAAAAACTTGGGAACCTATTGAAAATCTACAATCTGTTATGACTTATGTGCTTGATTTCGAACAGGCTTTGAAACAAAAATAAGCTCAAGAAGTTGGAGAGGGCAATTATGATGATGGTGATTCCGCAGATGAAATTTTGTAAATTAGAAAGGACAACGATGGACAAAACCTCCTATTTTAGGTCTCATGGAAACAAAAAAATAACCGAGCACCAAAAGTATCATGGATTAATCAAAATACACTGAAAACACACAATCCAGAAATTTTGATTGATTATCTCTTGAAGAAAATCAAATGGCCAAATAATAAATGAGATAATTTTATTATTATTATAATTATTATAATGAATAATTCAAATAAATTCATAAATACTCTATATGGATCTTTAAAGATTTTTGACATCCAAGAGATATGGAAAATCCATTCAACAAGAAGATACGACACAAATATGATTAATATTTCTATTCAAAATGTAATCAAAAAAAATTATATTTTAATCTCAGACCTATTGAAAACCCAATCGAAAACAATTAACTGGCCTCACATTTGATCAAAACTTCATTTTCTTTCCTTTAAATTTTCTTCTTTGTCTCCGTCCTATAATTTATATTATTGTTAAAAACTCTTCCATATTTAATATTCTTATACAAATAGAAATAAAAAATCATCATAGGGATTCACCAAACATACTCCATACAATGCTTTTTCTCAATACCAATTACAGAAATTATCTGGAAACGAGAAGCTTTATCTTTAATTTTTTTAGTATAACCGCACATTTTGATACCATACTCCCTCTTAGCCTTTCGTTTTTATCTTTTATGAAAAACTATTGTTTTTGCTGTTGCATATTTTATACCAAGAATTTTTGCAGCCTATAATCTTTAATTCTTAATTGTTTACTTCTTTTATTTTCTTTCCTTCTTACTAAACCATTTAATGAAGCTCTTATTTAGTCTTTAGTGGCACCTTCATATATTTCTTACTTTTCTCTTTTACAGGCTTATAAATATTTTCGATTACTTAATTGTCTTTTACATTTGTTGTTTTTGGACTAGGTACTTCTGAAAACACCTAATTATCTATTATATTGTGGAGAACCATGATAACAAATTATCTTATAATAAAATTATTAATGATCCATCTAAATCATTACATCTATTTAAATTTAGAATTGAATAAAGTGTTATTCATATAAAATCATTTTTTAATTATAATTTATTCATGTTTGTGTAACCAAAGATTAGATATTGTAACCCTTAAATAGAATCATTTATTTAAGTTATCCATCATCATCTACAGAAATATAGATTCAATATTTAATTTTTTTTGAACTGAACATCTCTTATCGAGTCATAAATATTTTATATTATTTAATATATATCTCAATTCTTCCTAATGTTCCAATAATAAAACTCATTTTATTTTAATATAAAAACGGGTAGAGGTTGAAAATTTAATCAATCAAGGTCTATAATATTTATGCAAAATAACAAAATAATTAATAAAAACTATAAATATTTATTAGCAAAGTTCTTCCTTTAAAATTTACATCATTTAATAATATAATTAATTAAAATTAAATTTAAGAATGAGAATTTTTCGACAAGCTTTTGAATAATTAGGTGGTAGTAGATCACGCACTAAGTCTGATCCTCGTTAACAAGAAGACGTATGTATAGTACCACCTGAGGAATATTTCAAATAAGAACGACCTCAACCACTTACAAGACAATTTTTCACAATGCTGTCTACTCTTGAATAAAAAATAGTTAAGGAATGCACTGTTGAACGTGTTAATCAAGTAGTGCAAATGTATTAGCAATGCATAGAGTTTTATGACAGTCGAAAAGATGACATCAAGTACTACTTTGTTGACAAAATCTAAAATGCACTTTATGAAATGCAATAAATTAGCTGTCTAAAGACTCGGCTTGTTACTGAAGTATAATCACCAGTTAACTAAAAAATTACTAATCTATCGCCTATTCTAATAGAAGAAGATGAGCATTATATTCGCAATAAAAAAAAAGAAAAATCTATTAAGCTTGCAATTTAAGAATAAGTCATTTAGGTTGTAAAATATCAACCAGAAAAGGTTCAAGGCATGGTAGATGAGTATCATGAGAAGCTAGATTAGTAATAAATTCAATAAATGTTAGACACGCCTCTCTGATAAAAAAGAGTGTCAATTAACAAGAAAGCTAGTTTAATGAACGTTTGAGAAAGAGAAGTATAAATAAAAAATCCATGTAGCGGTGCAATTCTAGCGGCTTATTGGAATAAAATTAATGACTTTATGTTTATATATATTTCAAATACATCTTCTGATCATCTTTTCTGTATTTAAATACAATATCATAAATATAATTGTTTATTCATAAAAATGAGGTTTATTTAAATGTACAAATATTAGACAGTTTAGCGAAGGCATTTAAATTTTTTAACTGTTATTATTTTATATTTCAAATTTATGAACAGATATTTATAAATTATAAACTAACTTTTTCCTTCATTTTTGAATGAGAAGTGTTATATAGATACTTTATTAAATAATTAAATCTAAATAAATCTTAATAACATTGCCTTCGTTTAATGCAATTAGAAGGCGAAATCAAAAATATTTTGTAAATTTAAAAATTTTTAGGATAAATAATCATTCCTAATTACACATTTTCATTAATTAGGTTATTCAAAACTCTACTTATTTTAAGATGATTGAGGTGAGATCCCATTTAATTTTGTAATGAGGTGCACATCATCTATTAAATATTTTAGATACAGTTTCTTAGAGAAATAAGCTTCTATGCAAAATAAACTATGAGTTCAAAGAGAGTTAAAAACTTTTAGTTTTTATATTTAATTCACAACTATATTAGACTTTAACTTACTCTAATTTATCATTAATGGAAGAAAAAAATTAAAAAAAATAGAAATAAATGAGATTCGAGAAAAATTGTTTAAATAGAAACAACGTTGCACATAACAGTAAAAAAAAATCAACTTTGTTAAAATAATTTCTATCAGGTTTATCATTATATGTTGTTATTGCCTTATTTGGAAGCTAATTTGAATCATTACAATTTAAAAGAAAAATATATTAATTTTCAATAAACTGTATAAAAGGAGTTTTAAACACGAAGATTAATAAATTTTAGGCAAATTAGGAGGGAAATAAATTTATTTTTGATTATGGTATTACCTTGACTTATATCAGAAAATACAATAGTAGTATTAATAAAAAAAAGAAATGTATGAAAATTCTAAATATGATACTATTATTTTATTTTATATTAACTGACTAGTATTGAATAATAATAAAAGTAATAAAAGAAAATTTCTGAATTAATAATTTATAGACATAAGAACATTACGAGGAATTTGATAGGAAAACATTGAGTCCATGTTCTATGAAAGATCTAAGAAAGGATACTCTTTTATGTTTTCATTCTTAACAGCCTGTAAAATTAGATTTATTTTATAACACATTATAATATTAAATTTTCAACAGCATTGCTTTTCTTATTATTATTAATTTTATGGAGTAACTTATAGTTGTAAAGGTTTCGATAATTAAGCAACATCATCTATGGGTTCATTTCTACTTGTATTTTGTCTCGAATTTGCAGGAGTCTTTTTGATTGTTTTTATTGAGTTTTTAAATGATTCGCTTGTAAACATACGCATAATCACCAGTTTAACAGCTTCTACAAAAGCCTTAAAAATGAATCACTATTTTTTACTTTTTCTACATTTTCTCCAGTTTTGGCGGAAGTCTCAAAAAATAAACTAAAATTATTATCATTCATAAATTTTTCTGCCTCTTTCTTTGATACGTCTCTTTCTAAATCCGATTTATTTCCTACTAAAATTTTAACGATTTCTTCATGAGCACTCTCCTATAATTCGTGTAACCATTCATGTAATTTCTCGAAGGAATCTCTTTGATTTACTCCGTATAACACAAAAACTGCAGCTGCGCCACGATAAAAACTCTTTATCATACTACGAAATTATTCTTATCCAGCCTATTTTATATGACCTGATATTACAGTATCCCAAATCTATAACTCAACCTTGCGTTTATCCACAACAACCATTTTTTTTACAAATTCTACTCCTATAGTTGGTTTATGAGTTTCTATGAAAATGGATTCGGAATATTATTTTACAAAGCTACTTTTGCCCACAGCTAAGTCTGACATACCCACTTACATTGATCTCCTACGACTATAAACTTAAACATCGGCACAGTCTCTTTATTCATATTAATATTATTAGACTTTAATTGATATTATCAATTAGTACATCTTTAATTACTCCCCTGTAAATTTTGGATATCAAGTAGAGTTGCCATCAATGTAAGCACAACCTTTATGTGAATTAGAGTCTCTGCATAAAATTCTATCATAATGAAAGTTTTATTTAGAATCTCGTTTTTTTGGAGAGAGACTGTTGAAATATTATTTATAAATATAAGTATATCTGATAGGTTATTCATAATATTTGGCTATCCTAAAACTCAAATTCGGAGTCTGATTGATAAACACTGTTAATGGTCTCTAAATCGTCAATGCTATAGAACTAAGCCAAAGCCCCTTATCTATAAATCTACAGTGCATGAATAAACTATTCAGGATTAACACAAGGACTAAAGTCCCCAGCAAACCTGACATAATTTGTTTACTTCAATAGCTAAGCATTTATTTTGGCTAGAATTAGTTATAAATTAATTACCTAATTCCGACAGGCCAACTTAGAATTTTTATTTAATTTGTTCTTAATTCTAGACTTAAATCAACTGTAAGTGATTTCTAGAAATATTTATAAAAAAATTACTAAAATGCCAGTGTATTAAACTAGTATTTCTAACGGTGATCATCATTAAGAACTTGCTTAATCTGTGGAATCCTATAGAGAGTTTTTTAAGCAGGTTTATAAATTGATCTTGCAATCACTTTTGCAAAACGAAATAATTTATTCATTTTTAATAATTCAATATATTGATTCATAATTTTCTATATATATTTCATAAAATCCAATAATATTTTGTTTTTGCTCAATATGATTACAATTTCAATTAGAGCTTTCACTTATTGGTGTTCTCCTTGACAAAGTTTATAAATTTTTAATATTAGATGTCAATACATATATATGAATAATAATTTAAAAATTAGTTTTCGATTAGTTCATAATAGAAAGAAGTGTACAAGTGTCAAGCTAGCCCTCCTAGCTCAGTTGGTCAGAGCGTTGGCCTTTTAAGCCAAATGTCAAGGGTTCGACCCCCTTGGAGGGCGGTTCTTTTTTATTTTTTAATAATTCATAAATTAATTACATTTAATTAAAAACTAAATACTACAGTATAATCAATTGAATCTTTAAAGATTTAAATATTCAGGGTATTTACTATGAAATGTTTAAGTTAATTCTTCAACTTTTTGTATACATTCCACATAATCTGCTAACTCCAATTATCCAATTCTCAAAAGGGTATGCTACTAGTAAATTTATAATATATTACATACAGTCTATAATAATTATTTTTTAAAGTTGATTGGTAATTATTCAAAATGCAATTCAACATAATTTAAAATAGTAAATCCTAAGACACTGGCTGCTAATAAATATTATTGGTATTGTATAATGGCATAATCATGATAACACATCTTGAGTGTGTACACAGCTGTTTCTTAAATTATTTAGAGTGCTTGGCTAAAAATATCATATAATATAGAATACTTTTTTGATTATCCAAATAATTAGAGAAATAAATATTGTAAATAGTCATTAACAGTAGGAAAACAAGTATCGAAATTTAAAGTTTCAAGGATTATCTATTCCTATTACTTGATTTAAAACAAAGAGAAGTTATTATGAGAAAGATCTTAGATAATAGTTTTAATGGAGAGTTGATAAATATCCTCAATTTTTGATGCAATTAGTATACAAGTTACTCCAATTAAATACATATCCAATTCATTTAAATTGTAGGAGCTCCTCAGGTATGCATCCAATAAGTTGGCAGCTCTAAAAAAAGTAAGATCATTATTTGAGTAATCGTCGTTATTGGATGCAAAAACTTCAATCATCCAATCAATCATTTTGCCTCTTGCCCATTCTCTTATTCTATGATTAGCCAGACATTGACTAGAGACATTCTAATCATCTAGTAAATTTTGGAGGTTATCATTCTAGTATGATTTATTATAATCTTCAATTCTTTTAATCTGGGGATCTTAAGAAGATTCTTGATCATCCTTTTCAATCAACTATTTGTTTCCAACTTAGAGAAATTCTAGCATTTCAAGTAAAGAATTTTCTTGTAATTCTGATGATGGAGTAGTATCAATGGATGATTAACTTTATTTTTGTTTTTGTTTTTATTTTATGATTAATTTATTAATTTGAAGTTCTCTTTGTTATTATCTTGTAATCATTAATAGATTTATTTCTAACTTTGCAATAAATTTATCATAAATTTGAAATATAAATTATGTAAAAATTCACTTAAATGTGGGAGAAAATCACTAAGTATATATTTATAATTATATTCATTATACTAAGATTTTTTTTATCATATACTATTTACATGAACATGCATGTAATCTACCCATCTTTAGCATTTATAGATTTTGTTCTATAGTTATGGTATTAACTATTAAGATATTTTAATAAATTCTAAGATTATGATTTAACTAATAATCCATAAACTTATTTTCATATAAAGAGATAAAGAACCTATCATCAAAGATGCTCAAACAAGAATAATTCTAATATAGAAATTAAGTAAGTTGTGTTATATATTGATAAAAATAATATAATATTTGTATTGTGCTTTACATAAATATCTATTTTGATATGTCATTTTTTTTAAATTGAATAGAAATATTTAGACAACCAAAAGACAATCATGGCTCCGAATGATAAAAATAGGCAAAACAGATTTTACAATATGGTTAATGGAGCAGTCTTAAAGTACTTGCCTCCAGCATATATGATAACTTATTGAATTATTATCAATCCAATGATCATGACAGTAAATGGTTTATTCTTTTGGATACCTTCAAATACATTGTATTCATGTTAACCAATTCTACGACTGCATATTAAATTGACAATCTAGAAATTAGCAGTTAAATGATAGACAAGAGTATAATGAACAGCCCATTCAGATACAAACTCTGCTCCTAAAGCATGTAAATCATGCTTATAAGATGGTCTATTTGCATATCAATTATAATTACTCAATGCCAAAAATTAATGGAGTCAAAAAGAGAACAATCAAAGTAGCCAAATATTGGAATACAGCTTATGTGCAAGTCATTTATAATAAAAACTTGTCTATGATATTTTCTCCTCTTTTAGCAGGCTTAGTTCTATTTAAGATATCATCCTAAGGAATCTCTGTACTAAGGGCGATGGCTGAAAATATATCTTATACTCTAAAAAATGATATCTTAAAATTACAAGCTCAACCAAATGACTTCTAAGACAGTATATGGTTATTATTTCAAAACAATAGAAGCAGTTAGCATGATGGCAATTGAATTCAAAAAGAAACTCAATTAGAAATAGATGAATCTTTTAATATTTAAGAAGATGTTTCTGCCATATTTCATACATAGTTCGATGCCATCTAATTTATCATCCATCAATATTACTCCACTACATTCTCTAGCTATGTTAGTGGCAGTTTTTCCTAATGTAATACCAACAGCTGCAGTTTACAAAGCAATAGCATCATTATTTCCATCTCCAACATATCCAATAGTGGATTCATTGATATTGGAATACACCTCCAAAAATTGATGCTTCTAATGTTAATTTAGATCGGCTAAGATTTATAGTACTTTGTTCATATTTGAGACTGCCTAAGATTTATAGATTAAATAATACTTTGCTAGCAATGGCATCATCTAAAATCTCTGGAATTTTGGATACAATGTTTTTTTCATTAACTTCTTAATGAGTGTAATAGATTTTGGAATCATTAAGGATCTTTCTGATTCTAATGACATATTCTTAGAAATTCAAAATCAATATGGTCTTTAATGCTGCTGAAGATGGAATTTATTAATGATCAAACTTATTATTCAAGAGTGGAGCAATTTCATCTTGTGGACATTCCATTATAGCTGATGTAATCTTGATAGCTTATTACTCATCAGCATTAATGAATGGTGGTTCGATGATATTAGGTTAATCCATTTGAGAAGACTTTGGTAAATGTTCACTAATTCTTTAAATTTCAAGATCTGCTTGATCACTACTTACCCACCCTAATTGTTTGGCTACATTAACTGCATTCACTCTAGTGTCTCCAGTCAATATCATCACACTCATACTGCCCATTTTCAAAGCACTATCTAATCTCTTGGCTTCCTGTCTGATGTCATCTCTCATAGCTATTGTTCCAATGTAAGTAAAGTTATTCTAAGTGATTAATTGGTTCCAATCTTATTCAATCAAATTGTTTATTTAGACATCTCGATAAGCAAATGATATTGTTTTTAGCGATTAAGAATTGTAATTTAAAACAGCCTTCTTTTCTAACTCTGAAAACTCTTAGTTCATCACTTGATTGCAACAATCTTACAATAGAAATCGTCCTGGTTCATATAACTCGAAATCTCTATTATCTGGAATTGAGATATTGAGTTAACTGCATTTTTCAATAATTTCTTTGGATTTGCCTTTCAAGATGATCCTGTATTTGTCACCTCTTATCTACAAAACCTCAGTATGGAATCCATAATTATTAATTGGAATTGTTTTTCTAATTTGATTCTTTAGATCCTCTAAATATTCATAAACGAATTCCCTTTTCAGTTTCTATTCCACATAATCAATTAGAGCAACATCCAATCTATTACCACTCCAATCACTTTTTATGGATCCCTCTTTAACACTTGTGGATTTAATAGATTTTGAAGAGGAACTCTTTGATTTTTAAGATTTCTTATTTGATTTTCCACTATGTTCAGATAGACCCTCCTCTTGTTCACCCTATTTGATTTAGTTGATAATTTCTTCTGATAAAAAGGCTGAATTTGTAGATAATACTGCCTCTGCTAACATTCTAAAAATAGGATCCTTAGATTGCAGATTATGGAACCTTTCCTCACTTGCAATGTGAACATTACTAACCTTGAGATTATTATAGGTTAACGTTCCAGTTTTATCAAAGCAAATAGTGTCAATACCACCCAAAACTTAACAAACATGCAAATTTCTTATCACAATGTCTTGCTATCTCAATTTAGCTATCGAAAAAGCCAAAGATAATGTCACAATTAATGGCAATCCTTCTGGAATAGAGAGTACTATGATAAGGAAAGCATCAATAAAATCTGATAAGACCTTCTTTAAAGTAAATTAGGAGAAGATTTTCTCTTGTAATTCTTATAGTTCTCTAACCATATACAATTCTAAAATAATAAACATAGCCAAAGCACTCATGCAACCAATGAAGACTAAGAATTTAGCCAACGTTTCTAATGCTTTTGCAAGTGGAGATCGTTCATCATGAATCAATTCCTCTTCCCCCTCTTCCTTAATTTAATTATCATGCTTCATTCTGTTTGAGTATGTAAATTTACCCACAGCTAAAACTATCACTTTTGATGTTCCTTCAAAAATATTGCTACCTCCTCTTATAAAACAATTCTTGCCTCTTGATATAGGTTATTTGGATAATGAATCAGTTAAACCAGTTATCATACTTTCATCTACTTCTACAGTTTCAGTTCCATCAATGAGTATTCCATCTACAGTCACGTTATCTCCTGGTTTTATTGTCATGATGTCTCCTACAACAAGGTCAAGATGATTCAATTATTAGATCACTCCGTTTCGAACCACTTAAAATAGTTTCTTCTATTGTTCTTCCTATTCCAAATACAATTGTCTAAATTATTTTTCCTTTCTATAGTCGGTCATTGCACCAATGATAACCACTGCACAAATTGCAATAAGAATTGAAAATGCTTACACTATCTATTCGAATGGTTCTTCAGAGAATAAAGCCATCAGAAACATTATTACTGTTGCAAGTGCTAAGATTCGAATACAGAAATCCTTGCTCTATTTGTACATACACATATAAAAGGGAGATAAGGCAGGTGGATCCAACTTATTACTACCAAATTGCTCTACTCTATCACTCACATCTTAAATTCCACTTTTTGGATCACTTTCCAAACTTCTGAATATTTATTCAACACCCCTTCTATTTACATTACAACTTACCCTATTTGATCTAATATTTCAGTCGATTGACCAGATTACAAGTTGCCTGTGTCAAACATACTTTACAATTAGGGATAAGATATCTAAAATCTTTACTAATCCATAATTGTAATTCGTTTTTTAATTATTATATAAAAATAACCTTAAAAATTTATCAATATTAATTCAACCCAACTAAGTTATTTCATTCGAACCCTCTCTTTGAAATCAAAAAATAGATAAAATTACATTAATCTTAATACACATTCACACTCATTTATTTAATTCCTCTTCATAGATTTAATTTATTAATTTTAATCTCTCCTGTTCTCTTTTAAGTTCGTCCAATCCCTCCTTTATCTTGGAATCCTTATTGTAGAAATGCGAAATTCTATTCAAAGTATCAGTACTGAGATTATAGACATTTTGATCATTCCTATTGATTCTCTCCTTCTCTGTTTGCAATTGCTTTTGAACTTACTACCTCTTTTCCTCTTTCATAAAGTGCTTAACCTTCAGAAATCCATCATTAGATTGTAACACTGCGTTACTCTAGAATATATTTATTTATTTACAGCTGCTTCAGTTGTATGGAAAGTGATCGTTGCTTTTCTCTTATTATCCTAAATTTTAATTTCCTGAATAGCTCCATAGTTTTTAAACAATAGACTTAACAAATCAGAAGTATATAACTAATCCTTTGCCCACTTGATCTTAATTGTATTTAATCTCTTATACAGATCTTGATTTTGCAACTCAAATTAAATTAATTTCTCCTATTTCTATTTCTTCTCATTCTCTTCAAATTTTCTCTATTCTTCCATCCTAGCTATCTTAAATATAAGACATTAATACTTCTTCATTCACTTTCATTTGCTTTACTACTTCATCCTATTACCTCTATTTCTCAGCAAATTATTCTCTTCTCTTTAAATCCTCTGCATATTATTTCTATTCGTTGCTCATTTTGCTATGCTCTTGTTGTCTGAATTTCTAATGTTCAACATATTTATGGATGTCTGTCAAATTATTCACAATGAACTCATATGCTTTTTAAATCTTTATGAATATCTCCTTAGTATTTAAATTTTTATCAGGATGATATTTCCTAGCCAATTCTTTGTATTATGATTTTATCTCCTTTATATCTGCTGTCATGTCGAGTTCAAGAGTTTCAAATGGATTCCCATTTTTTTTTATAAAATCGATAATATTATTCATTATATTTAATATATTCACAGTCCTAATCCACAATTTTATTAATTTACTTTGACTTTTTCTTGTTTCTAAATGGTTATGAGCAGATTAATCGTTCATTAAGCAGTTAGATTTCGGTAGAAAATAATATATTCCTTCAATCTTAATAATGCTCTCTTTTGCAGTCATTCGAATTCTATCCTTGAAGTTGTTTCTTATTCTCTCTCTTCATTTTCTTAATTATCGATAACACACATGGACAATATATATTCTTAAGGTGATAGTCTTGGAATATGAAAATTATTAAATTTTTCATGGCATTATAATTTATTAAATTGATATTTAGTATCTTATAAAGTCAAAATATATATATATTTTTTGATATTCCCTAAAGAAAAGAGGATATTAATATAATAGTATAATAGTTAGTAGAAAATAAATGTAGGATAATTTTGTAATTTTGATTTTCTATTTTAAAATAAGAATCATTTTTTCCAATTTGAATTATTTATCAAATCTAACAACATTGAAGCAGCCTATCTATGTTATCAATAATGAATTGTTTACATTTGAATTTTTGCATTTTTACAATTAATTTTTTGCTTCAATAATTTATTTATCATCAGGTTTCCCTTAATATTAGTTTAGAGCAAACAATTTCTTAGCATCAACCTACATCTACATATAATAATTATGCTCTGCATTTAATTGTTCCTGCATTTTCCAAAGCAAGTTTTTTTATTACAATTTCTAATACAGATCAATGCTAGCCTATTGTAATCATGTAACTTACTTAGATCAATTCTTATGATTCTTTAACAACATTTTCATTGATATAATTCAACAATTATTTGATACTCTCCTATTGTAATTCCCCGTTATTCTCATTATTAATCTGTTCTGTATAGCACTCTGTCATAATGAAGTGCTAATAAGCTATCTGTTTTCTTAGTGATTGTAATTCCTCAATCTATTGGTACTTCTATTCGTCGACTTTTTTGTCTTATCGTTATGAAATGCTAGGTCTTTGAATCCAAGTAGGTAATTTTTATATGCTCTCCTCATTGATATCTTCAGCAGAAACAGACTTTTGTAATTCAGAAGTATTGGAGAGATCAAAAATTTGATTCCATGAAGCTCGATTCTCCTCTTCAATGACAAGAGTCTTAGATAAATAGAAACATTTACGATGGTTAGAAATTGCTTTGAAAAAGAGCTGAGATCGTTTTTGAATTATAAGGGTTAAGTTTTGATGTTGTGTAGGAGGTCATCTTCATCCCTGCCCTTCCATGGTACATCAAAGTGTAACATTTCATAAAAGATGACGCCGAGTGACCAGATATCACATTTAGTGCTGTAATGATGTCTTTCCAAGACTTATGGAGCCATGTAGAGGGGACTTCCAACACAGGACTTAAGCAATTGTGAGGAGTAATTCTCAACGTATTTGGCAAATCCGAAATCTGCAATTTTGACAGTACCCATGTCATTGAGAACATTGGCTGGTTTCATATCTCGATGAATGACACCACTCTTAATCAATTCTTTGAAGCCTTCGAGTATTTAGAGCATAATGTCGATGGCCTAGGTCATAGATTGATGAGCGTACTTGTTACTCACTAATATTTTTGCTGGCAATCAATGATTTAAGATCTCCATTACGACACATTTCAGTCACAATGAATAAGGACTTCTTGGTGGCCAAGAGCTCAACAAATTTGACTATGTTCTTGTGATTGAGTTTGCTCATGATTTCTATCTCCTAAACTTGGATGATTTTATATAGATGATTTACCTATTTGTTTACGCAAGTACTTATCCTTTTCGAAGAGTATCAAGTCCAACTTCTTGATGGCAACTGTTTCGTTGTTGAGAGTGTTTAATCCTTCATAGACCTTGCCATATGCTCCTTATCCGAGACAATTTATTTCATCGTATGTATAATGGCCAATTTACTTCATTAATAAAATTATGTTGTTTGAGAAACTCAAGATCTATAACACTCCGGCCAAATTATTGGAGAAATTGCGTGAAGTTCGCAAGCAATAGGAACAGGAAGAATAATAGGGATCGTAAAACAAGGTCCCAGAAACATAGAAGATCGGTACTACGACTTAGCCCTTATCTAGCGAGGCAATCGAGTTAACGAAGCACGTGGACCAGCCTTAATCAGAAGTCTCCCATCGTTAAATCGCAACTCGACATTGTGAAAATGCGAATGCCATCCACCAAAATGAATTCATGTACTCGTATTACAGAGATACCTATACGATAGAGGATGCAAATGCATACTGCTCGCATCAATGACACCGAAGAACTGAAGGAGATGCAACAGAACCTGAGGATGGAGACAATGCAGGATCTCTATCAAGGAGATCAGAAACTCATCGATCAACTAAACGAGGAAGCCCAAGTTTTATCACAAAGACTCGCCATCAAGGAGGAGATTAGTCCTGTGCGTCCATTTAATCGTAAACATCATTAACCAAATTAAACTCAAAGACCATAGAGAAGAGGTGCTACGGTAATAGCTCCTACAAAACTTGAAGATCTCAAGAGACAATAACCTTATCTCTATGAGGATCGTCAGGATCTACCCTATGATGATTTATCAGATCGAGGAAAGTTTCTAAAAAATTATAGATTGGGGAAGTAAGTTACTTTTATCCTACATGAATAGTAAAAACCTACAGAAGATAAATCAAAAGGACTTCAGAAGCACTGCCAAAAATTTCAAGAAACTAGAAGAATATGCTTAATTCTATAAACAACAACCCAACATCTATTTGCAATTAAATAAGAGCTCACAAGGTATTAATTTTATATTGAGCCTCAGTCTACAATATCTTTCAATCTGGTCTTGGCTTAATTAATTCCAATTACACAATCCAAACTGCTGAATCCCAGGGAATGTTGAGGAATGAGTCTAAAATCAGGGTATTCACAGAAGCTCTCTAGTCTCCTCAATGCAAATAGATCACTCAATTGAAACTCAGTCACAATCAATTAACCTCACCAAAAATCAAGAGTTTGGTCGACAACTTCCCTCAACAAATCCAAGATCTGGATCTCAATAATAATGGATTGGATTCCAAAGCCTGTGAAACCTTGGCCAAGTACATGCAGAAATCAAGAGTGAAGAAACTCTCATTGGAAAACAATAAGATTGGAGACTTAGGGGCCAACTATCTCTTTGTGGCTTTGCAAGACAATGATTACCTGACCTTATTAAATCTGAGTCGCAACAATCTGACAGGTAATTTTACGATTATTCCAATTTAGACAATTGTACCAATGATCTATCCAACTATTTGAAGAAATCAAATGTACTTTTTGAATTATATTTACACTTCAATTCCATTAATAGTAAAGGAGGCGTTAACATTTGGAAAGCTCTTTACAAGAATTCAAGTGTAAAAGTGTTTGATATATCATACAATCGCACAGCTTCATTTGAGTGTGCTCAATAAATGGCCAAAGTCATTGCTAAACCATATCCTGAATTGATGCACATAGATGTGTCACATAATGGATTCGATGAACCCTCCTCTATTGAAATAATGAAGGCGCTGAATGTTAACCAAAATATTTATGGGTTTCATTATGAAGGAAATTGTCCCAAATTTGCTGTTGATGCTACTGGTCATCTCAGAGACACAGAAGCAGAAGAATTAATTAGACAGAAAAAAATAGAGGAATGCAGAAAAAACCCATAAACTTCACTTCGATTATTGGATGATGATGCTCCTGTTTAACCGAAAAAGATTGTCCAAAAAAAAGAAGAAATACATTAGGTTCATAGATTTAGAAGGATTTGGGGAATGAAACCTGTTAAATAGAATCAATAATTTGATAAACAAAGAGATTCCTGTTGGATCTGTGAAGGATGGGAAGAAGTCAAATTCACTTGGAGTCCAGGCAAATCTGGAGGTATGAACAATGATCCAATCTTTTTGCATGTCAACTTTGATGGTTATCGTCCTGTTCTAATGAACCCTCATCAAGGAGAATATCATTTATATAGAATGTGTCCACCCAATCAAAGGATTCTGTATTTCTTCAGTAATCCAATTCTTGGAATCTAAACAACCGCAAAAAATTAAATGATTATGCAAACTCCTTAAAATGACCCCATCTCTCAAGGTTTACAAGAATTCCTTTATAACGGAGATATCTTAATTGAAGGTAACAAAATGACTTTTGTGAATGAAGTATTCACTGAAGGAAAACATACTGTAGTTGATAAATATGTTCCTAAGATATTCAGTAAACCCAGAGAGGAGGAACGAACATACGATTTAACTTAGTACATGAATAAAAAACAAGCATTCTGGAGTTATGAAATCTCAATATTCAAAAATTACCAACCTGATAATGATGAATTAATTGATGAATGCTTTGAATATGATTTTCAGACTTCAAAAATTAACAGGATAGTCCGTGATCCTTAGGAATTGATGGAGGTTAAGGAAATCCTAAGGGAATATTACCCATATATCTTTGCTAGTTTTAAATTCTATGCTTCTACTCTGATTGGAGCCAGTGTAAAATAGTTGATTTATATGATTAGATTCCCTGTATATCATCGAATGCGTTTTTTGATTTTATTGGTTAGACTACAGTGTTGACTGACAAATTCAGACCTGGAGACATTGATTTAAATTTCATATCTACATCAAATGTCAAGGATATTCAATATCCGAATGTTTATGAGAAGGCATTAGTAAGATACCAATTTATGGAAGTACTCGTAAGAATAGCTTTGGATAAGTATACTCGAACTGGAATATGTAAATCAATGAAATTGAGCGTCCTGAAGTTATTTGAAGATGATTTAGTCAAGGCCAGATTGCAAGAGATTGATCGAGCTCAGGATTGGAGAGATATGAGATTGTGGAATGAGCAGAGCGATATGTTAATAAGTAACAAAGCATGATTAATAATTTAGAGGATCGATTGCCCATGCTGAAATTATTATTTAAATATACATCCAAGTTGAATCCTAAGTAGAAATTTTATAAACACACTTGGATTCAATTTAAGGATTTCAGAGATCTGATGCTCAGATGCGATTTGTATTGTGACATCTTTGTTGAAAGAGATGCCTATTTGGCATATTTGTTATCGATGCAAACCCAAGTAGATGAGCTATATAGTTTGAGACATTTTTAAATGGAATTCTATGAGTTTATAGAGGCCTTGTGTAGATGTGCTGAGAAACTATCATTAATCAGAACTAAGGACATCTTGAGTATAGATGACAGGAGACAAGAACCACTCCACAAGAAGATCGATGCCTTTTTGCTCCTCATCTACTTGAGGGCTGGAGACGCTATCAAACAGTAATTGAAGGAGGCTGAAGATTTTACTGATTTTGATAAGTGTATGACCAGAAAGCAAAAGACCTTATAATAATAGATAGAGGAGATGGGGAGTGAGGAAGAGGATAAACCTTATAATCCAGCAGTGGAGGCTTCGTCATTGGAGGAACAATTGAAGCAAGTCCCAGTGCAGACAATTTAAACTGGGTCCAAATTGAAGAAGGCCTTGTCTTTCTTCTCTGTTATAAAGTAGATGCAACAGCAGAAGCAATTGAAATCGAATTTCTTATTGACTAATGTTGTGTAGTACTTTAAGCAAAGAGAGGAGGAAATGTTACAGAATGAGATGGAATAAGCGTGACTTTTGATTATATATATATTTATTTATATATAATAATAACATGAAGGATGATTATTCTGAACTAACAACCTTGGGTACTTCGAGTTCCTCTGCATATCGTAGACTAGTATTCTTGCAAAAGAGTGACGTTTCAGAATTGTATACTGATTTAACTAATGATCGAAATGCTTAGTAGAAAAATAAGAAATAACTCTTTTAGAAGAGATTCCAATGTGTCTAAGAAAAGAATGAGAGTTTTGAGGCCCAAGACTAATTGTTAAAAATGGAAATTAACGATTGGTAAGGTTTTTTAGAGAAGGAGCACAATGCCATTTAATAAATCAACAACGAAGATATAACTAAAACTGAAATCAAATCCCCATTAACATTAAAGATGAAGACTAGCCCAAGTATGGTAAGTCCCACAAATGATAGAACAAACTACTTTTATAAGATGAAACTAGGCAAGTATGTTTTCATTAATCAACTTAAGCAAGCAATTATCTGTTATCAGTACTCAAGATTTCTTAAAGACAGTTCGATACTCCTAGAAATTCGAAGATTATTCTAAATTATATAAATAGCAACCACACAATCTCTACTTAAGTCTAAACTTCTCTTAACCTGAAAGAGTCCCCAAGACCTTTGGTTTGATTCAAAATACTCGATCTTTAGTGACTGCAAATGCTAGCAGATCAATAAAAAATAGTGAAGATGGGAATGCATTCTCCAATGCCATGCTTACTTAATAAAGCAGGTAAATTCAAGCGATGTAATTGAATCATAATCAATTCACTCCAAAATAGTTGAGAGATATCCTCCTTACATTTCCAATTACATTGAAAGATTTGGAATTATAAAATTGCAAATTAAATTATATGCACATGGAAATTTTAATGTCATTCGTGGGGAAAAACCAAATTTACAAGTTGAACCTTGAATGCAACAACATTCGTGATCTCGGATCACAAATAATTATGAAGCACCTTCTCAATAATAATACGTTACAATCACTAAATCTTAATAATAATTAAATCACAGAATGTTCAAGTACATCAATTTCGAATCTCTTGAAATAGACTCAACGTCTTTTAGAATTGTATCTTGGTTACAACTATCTAAATGCAAGTGCTGGTACAACCATCTGGAAAGCCATGTATAAAAATACCAGTGTGAAAATATTGGACTTGTCTCATAACAATATTGCATCTCTTGAATGTGCTTAATCCATTAACAAGGCTGTATCTAGACCTTATAATGAATTATTGCATGTAGATCTCTCTTTTAACAAATTCACGTACCCACAAGCATAAATCATAGCGGATGCACTTCAAAAGAATGAAACTATTTATGGTTTTCATTTTGAAGGCAATTAAGCTGAATTATGTGTCAATCCCAATGGATTTTTGATTAACAAAATCGTTTACCATTCCTAATTAAAGGATAAATTGACTCAACTCTACAAATAACCCCAATATTTCAAATTGCTGGAAGAGGCTAAAGTCGAATAAACTCAGATAAGGAGAGAGGAGTCTTTGGTGATGCCTTTTAGTAGATCCAGAAAAATCAGATCGACTAAATTGAATGTTTAGAAGGTGAATGAAATAAATAAGCTGGATACTTGTTGGATATGTGAAGGATGGTAAGAAATTAAGTTTGAATGGACAGCCCATAAATCTGGTAGTTTATACAATGAACCTATCTTTATTCATTTTGATTTTGAAGATTATCGACCTTTATTAATGACATTTCTTAATAATGAGTTCTTTTTTATTAAAATGTGTCCTCCAAATAAAGAAATACATTACTTCTTTACCAATCCAATACTTGGAGTGCAACAACCAGCCATGGATTAAAATATTAAGAGCATGCAAATCTAATCAATCCCATTTTTGTACAATGATGAGATCCTGGTTGATGGCAATATAATGGATTAAGTTAATGTTTTAAGAACGACCAATAAACAACAATTGTTTGATAAATATATGCCGATGGTACAGTGTAAGCCTAGAGAACCAATGGCTAAATTTGATTTCTCTCCTTATTTGAATATAAAAAAACACAGATGGTCAGTTGAGAGTTCAATATTTAAACATTTTTAACCAGATACACCTTAATTAATTGATGAATGCTTTGAATTTGATTTCCAGAATTCGAAAGTTACTCGGTTAGTAAAAGATACAGAACTATAGGAAATCAAAGAGAATTTAAAGATTCTTTACCGTCAACTGTTTCACATATACAAATATCACGCCTCTGGTTCATTAGCCGCTCCAATCCCATGCATAATGATTTAAGACTATATCGACTTTTTAGTCTAGGCTTCATTGATGGATGGTTACAAGACTAATGATATTGATATTAGTTTTACCTCAACGACTGCAGCTAAGGATGTTCCATTTCCACAAGCATTTGACAAGGGATTGGTACGTTGCTAATTGTTGGAAATAATGATAAGGATGTGTAATGATAAGTATATCAGACAAGGAATTTGTACTACCATGACCGAGGCTATAACCCTAGTTACTAAATAAGCCTAAGATTACTTTGCAAAGTTCGATTAGGCTTAAATGTGGAGAAAGAGTAGGCTATGGAATTAAAAATGCGACATCATACTGAATGACCGATTGGCTATGTTGAAATCTCTTTTTAAATATATATGCAAATTGAGTAAGAAGGATAAATAAGTGTGCAAATATGATTATATTTCTGTGTAGGATTTTAAGGATTGGATTGTGCAATCAAAGCTGATTTGTGATGACTTGAGTGAAAGAGAATGCTATCTAATTTATTTACAATCAATGATAACTCAAAAGGATGAACTCTATTCTAGCAAACACTACCAGATGAATTTTCATGAATTTATTGAAAGTGTAGGCAGACTTGCAGAGAAGTTATCAATCATAAGGGGAGATAAACCTATTGATATAGATGATAGAAGAGCTAAAGAACTAACATCTAAATTAGATGGATTTCTATTGTATGTTTACTTGGTTATTGGAAACGATATGAAACAAGCATTGCCTCCCAATGACACAGATATACGAGGAGTAGATAAGTGTATGATCAACGACTTCAAATCTTTGAAGTAGAAATTAGAGGACTCGTTTACTGATGGAGATGAACCACCTTATGATCCCAGAGTTGAATTACCGCATCTGTCCAGTTAAATAACAAACCTCTTGGGAAACACAATTGGTGGGAAAAAACAAACGTTAAGATAATAACTAAAATAAGTTAAAAGGGAAGAATAAAAGTTCTCTCCAATTAATTTTGTTTAGTACTTTAAAAGTATTTAATAAGTTCATGTGGATCATGATGATTGATAAGTTATTCAGATTTAGATCTTCTTTAAATATTCTTTTTATTGGTCTTTAATCACATTCTTCAGTTATCTCAAACATAGGTATTCTTATTATGCTACTTATCTTTCCTTAAAAGTGGATAATATAAGCTATTCAACAACATCTAATTAGACTCCAAGTTTTTAAGGTAATTTTTGTTTTAATTCGCTTCTACAAATATCAAATATATATAAAACTTATTGAGAGAAATCACTTATGATATATTTAAATTGATTTGTTATTGTAATGCATCAATGCAATCTCTCTTTTCTTTAATTTATTCTTCCTATTTATTATTAATCTACTATATTATACATTCTTTTGCAGAGTCTATTATTAAACTTCCAATTTTTTAGATTGTAATAATAATTGTGAATGTTTTTTATTTAAATCAATTTCTAAGAGATCTAATTTATTATGCAGAATTTTGAATTCCTCATCCTTACTTTGATATTCCAATTTCATTTTCTAGAGATTCTCCCTTTCTCTATTCAAATCATCTGAGTTATCATCGCCACTCTATGATCTCAGCTACTCTAAACGTTCCTATTTAGAATACCTTAGACATACTTTTAATCGCTGATTCTCTTTTCTTAAAATATCAGCCTCATAATCCTTTGCATCTTCAATATCCAATTAATATGGAGAAGGAGAATTTGATCCATTTTAAGTATTGATTTTAATGCTACTTCTTTTCGAATGAAAACGAGAAGTCCTTCTTTTCCTGGCTGAATCCTAGATCATTAAATTCTTTTCAATGGCCTCCAACTTCTTCTAAACATCTTTTATTGAAATGGCGTCATTCTTTTAACCCAGCGGTTGAGCATTCTATTGTATCACTCTTGCCTATCCTTATACAATCTTCTAGATGTTCACATTTGAATTTTCCATCAACGTTTTTTGGAACAATTCTTAGAGTTTGTCGTCCATCTTTAACGAATTAATATATATATATATATTTATATATAACGGGAAAATATAAAAATTAATAAATTAATTATGGGAAATTCGGGAATACGAAAGTTATGGTTTTTGGATTCTCCTGTTGAAACTTCATTTAAATCGATACACGAAATCAATGTCATCGATATTAATAAGTCCGAAGAATCACTCTCTCAATATAAGGGTCAAAAAGTAGTCATAGTTAATGTTGCAATCGATTCTCCTGAATTGAATGATCAATTGAATTATTTGAAATCTCTACCGTATCAAGTACTCCTCTTTCCTAAATGCGATCACACATTCACTTATTAGCAGATTGCTGATAAATTACAAGGATTCAAAGTCTATTAGAAAGTGGAATTGAATGGGTAATATACCCATCCATTATACAAATTTCTCAAGAGACAAACCCCTGAATTATATGATGAGAAGTTGGCTAATGGAAGACAAATCAAATAGGACTTCTGCAAATTCTTGATTTCAGAGGAAGGCTAACCAATTAAGTACTTGTTACAAAATGAGAAATTATGAATTATTTATGTATAGACATTTATATCGAAATCCAACCATCTTATCTAAAATCCTAATTAAAGAGTACACCAACCTCAAAAGCGAAGAGCTAGCCTTCCGATATGCTGCACTAGCCAAATTGCGCACTCAAGAATTAGATTTCGAGGCTCTCCATCAATTGGATCCCATCGAACATTGGGATATTAGTAAAATGTCTTTATTACCACAAATCTTTACCCTACTCGCCAATCTGCACAGATCCACCCGTTCTGATTGCTTGATTCAGTATCCACAAATAGAAGCAGTCAATCGCATTACAGCACTCTTAGATCCAAATATGTTCCCTGTTTAAGATCTGTCTTTGAAGTTGCACTCTTCTGACAGTGTGACCATTTGGGATAAGCCAAAGACTCAAAGAGTGACTCAAAATTTGGGATTCAAACTCAATCTAAGAGAGAGTACTATTGATCATTCCGATGCAGGGGAAGGCGTATTCTTGGAGACATTACCTGCAAATAAAAGGCTGTTACTTATTTTATTTTAAGTGTTCCTGCAGGCACCCTATTAGGATTCGTACCAGGCGTGATCTATGACAACTATTAATCATATTGTGAGAAGACTCCCCCAGACATGCATTTCTTCAGATTTGATGGACCAATCTTCGATTTTACATCCAGAATTTACTATCCTTACGTGCCAGGCTATGGTTTTGATGAATACGATTAAAAAATATCAGATATAAAAGAATTAGCTGCTCGATCTAACAGGCCTTATAGAAATAAATCAAAGGGGGGTTATGAATTAGTAAACGGAGAGGACATAAACCCTTATGCTCTAGGTCATAAGATCAACCATACTCCAAGGAATAAATCAACTAATGTAAGTTTGATCGATATATTTGTTCCTAAAACCTTCTTTCCTGAAGAGTTAATGAAATTTTGGCCGACTCAATATTTTTCAACCACCCAAGATTTTTTATAAACAAAGTCTTCTCTTGATCAACATTACAAAAATCACATTAGAGGCCTAGGATTCATAAGCGTCACTGAGATTAGAGACGGCGAAGAATTATTTTTAGATTATTTAGAGTCTTGTCTTTTCAACATGGAAATTGAGTCGCCTGATTGGTTAATTAAACCACCTCCTTTGCATCCTCAAATTTGCAAATGTAATATGAGATAGGAGAGTTTACTGATGATGTTATTGGAGGATTATGCTTTTTCAAAAACAAAGGATGGATAAAACTTTGACAGATTCTACAAGAGTGTTTTAAGAGAAAACCACTAATATTTATGAATGATCAATAAATATAATATTATAAAGATATGTGAAGACTAATCTCCATAATAATAAAATGATATTTTTTTTAATTCAACTGACTATATTCTTATATTTTAATAACTACTTATTTTTGAATATTCAACTTAAAATTTTTTGATTATTCCCCTAGAAGAGTTCTGAAAACATGAGAATTTCAAATAGACTCAATTTAAACTAATATAATGAACTCTTATATATATTTTTATCATATGGACACTAGTACCAAAGTTTGGCTTATAAGCAGTTATTTCATCAAATTACTAAACGACGAGTTTGGCCTTGTCTGAATGTAAAAAAACAAATTTTATATATATAAAAGATTGTTAGTACAAGATAATATAAAAATGAACTCAAACTTGCTCTCCTAGTCATCATCTAATTCTCCTCCTTTTTATTGTTTATATGAATTTAAAATCTGGAGATTCTGGAACAATTATATTTGTTTCATTATCTGATTACAAAATGTGATCTTCCACCATGAGCATTTCCTCATATTGTTTATTAAGTTCTTTATTCTTAACGAACTTATTGTTTTTGATTCCTAAGAAATCCATATTTAATTAAAATTTATATGATACACTATTAATTAAAAGAAATATATAAATTGTATAAATTAATCATTCGGTTTATTTCATTTCGATTAACTTCTACTTCTACTCCTATTTTTTTATTTATTATTATTATTTAACTCATTCTGTTAAATCCCAATTCTGATTTTAAGTTGGCATCCCTTCAATTCTAAATCAAGCATGGCCACACTCTATGCTTCACTGACAGTGTTATATTCAACGAATGCTCTTCTCTTAGTAAATTAAGATCCTTCATTTCGAGGAATTTCTATCGACACAATTGTTCCGTATTACGAAAAGAAATCAATGATCTCTTTATCACTTATTTTTAAGGGAAGTCCTTAAACAAAAATGGTTTTCTGATCATGATCAACTTCATCAGCATCTTCTATCAATTCTTCTTCATCATCGATTTCATCTACTCCTTCAATATCGGAGTCTAGCCATTCTATTTTTTTTTATTTCTGATTTGATTGTTCAACAACCTCCTCCTTTTCTTCCACTATTTCAATCTCATCTCCATCTTCCTAACTCTTTTACTGATTTTGTTATTATTATTATTCAACTGGCTATTCTTCATCTTCAGAGGGAGGCAATTAAATTTTCTCTAGTACTGCTTAATCATCTACATCCTAAAATTCCTATTGCCATTCTTTATTTTTCTTTTAGAATTGAAATTATTTTTTCATTTTAATAATAAAATATATCAGTGATTCATAAACTTAATCTAAACATAATACATAACCCCTCCAAACATACCTCCACCTAATCCTGACATCATTAAACCCTTCCATCCGACTGATTCAGCAGCTAGTACCATAGATGAAAACATGCAAGAAAGAAATGAATTAGTTGCATCATCTCGAATTCTTAATTTTTCTAATTGACATTCAAATATTGAATAAAAAGCACCAAAAATAGCGAATCCTTTTGCCATTCCAAACATTTTGTTTATATCCCTCTAGTATTGAATGATGATATTACTCTCAAAACATATCGAGTTGATTACTTGGTTCTACCATAATCCATGTCTCTCATTTCTACGGCATTCATGAACAAAGCCATCAAAAAACCCATTGCACCTCCAGCTACAGTGACCATTGCTGCTTTGGCTGCACAGTTAGTGTCCATGAATGTCACATGTTCTTGATGATATTTGTATACTATTACTAAATGGATTAGGTTCTTATGCCATTATTAAATAATTAAATATATGGCAGTGCCAACATAAGTGTATAATTTAGGGAATGCTTGCAAAAGGTTTCTGTTCTCGGCAGAGGTGATTGGGATGCTCACACTCACAATATTTGAAAACGAATTGACACTCTTTATTGGAATTCGGTTGTTGATAGAGACAATCGCGGCTGGATATTTTTATCTTCAGTGTAGTGATTCAGCAGGAGAGCCAGTGGTAGAATAGGAGGATCACGAATTATCTTAATTGTCATTTTCTAGTTTGAGGGGAGATTATGAATAATTTGAATCTTAAACACCTGATAGAAATGAATGTTAGGAGTGTAAAATCATTCAATCTTACAGAACAAAGCATTGTTCTAAGTGCTAGAAATGCATACCTAAATACGATCATCATTGTTTTTGGATTGGGGGATGTGTGGGTGAATTGAATCATCGAATGTATTGGTTGTTCTTGTTCTTTCAATGTTTGCTCTGTTTTGATGGATTATGTTAGTTTAAGAAGCAATTTCCTTACTATTCAACTTATGATGAAGAATTCGGACACGATGAATACGAATATTAATACTTTATTATATTGTTAACTGCAGCAACATCCTTCGGATTTGGAATTTTCACAGGGGCTTTGCTTTTATATCACACCATGTTGATATTGACTGGTAAAACTACTTGGGAACACACAAAGAGAGATAAGATTTCATACCTGAATTTTTATCCTAGATATTATCATCCTTATAATTTTGGATTCATAGAAAATATCAAAATAACATTTTTTCATAAAGGCCTTCAATCTCATTGGATACCACCGCCAAAGGATCAAATCAAAGAATAGTGCAATATTTTTGATAATAAATATTACTCCTGTTGTTGATACATTTACTATATATATTTGTGTTTAATGCATTTTCTTGATTCCAGATTATGGATTGATCAAGTTTTAATTGCAAGATTCCATTTATAAATTAATGGATTTCTTAAACATTAATTATGATACTTGAATATCTTGTCTGAATTTAAAAGAATCTAATTTAAATAAAATAAAATTAAAATTTGATCAAAATTTAATCATTATTGAATTGTTGATTTCATGTTTTTCTGCTCATTTCTATATTTAACTTTTGGGGTTAATATTTATCGATAAGTATAGTAATAAGGCGAATTCTTATAATTAGATTTACTGCTTGTTCTATTGGATGGACTCAAAGGTTGATGGTGATAACTTTGATTTTCAGTTTTGATTCGACTGCAACAACATTAGACTGGGAAGGGCAGTGGAATATGTTTCTAGGTGATAGGAATGAGACATCTCATTTTTTGCTCCAATCGTATTAAACCTTATGGTCTACTGATTTTATTAATTTGTTTAATCTGTAAGTCTCTTTTTCCAAGAATATTAGAGAGGAGAGAAGATCTCGACTGCGTATTGAAATTGAAATATTATGTCTTCTGCTCATCCATTTTATCACCAGTAGTGCTGCTATCGATAATCGTTGTTTTTTTATCTGTTTTTCTAACTGTTCGCTTTCTTTAAAAGAAGATCTCTTATTCTTTAGATATAGGAGGAACTATATACTTGGTAGCGTTAGTGTTAAGGCACTTTTTGTATTGCCAACCTCTCTATTTTTCTAGTTTTTAAATTGCTATCTTGTGTTCATATTCTCGAATTAGAACCTTCCCAAGCATCCGCATTCGGTGCAATAGCAGCTTTTCCTTCTGGTGTGAGTTTTATTCAATTCTTTGATGATCACATTAATATTTCTGAAATGTTAACTATTCGATCTTTAGTCAGTTCTTATTGTTTAGATTCTTATGGATTGATTAGATTGTTAAGCATTGTGTAGAGATGAGGAATAAATAAGAATATCCATAAGTTCAATAAATAAATTAAAGAGAATTTATTTAAACTGAAAATTATTAAATGACAATAAAATACTGCAAAGAAATAGTAGAAATGATAATTTATAAATTCATTAGTCAATAACATTCGTAGTTTTAGCATCCAGGCTCTTATTGCTTTTCTTCTGCTGATATTATTGATTATTTAACTACTATTATTATTATATAATTTTATTTTCTGAAGGGTAATGACTATCCTACTTCTCATAACTAGTTTTCTCCATCTTGTCCTTGAAATAAGGATGTTCCAAGGCTTGTGTGGCCGTAATTCTCTTGGTCGGATCCACTTCCAACATCCTCTTGAGAAGATCCGCTGCCTCTTCATCTGGCACATATTGTTATGCATTGTACATCTTAGATTTAAGCATCGGTTGATTTGTTATTCTAATAATTTTTTAGGAATTCCTTACAAATTAAATAGAACAACCCCTACACTAAACATGTCTGAATTGTAGCTGGATTCTTTCTGTCTCAACACCTCAGGTGCATAATATCCTGGAGTTCCACAAACACTACTGACTGACCCGAACTTCAGATTTGCTGCGAATCCAAAATCTATCACTTTTATAGAATTGTCTTTCTATATTATGATATTCTCTGGCTTGATGTCTCTATGGACTATTTTTTGAGATTGTAAGTAACTTATTGTGTTCAAGAGACCCTATCACTTTATTATCTAATTATACAATCATTATGGTTTTAATCTGATCGCTAGGAAGCTTTTGTTTCAGGGTCTCACTCAGTGGAGTCCCTGCTACAAATTCTTGGACTATCCAAAATGTCTAATCGTTCTCATAGACTTCGAGTACCTTTATTATGTTCTGATGGTTTAACTACTTTAAGATTGACACTTCCGTTTTGACAATGTCCTTAAAAGGAAATTAAATTTATTTATATACCAATGCTTGGTCTTCCCTTCCAAACTCCTGTTTTATCATTTTTACAGCTACTGCATTTTTACTTTTCTTATCAATGCTTTAAAATACCTAATTTAATAAATTATTTTACTTTGGCTGACAATCCTTCTCCTATCAATTTAACTGGTTCATAAAATGAAGCCATGTTTCTGTAAATCACCCTACCACCAATAGTATTTTTCAAAGATTCAAGATGCATTTGAGATGCTTCAAAATATTTAATTTTATTCTGGTAAACTATTCCAAATGCTTTTAATGATTGCTTTCCCATTTTCCATAAAATTTATGTTGTTAATTTAAGTTCTATGCGGTATTTCGGGTTCTAATAATTGCTAAACTGAATATTAGAATCATAAGGTTACAGCTGATATTAAAACTTCATCATCCATCACTTTCAAATAATAAGTTTTAGAAAAAAAAGTATGAGGTCTAATACACGTAAAACTGAGCAAATCCATGTCCATAATTATTTGATTCTTTAAACTAAATTGATTTATATTATTATTAATTTTATATTTCTATTCTCAATTATGTAACTTTCGTGATCGGCTTGCCCACTTTAATATTCGATTATGATTCTATCCTCTCTCCTCAATCTGAACTCCCCTTCCAAACAGACGACTTATCTCCTTCAAAATAATAAATTAATTCAAAGAAAAAATGATTATATTTTAAAATTATCAAATCATTAAATTTACAAATACCAACTATTCACAATAAATCTATATCACTTAATTAATAATAAAAACTGTTTTTAAATTAATTAATTAATATAATAAATTACAAAAATTTTGAAATATAATCTCTTCATTAAAAATAGAAATTTAAGTTTTTTAAAGCTTCTTATTCCAATCAACCATCGCAATGTTTAAATGTCTTACAACTAGTTAAGCACAAATGTCAGCAATTCACTAATAAACTTACTTTGTCATTATGAATTTTATTGGAATTCCCTTTATTTTTATGCGTTGCAGGTACTTATATTTGGAATGTATTGTTTTTAGGCAAATAGGTGGAATTATTTTAATTTATATGAATTTAAAAATTTATTTTTTTTATCGCTGCTCAGATATTTGGCATATTTCCTTTACAAATCCTAAACGCACTACGACTATAAACATTTTGAATGTTTTTAATAATTAATGTTGGAGTGTTCATGAATTAAGTGATAATTTATTCAGCAACTTGTATTTTACTCTAAAATGGATAAAATTACTTTTAATTAGCTCAGAATTTAAATTTAGAATTTAATTATGTATTACAATGTTATACATTATTAATATTGTGTAATTCCTTACATATTTTTTATATAATTTACTTTTATCTCATTAATTATGACGCATTAAAATGACTCCTTATATTCAAAAAATGTAGATTGGATCAAAATTATTATTTATAATGAATATTTTTATATGTCCTAATCAAAATGAGTTCTCAAATAATGATAGTTCGGAAATAGAGAAGTTATAAGAAAAGAAGGAGCTTAGGCCTCGAAATAATTTAGTCCCAGGAGCCTTTTAGGAATATAAAAGAACTTATGTCAAAGTGCCATCTAATTCCAAGGAATAGCTTGCATAGCTTGTATTCAAGGAAGGTTTTAAAATCAAAGATGTATGATACTGAATTAACAATATCAAAGGCTGCCAAGAGATTAAGTATCAAGTACGAGACCGCTAAGACTATTATATTCCATATACGCAAAGGAAATATTAAAATAAAAAAGCCCAAGCCCAAAAAATGCAGATATACCTAAATATAGGAAAATAGAATTTTAAAATACAAAATCATCTCCACTCTTTCAAGTAGAATAGTATCTTCCAAGGAATTTATTATTTAATTTCAGTCAAGTGTCGATACTCAAGAATTTAAAATGATATGAAGTCCTTTGATGATAATATTAGTGTAAATATCTATTATTACTTAAAAAAATTATTTTTAATACGTTAAATATTTAATAGCAAAAAGCATTTAGTTACATTTAAAAAAGATGCTATCGTAGAATATTTCAAAAATTTATTTTTTGATAGGATAGATGGATGGCTTATTTCTTTTGAGATTGAAGATATAGAACGTATATTTTATTTTTATAATTTTGTACAGTTTCACAAAGTAATTGCACTAAATTATGGAGTTTAAAAAAGAATAGGGTGTTGGTTAAGTAAATGAATTGAAACCTTAAATCCGAGTTTGGAGAATAAGAAACAAATAAATTGATGAAGTGGAAGAGTGATTATTGAATTTTATTGGTTGATTTAAAAAAAACAAAAAAAAATAACACAAAATTAAAAATTAATTAGTTCAATTCAAAGTCATGTTTATTTTTTGATAATATTAATATATATAATTTAATGAATTTATATTTAGAATAAGCAGCTGAAGAGCTTGAATAGGCTATTTCAGATGCTGATCAATTATTGGCCTTAACAAAAGCTACACTTCAGAAATTCACAAATTATTTGAAAAGGAAATAATAAGAAAAAATGGAGCGAAGATTTCATTTAAACAACATCACTGAAGACTCTAATAGTATGAAACAATTAGATAAATAATCATATAATTAATTGAAGATTTTGGAATATTTTAATAAGTTTCATAAGGATGTCGATAAATAATTAAGAGATCTGAAAGAGTTGATTCCCTCTAATCCTTAAACTTACGTTATTGAAGAATTAAAATAATAAGAATAAGTCATCAAACACATTGATTAAAAAGCCCCTCCAAAACCAGTTCAATAAGAACAAAAATTTTACCCATTATTCAAATAAACAAAAAATACAGGTTCCTCAATTCAAAGCTCTTTCATCCAGAGTCAACTTACTACGGGATAGAGCTAAACACAATCTTAATTGCAACTCTAACAATCCTAAAACTTGACTTAATTTTAGACTTAATAAAATTAAAACACATTAAAAGAAAACAATTAATAAAAGGTTACAACTTAAGTTTAAAATTCAAATGGTAATTAATTGGAATAATAGACGGAAACAATCAAACCCATTTTGAAATAGAAATAAGAGATAAAGGAATCGACAATAACATTTGGGAGATTATAAAAATTTCAATATTAGAAATTAATGTATCCAAAATAAAATGAAGGAAATTGTGTATTTTGTAGTTTGGAAGCAAATGATCAAAATTTAGGACCTCTTTTATTAATACCTTCTAATAGTAATTAAAGTGATAAATATCAATTACATGAGATGTGTGGATTGTGGAGTTAGAACTTAGTCTTTTTTAGTAATTTAGAGTAATGTGATCCTAAGAACATTGATGATGAAGTTGAGAAATCAAAGAAAACTGTAAATATAATATATATTATTAGAAATGCTTCTTGTGTAGTAGATCCGGGGCCACTATCTGTTGTGCAGTATGTCCTTAATCATTTCATTTTACCTGTCTAATGAAGAGTTCCCAAACAGGTAAAATATGAATCTTATGATAAGGCAAGTTGATTGAGAATCAGTTTAAATTTTTTTGTGACAAACATAAGTATAAGGCAAGATTAGAAGTGTAGAATACAAGTGATGAAGAGTAAGAACCAAAGAAGAAGAAGAAAGTGCAATCGAAGTTAAACACATCAAAATCTATTATTAAGAATAGTCCAAAGAAAGGGAAATCACCTTCATCATAAAAAGCTTTATTGCAGAAATGCTTACAAAGTAAGGACGATGATTTGAAGCGTCAATGGATCACATCTGATCTTATTTACTTTAATTTACCATAATGGGCATCTATTGAGTAAAAGTTAAGTGATCTTGATCAATCATTATTATAGAATAAACTGAATGAAGCTAAGCATAACCTTTAATCAATTTAATCAGAAATCAAACAGGAATAAATCAGTTGACTCTTGAAAATTTATATATAATTAAATTAATTTCGTTTAAAAAAATGGAAGGCAAATCTCTATCAGTGGGATAATCTTAAGGGGATGATTTTGATGATGGAATGATGGATAAAATAAGTAAAGTGAGAATCTAATACAACAAACAAAATATTGTGGCAATAGGTGTATTTTATGATTAAAGATAAATCTATAAATTTCATAATTTTTGTGGCAACGCTGTTAGCAAGTTTTATTTCTAAGTATGGGAAGAAGAGTTCATTATAGAAAAAGATGATTGTAAATATGAAACATATCTAGATCTATAGTAAGTGGGTGGTACTTTTGATGGAAGATACATCACCTCATTATAATTTGCTACATATAATGGTTAATCGGCGCATTTTAAAGCATCATGTGTGGGAAATCAATTTAATATAGAAAATTTTGGTAATGTGATTAAAGTAACCCAGGCAATACTTTCTCTAGCTGCAGTGGATCCTTTGATACAAACGGGCTAACATCATTAGCCTTTAAAGTGATTCCACTAAATTCGACTGATTAGGAAAGAATTCAAAATACAATCCTTTACTTATCTTATGGCAGCCACTATCCTTAATAATACATTCCCCAATTTTCATAATTTCTTAACTATCCCTAAAATTGAGAGTTAATTCATATTATTTACTATTAGAATTTTTCAAATTTTTAAACTAATAATTAAGTAATTATTATAATGGCTACAAATCCGCCATCGTCAAATTTATTTGGTAACAAACCCCCTCAAACAAATATGTTATTCTCTGCTGCACCTGCATAGCAATAGCCAAGTAATATTTTCGGCAATTCATAACCAACACAACAAAATAATATGCTATTTGGATAACCAAATAATTAAACTCAACCAATCATAGGTATTTTTAGACATTTTATACAATAGGTGGATTTGGATAAAATCCAAATTTGGGATAGCCACCTTAAAATACGGGCATCTTCGGGTAGCCATAACCAGCAGCTCCAAATTTATTTGGCAATCCATAAACTGGTTTTGGATAAACTAATTTATTCTCTACAAACCCTTAGCAATAACAACCAGGCTTGATGTAGAATGGATTATAATATCAATAGCAAAACTAGATTCAAACTTTTATTAATGATTCAAATGCTTTTAAAGATAAATATAATTTAGTGACTCAAAAGATCACAGAAACAGAAAAAAGCTTTGCTAATCAACCAGCCTAAAATTAATAATGGCAATAAATGATCTAGCCAATTTCACAGATAGTCTTTCAAATGGACACAAAATCTGTGTTTGACACTTCTGAATAAATTTTAGCTGGTTAAAAAGATTTGTCAAAGAATCTAAATGAATACATCTCAACTGTTGGATTGGTGTAAAAAATAACAGAGGATGGATTGGAAGTCTTAAAAAAAGAAGAGGCTCAATGCAATGATTATTAAAAGGCTTAACAAACAATGAAGGAATCATACGATTAATTATCAGGAACTGTTCGAATTAATTAGTAGTTTTCTGTTCCTCAAAAATATCAAGAACAATTAATTCTATAATAACATGAACAACTAGAATTATTGACTAATACTGTAGATAAAATGATCAAATATTATGAAAAATAGCCAAATATGGATGTAGATGAAGCTTTATAATATAAATTAATGCATCTTTAAACTTTGTCCAATTACTAATGTATGCTGTCATCGAGAATAAGAAACATTTAAGAAAAAAGTAATTGATAAATTTATAAAATAGTATCGACATTTTAAGCTAAAACATATTCTTAGATTATGCCAGATAAAAAAATTGAGGAATTTTACACCATTGATACACACAAAGATATGTTAGATTAAATTATTGTTGAAAAAATTTGATCATGATTATTTAATGTTCACATAATATCATATAATTATTATCAAAATAAACTAATGAAGAATATATAAAACAAGTAGTAATCTTTAGATATAATGATAATTAAAATTGTAGTTTAATTAATCCAATTTTTGTTTTATTTATATTATTTATTATCATGTTCTCTTGAATAGCAAATATTATTCAAGTTAGTATCATATATAAACAGATAGAATCGTTAAATTATATGTAATTAATATTTAAGATACATTTCAATAGATTTAATATATCCAGATATTGAATCTTTAAAGATAAAATCAAATAATTATTACAGAAATCAAATAATTAAGTTACAAATTAACTATTCAATTTTTGGAATATGAAACTATATTTTTTTTGGCTTTTCTTGACATAGATATATTAGATTTGTATTTGATGGGAGCAAGGAGATTTGTATTGAGTTAGCGAAAGCTTAGATATGGAGATAACTTAGTAAAGTCTTTACATTTTGGAGATGTAGTTGTGTTATCTTAGTCAAAGGCCCCAATAGTTCGAATTCTAACACTAGGACTATCTAATTCCATTATCAAGATATAGAATACTTATACTATAAGGAAGATGTATAGTTTATTGACTTTTTACATTCATCAAATCATCGATATTTATTTTTTTGTTTGATTATGATTGCTATTACGAGTTCTTTGAAAATGAATTATCAACGAATTTTTGAACATTAATTCTTGAATTTCTTTTAATAATTTGGCGAACATACCAATCAGTGTTTTTTGATTCTCCGAGATCATAGGCAGGTGATTTTGGAAGATCTGCCTTTTCCTCTTTTTTTTGAGTGTTCCTTCTATAAAAAACACTTCTATCTGAGTATAAATCAGTAATTCTTACTTGCACTTTGTAGATTATAGGTACTCCTTCTGTCACTATGAATAGGTGGTTTTTTGATCATTGTTGGTTTTTTGATTAGCTTAAGATCCATAAATGTTTATTGTTTTTTACTAGTGAAACCACACAGATTGCAATAGCAACTTTTTCTTCTTGATGGGCCTATCTTTTGATTGATTATCTATTAATTAGAATCGTCTGCCTCTTGACTTTTTGGTCTCAAATTTCTATTTTTTATTAAAGATTTTAGATAATAATGTGACTTTTTTTTGGGTAAAAAGGTTGGTTTAACATCGTTATCTAGAGAGAAAGATTGGATAGTCCTTAACATCTTTAAATAATATTTATTAAATTTGTATTATACATTAAAATCAATTTTTTAATAAGGCATTAATCAAATCTTATGTAATTTTGCGTCTTTGTAAATATTAATCAAATAAGATTTATAAATTTGAATCTATTTACTTAAGTCCTTCTTTTTTAACCAATAATTCTGACATTTCAAGTTCATGATTTAAGGGATGATCTAAAAGTTATTTCCAGAAGTAGGGCATTGAAACAGATAAGACAGCTAAACATTCATTGGTATAAGTCATTCCTTGGAAAGATTCAATCAAAGAATTGTATTCATGAAGTAACTTTTAAGTCATAAATTTAAATGATTGTCCATCATATTTAATCTACTCAAATTCTAATTTAACAAAGTCAATGAATGAAGTCAAAGCATTCAAAGCCTGAATATAAAATGATAAGTTTACTTTCTCAACATAGGGCTGTCCTTTCTCCTAAACATATACATCATTAGCAAGATTTGTGATTTGTTCCTTCAACAACAGTATGAATTGCATTTGATGCAAAGGTCTCAAAACATTCAAGGAAGACATCAATTGTCCCTAGATTTCATTTTAATTAAGACTTAATAGTATTGATGAGGGAAAGATAAGCTAAATAGATTGATATGAATGCTTACTATTTGTTCACTAAACATAATTAATTAGTCATAGTAGATATCTTTGATGATGGGATAAAAATGGACCAAATTGTTGTAAGTAGACTCATACTTCTACTTGTTATCGATAATAATTTGGATTGACTGTTGGATGACATCTGTATATTTTTTCCATACCATCAAAAATAAGTGTGGGAATTAATCTTTGAGTTCCTCTTAGTATGTGATTAAGTGATATTGATCAGCTGAAATAGAGATATTATATTACTTTAATTCATAGCTTGATAGATTAACCAAATTAGAATCATCTAATTTAATTCATTTTTTATTTGATTTCTATAGTCAGGTAAAAAGGATTTAGAATTTGAGAATAATATCTTATATTGTTCACTTATTTATTTTAATACTTAATTACATTTGAGTTCAAGTATTTCAGATAATCTACCAAGACTATAAAATATTCCCAAACATTGTGTTAAATCTGGCACACTCTTTGCTGAGAGTGAATCCTCAAACTTTCTAGTTACTTTAATCTATAAGGTTTCTTCAACCTATTTAATGTAAGTCTGGTTGTTCTTGTAAAATTGAAATTGTTTAATAGGCAATCTATCTATTTCAAATAAAGCATTAGCCACTCTCTGAGCATCTGTTATGTTGATACTATTATTTTATTATTGAGCTAAGGATCTCAGCAATTTTAATTGCACACTAAACTTTTGTAGTTGTTTACACATTTGCAAAGCTAATTCGCTATTTTACTTGATTGGCAATAGTTTTATAATTTTATTGTATTTAGTAACATAATTGTCTTGGAGTCTTTACTGTATAAATTTAATCTTCTACAAAGCTTCAATAATGACATCATTGTCACATTGTTAAGATTTCTAGCAATATTTGTCTATATTACATCCTTAAGATCTTCTATTAACAATTCGTAATTGTTTTTAATGTAGTGATCCAACTACATAGAAATAGATTGATTAATCGAAGTCAACTTCTAAAATATGTCTCCCAATTAAACCATGTTATCTATTTTAATGGAATTAAGATAATACAATTCTTGAGGATTAATAGGACAAACTCCTCCAATGTTAAGTGTTAATCAAAGAGTTTGTTGAGTGCTTGATCTTAGAAAAGCTCTGTTTTCCACTTTTCCATCAATTGAGGATCAATCATTTATCAATTAAATTTAATATTTCACATGTTATACACAATAATATATTAATCATTATTTTTCTAATGTTGAATTAACTATTTCTTGTTCCCACAATTAGGCCATTTAAATTCTCATATTCTTCAACAAATGGTTTAATTGGTCTTCTGATTTTATTTATGGATTTAGAATAATGTTTCCATACAATTTGCCCATCAACTAAAAAAATACTTCAACAGGCTACTAATAATTATCTTTCCAATTGTTTCCCAATAAGGATTTTGCCCTGCCTATTAAATCGAAATATTAAGGTTAAACCCCTGAATTTGCCAAAGTCCAAATTGATAACAAATTATCGTACATTAAACAAGATGGTTACATAATTCTGATTTTAATTTACTAATTTGAAATCTAGAATTTGCTCAATACATCATGATTTAACTCAATGATATTAACAATGAATGATTTTGCTACTTGGCAATTCTTGTAGGTTTTCTGGATGAATTAACTAACATAAATGTATGCATTCTCAACTAAATCAAGTGGCAGAGAGTCTTCTGTTAATTTAGAGATTTGTTTCCAACTCGACTATTGGTATTGTGGATACTCGACTGTTTAGGGCTAAGCTTGTTCTTCCTTTCGGAAATAATTGATAATCCTTTCGCTTACAATTACCAAAGGTTTCAGAATATTGGACATTGATTTGATATCCTCCTACTTAATCTGATCTAGGGACTTGAAAGACTCTTGGGAAGGTGGTCTACTCAATCTCATCTTTTGCCACAATTGTTGAGCAGAATAAAAGAAGCCATCGAACACAGGCCTAAAATAAACAACATCTAATTTAAATTTATTTGTTTAATACCAATATTATAAGGACTTATGCGTTGAATTGATTAATTGTAAAATTCTTCATATTGTGAGTCTTCGTTCTCCAACCAGGCGAAGAGTAAATTTTCAAAACAAAATTACCATGCCAAATAATTTATTTATCCATCCAATTCTATAGTGATTGCTCGTCCAGCATATATTCGCCACTCTTCTCCCAAGGTTTGCAACAACGATTTAACAAACTTGTCTTTCTTCAATAATTGAGATGTGCTCTCGAATAAGTTGAAATTACTATAATAGCAATATTGAGTTTCCACTTATTGCATATGTCTTAATTAATAATATTTTTTTAGGTTTTCTATAAAATGTAATTTCCATATCTAAAGTTTTAATTAAATTATCGAAAATAATAAGATACATAATAAGATTATCAATTGAAATGAGAAATTAATTTCAGAAATCGAGTGTGTTAATTGAAGAGCGATTTGAAAATTAGAATAAATAGAAATTTAGGGATTTAAAAATAAAGGCTTTTTGAGTGGAGTCGAGATTTGAGTATGTTTTAGGATTGTTCTATAAAAATAGTAAAATATTATTTTTTTTTTATTTAAATTTAAGAATGATTAATAAAGATAGTCGAAATGGGATGTTTATTTCATCGTCTAATGGTTCGTCAAAAGATGAAGATTTATTTGTACCCAAGGATAATGAATAAAGGGAGGACAAGAAATAAGAATTTTTGCAAGCACAAACATAGAGTTAATTGTCATCTTCTGAATTAATAGGAGACGTTCCTGTGCCCAGACTAACCCTATTTGTGTATTGATTAGCATGATTTGAATAGTTCGTAAATGTCCCTTGAAGAAAATCAAGGTTATTACAAAAAGCAAATGTCATTGGAAGCTCTGAGTCCCACCAAGTATTCTCCACAATAGAAATAAGAAAATCAAATCAAATAAGACGCATAGGAAATAAAGTAGTTGAATGTCTAGGAAATAAAGTAGTTGGAAATCTAGGAAGTATAAAATATACTATAGATTTAAACAAGAAGAAAAGTAAATAAAGCAAATTATAATGTGGATAATTCTCCTGAGGAATAGGATGAAATGAAACCTTGTCATTGCACAAAGACTCATTGTTTATAATTATATTGTTCATGTTTCCATAATAGACGTCAATGCATGAGTGAATGTAAGTGCAATGATTGTTATAATGATGGGTAACATGAAGAGGATGTGTTGAAGGCAGTTGAACAAATTAAGATGAAAGAATAGAGAGCCTCACATCATGATTTGGATTCTTTTGATACTAAATAAGTGTGGGGATGTAAGTGCAAAAAGACAAAATGTGTAAAAGGTTATTGTGAATGTTTTATAAGGGGAAAAAAGTGTACATCGCATTGTTAGTGTACAGAATGTGAAAACAAAAGATAACCTTAAAAGAAATAGAAAAATAATTAATAAAGTAATTAGGTTAACAAAAAGATAAAGAAAAAAACATCAGTTCAATTTTGACATTTCAATTTTATCATTGAAATTGAAAAGTTTTCACTGTGCAAATATAAAACACATATGTATTCTATAATTAATAAATACTCCCTTTAAATTGGTATTGATGTTACATCAAAGTCCTTACTTTTGAAGTCTGCTATCATATTTTGAATAATTATATTTTTGTAGGGTTGCAGTTTTTTTGGTTTGAGCTTCAAAGAGTGTTGACCCTCTATATTTCTTCGTCATTTAATTTGAATCTCCATTTGGATTATTTTTCATTCAATTCATCAAATATGTACGTTTAATTTTATTCATTTGTCCTCTAGTTGTATTTTTATTCGAGATGATGGAATCATTAATGATACTTGAGAACAGATCTATATTGTTGATGGTTCTTCGGAGGAAAGATTGAACACAAATTGTCTTTGCGAGTTATAACCAATTGTTATTCGGTGGTTGGACATATTTATATAATTAAATTATAATAATTAATGAAAGAACATCAAGGGTAAATAGAAGGGGAATTTCAACCAATCAAATAAAAGTACTTCCTACATGAGAAGGAGCAAATGAAAAAAGATCCATTTGTAGAGAGTTTATAGGAGTACTTCTAGATATTTCGGAGACGAATAATATTGCATATATTACTGTGTATATTGATAGCATAATAGCTCATAGCATTCTTCTTTTTGGCCCTAATGATTCCATCCATTTTATTATAGGCAGATTTTATCGAAATAGAAGTCTCTGATAGAGGAGGAATAATTAAGATGGAGGAAACATGGGATCCCCCAATAAGCATACAAATGTTTTCGAAGTCTGATATTCTGCTGCTTGATGTGTAACTGTATTTAGATGGAAAGGAGATTGAGGAGTTCACAATTTATGAGTGTTTGTATATCAATACTCAATACAACTTGACTAGTAATACAAACTACAGTTTTAGTAATCTAATTTTTTAATGAGGCAGCAGTTAGATTGATGGCACAGTTCGACTTTGTACCCACGTCTTACTTGATTATCATAGTTGTAATGCTTGTCATCTCCCTTTTGTACTCTATCCTTACATACGCTCGCTACAACAAACTTTGATCTTTTATTGTGTTTAGTTTTCTGCTTTTGCTTCAAGTGAATCATAACTCATTTCATTCTATTATTTCAATTTTATTTCACTAATATTTACAATTTAGCACTGATCTGCCATGCACTATGGAGACTCATCAGTCATCTCAAATTCATAACTCATTTCTAATTTTAAATTAATTCTCGAACTCTGTATCATTTATGCAAAATCACAAGAGAAAAAGCTACAAAATTAATAGTTCATACTATTTTGCTATTAAATGCAATATTATTTATTAATGATGACAGACAATCAAAGAATATAATGGGGTTGGCTATGATAAATAATAAATATATATATGTAATAACCAGCGGAAGAATTAGATTAATTAATACAAACCTTAAATAATTAATCAACCATTCCCTACCTTCAACAAGCTCTCACTTAGGATTAATTGGTGGCACAAAATGCTCGTCTGCTCTAACAATTGCATGAATAGCAGAGAATGCTGAATTTGCAAAGTCTGATCACATAGAGCGTTCTCCAGAATCCCTTTATAAATTAATAAATCACTCAAGAGAGCAAAAAGATCAAGAAAACCAAGTCAACACTTTAGAGAATTCAATCCAATGCTAGTTTAAAAGAACAAACCCCTCAATTACAGGAAATTAAAGGTAATGTCAAGAACGCATACATTAAGAAGATTACCTCTTTGCTCAGTGTAGAAGGTGAGAAACTCTTGGATGAAGAATTGCAGGAAGATCTACAAGGAGAGAGTTCATCAGAAGAAGTATCCAAAGAATAGAAATTTGGTTTGGCTGGACTTTTAGGATCTGCAAATGATTTATTGAGTGCTGAGTCAAAGAACAAGCGCTTAAGATAGAGTGCCAAGAATTCCCGATTAAGAAAGAAGGTGTATTTGAAGTTATTGGAGAAAAAAGTAATACTCTCCCCCCCTTATCAATTAGGTCTCCGATCTAGATTAAAAAATATAGGAATATAAAAAAACAACCAGATAATCATTTGAGTATTTGACTTAATTACTTGCCTCCCATCCCATTCTAAATAGCATGATCATTGCTAATTCAAATGCCATCGATCAAATTACACAATGCAAACAACCCGATTAAGCCTAACTTATTTTAGATTCGTACTTGGTATTAGTCTCTATTAACAATTAGATGAGATATGGAACATGTGGAATCAAAAGGAGAGACTATTTAAAATATGCGGTTAAGAATATTCAAAGAAATTTCTTAAAAGGAAACTACGGGTTGCAATTGATTAGTTTCAATACTGATCATAAAAACTGTATTATTGTATCTTACATCATTTAGATGATGATGAATTCAATAACTATGTAGAAATTGTCAAAAAACAAACTAAATTGGATGATGAGAATTTAATTTATAAAGTACTCCCCATTATTGACAAACTATTAAATCATAGAAAGACATCACAATAGTATTCACATTCATTATACGTAGATTATTATTAAAGTTTAATACAGAAATGAAAAAATTGAAATCGATACAATAAGAGGTGGAGGAGAATGTCAATCAATTTACTCAATAATTGACACCCATTCAACAAGTTGAATTAATCAAAGGGGTAGAGAAATTAACAACTTTCAATAGATCACTCGTGTGAACATTTTCATTATATGTAGATAATTTGATTATTTTATAATGATATATATTAATTTTTAATTAAATAACAATCAAAAATGGAATTATTAAACCATTAGGAGAAGGAATTACTAAGCAAATATAACAAATACATTTCAAATAGTAAGACATAAGAACCAACTAAATATTCCGATATATTTATTGGAAAACATGAAGTAGATTGTGGGTAATTAAGAGATGAGTTCAAATTTCAAAATACAAAAATGGGGGTCAAATCTTCATCAGCCAATAAGAGAAATGAGTTCAAAAATATTATGTCAGAGTTGAGAAGTTCTTAGAATTTAAAGAGAGAAAATGAAAATAGGAATTAAAATAGTGTGTTAATTTAAGAAAATTCAAGATAAAAATAATAATAATATGATTAGAATTAGATGTTTTTAATAAGAGAATGTTTGGATAAGCCTGAGAAACAAGTAAGATAGATTTCATCTATATCATAAGATAATCCAGAATAAAAAAATATCTAAGAGAAATTGAAGTGTAGACAATCAACATTGGATATTTAAAAATAATTTAATGAGTATTAATAACTAATAAACACTTAGAAAACTATTGTAGCAACTTGAAACCTTGATAAAAAAGAAAAAAATAGATAGTAAATTCTTATTTTCCATGATTCAAAAACACATTGAGGAGTGCCCCTAATTTGGTAAGAGGGTTAAGGAAGATATAAAAGAACTATTATAGTAATTATTATGATGACTTTAATATAATTAACTTATTTTTGAGAATTCTGTATAAAATTTAATATCACATATTAATTTTTAATGTGGAAATTACTGTTGGTTGCCTTAAGTATTGCATAATTCAGAGCCCAAGAAGATGAATTGAGCGAAGAAGACTCAGAAGCTTAATTCTAATAATAGGATTGTATGAATAAATCATCAATTGATAGAATAACAAAATTATTATTAGCAATAACAATACGGGTGTATTATTTTGACAAAATACCACCTTCAAGAAAGAAGTCAAGAATTGATGTCCTTGTTCAAATAGATTACTAATGAATAAGACAAAAGAAATGCATATGAAAAATTATAAGCTTAATTAGTGATGTAGTGCATCCAAAAAATCTAATACTAACAATTGGCTGATCTATTTAATTAGTTGAGACAATAAACATTTAAATATTAGGATTTCTAGGATGTTTTCATGATGACTGATTTGAGTTTGGAGGATGATTTCACTTTGACAGATTAAGAAAAGATATTATCAATTGAGATAGAGGTATTCATTATAATTACTCTAGAAATTCGATAAAAACATGCAAGAATAATAAAAAAAATATAAATAAGAATAAGGCTATGACGATGATGATGATGAAGAGGTGGATCCAAGAAGAAGACAATAACCATAAGGCTATAAACTATTTGGAGTTGATTTGGCTAAGTTATCAAGTACCACTCAGGCTATTATCTTTGTTGGTTTGATTTCACTCTTCAGTGTTATTTTATTTTTAGGTCTACTTTATTATTTATTTAATAGGCTTGAGATTTGTGTAATAGCATACCTAAGGGCCAGTGAAGAGAGTGAAAAAAGATAAAAAGGTAAAATAAAAATGAGGATATAATTATCAAAATTTATTATAATCAATTTTTGCATTAGGCAAGGTTTTTTGATTTGATTTAAAAGAATCTTCAGAAAAATAATGAGGTGTTATATCATAAAGCTATTCTGGTTTGATTTCACATACATTTCTCATATATTCTTTTGTAATTAACACTAATTCATGTTATATAACCCATTCTGGTTTTTCTTGGAATAAAACAGAAGAAGGGTTAATCCATATTTCATTGATATTCTCAAAGAAACCCTACAAATGTTACATTCTGTCTCTCAATCAGAATCATCCAACTTTACATGTAATTAATAATTGAAGCTATTTTATGTATATATATATATAGTTAAAAGCTAGAATTAAGAATGAACAAAAAAACATTCAAACGATGCTAATGAACTTTTTATTTCCTTTTTGCCTTTTTGGAAATGATAGAAATTCCTTTCTATACTTTTCCTATTTTTCTATGTTTGATTCTTTGATGTCATCCACCTGAGTAGCTATTTACAAGACCATTTCCTAAGTCTCAACTAATCTGTTCTGACAATCCTATATTTATTAATAAAGAGTGATTATTTCTTGGTTTTTTAATCGAATCTAAAGGTCTTGCTAATCAATTATTTCTTATTATTTTAGGAGCAAATCTTTGAAAGAATCTTCTTCGGATAAACTCATCAAACTTTTATTTTAATAAAATTATTCTATAAATGATAAAAATCAAATATTATTATGGAAGACATTGTCGTATTCAATTATTGATATATATTGCTGGTATAATTATTATGCTATTATATTTAAATATTATTCTTGTAAGGCGAGATTGTTTAGTTATTGTATAGACACAAATAAAAGTAAACTCAAATTAATAGATTTATAGGTTATTTATTGAGTAGCTTTAATTACTAGTTTCTATTAAATAATATTTATTATTGATGGAATCAATAAGATAGCATTTTATTCCCATCAAGGAAATAAGCCAAAATTTATGTTGTAAAATTTGTACATATGTTGCCATAAATGCTGTTGAATGTTAAATATGCGAGTAACTCTATTGTGAAGATTGTGCAAAACTTTGGTAGCGTAAAAAGGATTAGTATAAATATGTATCAATATTGTTAGGTGTCCTGATTGTAAAGGGGAGTTCAAGGTTAAGCAGCCTCATAGACTGATTAGAGAAGAACTCTCAAAATTGACATTCTCTTGCAAAAATGATGCTCAGGGTTGTAAGGCTCCGATTTTAATGAATGATGTGCTTCGACATGCTGAGGAATGTTAATTTAAGAATGTTAAATGTCCTTGTGGATGGAGTGGACCTTAATTGAAATAAAAATAACATGTAAATGTGATATCTATTTTTAAGGAACAAACTTGTTAATAGTTTGCAACAAAGTAATGCAATATTTGTAAGGAAGATATCAAGTTGGTTAAATTTCAAACTCATAATTGTTTTTTGGAACTCAAATAGCAATTCGAAAAGATTACAGAAAAATTCTATGAATATAAAGAAAGCTCAGAATATTCAATTAAGGATTTAAAAAATCATGCAAGCAAAGAAACTAATGAATTGTAGAGTGTAAAGTAGTAAATCAAGGGGATAATACAAGAGAATAATGAAATAAGGAAATAGATGACAGATTTGACATAGTTATTAAAAAACTAAGAATAATAATTTAAATAAGTTATAGAATCAACATAACAACAATAATAACAAGGACCATTCTTAACATAAGGGAAATTGGTAGAATCACGACAATTTCAATGTAGTAAAAATCACTTGATCTAATATTGGATGAATCCCAATGGAGAAGAAAAGACCAAGAAGTGTTTTAAATGTCAAAGAACTTAGGTAAATTGTAGATATTGTTGTCCCATATGTTGCTTTTTTGTTTGCTTAAAGTGTTAGGAGCCTGAGTTAACAAAGAATCCTCATGAAAATTCAGTACTCTGTCCTGCAAGACATAAGGTAACGAAAAAGATTATGGGTTTGAAATGCACTGTTTGTGATAAAACCTCGTCATAAATGAAATAACCAGGAGGTGCTGATTGTACAGAATGTGATTTCGCTATTTGCTTTGAATGTCTAGAAAATGAAAGATATAAAGGGAGAGTTCAATAATGTCCAGTCCAATGAAAATTTAAATGAATATTTTTAACTAATTTAAGGTTTAATTCAATGAAGCGATTTTTAATTATGGTCTTCAGCATTGAAATCAACTGCCTATTTCGGCTATTGTTCTACTATCAACTCCAAATCCAGAGCTTTCTAGATGGGTAGCCAACTAATATCATTTTGCAAGAATTTGCTATAGACATATGATTCAGTGCCTGTATGCTCAGTCTTCTGCTTCACCTTTAAGTATATCAAATAGGCCAAGTAATTCCAAGGGTTGTGATACTTGTTAACATGATTATCGAAGGATATACCTTCCTTTTCAAATACCGTTCTTGTTAAGTCACAAATATAACATCTGTTCTGAGAATCAAAGTCTTACATAATACATGATGATTACCTTTTTGATTCTTCTAATCTCTCAACTCAGCAAAGGTGTCGATAATGATACCAAAGATAATGTTCAACCAAATAATATTAATGAGAATAAAGAAGCTCACGTCATAGAGAACTCGCTATGAATAGTAATCTTAATTTGAATGCGTTGGAGGTGCTTCAAGAACATCTCCTATACCACCTCCTGCTCTCAAACCTTGATGAATTACGAAAACCAGACATTAAAAGGCAGAAAAACAAACTGTTTAATCTAAAGGATCAGAAGTCTCATCTTCTGCTCCATTATTATTCTCTTTTAATTACTATTTAAAATCAACGCTTTGATATGCTACCAATGAATACAAATACCTAATTACATACAACATTTATATACATTATTAATACTCCCAACAAGGCAGTCATCAGCAGTTGCTTATAATTGAGTGAAATACTTTTGATAACGTTTCGTAACACTTAAGAATGATCTATGATATCCAACAGTAGAAATCCATAGAAGAGTTTATTATACAGCAGACCCAGCAAATTGACTACCAGCAATAAAAACCAATAAAAAGTATAACTACTGAATAACATTCTTTTAACAATATGAAATGTTTGCAATAGTGTAATTTAGAATGGATATATGACTGTTTTTGGATTAACTTATTAAGACTAACCTTGATTGGATTTCTTATTGTAATTCAATTAGATCAAATCAGACACCTACTTATAGATTCGATCATACTCCAATTACATTCTAATAAATATCCAAATGAGCATGATCAATCCATACAAAATACAATCCAATATAGCTATGGCTTTGGCTAAGTTCGCCAGTTTTTCTTCAGTGTCATTTATTGTAATTAAGATATTCAAAAGGAGAGCCAAAATGATACATACATTTCTGAGATAAACAATGAAATTGTTGTTAAATCTAATACCAATTTTTCTTAATTTCATAAAATGCACCATTTCCATATAGAAATAATCCATGTTATCTAGTAATCCATTGATCTTATCATTAATAGAATCTCTTTCTACCTCTTCCATAAATTATAGTTTGGTTTCCTCTGTTAAATATTTCATTAGAGTTGGAACCTAAAAATAGATTTTCTCTAATTTGCCATTCATATTCACAATTTCAATTGAAGCAGTCTCATTTTTGTAGTAATTAAGAGCTCTTCTCAATTTTGGATTACTTTCAATATCTTTGATCCTAGGAATGTATTTGCTGAGTTTCTTGAGTAATAGATACATCATAAAAGTCTCGCCAACCATTTCTTCCATCTCTTCCTCTTAAATAGCATTTACAAAAGATTATGACGAGACTTTCAAGTGCTAATGTGAACGAGCACTATGAAAATTCTCAGAGAAGAATTCCATGAATAAATTCTAATTAGGCAAAGTCTCTTTTGTGTCCTTTGTCTAAATAACCCCATGATGATTTATGGCTTCTTCTGCTTCTGATTTCACTCTATCCAATACTTTCACTTCTAGATTTATTTGCATCTAAGTATTTCTTATCTTTTTAATGATTTTCCAGTACACCAAGTATACTCTCTCAAAGAAAATCTCAGGATTGAAGTAATGAGATATCTTTCTAGCAATCTCTTAATCACTATTACCTTCCATTAGAGATAATTGAAGTAAGAATACTTTACTTCTTAAAGAGGAGAATACAATGTCTCTTCTTTGAAACATCTCTTTCTCGACTCTTTGTTAAACTATAATTTATTCCAATGCCTCCAATATCTTAGTAGATTAACATAATTCAGTTTGATTCTCTAGACAAGGACCCTATACACATTCAATTAAAAAATCGAGAATTTTTTAACCTAAAGCAGCATTATGTTCATTCATTATTTCAACATATTTCTCAAAAAGATCAGCTGTAAACATGATAAAATTAATGGGCTGTTTACTATTTGGTTAAATCCTCAAAAAGTTTTACATATCACTAAAATGATCTTCACAACCTAAACGAAACATTTCAAAAATCAAAATGCATCCATTTATCTTATTATTGAGTATTCTATTGATATTTCTATTCTTCCTTTCTATTTTTGATATCTCAGCCATTCTGACATCTTAGAACATATCTGTGATGAAGTTCTACATATTATTGATAAACGTATTCTAAAGATCTCTCTACAAATATAATAAGAAGGAGTTCTAAATTTCCCTTGATGAATCATCTATATAATCTACAAAAGCTTTAATGTATTCCAGCTTTTATTCGGAATCCCCCTCTAGTTTGATTAAATCGCAAAGAAAATCAGTGAATCCTAATTCTCCCAAATCTTTAAGAATCGATTTAGTTATGTGAAGATCTTCTTTATAATTTGATAGTTTTCTTACAATGTTGATAGATTTCAATTTGACTGATGGAGATATTGATGTTTCAGATAACATCTAAATAAGGGCAGTTACCATTCTCTTAAACTTTGTGGTGTCATCCCTTTTTAACGTAACAATTAGATTTACTAATTATTGAATTTCATTCTCTCTCTCCGAAGCTACAAGGTGTTCATCTACTAGTTTTGTCCTCTATGATTTTATGGAATTAGTCCATTTATCTAGAATCCCTTATTCTCCTTACTGCAAATCGTTTCTTTGCAACTAAAAGGCAATGTCTAAAGTCTAAACCGATTATATCGTTTCAATTATTCTAATAATATTGTCCTTATCAACTTCATTGTCCTCTTTAGCCAAAATACTTAATTCTTGATTCTACTCATCCTAATTACTAGACAACAGTTTATGTGTTAAATTATATAGTTTGGTTGTTTTTTATCCACTTTTCCTTTTAATATTGGAATTTTTCATTCTGCCTCCAGAACCTCCATTGTGGATATCAGAAGCGAACTCATAAACTCTCTGAATGGTTTCGCTAATGGTTTATGCCATAAAAAGAAGTTCATTCTAAACAAAATCCTCAAAGTACTCTTGTTCATCTTTAAAGAAATACTTTGGACAAACCTTCTTTACAAAGTTCTTTGTAACTTCCAACACTCCGAAAATCACATAGATGAAACTTGCTTTCTCATGGGGTATTGACATAATGAACTCTTAATTTGTATACTGATTTCTTATGCCAAAAATATTGAACACAACGCTATTTACTAATTTTGCATTTGCCATTTTCTTAAGATTCTAATTCTCCACAAAACTTACAGTCATTTATTTAAAAATCACTTCAGTAATAGTTTTAACAACTTCTTGTTTTTCTTCAAATGTAATGAATTGTAGATTCTCTAAAAATACACTCTGAAAATAGAGTATAAGCTCAGATTTCAATGGGTACCACTCATCCAATTGCTTTAACATCTCAGCCACTCTATTCACTGGAAAGAGCTTTTTAACGAATTCATTGATTAGAACTGATCTTTTGGAACAAATAAATCTCATCAACCTTAGTAGTTCAGTCATGAACAAAATTTCTATTGGCATTTCTATAAATCCATTGATTTAGGGATGTTTTTGTTAATTGTGCTGTGTTGGAGGTGCAGGTGCATGACTACCTGTGAAGAATTATTCCAATCTAAAGAGATAAATAGTTTGAATGAGAGTACCAATGTCTTTAGGGAATGTGGTTAACTATTTAGTAGATTAAAACAGATGAACAATAACATAATTATTTTACACAACATCGCTTTCTTTGACTTTCAAAAGGATTTGTAAAAATTGAAGGAAATAGATGGCTGCTTCATAATTTTTATTTGCAAAATTGTTACCAAAAATAGAGAATAATTTGGCCAAAATTGAATTTTCATCATTGTACTTATCTAATGAGAATAAGATATTATAATTGTCTCGAAACAGTTCAGCAAACAATATATATATTAAAGTTTGCATCTACTTTCTCTTAACATTAGACATTTCATGAAGAAATGAATCTTTGCGCTTACTTAAATTGAGTATCATTTCTTGGTTTTCTTCATTTCGTATTACAAAATAAATCAAAAACAAAATGCTCTTTTCTAAGATGTCACTTTTAATTTCCCATCCTTTCTTGTTTGCATTACTTACAAGTACATCCTTCTCTCTAAATAGAGTACTTGTTTCTTATATTAAGTTTTCAACCAATTTTTACATCAAATCATGAAATCCCAAGTATCTCAGTAACTTTTATCTATAAAATATGGTCAACACGTCGATTGATAATGAATTATTGATTTTCCAAACATACTTCTATTACTAATCCATAGTGGCAGACTTCAAAGATTATAACTATTCTTCTTGCTTATCCCTCATAGGACTCTATGCTGAAACATCAATTAAATCAAGTTCTGCTTTTGACACAAATTGCTCAATGATAGCCACTTCCTATTTTACTTTGCTCTTAACCATCTTCTCTTCTTGTGCCTAGTAATGTTTCTCTTCATTTTCCAATTAGTTAATTTCCATAAACATTTACATGTCAGATTTTGCTGCATAATCAGGAAAGAAGATTACTAACATATCTGATAAAGCATCATTAATAGTTTCGTAGTGTTTACTAGAATCCTTTTCCAGAGATGACTTTAAATCGATAATTGCAAAGTGTAATTTCCAATAAATGTTAGAAAAGTCTGTAAATATATTTTAATTTACCAATAATTACAACTCACCTTAATCAAATGCCTCGATCAAAATAGTTTAATTCAACGTTTAAAGAAAGTTACTTCTTGATGAGTAGATCAGCCACAATAACTCAGTGACTTTTGCTGATAATCTTATTTGATTTAATGTAAGCAATTCAATTAAAAAGTAAACCAATGAAATATCTGTTTATTTTATACCTCCCATATATTCTAAAATTACAGTCTTACGAGCATAAGAACACTCTCTCAACATCGTCGCCAACTCTTGTGTTGTAAATATATCCTTCTGGCCAAGCTAGCTTTGAGAGGGCTACCCTCTAGTATGATAACTAGCTCTCTTGGCTTATCTCAATCTTTAGACTACATCTGCATACTTTTTGTCCTTTGCGAACTTCTATAAGTATTGAAGATCATCAAATATAGTTTAATTGTCTTCTGTGATAATAAATTAATCTGCCATCCTCGATTATTAAAACTATTCTAGCAGAATCAGAATCTCAATTAGTTCGTCAAGCCAAATCATACTCTTTGCATAAGTCGTCGTTCTAGACACTGCCCTCTATGTCACGGTACTTTCAAATAAGTAATCTTTCACCTCTAAAGGTTTCTATTCTTTTGATTTTTTATTGCCTTACAACTAATGTTTGATGTACTTCTCTTCCAAAGTAGCTGATACAACAGAGTTCTTCAAGAATTCAATGAATTTATGGTACATATTATAGAAGTTGTGAGCGTTGCTAAGATATTCAATAAATAATCCTTTTTTTAAAAATTCTGTAAATGTTAAAATGAGTTATTTGATATAAACATGATCATTCCCTTTAATTTCATAAATTGACTTGGTTTTCCAGAAATTTGAAATGAAATCTGATAAATACAGCCAAAAGTCCACAGTCTTATCACTTTCGACTAAATATTTCTGTGCCACCTTCTTGTAGACATCAGATATCTTTTTCTGAGCAAAAGCATAGAGAATGATCTCATACTCTTCTTTTTTAAAAAGTGACAAGAATCCTTTCCCCTTTTACTGTTTCACTACCATTTTCAAATATTAAGGGAATTGGGCCATTGGCAAAGGCTTTAAGTGTTTGGCCATGTATGAATTCTGGAACAGCTCTAAGAAGTATGATTTTGTTAATGAAGAAATGCTATTGTCTTGGATTATTTAGGCAACAGTGTAGAAGGGGAACAAGGTCTTAATTTCCTTTAGAGTCAAAGCTGGAGATGATTTAGATATTTCTGAAGCCAATCTCACACAAGATATGATATAGTCGTGTTGTTGTTATTTGTTTGGGAGATTGACTCCATCTATCATTAATGGACTCTAACTTGGATTGTTAGAATCAATAGACTTTCTGATCGTTTTTGAGAAGTCTTGGAGTTTCTCTCTCAACACCGATTGAAAGTTGCCATCAAATATATATTGAGAGAATATGGAATCCTTATTTTGTTTAAAGATATGATCTATAATTCCTTCGATTCCTTCCTTTTTTCTAAATTCGGTGAAGAGACAAAAGGCAATCAACAAATTAAATGCATGTTTGTTGTAATTTGTGAATTTGGTTTCTTTCGATAATTGAGTGACTTCAAATTCAAAGGAAACCATAACATCAGATTATTGGAATAACTGTGTAATCAAGATGTCTAGTTTCATTAAATCGTTGACTTGTCCTCTAAGCAGGATATGCTTATAGAGACAATACCATTAAACGACATACAGAGAATTATCACTGGAATTCTTGCATACCAATTATAAAAATGAGGAAAGTGCATCTATTAATTAATTGATATCCTATTAAAATATTTCCTCCTCTTAGACTTCCTCCTAAATCTCATCTTGTCTATTAGAATCTTTGTCCTCATACAATAACCCATTGATATTCAATTCATAGATAATTTTATTCACATAATCTATGCAACCGATTTCCCTGGCAATGCATTGTCTCCTTACCAAAGGTTCAGAGATTAGATTTTCTTAGGCCAAGGTTTCCTAACTGGCAGTCAACCATAACATAATTTTAATGAGAGACTTAACTGCTTGATTTACATTTTAAACAGTTTGGGCCTGGCATCTAAGAAATTGAGATGCAAGATCTTTTTATTCTTTGGAATCTTTAAATTTAAGATCTTTGAATTTGAATTTTAAAGTGGACAATTGGATAGAGTTTTTAGCCAAAGCAACGATAGGAAACATCAAATCTAAGACTTCACTCAATTCTTCAATTTCACTTTGGTCTACAACTTCAAATTTAAAATTCGATCCTGAAAATTCCTCAGATGCCAATACATCCATGTACTTAGTATTAAGAGGATTCAAGTTAATGAAAGTAGGTTTAAAAGTTTCATCGTCAGATTTGTAATGTCGCATATCAACCTTGTTTTTGGCTTGTCTCTTCTTTTCATACTCTATAAACTCAAGAACTTACTTTTCTTAAGCTGACAATTGATATTTGTTCTTCTTCATGAAAGAATCCAAATCAGGGATCAAAGTCACCCACTCTTCATGCAATTATCTATATAAGGCTTACTCCACATTCTCTTCACCATATTGATTAAACATTCCCAATTTAGTAATTAATTTAACCTGATATCCACCCTCTTCTTAGTTGTCAACTTCAATTGGACTTTTCCCATCCTTTGTAGCAATATTGAAAGTGGTATCATTAGTGAATGGCAATTAATCCTTATAGAATATGGGATTATTGCCTAATTTAGTAACAAATAGTAATTGATGATCTGCCAAACAAGAATCTTGATCAAATTCTTCCTAATTACTTTAGGTTTATTAGTATTGAGTGGCTATGCGATCATCTTATTGATTAGCGATATTATTTTAAAGATTGTTATTTTGTTAATTCATCAGATTTCTATACAATTTGATTCCTGGTAAGTTTTTTTGCGTGGTTGATTTTGGTTCAGTTTATTTTACAGCATCTAACTTTTTAGATGACAGAGTATTAATTTGTCTATATTTGTTGATAATTTCTTTGGACAATTAGAGTTTATTATCAAAGGGATTGACTCTTAAGAACTCGCCTGTCAACATGTGTCTAAGCAAGAAAGTAGTGTAACCCACCAAATTTGGTTTATTACCAACACTGAATTAGATTTCATCACTGTACTTTTGATCGTTCTCTGGCAAGATCTAGAAAATTGATGCTGCCTTTTCAATTAAATCGGCATTTTAGACATCATTGATCTACAGATACACTTATGGGTAACACCCAACAGCATTGATTGAGGATGTCAAATACCCTTTATTGATTTAATTTTCTTGGGCATCCTCTATTTTAATTGATCTAACTCTTGATTCCTATCGTTCCTTCTTTATTTTTTATTACATATGGACTATTCTTACATACTAACCATAGAACAAATGGAGTTTATCTTTGTCTTATTTTAATACTATTGCTTGTAGTGTGTTATGGCTTATGGATTCTTTCGAATCTGTTGCGAATTGTCTGTATTGGGCTTTGTAGAATTTAAATTGGTATTGATTTTCAATCATTGCTGGGATAGTTAGAAACTGATTGTTGTGATCAAGGTTGTGAGATTTAACAACCTCAGGCAATCGATAAATTTCTTGGAGAGTGTCAAATTTTAAGATGGTGTCACTTTAAACAAGCAGAAACTGATCAAAGGAATGGACTGGACATCCTTATTTGATGTCCAATGCCAAGGGATCAGGTTGGACTGTAAAATACATTGAGGAACTCAAAATGGTTCCTATATTTGAATTTGAATTATTATTTTCTGCTCTTAACAAAAATACTTAACTCAATGGTTGATAGAGCATTATCGTATCTCCATACATGATTTTTTGTCCCTTAGTTTACTTCAAAAGATTTTGATTATATTTTTTTTCAGTCTCCATTCTCGTATAAAGGAGTTGCTTCTAAAAGTCCAGAGAGGCTCCAAACTACTAGTCGGAATTGTATTTCTTTTGGGCTTCGTATAAAAGCTTGGGAAACACAGTAAACACCATATGTTGAGGGAAATTATACATATTAAAGGTGCAAGAGTTACCTAATTACAACCTAGTCTCCATAAGGTACTGTTCGTTTCGAGCAAGTAGATAATAGATTTTGTTGTCTACCATGCATCTCAGAATAATATTGTCTCCATATTTCAAGATTTATTATTCTTCTTCCATTATATAAATGAATTAATTATAATTTAGTTCTGAAAAGAGAGATTGTTCATCGATTGCTTTTAAGTTCACGGGGAGACCCAGAAAATGACACCGATACTAACGATTAATCAATCTTCAAATTATATCAAATTGTTACATAATGATTAAGTTATTTTCTCCAATATCAACGACCCATTTATTATTTCCTTAATTATTTGTTAATCAATTTTAACCGAAACTCTTTTATAATTCAAGACAATCTAATTAATTTGTCCAGGAACTCATCTTTCATTAGCAATCGATCTTGTTCGAGTTCCAAATTCTCAAATATTGACCAATTGGCAAATCCATCACTGAATAAAACTCAAATTCACAATACCAGTGTGTGAATGGGGTATCGAAATGTAATCTATTTTTGCTGAAAATTTATAATAAGAATGGGGCTTATAAGTATAATAGATAAATTTTTGATAATTTTCGACAACTTAATCTGTGTTAAGAATGGTTAATTTTTTATAAGCAATTTATAAATCTAAATCATTACATATGAATAAGCCGAGATTCTTGTTATAGTTTGCCTTAAGGGAAGCAAAGCATTAGGAAGATAAGAGGATCGAATTAGAAGCCATGAATAATGTTGAAAAAGAAATCTAACAGTTCGAGAACAGTGAGTAAATTGATAAAATAATTAGTGTATGGAAATTGAAGCCTTTAAAGATCATTCAAAAAATAGTGATTTTTATCACTAAATTGAAGCATTATTCGCCTATTTATAGATTTAAGATATTGAATAAGAACATTTTTTATTTGATAAGGGATCGGACAAGCTCATTTTAATATTACCTTTATAGTGGACTGTTAGAAAATAAGCCAACAAGAGTATGTGTCATTTTATTAAGAAATAGGTTGGTTAAATGAAGTATCAAGGAAAACTAAACAATGCAATCTGGTGGAGAACATGGTCATTTCTAAAAAGTAATCAAACTGTTTTACTACCTGCGGATAAGTTTCTATTTGTATGGGATGTTATCCTGATGTTTGTAACCATCATGAATATTCTCTATGTTCCATTACAATTGTCCTTTGATTTGAGTAGAGAAGAAATAGGAAATGCTTACCTATTATTTAGTACTCTTCCAAGTTGCATATTTTTGGTCGAATTAGTCTTGAACTTTTTTAAAGGCTACTATGTTAGAGGGATATTGCATACATCTAAACGCGATATTTTTTGGCATTACGTGAAAGGAGAGTTCATTATTGATCTAACAGTTGTGTTGCCCTTCATACTGTCATGGTTCGGCTACTCATTCGCAAATTATCTAATGTTGATACGCATGACGAAGGTAAGAAGGACTATGGTTGTTATAGAGGAGATATCCAATTTCAAGGAAAAGACAGCTGTAATATATTCTCTATTCTGTTTGATTTATTCTCTTTTGTTGATTTCTCATTTTTGTGCCTGTTTATTTCATTACTTTGCAATTCTTGAAGTTGATAACGGTTACACGCACACATGGCTTCACTAACAAGGAATATACGAAGCAGACGCATATGTAAAATACTTTACTTCATTGTATTGGGTTACCATAACCTCGATGACTGTGGGATATGGAGACATAGTACCTGTGACAACTCCTGAAAAAATCTTAGTCACTTTNCCAAATTCTCAAATATTGACCAATTGGCAAATCCATCACTGAATAAAACTCAAATTCACAATACCAGTGTGTGAATGGGGTATCGAAATGTAATCTATTTTTGCTGAAAATTTATAATAAGAATGGGGCTTATAAGTATAATAGATAAATTTTTGATAATTTTCGACAACTTAATCTGTGTTAAGAATGGTTAATTTTTTATAAGCAATTTATAAATCTAAATCATTACATATGAATAAGCCGAGATTCTTGTTATAGTTTGCCTTAAGGGAAGCAAAGCATTAGGAAGATAAGAGGATCGAATTAGAAGCCATGAATAATGTTGAAAAAGAAATCTAACAGTTCGAGAACAGTGAGTAAATTGATAAAATAATTAGTGTATGGAAATTGAAGCCTTTAAAGATCATTCAAAAAATAGTGATTTTTATCACTAAATTGAAGCATTATTCGCCTATTTATAGATTTAAGATATTGAATAAGAACATTTTTTATTTGATAAGGGATCGGACAAGCTCATTTTAATATTACCTTTATAGTGGACTGTTAGAAAATAAGCCAACAAGAGTATGTGTCATTTTATTAAGAAATAGGTTGGTTAAATGAAGTATCAAGGAAAACTAAACAATGCAATCTGGTGGAGAACATGGTCATTTCTAAAAAGTAATCAAACTGTTTTACTACCTGCGGATAAGTTTCTATTTGTATGGGATGTTATCCTGATGTTTGTAACCATCATGAATATTCTCTATGTTCCATTACAATTGTCCTTTGATTTGAGTAGAGAAGAAATAGGAAATGCTTACCTATTATTTAGTACTCTTCCAAGTTGCATATTTTTGGTCGAATTAGTCTTGAACTTTTTTAAAGGCTACTATGTTAGAGGGATATTGCATACATCTAAACGCGATATTTTTTGGCATTACGTGAAAGGAGAGTTCATTATTGATCTAACAGTTGTGTTGCCCTTCATACTGTCATGGTTCGGCTACTCATTCGCAAATTATCTAATGTTGATACGCATGACGAAGGTAAGAAGGACTATGGTTGTTATAGAGGAGATATCCAATTTCAAGGAAAAGACAGCTGTAATATATTCTCTATTCTGTTTGATTTATTCTCTTTTGTTGATTTCTCATTTTTGTGCCTGTTTATTTCATTACTTTGCAATTCTTGAAGTTGATAACGGTTACACGCACACATGGCTTCACTAACAAGGAATATACGAAGCAGACGCATATGTAAAATACTTTACTTCATTGTATTGGGTTACCATAACCTCGATGACTGTGGGATATGGAGACATAGTACCTGTGACAACTCCTGAAAAAATCTTAGTCACTTTTCTGACATTTCTAGTAGTTGGAACATTTGGGTATGCCTTAGGAATGATCCAAAGCATCTTCTACAAATTAGCCGAATAATAAAACCTTAATAATGCCAAACTTAGACTAGTAAGCAATCACATAAAATAGAGGGGATTAAATACACAATTGCAATTTAGAGTTCGAAAATACATTGAATATTACTTGCAGTTTAAATAGGAGGAAGAGTTGGACTTGGATGAATTAATGGGATAATTGAATCCAAAATTAAAATAGGAGGTTTAAATAGCAATGTATTACAGTTATTTAAAGAATTCTAAATTGTTAGGTTCAAATCTCTCTGATGATATCCTTAAGAAACTTTGCTTTTGTGTTCATGAAAGAACGTATGCTCCTGAAGAATTTATCATTAAGAAGGATGACCATCCTGATAAGCTATACATAGTGTTATCTGGAAGAATCAAGTCAGTATTATTAGACAGGACAATTAAGAGATATATAAGCGGGAAATTAGTTTGTGAAAGGGAGTTCTTCTTTCAGGATTATATGTAGTTTGATATGGTGGCCTAAACCTTTGTTTAGGTAGCCTACATAAATTAAACTGATTTCTTGAATATCCTCCAGAATGACAACGGATAGTATGAAAAGTATAGACTCACTTTGGATCGAACGTAATTTGGAGACAACAACAATCAAATAATCTGTGAGGCATGTTCTAGTCATCATCAATTCAAACATTGTCCTCTCGTTTTCTTCAGAAAAAACAAAAATAAAGTGATCTCAATTTACAATAGCAGTGTAGATCATGAGAGACATACGTTTACGAGATAGAGAAAGAAGACAAGGTTCAACTCCTAATTAATTAAGGAGAGAGCCTTGGATCAGATCTTGGAGTAAAATAAATCTCTGGCTGTTGTTGACAGCAAATATCTAATTAGATTAGGCATTCAAAGAAATGATGAAGATGAATCATCATATCCTGATTAGACAGTTGTTTAACATTCCTAATAGGGTTCTTTGAATCAGCCAGACCAGAGACTGATATTTAAAGGTAGAGGCATGAGGCAAGTGAGTCATAGAAACCTACTTGTGCCTACTGGAAATAATGCCCAAGAAAATCAGGAGGATAATTAAACTTAGATATTTAATGCAGAAACTAACGTTGATAAAGTAGAAGAATACGATCATTATTACCCGCATTATAATATCACAAAAGTGATTAAATTGATTAATAATTATAATATATATTCTAGAGTTTTGGAGAAGATACGGGGTCATAAGAATAGATTTGCTCAATACATAGCTAGACAAATAATGTATAAAATTTTATGAATAACTAAATATTTGTATCATGAATAATAGATCTTAAATGCTAATCATTTTCTATTAGTAGATATTAATATTATTTATAAAATAAAATTCGAAATCAAAGAATGGATTATTATTAAGAGAGTGATATAATCACACTGAATTAGAAATACGAAATCAATCTAAAAAAAGTCATCGGAAAAGGCTCTTATGGGGTTGTCTATGAGTGCAGGGATTTATCTAACCCAAACTCTGATCAAAAATTATGTGCAAAAGTAATAGAGTTTCATAATTTTTTAGTTTACTGAAATCATTCAAAATCAAAAATATAGTAGGGAATATCAAATAATGTGCATACTAAAAACAGAGGCAAAAGGAAATCCAAACATTATTTAAGTGATAGATGTATTGGTGCATGATGAGAAATACGTCATAATCTAAGAAAGATGTGAATGTGATCTATTTCATATAATCAAATAAAGAAGAATAAATAAAAAAAGATTTACTCCTAAAGAAGCATTAGAAATCATTAAATAAATAAGCTATGGATATAAAGCACTCTTTGATAAGAAGATCATCCATCGTGATTTAAAACCAAGTAATATTCTATTTCTGAATGGTACTTATAAAGTAACATATTCATAATCTCAAGATTGCTGACTTCGGTTTTGCAAGAGTAGCTGATCCATATGGAGAACATACAAAATTAGGAACTCGAGGATATTTTGCTCCTGAAATAGCTTGGTCTTTTTCTTATACTTGCTAAGCCGATATCTTCTCTGTAATATAAATGTTGATCTTAATAGTTGGGGGTTATCTTTTACTAATTAATCTTCGATGACCTTCTATTCAAGGCTGACACCTATGCCGAGGCTAAAAATTAATTATTCTCTTTAAAAGAGCATCCCTTTAAAGTGAGCAGAGAATCACTTGAAGTATTACTATTCATATTTACTCTTAGTTCTAAGTTGATGATTCCATCCCTTAGTTGATTGAAAGAATGGTTTTGTATAGTGAGGAGGATAGAATAAATTGGAACCAATTTTTCCAGCATAAATTAATCCAATAGAGCCTACCAATGAATTTAGATAAAAGAATGCCAACCCCAGATACTGAGAATGAATAAGAACCTATAAAAGAGAAATCATAATCACTAAAGCACAATATACAAGTATTTCAGAATTCCAAATTTTTAGCCAATAAATCAACCGTAAATTTCTAAACCAAATGAAATAGCTTAGTAACAATATATTGTTTAACCTCCTAATACCTTTTAGAATCATTACAATCAATAAGAATATATAAATCTATTATGTTAACATTACTAAATTGGAATTTTTATTGTTTAGGTTGAATAAGAGGTCTGTAACACTTTTTAAAATATATTGAATATCATAAAAATTAGGAATAATTTAATTTAAATGCCTACTTACTGGTTCCTCCATCTAAGAAGAATACTATGCAATTTAGCTTTAATCTTTCTTAATAGTGCTAAAAATGGATAATTGCCATTTTTTAATCTCAAATAAGATATTGAAAATTTCTTTATTAAATAATAAGTAATTTTTATTTATCAATAATAAGAATTTAAAATAGGAATTTCAAGCTAATAATTTATAATATTTTGAAGAAAACCTTGGATTTCAGAATTTGAATAAATTTATTTAAGACATAAAGCAGTTCATGATACTACTTGATCTGATATAATAAACTAAGAATATCCACTATTTTCAATATCAAAGGTTATATATAATTAATAGATTATTAGGCTAATATATACTTTACATAAGTTATCAGAAGCAAATGACAAAAATTTATATTACACTATTTTGAAAACTAGCTAAGAGCACAACGATGAAAATTTAATAAAATAAATTTATTAATGATTAAACATAACAATTCAAGTTACGTTTTATAAGCTATAGTTTTATCAGTTAAAAATTAAATAAACAGCTCCAAAAACAAGAATAGAAATTATAATCTATAATAGATTTGACTTCTTCTTATCCGATAGTATTTTTCTTGCCTGATCGAGTTAATCTAAGTCGAAAACCTTTTAGTTCTTATCATGAAATCCTAATTTTATATTGAATATTTCATCTAAGAAATCACAACAGTTCTATAGATTGATTCTATCAATACATTAAAATATTGAATTGAGTTTTGCTAAGCAATATTATTCATCCGGAAATTCTCGTTCCTTATAATTATTCATCCTCTTGTAATACAATTTTTTTATTTTTTGAAGCTTTAAAATAAACTCCTAATCTTAAATTATTTATTGTCTACTCTCTTCTATGTCACTTATTAGCTAATTCAATAAAAAGATTGCATTTTTTTGTTTAATTGTTCCTCTTATAAAACATCCTTTTCTTCTGATTCCATAAAATTTGGATTAATATCCCTTAATCATGATAAAATATAAATTTAAATATTATGAAAATTCTTCTATCTTAACCCGAGCAGATACTTAGAGAGAATGGGTTAGATTATTTGTATGTAGTTCTCGTCTCAATTCGAGTGATAATTTTTGTTATAACTTCTTTTTATCCATATTTTACTTGTCATTTTCAATAATCATGCTTGTAAATGCAATCAATTTATTTTATTCCTGTATTTATTGTTATTTTTGACTTAAAGATTTAAAGTCTATTTAATGCACTCCAGAAAATATCAAAAAAATAGTGAAATTTCTAACGCCTGATTAGTCTTCCTCTATAATACTAAGAATCTATTATATTGCTTATGTTAAAGGTAGTTGCTAGCTTCTAACAATCTGTTCTGGGTTCTCTTAAACAGTATCTGCCCACCAAAAAGTTTATGTATTGTCATATGCTTATTGATTAAAAACAGTTTATTTGGCTTTCAATACTTCCTCTTGCTATGATTTTTATAATGTAAAAGAATCAACCAATATAATCAATTTAGAGTTGAATTTAATTTCATAGGGATTTTACTATTTTTTAATTTATACTTCCTCCTCTATTTCAATTTGTTAAATAGATTATTGAACTTGAAAATTTTTATCAATGCATAGTTAGGGATCTTTTTCAAGGTTTGCTTATAATTGTGCATATCTATTTTCATTATCTTTTATTGAAGCTAAATAATCAGTTTATGCAAATTAACCAATTATCTTATTCATTACATCAAGTTTTGGATTATTAACAACTTCTTATAAATCTGCTAAAGGATTCATTTATTAATTAGTCTTAATAAATAGTTTTTGACTTTATTTTGATATATCAAGTAACTTCTAAAATTCTTTTTTACCTTCCTCAATTTTATCATGGGCTTACAAATGTATCAATAGTTATGAAATACTCCCTTACTAAATTTAAATTAAATCTTCAACGTTTGAAGATGATTATATTATTTCATTTTTTTTTGTTTAAACAGTGGGATTAGGAGATAAAAATAGTTAATTACATTGAACAGTTTTAGTTTTTTAATCTTGAATATCTAAGAATGAAGTATATACTATTTCATTCAATTCAATTTATTCAGTAAATACAATCAATTATTTTTTGAGACCCTCTAATGCTTCTGTAAACTGATTAGTCATTTTTTGTTATTACTCTGGTATTATTGTTACATTGTCTTATTCATCAAGAACTATACTTAATTCACTCTGATCCATAACTTCATAAATAGATGGAAAATGTAAATTTCCGTTGTTGTGCAGCTTTTCTCTTAACTAATTGCTTATCGTAGTTGGGAAATTTTTTCCGACTGCAATGCTAGCAAATTAAATTTTGAAAGTTGAAGTAATTTGGTCAATCAATGGAAGAAACTCCTCATAAACAAAGTGTTCAACTCCATCTGAGATGAAACAAATTGTCAGATATTTTTTATCCTAATGTTAAGTGAGCAGGATGTCAAACAATTGTTTAAAAACTTTATTGAAATTACTTTAACGATGATCTTAGAACTTATTGATATCATATAGAACAACATCGGATCCCTCTTTTGGGTTTCCAAACTGAAAGGCCAATTTATGTTTGATACTACTGCATACATTATGATAGCATTTCAAAAATATGGGATAATGCGCATTCATAGAAGTTGTTCCATCTACCAGCAAAATAAAAAATGATTCTTAAGAATTTGATTTGGATGCTCTATACGTATACATCTAATTTTATTAATTAACTTTTTCATTCTTTCTTTTTTATGATTTATTCACGAATTCTATTATGATAAAGTATTATAATTATATATATAACTGAAATAATAGAATTTAATAGTTAATTAATTCTAAATTAACAATTAATTTGTGAAATACATAAAATAAATTAAATGATTGAGTAGATAAATAAGAATATAGGGGCAAACAGAAGTAATTCAAAAATTAACAAGATTTTGATATAGTTATTTGATATATAGTTAACATCTATGCTATTATATTACAATAATTTGATACAATTCCAATCTTTAAGATAGAATAGAATTATCGCACTTACTTGTATTTAGTAAACATTTTTTTTTCAAATTATATATATTGAGAATTAATTAATTTTATTTAAGAAATTCCTTTTAATTAAGGACAATAAAAGTGAAGAAATGCTTAAATTTGATAAAAGATTGAATAATTTTAGTTCAAATCAAAGGAAATGAGCAGGAATATTTGTATGGATTTGAAAATGTATATAAAAAGGAGTTTTTTTAATTAATTTCTAGAAAATGTGATAACACACGTGTTTTTGGATATATATTATTTAAGGTATGGTGAATGCAAATCATTAATATTTTTAATGAATAGTAAATAGAAGGCCTTTGCCTTGCTGTTGCTCTTTATGCTCTCAGGAGTATAAGTGATGACATAGGATCTGACTGACGAATAAAAAAAGTTATTAGAACAATCCCAAGAAACCCATGAATTCTAAGCTGAAACAGGTAGATTGATGGACATTCTTATCAATTCTCTCTATACTTAAAAAGAAATCTTTCTTAGAGAATTAATCTCAAATGCTGCGGATGCCCTTGATAAGCTTCGTTTCTTAAGTGTTAGAAATCCAGAGATTTTGGGAGACAAGACAGAATTAGCAATAAGAATTGAAATAAATACAGAAGAGAAGTCAGTTTCAGTAACAGACAGTGGTATTGGTATGACTAAGAATGACCTAATCTCCAATTTGGGTACAATAGCAAAATCAGGAACAACTCAATTCATCGAGGCAATCAAAGGAGGAAATGTAAATTTGATTGGTCAATTTGGTGTTGGTTTCTATTCATGCTTCTTGGCAGGACAGAAGGTTACTGTTGCATCAAAGAACACAGATGATGATTAATACATTTGGGAATCTCAAGCAGCTCATTCATTTGCTGTATCTAAAGATCCAAGAGGAAACACTTTGGGTCGTGGTACTTAAGTCACAATTCATTTGAAATAAGATGCTGTTGAATTTGCTGAAGAGTCAACAATAAGAGAGTTGATCAAAAAGTATTCTGAATTTATCAACTTCCCAATTTACTTGAAGGTGACAAGAGAAGTTTCAAAGTAAGTAGAAGAGGAATCAGAATAATAAGATCAATAAGATCAATAGGATTAAACTGATGATGATGAAGTCAAGGTTAAAGATGATGATGATGATGCAGATACAAAGAAGAAGGCTACTAAAACAGTTAAAGAGAAGGTGTCTGAGTGGGTGTAAGTAAATGAAAATAAAGCCATTTGGTTGAGACCAAAGGAAGAGATCTCTGATGATGATTATAAGAAATTCTATAAAGTCTTGTCAAAGAATTCAGGTGAAGATCCATTCAACTGGGTTCATTTCAAAGCAGAGGGTGAAGTTGAATTCACATCTCTTATTTATGTCCCAAAGAGAGCACCCAGTGATATGTTCGATAATTATTATGGAAAATAAACCACAAACTTGAAATTGTATGTTAGAAGAGTTTTGATCAGTGAAGAATTTGAAGACATTCTTCCAAGATATTTGAGTTTCGTCAAAGGTGTTATTGATTCAGATGAATTACCCTTAAATGTCAATAGAGAAACACTTTAATAACTTAAGATGTTGAAGGTTATCAGTAGAAAGATCGTTAAGAAGATCTTGGAATTATTCCAAGATGCTGCCTCGTATGATGATGAAGATGAGGAAGATACTGAAGAAGGAGAAGAGGATGATAACCTGGCTGAGACAACTCCAGAAGAATAGTAAAGATTGAAGGATGAGAAGAGAAAGAAGAAGATAGATGAGTACAATGAATTCTGGAAGGAATATGGAAAGAATATCAAATTGGGTGTCATTGAAGATTCATCAAACAGATAGAAATTGGCTGAATTAACAAGGTATCATTATTATTTATACTATAATTTGAAATATGTTATGTAATGATGACAAATTAATATGGATAATAAATGGAATTATTTCCATTTATTAAGTGATCATATAAACAGTCGTCTGATCTAACATAACATATTTCTAATCCAACATTATCCATATATTAAATATTATACCTAATATTTTATTTTAGGTGGTATTCAAGCAAGAATTCAACTGAATTAACTTCATTCGATGACTATATTGAAAGAGCAAAACCAGGATAAGATTCTATCTATTACTTGGCAGGTGAAAATAAAGAATAATTGTTGTCATCTCCAATCATTCAAGGCTTAATCAAAAAAGGATATGAAGTCTTATTGTTGGAAGATCCAGTCGATGAATTCACATTCTAACACTTGAATGAATACAAATAAAAGAAACTCGTTAATGTTGGCAAAGGTGACTTCAAGCAACCAGAAGATAATGATGAACAAAGAAAGAAATAAAAGGCATTGAAGAAAGTGTTCTAACCCTTGACTGACTGGTGGAGAAAGTTGTTATCAGAAAATGTTGATTCAGTTGTCATTTCATAAAGGTTGATTGAAGATCCCATCATTGTGGTTTCCTCAGAATCAGGATATTCAGCCAATATGGAAAGAATATCAAAAGCATAGGCTTATTCAAGCAAGGGTAGCAATTCTCAACAATTTGGTAAGAAGATTGTTGAAATCAATCCAAATCATTAAGCTATATAAGAATTGTTATAGAGAGTTAAAGATGACCCTGATTAAGAAACTGAAGAAATGGCTAGAGTTCTCTATGAAGCTGCTTTAGTCAATTCAGGTATATTATTTAATTGATTGTAATCTAGGATATTCAATCCCAAATCCAGAAAAGTTTGCTAGTAGATTCTATAAATTATTTAATTCAGCCTTGGGTATTGACAGAGATGCTCCAATTAAGGAATTCGAAGTTGAAATAGAAGAGGAACCCGAGACATCTTCTGAACCAACCATCGATTAAGATGGAACTAAATGGGAAAAAGTAAACACAGATGACGCAAAATGGGAAACTGTAAGTGATGATAAAAGAGATGATTTATGATTCATTTATACATTTGTATTGTAAATTTTTTATCTTATTTATTTTTAATTCATTTAAAATCTGGAGGGACATATATATTCAATATTCTCTTAGGATATTTTATAATTCTAATTTATTTAATTTATTAACAGTAATAATTTTGAAATAAAAATGAGCTCAAACTCTGATTAGTAATCATGTTTTCTAATTCCTTAGTCAATTCCTTTTCAAAGTATTATTAATTGGAAATTCTGGTGTTGGCAAGTCATGTATGCTTATGAGATATTCTGTAATAATCCCTCATTAATGTTTAAGGAAAATCAATTCACCAACAATTTCTACAACACTATCGGAGTGGATTTCAAAACTAAAACTGTTGCCATTGGTGAACACAATGTTAAATTGCAAATTGTTAATAATTATTATATACCATAGTGGGACACTGCAGGCTAAGATAGATTCAGAACAATAACTTGCAGCTATTATCGAGGTGCCCAAGGTATCATTATCGTTTATGATATCACTGACAGAGAGTCCTTTGAAAATGTGANTTGGCAGGTGAAAATAAAGAATAATTGTTGTCATCTCCAATCATTCAAGGCTTAATCAAAAAAGGATATGAAGTCTTATTGTTGGAAGATCCAGTCGATGAATTCACATTCTAACACTTGAATGAATACAAATAAAAGAAACTCGTTAATGTTGGCAAAGGTGACTTCAAGCAACCAGAAGATAATGATGAACAAAGAAAGAAATAAAAGGCATTGAAGAAAGTGTTCTAACCCTTGACTGACTGGTGGAGAAAGTTGTTATCAGAAAATGTTGATTCAGTTGTCATTTCATAAAGGTTGATTGAAGATCCCATCATTGTGGTTTCCTCAGAATCAGGATATTCAGCCAATATGGAAAGAATATCAAAAGCATAGGCTTATTCAAGCAAGGGTAGCAATTCTCAACAATTTGGTAAGAAGATTGTTGAAATCAATCCAAATCATTAAGCTATATAAGAATTGTTATAGAGAGTTAAAGATGACCCTGATTAAGAAACTGAAGAAATGGCTAGAGTTCTCTATGAAGCTGCTTTAGTCAATTCAGGTATATTATTTAATTGATTGTAATCTAGGATATTCAATCCCAAATCCAGAAAAGTTTGCTAGTAGATTCTATAAATTATTTAATTCAGCCTTGGGTATTGACAGAGATGCTCCAATTAAGGAATTCGAAGTTGAAATAGAAGAGGAACCCGAGACATCTTCTGAACCAACCATCGATTAAGATGGAACTAAATGGGAAAAAGTAAACACAGATGACGCAAAATGGGAAACTGTAAGTGATGATAAAAGAGATGATTTATGATTCATTTATACATTTGTATTGTAAATTTTTTATCTTATTTATTTTTAATTCATTTAAAATCTGGAGGGACATATATATTCAATATTCTCTTAGGATATTTTATAATTCTAATTTATTTAATTTATTAACAGTAATAATTTTGAAATAAAAATGAGCTCAAACTCTGATTAGTAATCATGTTTTCTAATTCCTTAGTCAATTCCTTTTCAAAGTATTATTAATTGGAAATTCTGGTGTTGGCAAGTCATGTATGCTTATGAGATATTCTGTAATAATCCCTCATTAATGTTTAAGGAAAATCAATTCACCAACAATTTCTACAACACTATCGGAGTGGATTTCAAAACTAAAACTGTTGCCATTGGTGAACACAATGTTAAATTGCAAATTGTTAATAATTATTATATACCATAGTGGGACACTGCAGGCTAAGATAGATTCAGAACAATAACTTGCAGCTATTATCGAGGTGCCCAAGGTATCATTATCGTTTATGATATCACTGACAGAGAGTCCTTTGAAAATGTGAAAACTTGGATTGCTGAAATTGATAAGTACTCTCTATCAGTAATATTAGGTATGCATCAGAATCAGTGAACAGGATGTTAGTTGGAAATAAAGCTGATATTATAGAGAGAAGAGAAGTTTCATATGAGGAGGGATTAGAATTATGTAATTCTATTTTATATTCTTCATTTAGCTAGATAATATTAATTTCCTTTCTATGAAACTAGTGCCAAATCATCAATCAATATTGAAGCAGCTTTTACTCACATTACAAAAAACATTTTGAACCGAGAAATGCATAACTCTAAGGCTGTAGTAAGAAAAACTTCAAATATGAGATTGTAAACTAGATAATAGCAATAATAATAATAATAAGAAAAAAAGAAGCAGGAAGATTTATGTTGTTGAGAATAACTATTCATTTCATTATTACTTAGTGTGATTTACTATATTTTCTTAAATAATTTGGTTTATTATTCTGGTTTATTTGATTTGTTCTACTCAGATTGAGTAAATGAAGGGAATAAAATTATCATTAATCATTTAAGTAATTATTTAGAATTTAAACCTCTTCTAATGAATACTTTGTTTAATAGAAATTAAAATATAATCGGTTATGAAATGAGTATTAAATCACTTTTTAAGACCATCATAAATTCTAAAAAAGACTTCGTCTTAATCTTCAGATTCTTAGACTTGGTTACTTTTATTACAACCAACGTTCTCTTCCTCTTCTTCCTCTTCTGTTTTGAATTTATGATTTTATCTTTAAACTTTAGTAGTGCTTTCTTAAATGCTATCATCATTATCATCGATAAAATGTGATTATTTTGCAATAGTTTAGTTATAAGGAGGCATGAGACATAAAAGAACATTCACAGCAGCAACAGTAAGTATAATTACGTGATTATGTGCTAGAAAAGCATCCATCAAAACAATTAAAAATTATCAAAATTATATATAATTAATGTATTGATTAACAGTTTCTAAGAAAACTGATGATGAATAATGAATAAATCAGAGTTTGTAAGCAGATGCTTTAAATCAGAAAAAAGTAAATGATATTTTCGAAGGTTTCCAATATAATCCCTTTTTTAATAACAATTTTTAAATTGGAACATAATTGCATTAAGTAAAAGTTGTAAATTCTTGATAAGTTTTATGTAAAGTGAGTTAGAAATTTTAGTTTTTTTGTTTTTAGGGTGATGAATAAATTTCAACTAATTAATTAGTATAATATAAATGAATTTCTTTAAATATGAATTAGTATTTAATGTAATCACAACCCCGTTTTGGAATTGGCCTTTGATTCTAAGGTTGTAAGCATTGTTTATAATTCCTCACTATTGTATCGAATATAGAGGGAAATCTTAGGATTTGAACAAGCACAAACACTTTGATGAGCAATGCATCCCTTTTTTAGACATCTATGATGATCAACAAAAGATTTACTTTCCACAGAAAATATAACTAGAGTACATATAATTGGAACAGATTTTGCAGACATTCCGATCATATTTCTCTAATTTATTTGCAAACTCAACAGTCTTAACCTATTCATAGAGAGCTAGGATGCTGTTTCGACTATCAATTTCAGTCCGGATCATCATTTTAAATTTGTCATGTAACTTAAAAAGTAATCACAAATAAACTTACCTTGATCCATGATTATTTGGTAAATTTGACTTGATCTGCCATGAGAGCAACCTTGGTTAGTAGCCACTCCAAGGGAAAACTAATCTGAGGCAATTTAAATCAAAAGATTACTTTTTTTAAATTGCCATCCATACGATACTCAGCCGAAGCACGATCATATTCATCAAGCCATTGTGTAGGAGCAACGTTGACTGCCTCACTACAATTGAATCCTATAATTTATATTTAATAAAATACCATGTGAGAATCCTGCATGATAGGTAGCACCTAAAGTGATAATAAGTTCACCAGGGTGCTGTTCTGTCCTGAGAACTGTAATTTATTGCTCAGCCAATTCGATAGGCGAAATCTGACATACTATGTCATACAAGAGACGAGGGTTATGTATTCTTTCTTTCTCATACTTCTTATTGAAATATTGTAAAAACTTTTCACTATGAGATGGAGGGATCGCATACCTAAATGTTAGAATGTACACTCTTACCATGTTTTTGGAGCTCCAGCATGCATGTAGTTTAAGGAATTTAAATTCAAGTCTTCCTTATGCCAACAGAAGTTAGCATACTTCATTCCCAAGTACAACCAAGGTACTGAAATTCCACTCATCTCACTCTTCTCTTGGAGAACTTGGAAGATAGAATTGCAATTCTTGTTTATGGTACTCAGATTTCCCAACTATCCATCTTAGAAACCAGTGGCATACTTGGTTGCCAACAAATCAGCTGCATACTCCACCTCCACTTCATCATACCTGTCTGGGAAGTCCACTATCGACCAGAATTCTATCTCATTCTACCTGATTTGATTCGAAACTTCCCTTACTCCCTATAACTTATGACTACATTCGAATTTGTTAGCGTAGCTCATATACTCTTGTAAAGTGAATCCAACAGTATTCGAACCAAATATCTAATCTAAATAAACGCACTTACTTCTCCTGCTTATTGCGAATTCAAAGTCTAAACTCGTGTCTCCACTCTCTTTCCCTTCAACTTCATCTCCAAATCACTAAAGAACTTTTTCTCCGGAACTATTAACTCCGGAGGCAAAAGCAATTTCACTATTCCAAATTTCTCGTAACCTTTCGCATAAAGTTGTTCTATTGTCTTAAAGGGATCCAAAAAAAAGTCTTAGTTAACTTGCATAGTTGGAACCTCTCTAAATTGAAGGTCTTTAATAGAATATGGGAAACGTTCCAGTAAGAGTTTTGCATGAGGCTCAGTAATATCATCAGAATTCTTTGAACTTCTAGATTGTTTTTTCTGTTTCAATGCTCGCTTCATATAGATTTAAGGTTATTTTATATAATAAATTTATCTAACCATTGACATCTTCTGCTTTAATGATGATTTATTTAAAAGATACTTCTGTTTTAAATCCCCAAAAATTATATAATTATATTTAGAACATACCCGTGTCTCATTCAAAATCTGATGAATACTATTAAGAAATATACATAAAATATATAATTCATTCAGAACCTTGTTTTGAGTCTTCCTTCTTGATTTCCAGATATGCCTTGTAGTTAGATCGAGGCGGAAATGGTCTTTCACCTAAAACCTCTATTATTTTCTATAAGTCCAGAGTTTCCTTATCCAACAAACTCGTCGCCAATCTAAGATTACATCATTAAAATTACTTATCAACAAATTCTTTCTTCTCTCTCAACAACTATCGAGTTCTCTGGGTTTAATCCTCTATAATCTTCTTTATTTCATCATCTATATGCTTATTGGTATTATCACTATAAGGCTTCTAGAACTCGCCCTCCTAGAATCCAATATAACCAATACTCTCGCTCATACCAAACTTGGTTACAATACTATGAGCCACCTCATACGCCTTCTTCAAATCATCATAGGCTCCAGTGGTGATTTAATCAAAAAATATCTCCTCCGATATTCTACCTCCCAAAATACAACAAATTCTATCTAGTAATTCTTATTTGGATTCCAAACTGGATTCATTTGGCAAATATTATGCATATCCCAAAGAACCTTTGCTTCTGGGTATGATTGTTAGTTTAAGTAAAGGATGTCCTCCTTATAAAAACCAACTGACAACTGCATGTCCAGATTCATGATATGCAACAGTTTTTCTTTCTTCTTCACTTATTATTCTCTTCTTTTCCAAACCAGCCATAACTCTTTCTGAAGCCATTTCAAAGTCGTTGGAATCAACATAAATTTTATTAGCTCTTGCTGCCATGATAGCAGCTTCATTACAAAGATTAGCAATTTCAGCTCCACTAAACCCTGGAGTCAAAGTAGCTAATCTTTTTGCATATTCTTCCATAGTTTTTGATGGATCCAATTTTAAAGGTGTCAAATGAACCATAAATATCTATTTTCTACCTTCAATATCTGGTAATGTGATATCAACTGATCTATCAAATCTACCAGGTCTTGTGAGGGCTGGATCTAGCAATTCCTTTCTGTTTGTAGCTGCTAACACAATAACATTAGTGTCAGTTCCAAATCCATCCATTTCTACTAATAATTAATTCAATGTATTATCTCTTTCATCATTACCTCCTATTTTTGCATCTCTTTTTCTACCAACAGCATCAATTTCATCAATAAATATAATACTAGGAGATTTAGCTTTTGCTTATTTAAATAAATCTCTGACTCTACTTGCTCCCACTCCCACAAACATTTCAACAAAATCTGAACCACTTACAAAAAAAAATGGAACACCTGCTTCTCCAGCACATGCCTTTGCCACCATTGTCTTGCCAGTTCCTGGGGGTCCTGCCAACAATGCTCCTCTTGGTAACTTTGCTCCCATCTCCTTATATTTACGAGGTTTCTTTAAAAAATCAACAAATTCCTTGATTTCCAATTTGGCTTCATCCAATCCAGCAACATCCTTAAACTTTACCTTCACATTTTGTTCAAATCCAAATTACTTTACATTAGATTTACCAAATCCAAATACATCATTTCCTCCTGCTCCTCCTCCACTTCCCTTATTGATGCTTCCCATACTACCTTTAAGTGATTAAAATAGAACTATTACTAATGTGACTGTGACACCAAAATACAAGACATTCAATACTCTGTCCATTAATTTACCTTTATCTAATTAAGCTTCAAAAGTCACAGGTATGAATTATTCAGGACTCAAACCTTTTTCACTCTAGAATCTTTCTAGATTTTCTAAAAAGTTATCCACATTCATAATCATCAACCTCTTTGATTGTCCTCTTTAAGTGATGATCGATGCCTAATTTACTCTACTTGTTTCATTCTTATATATGATAATCGAGTTCACTTGACTGGCTTCTAGATAGTTTTTCAGAAAATCTGTATAAGTGATTTCCTCTTCCTAATTTGAAATTTAATATAATGCAGCTAAACCACTGACCCCCAAGAACATGTAAATGTAATTTCGATTTTTAGGATTGTTGAAGTACTCAAACACCTTCTCAAAATTGATATCAGGTAATGGAAATTTCTTTTAAGATTGCTATTGTTATTGCTATTCTTCTTTTTATTCTTCCTCCTTTACATCCTATTTCTCTTGCTATTGCTCCTATTTTTCCTATTTCTCCTATTTCTCTTCCTTCTTATTCTCATCTTACAAATTAAATGATTTTGGATCATAGGTGAAATGGTACTTCTTCTTCTAAGGCTTTTCGACTACTTTTAATATACTTCAATCTCTACCCTTTTATTGCTATTCTTCGATCTCCTCTTCCTCCTTTATCACCTGCTCATTTTGCTCTCTTTTCTCTTCTTATTCGACTTTTTGCTCTTGCTTTTCCTCCTTTTTCTGTTCCTATTGGATTTTCGATTTCCTCTAAAATTTTTAAAACCCTATAAGCTTTCTCAACCAAAAATACCTTTAGGAGGTTCTTTATCTGACGAAAAAGCCATTAATGGCATAGAATATCTAAAAACATTTCTTCGCATTAAGTTTAAACTTAATCGCAACATCACAAATAAAAATAATTAAGAAAATAGAAAAATTTAGTAAGCAAATATTATCCTTATAAATAATTACGTTTAAAATATATTCACGCAAGCAACTGATTCTGATATGGCAATTAAATAAAAAGGTTACCAATAATATATAATTCTAAAAAGATTTTAGAGATAAGAATGTAATAAAATTTTACTTAATTTTGATCTAGAAGATTATAACAAATAAAATTTAAAAATATTTAGTCTTTCTAAAAACTATTATAATTTATAATTAAATATTTAAGAATGTCTGAATTCTTTAATACAACTTAAAAATATATGATTTTATCCTTTTTTAGTAAATATAAGATAGTCACTGCATTTATCTAAACATACTGACACCAACTTTATGCACTTATTCATACTTTTTATCAAGTTCTCCATTATGATGAATGCTATGGTAATTAATGTAATTATTAGGACCTATAGAGTTGTCATTCAAAAATGAGTGATTTGTATTTGTAGTGTAATTCACATTATTATAGTATAGATGTTGTTTACTAAGATCACCAAAATGAGCAGTTGATTAAGATTAAAACAGAGGAACTTTGACTTTTTGATTCAGAGCGTCACCAAAGGATTGCCTTTTCTATTCAAACTAAAATTATCTATTCTGAAGATAATTTGAATTGACTGTTGTGAGAGTGTTGATAGGAGTGTTTACCTATTCATAATATAGATCTGAAGGATTAACCTACAATTTTGTGATAGTTTTGAAACTCTTACTTTTGGCAATAAGAGTCATAATTTAGGAAACTGATGATGATATTTTCTAAGCACCAAATCCAGTAAGACTTTACAATTGCTGGGACCAAATGTTTAAAAGACCAGCCTTTTTTCTTAGATAAGCAACACAGGATAAAGCTAGAATAGTCTAATCAGTTTGGAAATATAGTTAATCATCTAAAGTAACCAATATAATGTAATATTACCTTTAATAATTTACAAGGCTATTTCAACATACTTACTCTCTACTTCTTTAACATAATATAAGATCTGATTTTCTTATAAGTCCCTCAGTTTGATATGTTGTTGGTGAGTTGAATCCTTATTTTCTTTTTACTGCTGTTGCCCTAGACTATCATCGTCGTCAATCACACCAAAAGATAATAGAGCTTCTATTCTATCTAATAAGGTATTTCTTTGAAGTTTCCATTCCAATTATTATATTAATTATTTTTCTGCAGATTTGAAATCTTGGGTGCTAAATTGACTGATTTCAGGATGATTAGTCATAGAGGCATACCTCTTAAGTTTGCTTATAAATGGAACTCTTTCATCAAGTTCTTATGCTTTTGCTGCTAACATAAGGGCTGTCGAAACAAATAGATAAGTTTGATTTTCATTGACCGTAGCCTTATTGAAATATTCATCAGTGTAATCGATGGCTAGAAAGCAAGTATTTATTGAGAGATTAAGTCTTTCTGACACTGTCAAAATGAATTCTATGAATTATTATCTTGATTTGGTAGGTCCTGCTGGCTAACCTTCTGCCATCATCTTTTGCAGCACTTTAATTGGATTGAAAAAAGCATTGTATTTCATTTTGAGTGTTTTGTAGACTTTGGTGTTGGGCTAAGAGTTAATGATGAATTTTACATTATTTAAGAAGATGCCACAATCTTTGCAAATCATTTTCTCTGAATAGATATGTCGATTTGTGTGACAACATCCGAATACTTCCAAGTATTAAATACTATAATGATGCTCAAATGGTTCTAATTAACTCATATATACGTTAAATTTTATTTATAAATTAATAATAAAAATATTGAATAAATTGCAAAATAAACAATAGCAATTAAATCAATTGCTCTAAAATTCAAGTGAATAATATAAATGAAAGATGATTATAAGATATAAAAAATAAATATGGATCTTGATTTTCAAATAAATTGTCTCATCATGGTAGTTCTTCTTTATTTCAGTTTTTCTTTTACTTGTTTTTTGAACTTCTTTATCACTTTTTCAGGATTCTCCTCTTCAAAGAAAGCATCAAAATTAGCCATTTGATCAATGCTAAATTGACTATCAACATCAGAATGAGTTTCAACTTATTAAATATTATTATCAACCTTCTCAGTCTTCAAAACAGATCCAGTGTCTTTTGCAACACTACCTTGTAAATTCTAACTATTTTATATATAAGTTCTATCATAAAAATAGAAGTAAATACTTAAGTTCATCTAAAATCGATTAAATTTCTTTATTCTTAGGCTAAGCAATCGAAAGAAATTTCATCTTTCTTATGAGTTCACTCTTCTTAGACTCATTATACACATGTCTGTCAGGTGATTATACTTTATCCAACTTCTCATTTGATTATTGAAGCTATTAAGACTTATCGCAAACTTGGATTTCATTTTACAATAATAATTTACTCTTCTTCCTTTACGCTACAACATTATTAGCCATTAAGGGAGTCTTGTCCTTTTTAACGAGAGAGGGTTTCTTCACTTATTCTTAAATGGGAGTCAGACTGGACATAGAATAGGTTCTAACATTCCTAAGTTTTTATAATCTTACTAAATTTGAGAATTTCTGTTTTTTGTTCTGATTAGATTGCTTTTTAATTTCCTCATCAGAATGCTTAATTAAATTCTAAGACTTTCTGAATCCATCTGATAACTACTCTAAACTCTAATTATCCTTACTTTCATCAATCTTCATCTCATAATCGTCATCAGCTATCCATTATCCTCTCCTTCTTAATTATGCATTTACCTTCTCCTACTCAACTATCTTCTTAATATCCTCCATCTCTTCTTCATAATCATCCACATCCGAACTATACTCTATATCTTCATCACTTGAATTTTGGGTGAATGTGATATTTTGGAAGTACTTCTTCATTGCAACTGCATTAACCTAAACTTCCCGTATGTGAGACAGAGCTTTAAACTATTATTTAACTACTCTTCTTTAGTAAGTTGGGTTTCTGGGATTCTTAATATTGTAGGTTTCCAATATAATTGACATTTTTTCAGGTATGTAGAGAGTCTTTTTGCAATTAGTAATTAAATGCTTTTTGCTTTCGCAAATGTAACACTTTAATTCTACTTAGTTATTATTAAAGAGAACTTGATGTCGAATCTCAAAAAATTTTTGTTTTTCCTTAGAGTATTTCTCTAGTCTATTTAAAAATTGGATTCTAGAGAGTTTGTATATAACTGAATAAGTTAAACAACGAGCTGAAGCGGTTCTCTTATGGCCAGTGATAAAGGCAACAATTCCAAAGATGCCTGATTTCATAATTTGCAATTTGATTCGTTTCTCGCTATCCAAGTATATTTCTACTGAACCCTTAGTTAAAAAGAAGACTGGAAAGTCATCTATTTCTTCCCTTTCTTAGAATATCACTTCTTCTTAAGAATAGTATTACTATTAAATATCTTATGCCATCTCTATTAAGAGATCCTATTGGAAGGAACTGAAGAATTTATTGTGATTGAGCATCTTGCCTAGGGTTTGATAAATTAATTCTTCTCTAAGAGCAGGAGCTAACTTTAATATCATGGCTTATTCTAGTTCGTGATCCCTAGCTTTTTCAGATTCCCATAGATGATACAAGTAGGCTGCTATTCTAGCTTTTAATTGTCTACCCACATTATGTTCTCGCATAAATCTTTCAATTGCATTAACATACTTTCTAGAATAAATAATGTTTTAAGAAATACTGAAATTTCTGTTTATTTTCATTCTATTAGTTAATCATCTCCCAAATTGCATTAACAGAATAAGCAAACACTATACAAGATATAAATTAAGTCACCACAGTAACAACAACTTCCCACGCGTTTTTAGGAGTCACATCTCCATATCCAACTGAAATCATAGTAGTGACAGCCCAATAAAATGAGTATAAATGTAATTCAAAGATATGTTATTTTAAATTAGTATATCCACCATGCATTTTAATCAAATCACTTTCACTTAGCCAAGAAACACTATCTTCTTCTTTACTAAGTTCCCTTCTTCCAATAAAAAAGAATACACACGCAAATAAATGACATAACCATATGATGGTCAGCATAACCATTAGAAATCTATACTTTGACAACTTTGAAGGTTCTAATTACAAGTATTCTTCTATCATATTGCTAGTTTTGAAGACTTCGTAAATTTTAAAAAGGAAGCAGAATATTTCAATCCCGAATTGCTCGTCTGAACGAAGAAATATCCGATATTCAATTAGACAACATAAAGGGATCAGATCTAAGAAGAGATAAGATTTTAAATAGTTTAATGCTATTTGTTTCCTCCCACTCACCAAATACCCTTATTTGTAAAAGGCAATATTGAAGGAGAGAGCAATGTCAACTATAAATATAGCAATTGCTAAATTTAATACATACATTTCGAAATTCTAATAGTCCTCTGATTGCTTCTCTTTTATAAGTGGCTAATATGCAAAAACGAAGGGTATTTAAAAGAAAAATATCATAACTAAGGCACTATTTAGGACCTACCAAAATATGTAAAACTAAGAGTCTGGTTCAAGAACTTTGATTTTATGGATGTACTTTTAGACGTGCTTAAGGAATCCATCCTTTTGAGTCTCGTAAACATAATCATTAAATAACTCTTTTTATCGAAGATCAATGATCTAGGCCATAGTAACTTTATTAGAAGATCTCTTTCCTCCAAAGCATCTTTAAAATATATTAGGTTGTTATCTCTTCATATCAATAGTATTTCTGTAGATGATGGTTTCGTTAGCTATAGTGGGAATAACCTTGACCCTAGAGTATTGATTATCATCGATCATGGATTGATACAAGTAGTCAGTATCGTTAACAATCTGCTCCATACGGATCTCGCTATATGTTCTATTGGCGATTTCTATTTGATTTTGAGTCTGAGGAGACTATGGAAAGTGCTAACCAGAATCCTAGTCATTCATTAATAAATTTATAAAATATATAAGGAATGGGTCCAACTTAAGGGAAAGAGGTAAAGAATTGTAAATAATACAGTTATCTCCATAAATGAGAGAGAGAGTGCTAAAGTTATTTGCAAGATTCGATGTGGATGGATCAAAGTCCATTGAGAAGTCAGAAACAATAAAATATTGGTATTTATATAAATGTCAATGGTAATGAAGGAAGAGTAATTTTGCAAAATTGAATACTGAGGAATTATTTAAGTCAGTAGATACTGACAATAGTGGTACAATATCCGAAGAGGAGTGGCTAAACTTTTGGACATCAGTTTTACGTAGTGGACATACAGAAGAAGAAATAGCTGATGAAGTAAACTGTGTGTGAATATCTGCATTTTAGTTAGAAAGTATTGAATCTGGATCTTCATGGGTAAAGTTCGAGAATTTGGAAAACAAGAAGGGTTGACGTTAATCACCAATATTCAAATATAAAAATATTTTATAATTACATGTTTTCAATTAGGAGAACTATTTATCTGTTGCAAATGAACACTAAGTCCATATGCAAATAGGATACTCCCCCTCCTCCACTTCCCTTTTAATAACAAGGTACAATGCAATTGTGCTTTATCCATGAGATGTATTGATCAAATAATATAACAAATTTATCCCCATCTATTTGGAATATGTCCTGAGAGATAATATGAAGAATTTTATTCAATCAACTTATCCATTGCATTTCCTATAACAAAAGGTTTATAAAATTAGTTATTTCACGAAGTTCTATCCAATAATAAAATTGGAATAAAATAGAGATTAATAGAGGATATTTCTTTGATATTTAGCAGATGATTTTAGAAAATGGTTGTTGTATTTAAAAAGATAATACTAATTAGATAAATTTAATAATATCTTTTTTTATGATAATTGCTATTCAAATAGCATCCAAAATAATTAGAAATTCGTTATAATGATTGACAAGATAAAAATAAAAATCATTAGTTCTAATTTAATTAAAAGAAAATGCATACAACTTGTTATGAGGTTATCCTTCCTATGGTATATTTAAATACACTATATGAGAAGGATTCTAATATTTCAATTTATAGTCAAATAAAATTTGAATAAGTGATCATAGAATCATACGGAGGGTTAGGATAGAAGAGAATTTTGGAAATTTTAAACAGATTTTGATCGCCTAATTTATTTTCAATCTTCTAACGGCAATATCTCATATAAATTCTGGGAGAGTGTAACATAGAGATATCAAATAAAATAATGTTCTAATTCAGAGCTGATTAACTTCTATTTGATTGGCTAATTTCTGCTATTCAGAAACTGTTATATCTTAAACCTCAAATAAGTAGTTCTGCACTTCAGAATTTATAGGGCTGCTGAAGATCTTCAGAACGAAAATGAATTCCTCGAAAAAAATAGGTGCTGCAGTAATTAAACTACAAATTTAGTACGTTATTTTTTTAAAGAAGATAATAACTTCGTAGGAAGGTATCATGTTCGGGATTAATTTACAAAGAGATCTCTTGAATGGATGAACCAGAAATGAGGTTGCCAGAATGTAGAAACATCATTGGTTGATTCAGATGGTTATTAATCTATAAGGTGTGAGCAAGTGACAACTTACAGATTGGGGAGATACAATTACAATATAGCTAAAACACTCAAAGCTTAGACGCTTATATGATTAATGGATATGTATAATAAAGTAGAATTATGAATTGGTTTATTTATACTTATCTTGTCATGTTTTTCAATCATGCTGCTTTATTAAATACTATTTGATCTCTGTGTTTTTCAACGTGATCGAGTAACTCTTCTAAATCAGCTCCACTTACTTCCATGTCCTGAGCGATGTTTTTGAGGTGCACTTTAAATTTATCAAACTGCTAATTTGTAATATTCAAGCCTTTATGAACTTCCACCAAATCTCTAATGAGTTCTTAGATTATACATACTTGCCAGTGTACTAAGTATTCTTGTCGCCCATCATTTGAGAAAAGAATCTCTTCTATTGATATCTAACACGACTCATATCAGCTTTCAAGAACTTGTCCCTTAACAACTTATCAAACAGGACTTTGTAATAGAATTAATCGATCAATTCAGACACTTGTTGATCACCTCCAAATCTATCGTATAACGATTTCTTGTTGTCCATCTCTCTTTAAATCTTTTTATTTATTTATATATATATAAAAGTAAATTTATACTAATATTAAATATTATATAATTAAATGTCTTTGGGTGTCCCTCTCAAAATCATGCATGAGGCAGTTCATCACATAGTAACAGTCGAACTCAAAACAGGCGAGATGTTCACTGGATACATGGCAGAAGCTGAAGTAACCACAAGTATTATTGCGAGGATACAATGAATGTCCGATTGGATGAAGTGTAGATGGTCACTCGAGATGGAAGACCAATGTCATTAGAATAGGTCTATTTGAGAGGCAGTTAGATTAGATTTGTTGTGATTCCGGATGTGTTCAAATATGCGCCTATGTTCAAGAAGATAAGAGCGAATGCCAAGAGCAAGAACATGCAGTAAATAAGAGAGAAGGCAAGACAAGTGAGAGGTACGGGATTCTCATCATATTTTAATAATAGAGGAGTTGGTACCTCGTATCAAGTAGGGTTTGGAGTAGTAGAAGAAATGATAAATAAAACTATATTGTAATTTTAAGTTTAAATAATAAATTATTAATGTTCAGATTCAGACTCAAGAATGATATCTTTAATTTAGGAAGTGACTGTTTAATAAGGATGGTGTCTATTTGGAATTGCATATCAAAAAATATTCAAAGATTTAATTATTTGGACAAATAGATTATATCTTGATATTCATCCATATGACCTTCCTAAATAATGAGGTGGATTTTGTAACGTTGATTACGGAGACATTATCAAAGTACTAATGAATTACTAGTTATTGGATATAAATTATGAAAAGACTAAAAGATTGAAATATCAATGCATAATCAAGAATGTCATTCAATAAACCAGAGAAGAATCCTTACTAGTATTAAGGAGTAGAGAGAAATGGAAATAAAGGAAGTCTTTGGAGTAGAAGGATAGTTATAATTATTCATATTTATATATATCCAAGATGATTACAAAGTAGGAGGTACAAATTGAATTATTATAAATTGTTTAATTCGTTTTTAATATTATATATAAATATGCGTGCATCTCACATTTTATTGCTGATTGTTGCTATCAAGGCAGTCAAGTTTTTAGACGAACCAGCTGTATTGTTGGAGGATGAGGAAAAACCATACATGTAAATCACAGTCTTCGCCCAATAATCTTCATTGTTTACAGAGGAGGAACTAGCTAGAAATTCAGAACCTGCCAAACAATATGAATCTGGATTCAATTATGAAGATGAAAACTAATCATCCTTAAATAGTGCTGATCAATCTTAAGTCTTTTTGGCTGCTTAATATGAAAAAGATTTACCTGCCACTGGAGATTGTGTTGTACTTTACTCTGCATGCGATTTCAAAGGCACATCAGGAAAAGTATGCAAGGGTGAGGATGCCATGAACTTCTAAATCCCAGTCTTCTCCATTTATGTCCCAATTGGGTAACATCATCTAATTTAATTTAGATAACAATTCACTACCTTAGACTCTACTAGAAATGAATAAGTAGCTTTCTTGACAAGTGAAAAGTGTTTAACAGAACCACTTGTTATGGCTGACACATAAAAAGATGTATTCATTGCAAAACCATCATAATCATTGGCTGGATCCGATAATGCATCAAGTATTATTCTCAATATTGATTGATTAGGTGATGAGACCACTGTAACTTAACCACAAATGGCCTAAGAAGTATAAGAATAAATTGAAGCACCATAAGTCTAATAAGAATAACAAGTGAACGTTGACTAAGTCTAATAAGAATAATAAGTATAATAAACAGAGTAAGTATAAGAATAAGTTTAAGAATAATAATAATAAGTAGAAGTTGATGCTTAATAATAAGAATAATAATAATAATCATAAGAATAATAATCTGAAACTCCTTAAATTCAATAAACTGAAACATAAAGTTCAGAATAACAAGCCTCTGTCGATGATGTGCCTTAAGCTGCTGAAGCACTAGTTGGACAAACTTAATGAGACATTATTAAAACAACAAATATAAATTTAATATATAATAATTATTCTCTAACTTTAATATAAATGAGTAGCAATATCAAGAAGCAAATGAATGATTTTAGGATGGCTCACTTTGCAGTTGGTTTTGATAAATGTATAATCAATTTCATTACTAATTAGCTTCTGGCAGCACGAACTACTTGGATGATTACACTGCCAAAAAACCAGATAAGGTTTTGCCAGCAACTGAAGAAGCTAAACATTTTGAAGCATACATCTCAAATCCTCGAAAAGCACACTTTGAATTGGGAGAAGACAATGTCAATTATTAATCTATTGCAAAATTATCATTTAATCCAAAAGAATCATAAAAAGCACAACTGTCTGAGGAAACCTAGAAAGATCTACGTAATCATCATTTTAAATTGGGATTCCACAGTGTGCCTAGTGAGACTGAATACTAATAATATAAGAATTAACCGTTGGATATTCAAAAAAAACAATAAGTAAATATTCGTAAACACCATCATGATTTTGGGGATCTGAAAACTTACTTTACCACAACATATCAAGATACAAACAAAGAATACAAAGTGGAAAAGGAAGAATATCATGCTCCTGATATCCGTAAGACTAACATCAGTATTGGAAATGTATCAATTATCGGTCATCTTAGAATCCAATAGATTACTCTACTCATTACACTCGATATCATGATGGATAATAGAATCCAAAACTCAATGTTAAAGGAAATCTGGAGAAATTTCTCAAAGAGTCTCATCTTGTCTTGGGTGAAGATCCTACAGTCAAGAGTTCACAGAATAAAGATGCCTTCTAAGGATAATAGAATAAAGAAGTCATTCGAGTCAATAAAGAAGTCTTATTAGATTTAAGAACAGCACATTTTGATTTTGCTTATCAAAAATCGGATATGCCCCAAACAACGAAATAATCGATGTTCTAAAAAACAGCCATTTCTCTATCATAGCCAAATTTGCCAACCAGTTCATTGACTATAGGCACACATGGATTCTTGAATGATCGATATTATCAAACTAGTTATGGAACCAACTATGTCAATCCAAATACTCAAAAGCCTGAGTTTGCCAAAGATCCAAGAATCTCGGCTATCAAATTTGGAGATGAGCAAGTTGAATACAATACTGAAAATAATAGAAAGTTTTATCTGTTAATATTTTAGTTACTAAATACCAGAAAAAGTAGATTAATTTAAATTGGATAAAAATCAAATTAGAGATTTAAGAAAACATCATTTTTAATTGGGAACTGACCCAATAGAATACCCTCAAAAAATTAGTCAAATTACTCCAAATCCTAATACTTTGAGTGAAGAACAACTCAAAGATTTAAGAAGATAGCATTTCGTTTATGGCAGTTAGTTAGGCAGCTATGATACTCATAATTCGTAATATGGAACCAAACAGGGTCCTCCTAATAAGTTGGACCCTCAATTGCAAAAGGATTTGAGAATGCATCATTTTGAAGAGGACGGAGAAAGAGTGTTTTAAACTTCCTACAAGGCTATGCATAATGATTAATAATGATGTTCATTTTTAATAAATTTCAATATTGGATGAATTCGATTCTTATAGTTTTTAGAATATAATCATACTCATAATCTTTAATTGATTTATGTATTTAAAATAAAGATATTGAATTTATATGAAAATAAAGAAATTAGTTTGAAAATATTTAAATTCTAATACATGACTTTATTTCACACATTAGGAATGAGAGGATTCAAAAGATTTAATAAAATCTGTGTGATTGTGTGAGGTTCAAGCAAATTATGATATGTATATGTATATATACATTTAGCATATATTAATTAATGATAAGAATTTAAAAACCAAAATTTTTTATTTAAAAAAATATCTTAAGAAATGACATCCGTTCCTTTAGTATCAGTTTTTTCAGCCGACGACTCAACCAAGGTCACAGCCAAACACATCCCACTCCCAGCTGTGTTCCAAACACCAATTAGACCAGACATCGTCTCATTCGTTCATACCAACATTGCCAAGAACAGAAGACAAGGTATTTGACCTATGATAACCTTCTATTATAGCTCACGCTGTCAACCCATAAGCCGGTATGTAACACAGTGCTGAATCCTGGGGTACTGGTAGAGCCGTAGCTCGTATTCCAAGAGTTTCTGGATCAGGAACACACAGATCTGGCCAAGCCGCCTTTGGTAATCAATGCAGAAAGGGAAGAATGAGTTTACCAATCAAAGTATGGAGAAGATGGCACAGAAGAGTCAATATCAAATAAAAGAGACATGCTGCTGCTACAGCTGTTGCAGCCACAGGAATTGTCCCATTGGTATTGGCTAGAGGTCACAGAATCAGTTAAGTCCCATAAATCCCACTTGTTGTTGAAGACAAGATTGAATCATATGAAAAGACTACTGATGCTCTCAATTTCTTGAAGAGATTCGGTGCTTTTGAAGATGTTTAAAAGGTTGTTTCCACCAAGGTTGTCAGAGCTGGTATCAGCAAATAAAGAGGAAAGAAATACAGAGTTAGAAAGGGACCATTGGTTGTCTACTTCAACGAGAATGCCAAATTGTTGAAAGCCTTCAGAAGTAATCAAATTAATCTATAAATCCATTAGATGTCCCAGGAGTTGAAGTCGTCAATGTCACCAGATTAAACCTCCTCTAACTTGCTCCAGGAGGTCAATTGGGAAGATTCGTCATTTGGACATAAAGTGCCTTTGCTCACCTCGATAAATTGTTCGGAACATACAGATATGCTTCAGTTCTTAAGGACGGATATCAATTGTTGAGACCACTCCTCACCAACCCAGATTTGGCTAGAATCATCAACTCCAACTAAGTCTAAGAGAAGGTTCAACCAGCCAAGACAACCAAAGTCCTCCATGAAGTCTAAAAGAAGAACCCATTGAAAAACACCAAGGCTATGGACAGATTGAACCCATATGCTAAAAAACAAAGAGCTGCTGCCACTGCTGCCATCAAAGCCAACACCAAGGGAACCAAGAAGATCAAGAAGGTATTCATTCATCATTATATTTCTCTTAGAACAAGGCCCTCAAGAAGGCTTCCAGAGCTGCATTCAACAAAGTGTCTGCTGCCTTAAACGATGCTACTAAAGCTGCCGTCTAAGAGGAATAAGATATCAAAGTTAAATATTTCTCAGTCCAAAAGGGAGCTGCTTAAGCAGAATGATGAGCTTAATAATATTAATTGTATAATAAAAACATACAATATTCCCTAATTATTTATATATTATATTATGGCTAAAAAACAGAACAACTTCAAATAAAGACATTTATAACAATTTAAAGCTCATAATAAACCCTGATAGATTATGAGTTGAAAAGATCTGATTATTCCATAAAAGGACTTAAAAATTAGGGAGAATAAAAAAATCAGAAAAATCGTATTCTTTTTGATTTTGAATATTGAATATTATATTAATTAATTATTATTTTAGTGAATAATTTATTTTCTAGAATTTTTAATTGATTATTTTATTAAATAATTTGAGCAAAATAAAGGTCAAGTAAATTCATTTAGCTTTTGGAAAAGTTATAGAATTATTCTTATCGAAAGAACTATTCCATATAATAAATTAATAAAACTTTAGAGTAAACTAACAGATTGCTTTGAAGAAAAAACGACATCGCTTGATTATCACTATTAAAAAATGAAGTTTGCAATCTGTTTAGCTTTGATCGCACTCACATAATCAGTTTTGATTAAACATGCTTCAGATCCACATGCCGCAGTATTTGCCTAACTTGAAAACCTTGAAGATCATCCATTAGGAAAAAAGATACTTGATACAATTGCAATCTAAATGAGAAATCAATCACCATTATCAGACATCGCTAAAATGCTTCAAGATTTGAGAGAGAATTTGGTTCTTTAATAATAAAATGCTGAATTAGTGCATGTTGCTTAAGAGGCTGATTGTGAAGCTGAAATTTATGGATACAATAGAAGAATAGAATTCGCTTCAAATGAAATCACTGAAGCAACTATGGATATCAATAAATACACAGCTGATCTTGAACTTTTATAATAGGAAATTGACAATCAAGTAGTTTAATTAAACATCCTTAATCAATAAGAAGAATAATTGAGAGAGCAAAGAGCTGAAGATCATGCTGCTTATCAAGAAAGAGAAATTTAGACACCTAAAGTAGTTGAAGCTCTAGATGTTATTGCTGCCAAATTAAGTGCTATTCAACCTGAAGCTGATGCTGAAGTTGTACTTGCCGAATTAGAAAGAGTAGGCGGAGAGAACCCTATCCTTGCATTGGTTTAGTTGGCTTCAACATTTTCTGAAGAGAAATTACAAAGTGTTTAATCTAAAATTGGTGAATTGAGATCTTCCTTGGAATAAGCCTTGATTGATGACAGAGAAGAGGAGATTCAATCCTAACTCAATTATGAAGCTCAAATCTACTCAATCCAAGAATAGAGAGAAGCCATTCAATCTGCAAAGACTGAGGCTGAAAATAAGATAGTGTAGGTTGAAAATATGTTGGCTGCTGCTAAAAAGAGAAAGTATGATGCAGGAAGAGAGTTGGAATCTGCTACTAATGGAAAGAAGATGAAAGAAGCTCAATGTGATAATTGGAGATCTTTATATGCCAGAGATACCGAACAAAGAACTACTGAAATTAGTATCATTAGATAGGTGGAATCAATTCTTGCTACGAAATTAGAAGGTGCTTCTAATTACATGAAGGGAAGAATCAACTGAGTATAAATTTTAATTTTAAGCTCTTTTTTAAATATTCATTTTATCTAACAATAATTATTCTCTCCTTCATTTTTCGAGAGTTAACACTTATTCAAATTTATTTCCTTAGCAAAATTGCTCTATTTCTTCTTTGAATGAAAGATGAGTGTTCTTGAAAAGCAATAAAAAGTTGTTTTAACATAAAAAAGTGTTAATATTTAAAATAGTAGATTATAAAATATTTAAATATTTTTTCATCTTTAGGTTTTCATTTTGTATATGCGTTCTCTTCTGATCAAATAATATAATAATTTCAAAGGAAAATAACAAATAAATTTAAATTCTAAAATAAATTCATAAAACATTATAATTTATTAGCAATCATCAAATCTAAATTAGAAAAAAATTTATATGGTTTGGAAAAAAGATTCCGAATAAATAATTAGTATATTATATTTCTCATTACCCATGGAACAACACGCTGAACAATTCCCCAATTAGTCTATATAATCGACATTTGAAGCCAATAAACCAAAAAGACCTTATCAAAAAATATCCCAAGAGACTCGATCTCTAATTCTTCATGCTTTGACAGTAGAGAAGCTGTCCTTATGCAATGTAAATGAATTTTGAAATATTTGAAGGTAGCTGAGATGTTTAAAACGAAGGCCTGTACATGCAAGGCAATTTTACAGACTTACGAGCAAGAAGGCAGAAGGGAGAAGAAGACAAGCAGAAGAGAAAGAGTTGAAATAGACTCACAAATTAAAATAATTGTTATAGACCCTTTGGGCAGACCGAACCAAGAATTCATTAATATTAAACATTCTAAAGTATGTTTATAAACTTATTAAATTATTTTAGATGTATACCGAAGAAAAAGATCTGAGTAGAAAGGAAGAAAAATAACTCAAAAGAAGATTGTAACAAGAGATTTTAACTTAATTGGAAGAACTATAAACTGGCTGTTATAATGTTCAATAAACAATCTCTTCAGAGAATCATCCCGATGAAAAAGCTCCTGAAAACATCGCTAGAGGAATCAATATGAGCTTATAATTAATTTAATAGAAGTTGAAATTAGATGGAGTTAGTCTAGGTAAGTAAGAAAAAAGAAAGTTAAAAGAACTAAAAAAGGTTTAGCAATTAACTAAGCTAGAAGATTTGATAAAAGTTGAAGAAGGAAAAAGTAATTAGAATTCTGCTTGTTAGTAATAATAATAAGAATCAAAATCTGAAATTCCGAAACCCAATACTGTTTTTGATTTGGGATAGAATTATAGCAAAATTAAGCAATTTATTGAAAGTGTTAATTAAAAATCCTAACTAAATCCATAGATTATTGACAAATTAAACTACTTAACAAATGAAACTATTTTCTAAATGAGTCTAAAATAAAGATTGTAAGACAAGGATTTTTAAGTATCAATTTTAAAACATAATGTTTCTAGATACTTAAAATAATTCTTCTTAAGTTATTGATTATTATAAATTTACTTACTAAATATTCCATTACACGTGTAATCCCTTTCCAAATTATTCAGAAATTTAAATATATATATATATATAATGAAATTTTATGCTAACTTTTCTTTCTTTTTTAACTAAGATGAAGTTTGGACTTCCAATAAATTCATCAATTAATTCCCAGAAAGCTAATTCATTTTATTAGAACCAGATTTTTATGATGAATTAATGAATATTAGTGCTGAGGGAGTTGATAAACCTTAGATTGTAGAAATAGATAAGAGTTTAATTGAATAATAGTAATAATTTGTAGAGTTTAATAAACAATAACGAAATTACTCTTAGGAATATTTAAGATTGATAAATTTCGCAATATATACTAAAGAAATAACTTTGGGATAGTTGACCAAACTTTTGATTGCAAATAAGTATGTTGATTAATTAGAATTAAAAATTTATTCAAAATATTCGAATCAATATATAATCGAGTCAGGTAGAATATTTGGAGTTCCTCTAGTGTTTTATGATAAAAAGGATTTGGAACATAAACATTCATTGTATTTGGTTGATTATTGCGTGGATTGCTAATGGTTTTAATTGTACAGAAAAATAAGATTATCTTTAGAGGTCAACAAATAATTTTTATTGATATTGTTTTCGAAAGAAGGTGAGATTGTGAATACCAAGAAAATTCAGAATTACAAATGAAAAGATAAATATTTAATTTATTGAAACATTATATAACTTAAGCAAAAAAATCTAGAATCACTGATCAATATTTAGAATTTGTATTAGGCATTTTTGCAGGTTTGAAACTTTGTAAATGGCTAAAATCATAGATTGAATTATTGTCTTTCTTTTATTATTCTTATAATTGGCTTGATTACAAATTCCTGGGTTGTCTATTTTAGGGAATAGAGGGAACATATTCTCCATATTCTAAGTTTTTGGAAGACTAACTAGATTATTTGGAAGGCAGAGGTTTGTTTTCAGTGGTTATAAAATCCAAAATGTCATCCAGATCATTACTGTCTTTGTCTTCTACCTGTTGTTATTGAACATATTGTTTTTGTTTGAATTGGTTTTAGGGTTCTTCCTTTTGACTATATGATTTAGGTTTTTTGCCCATTTCTGGCAATTTCAATTCATCTTTAGATTTGGATTGCTCTTCGAAAATGATAGGAGGGGCAATCTTCTCGATGTTGTAGAAAAATGGATGAGTTAGCATTTGAGTGGCAGTGATTCTCTTATTGGGATCCCATCTAATCATTTGAGTCAATAAGTTTAAGGCCTCAGTGCTTGCATTCGGTATCAACTGTTGCAATTGAAGAGGTTGAAATTAAGCCAAAGCTAATCCCATTTGAGAGACTAATCTGCATCCTTCAGACCATTCGAATTGAGTGAAAGTACTAAAAAACAGAAGATAGGTTATCAAATTACCCAAGAGTGGAAAGGATCTTATTGAATTATTCCAATTCAGAATTACCTTGAAATAGAGGTCTATTTAAAAATAATTCAGCCATGATGCAACCAAGAGCAAATATATCAACTGGACTATTGTAATTGGCTTATTTCAATAGGATCTCAGGAGCCTTAAATCGAATTAAGTCAGAGAATTTACCCTGTACCATCTGGTAGCAATATAATCGGTATATGGGGGTCTCGATCTGATTTCTCTTGCACATCCAAGATCTATAATCTTAACAATACCATCGTTGGAGACCAAGAGATTCTCTGGCTTGAGATCTCGATGAAAGTAGCCATGTTTATGCATGTAACTGAGTCCATTGGCTACTTGGTAAATGAGGGATTTGATTTGATCTTCTGGAATGGTTTTACCCTAAGCTCCATCTTATATTTGGTTACCATTTCTTTTTGCTGTATGTACATTTGATAGATGCTTTTGTCTACAAACTCAAAGACTAGACAGAGAGTGTCATTGTCCAAAAACACTAATTTGATTCAATTCATACGTTCTTTAAGCTTGACTATGTTTGGATGATTTTAAAGTTTCATCAAAGCCTTAACTTCTCTTAAGTTAGTACATTCTTCAAAATTGTGATACTTGTGTTTCATCTTTTTGATGGCTACCAAATCGTGACTCTGCATGTCTTCAGCCTTGATCACAACCCCAAATGTTCCATCCCCAGTCTTTTTTAATTCTCTGTACTTTTTCATATTACCTGAAGTAATAATTTAATTTTATAAATATATATAAATACAAATGCATAAATAATAAAATTTGATTGAATAAATTAATTAGTAGTACCCACCTTCCGAATCTGATTACATCTCCACTCATCAAGAGGATTCTGGATCTAAGTGTATTCCAGAATTCTTTGTATTCTTCCGATCAAATATATTAAATAATTCTCTAAATCATAAGAGAACTATTTATATTTAAGAGATCGTTTTTGCTTTATCCGTTTTAAAAGCTAACTAACATAGAGTCTAAATTAGTTAAAAAATTAAAATATATGAGTGAAGAGAAGAGCCTAGCATCTGCATCTAAGTCAATCACAAAGAAACCTTGCTCTTGGAAATAGATGTTCCGAAAGAAGAATTATGAAGAGCAAAAGAAGAGGGAAGAATTAAGAAAGTTAGGAGAAGAAATAGCCAAAACCGAAGAATTTCTCCAAAATGCTTGGACTCTAGTTGCTAAAGTCTTAAATAGCAAATCTCTTATAACATAATTGAAGTGATGATTCAACATCTCATGTTAATTTGTTAAAATATCTTTACTTCNATCCCATTTGAGAGACTAATCTGCATCCTTCAGACCATTCGAATTGAGTGAAAGTACTAAAAAACAGAAGATAGGTTATCAAATTACCCAAGAGTGGAAAGGATCTTATTGAATTATTCCAATTCAGAATTACCTTGAAATAGAGGTCTATTTAAAAATAATTCAGCCATGATGCAACCAAGAGCAAATATATCAACTGGACTATTGTAATTGGCTTATTTCAATAGGATCTCAGGAGCCTTAAATCGAATTAAGTCAGAGAATTTACCCTGTACCATCTGGTAGCAATATAATCGGTATATGGGGGTCTCGATCTGATTTCTCTTGCACATCCAAGATCTATAATCTTAACAATACCATCGTTGGAGACCAAGAGATTCTCTGGCTTGAGATCTCGATGAAAGTAGCCATGTTTATGCATGTAACTGAGTCCATTGGCTACTTGGTAAATGAGGGATTTGATTTGATCTTCTGGAATGGTTTTACCCTAAGCTCCATCTTATATTTGGTTACCATTTCTTTTTGCTGTATGTACATTTGATAGATGCTTTTGTCTACAAACTCAAAGACTAGACAGAGAGTGTCATTGTCCAAAAACACTAATTTGATTCAATTCATACGTTCTTTAAGCTTGACTATGTTTGGATGATTTTAAAGTTTCATCAAAGCCTTAACTTCTCTTAAGTTAGTACATTCTTCAAAATTGTGATACTTGTGTTTCATCTTTTTGATGGCTACCAAATCGTGACTCTGCATGTCTTCAGCCTTGATCACAACCCCAAATGTTCCATCCCCAGTCTTTTTTAATTCTCTGTACTTTTTCATATTACCTGAAGTAATAATTTAATTTTATAAATATATATAAATACAAATGCATAAATAATAAAATTTGATTGAATAAATTAATTAGTAGTACCCACCTTCCGAATCTGATTACATCTCCACTCATCAAGAGGATTCTGGATCTAAGTGTATTCCAGAATTCTTTGTATTCTTCCGATCAAATATATTAAATAATTCTCTAAATCATAAGAGAACTATTTATATTTAAGAGATCGTTTTTGCTTTATCCGTTTTAAAAGCTAACTAACATAGAGTCTAAATTAGTTAAAAAATTAAAATATATGAGTGAAGAGAAGAGCCTAGCATCTGCATCTAAGTCAATCACAAAGAAACCTTGCTCTTGGAAATAGATGTTCCGAAAGAAGAATTATGAAGAGCAAAAGAAGAGGGAAGAATTAAGAAAGTTAGGAGAAGAAATAGCCAAAACCGAAGAATTTCTCCAAAATGCTTGGACTCTAGTTGCTAAAGTCTTAAATAGCAAATCTCTTATAACATAATTGAAGTGATGATTCAACATCTCATGTTAATTTGTTAAAATATCTTTACTTCTAACTTATTTTTATAAAATGTTTCTTAAGCTTGTCTCTATTTGGCGTTACATCTTCATTTTCCTGTGAAGTATGTTATGTAATTGTATTAATTTTTATTTCTTTTTTTTATTGCTTATAAATGTCCTACAGCTTCCTAAACATTCAAATAACATGAGAATCAAATAATTTCTTCTCATTTTTATTCAAATTTCTTAAAGCAAATATCAACATAATTACTAAGTTTTATTTTATAATAATCGGTTGCTTAATTGGAATTTGAATAATTTTAATAAATAGTTATGAAAGCTTACAGATCGCCTTGTTAGTCTTTCCATACTGTAAGAACTTCACAATGCAATTTCGCTACTCCAGAGAGATTGGTCAAAGTGTAAACAAACTCTGGAGTTAAATCAAGTCCATTTTAAAAAAATGAAAATTAATTCAAAAATTACCAATCCAACACAATAGCAAAGAAAAAAGATAGTACAAACCTATATGATTACATAAGTGAACTAGAACAAAGTAGATATGTTATATTAGCTAAATAGAAATCAATAAATTAGAGCAAAGTTAATGTAGGAGTTTAAATAATAATTATCCTGAGATTTTATAACTAGAGAAAAGGATGTTAATGTTGCTAAATGAAAATTGCGAACTAAAGAGTGAAGCCCTTATGAATTAAAAATTGGCATATGAAAATGAGCAACTTAAATAGTTAGTTTAAGAACAATAAATGAAGATTCTAGAATTTGGGGAACAATACAACTTGCTTTTTGATTCTCATTAAAAGGTTTGCGAAGAATACAGAATTTTAGAATCTAAAATCTAAACTTACGAACTCACCATGTCTATAAGAAAACATTCAAGTTTTAGTGAATATTTTAAGACCTCTGAATGAGATTATAATTCATTTTTTTATATCTTATTAATCGATAAATTCATATTCATTCTGCACACTCATGAACCTCTAATTCATTAGTTAAATAATTACAATATAATTTTATTAATGAATAAATTTAATAGTAATAGTAAGAATTTAGTATATTATTCCTTAGATCCAACTGGAGAATGGAGCAGGTTAATTTAGTAGTAAAATTCTCAATCAGACCAGCAGCAACAGATATTAAAGTAGGAAGATTATTAACGTAAATTACAATACAGGTAAATAATTCAGAAATTATGTAAAGATAGGAACTACAAGCAGCTATGTTAGAAAGAAATAAAAAGGACTCAGAAAGCTTTGATAATAGTTTATTTGCTGATTAAATACAAAAAAATATGCAGAGACAAGAGATTGAATAAATTCAGAAATTGCATATATTGAAATAAAAAGAAGCAGAGTTTGCTAAATACAGTTTGGAATAGTAGGAAATGAAGAAAATACTATAGAAACAACAGAATATAAATGAAAAACAATAGATCAGTGAATAAATGTTAAAAAATTAATAAATTTTTAAAGAAGAACTTATGGAGAAATAAAATAAAAAGAACAGAATTAGTTATGAGTTAAATTAATCATATAAAGACATGGAAGATAAGAAAAGAATGGAATAAATTAAAATACGGTTATTTGAAAAACAGAGTATGCAGGAAGAAGTCAATAAACTTCAATAAGATGAAGAGTAAAGAAGAAATGTATTAGCCAAATTTATACTAGTTCATGAATAAGTTGAAACACGATTACCATTAAAATGAAGGATTATTGGAGAGATACAATTAAATTTACTAGTAAAAAGAAAGAGAAAAAAGTGAAATAGAGAACAAATTAATAAAGGAAGCTGCTGAATAAAAGAGATAATAGGATGAGCAAAGATAAATTATAGAAAGAGCTATCAGATAGAAGAAGAACAAAGAAACCTATAATTCTATTATGGAATAAATTGAGTACAAACGACAATGGAAAGAGCGAGAATAGCAATAGAAATCATAAGAATTGGAGTATTTTGGAGTTGTGAATAAGCATTTTAAAAGAAAGGATTAAGATGATTTGTAAAGAAAGATAGAAAAGTAAAAATAGTATCGATAAGATTTGATAATGCAGATTGAAGAATAATAAACAAAGAAAAAAAGAGATTAGTCAATGAGTACTGTGGAAATGAAAATTAATTAAAATTATTACAATAATGAGGCATTAAATGTTGGAATTGTTCCAGGAGTATTTGTTGATCACAATAGACTTAAATAATAGTAATTCACCATTATAACATAGAAAACATCTTGATAGCAATCAAACTAAAAGATAAAATAGTTAATTTTTAAAATAGAGGAACTTAAGTGCGTATTTTCCTTCAAATTAATTAAATTGAAATTTATTGTGGAAAATAAAACAGCTTTAGATATATATATATTATTACTAAATATTTAAATCAATTTTTATATACTATTGTAAAGGAATTAGGTTTAAAATAATATTAAATTAATTATTATTTAAAATAATATATATACTGTTTATTTCTGGGAGAAATACTCTCAAAACTTGGATTCAAGAAAATTGTAATTTTAATAATAAAATACCTAAAAGTGAAAAGATGTCCGAAACATATTTCGAGTTTGACTATTTATTAAGAATTATACTAGTGGGTGATACTGGAATTGGAAAAAGTTCACTCCTTATGAGATATACAGATTAAGAATTTTAATAAAATTTACTTCCAACAATTGGAATTGACTTCAAGACTAAAATAATTGAACAATCAGGAAAAAATGTTAAATTATAATTCTGGGACACTGCAGGATAAGAAAGATTTAGAACAATTAGCAGAAATTATTATAGAGGAGCTCATGCTATATTTTTTGTTTATGATATCACTGATAGAGATTCATTTAAGAGAATAGAATATTGGATGAATGAAGTTGAGCAGAACTCACAACCTGATACAATTAAAGTATTAATCGGAAACAAAAGTGATTTAAACTATAAAAGAGAAGTTAATTTTGATGAAGGAAAAGAATTAGCCTAATCATAAGGACTTGAATTCTTTGAATCATCTGCTTTGGAGAACAGAAACATAGAAAATGCCATTAATTTTGTAGTTAAATTATGGCTTAAAAAGTAGGAATTAGAAGAAAAAAAATAATTAGAAAATCGTTAAGCAAACCCTGTCTTATAAAATTCATTTGTATCCATAAAAAAGAAAAGCCTATTCTAACTATGCTAATGTTGATTTTGAGTTTACTTCAATTTGTTTATATAATTTTAGTTTAAATTTAATTTTATTAAAGATACCTCTCTTGTCAATTAATGAAAATATTTATGTTTCTCTTTAATCGTTCATTGATATTATTTAGCTTAATTTTAATTTTAATACTGATCTAACAATTAAGTAAATAAAATTGATATTATATAATTTAAAAATTACCAAAATCTAAATTTAGACTCAATTCATTCATTTTTAGATTTTTTGCTGATTAAAATGAATGATTATAATTGTTTTACCTATTGTACATATTCTGTTAATCCCAATTATGATATCATCTTTATTTAACTATTTTTTTGATAAATTACTACTATAATTAATCTTAGCAATAATTTTATACAACATGAATACTTTTGAGCTCTATAACAATAGGTTCTATCAAAAAGCTTGCTAAAAGCAAAAAAAGAAAAGGGACCAACCAAATTCTTGTACTCAAAAAATAATATAAATTGACTCTCTTGATTCATAATAAATACGAGGATATTAAGCAAATCTTGATAATTCCTAATCAGAGTTAAAGAGCGATTGTGAAAACTCTTACATCATTTCAATTCCATAATCTATCCATTTGGATCTAATTACAAGGTTAAATGAGAAATATTAAAGAAAGTGTTATAATGACTTTTTAATCTATATCTATTTCATATTAATACATAAGAATAATAAAACATTAGGAATTTTGAAAGATTTTTAAACTTCATTTCTAAGACTTTGCAAAACTTATTTTTTTATAAATATTGACATTACATATACAACCTTATATGAATTCCACAATCATAATTAATTGATTTGCTCTCAAATTCTTTTCCTTATTTGAACTTCAAATTATAAATAGTCATTCAGCAGAAATTTATAAACAGACATTTTAATAATATCATTTTTTTATTTAAAGATTCCAAATAAAAATATTTTTATTTTATGATTGTATTATAATTTGTATAACATGATATTAAATAAGGATTTGAAAAATATATGAATAGTATGATATTTGTATAATTAATGTTTCAACAGATTTTATATCAAAATAACCATAATTTTTTTAATAATTGTTTTAAAGTGTATGAGTTCTTTCAATGTTCTAAACAACAAATTTATGCAATAAGCTATGGAGAGAAAATCATCAAGATCAATTCAACTAAGTCAAAAAAATCTTGATGAATCCAATAAATCAACATTTTATGAAATTTGGGATAAGGATGATGGTTTGGATTCGCCAATGTCTCCAAAAATCAAACTCCCCGGTTATTATTAACCAAAATTTATAAATTCAGTAAGAAGTCAATCCAAGAGAGGTTCAGAAATACATTGATTGACCTTTTTTATATGAAAACACATTAAATACTTATTATAATTTTTTCCATATTCCCTTTACTTAATTAGATAAACTTTTGACTAACTGAAGTTTAATATTAGAAAGAAATTCTAACATCTAGGTTATACAATCTTAAAATAAAATATTCAAAAATGAATTTCTAATTGAAAATCGAGAATGATAATTTCATGCTTTAAATGTGTGTAAAGTGGCATTTAATAAAATAGCATAACGCGTACTTATAAAAAAGTTTCAATTTATACTTAATAACTTGTCATACTAAATGCTGAATGTAAAATAGTTATCAAAAATTAATATTAATGGCCAAATCAAAATTTATTTACAAATAATACATTTTAATTGGGGATTTTTTATTTGTCTATCATAAATGAGATTTTAAAACTTTGAGACTTTAAATGGTAAATAATCGTGAGCAAACTGATATTTTGCTTTTTAATCACAATTCAAGTGAGATATAAGATGACCAATTTATGATTTATTAGAAGTAAATGATTGTGTATGTAAGAAGAAGTCAAGTGCATATTTATTTTAAAGGTAGTATAATAATAAAAAATGAAAGTTTATTATTGATACTATCTAAATATCCTAAAAAATTATATCACAATATCAATATTTATTTTGTTGAGTTTTTAATTATATTTTTTCACAATTTTGACATAATATGAAACAAGAATAGATATTAAATTAAGAGTTCAATCAATAACACTAGTTTATATTACTCTAATAATATTTCAATATTTAAAGAATTTTATTCTTAAATTTAACAAATTAATATACCTTTTTTTAAATAAAATCATATTAAATCTCATAAGAGATATATATATATATTTACCCTAAAATCGTAGCATAATAATTAAATGGATTTAATTTAAAACATAATATTCAATCTCTTTTGATGTTAAAATCTCTTTTGATTCAGCTGTCTAAATTAATATATATATATTTTCTATAGAAATAATTTTAGAAACAAAAATGAACATAAATCAATACATAAAGTTGCTTCCTGAATATCTCATAATCTATCTTTATTAACTAAATGAGGCTAAATAATATTTAAATATTGTAATACTTTTTTATATTCCAGAATTAACTAAGGAAATAGAATCAACTCTTCCTCTATCGGGCTTTGATGTGTTTTTGACAATAAATCTTGTAGCTGATTGGGATGAGGATTTATAAATATTTCTTGTAGGAGTTTGGCTTTGGTATTCTTCTTATTTCTTCTGCTTTCCAATTTAAATCAACCATTATCTATACAACCAATCATCAGTCTAACAGCTCTTATCAACCATAATTGGCTATTACTATTCTCTAATGGGTTCAATTTATCTTAATTTCACATGAGCTGGAACTCTATAGGCAATATTCTTTGGCTTTTAACTACTTTAGGGAAGTTTATTATCTTGCTGTTATTGCTAATTTTTTGAAGGTGATTCTTATAAAATGCTATTTTTTTGAGTGACTAAAGTTTATTTGGTAGTTATTTGTTTCTTTTTGGTGTCTAATTGTTTTAGGAAGTTTTTCTGTTTCAATGAATAAGTTTTGGGTTGGAATAATTGTACAATTTCATCATCAGACAATTCAGCGTCAGATTAACTAGTATCAGATCCTTAATCTTGGTCATCTGTTTAAGGCATCTTGCCTAATTCCTCCAGTATTTATTATTAGATATCTGGGATGTTGGCTTGATTTGTGAATTCTTTAGAAGTATCTTTTACAATTTAAGATAATGAATTACAGATGCTTACCCCACAATTCATATAGTCTTTGATTTAGAAGTGCTTCTTCTATTACCCATAGAAACTGCATTCATAAGTGTATACCCAATTGATTTTTAACTCTCTCCAAATTTGAATTCTTGCAGTCTTATCCTTTGAGTTTTCAACTCTAAATGTACAAGATGAATAATCCATAAATGGATTCATTTTAGCCATTAACAAAGCGAACACTCTCTCTATAGTCTTAACTTAAGAGGAGTAAGCACATCCATATACAAAGGATGATTGCTTTCTCGAATGTCCATGTAAGTCAATCACTAAAATGATTTGCCTTTCCTTGCTAAATCCTTTAATGTATTTCTTAGCATAATAGACAGTGGGATGAAGGTACTTATTTGGCTTTTTCCATCTTCTATTGAAATCACTTCCTTCTAAACCGCATCTGTAATTCCCATTGACAACTCCATCAGTATTCATCATAGGGAATATTTTAAAGATGCAATTCTATCTCAAATATTCTGCTTGCGGATTATTCGATGTTAGATACTCAATAATTCCCTGCATTACATATGACCCCTAAGGTTCTCCTGGGTGTTGTCTGGCTAAAAAAACTACTCCTTTTCTGTATGCTCTGCGTTACATAGAGTTGGATGTTATTGTTAATACTTCGCATGTATTCCCACCCAATGTGGTGCATAATGATTTCCTAGACATGTATTAATTCTTTTCTGGATTAATTAGAATGGAATTTAAAAATTCTAATAGATTAGTGTAGGTATAGGGATAGGAATGAGCAAAATATACCTTGTCGTTATTGTGTTTAAAAGTGTAACTGAATCTCAATTAGTAATATTTAGCTTTCATAGTTTGAGGGTATTCTTTAATAAAGGGACTCTTGAAATAACTTATGTTGAATCCACCTCGAGTCCATTCTTTTTTTGTGATTTCGTTCTCTTTCATTGAATAGATGGCTGGTTGCAATCCTTCATTAAATAAACTGCTACTTTTGAGCTAGTATTATAAATTCATTGTACATGATTAAGCAAATTAAATTAAACAGTTTGACCTGCTTAAGCTCCAGTTACACTAAAAAAAAACCATTGTGTATTGCCTCGAGTATTAATATCATTTTGGAGTATTAGATCATAGACATTTTCAGCTCTTTTGAATGCACAGAATAAATTTCCAGATTCAAAATTTGAATCAAACTTCAATTAATCTGTTTGACATGGTATTAGCTTTTAATCAAAGAGAGGATCCCCTCGAAAATACACTCGTGGATATTGTCTATTAAATGATATGCAAAATGAACTTCTTGAAATTAGCAAAGAGAGTAGAAAAATAAGTTCTATCGTTAGGACTCCGTTTGGATAGATCAAGTTGATCAAATCGTTTGTAAATCAAGTTTTATTTATTCTCCTCGAAATATTCAAGCAAAGTTCTCTCTTCCTGCTACGATGCCTCGATAGGATGTTGTATAGTCTAAATTTCTTCAATGAATGTGGAATAAATCTGATTGAATTAAGGCAAAGGTCTTGACTTTTCGAAAAATAAAATTCTCACTTTAAGGGAAATAGAGATTTCACATCAATATCGATGGTCAATTTGCGTGGCATCAATTCATTTGCTGGAGGCAGTTTTGTTAGTGTCTCATAAACTTTAGCATCATCCTCACTTGAACTATCGTTGTTTTTGTTTTTGGAATTCATATTATTATAAAATTAAAAATAATACACAACCATTGTCAAGGATGCTTTACAGTAATGAATTTACATTCACTATTACACATTCTTATATGAAAATAACAAAACATAACTCAATAGTATATAATTCATAATAATGATAAAAATGTGGTTCATTACTTTAATTTAGAAAATGATTTACGATAAGATCTATTTTGAAGTACAGCCTTTTCATATTCCATGGCCAAATCAGCATATTATATACTAATCTTAGCAGTTAATTATTCAGCATAATCTTATTCTTACTGAGCATGAATCGATTCTTATTTATACTATTCAGCCAATGTTTCTAACTCTCTGATTTTTATAGTTTGACTCAATTTCGAATTGCCTAATTCATTCTGCAAATCCAATATCTCCTTCCTCAATACTCGTTCTTTTTCATTCAAAGAATTTATTTCCTATTAAAGCTGCAAACTATCATCTTAGATTATTGTCTATTATGTTGGATTCTTGAGGTTTTTCTTCTCTTTTAACTCAATAACTTATTCTTCGCATTATTTAATCTTAACTAAAATATCTATAAATATATTATACTCTTTAATTATTAAATAATGTTTTCTTTTTCTTCTTCCATTTCAGTTTACTTCTGTTGAAATTAATTAGCTTGTTGTTCAAATTTTTATTCTAATTTATTTATTTTAGTTTAGAATTCATTTTTTTAAGATGATAAATTTCTATTATTTTAATCATTAATTTGATCTAATTCACTCTAATGATCCAATTTCAGATTGTTAATTTCTTAATTCAAGCTTTCAACTTCCTGTTCCAACTATCTTTAAACTACAGTGAAATTGAGTCTTTCATTGCCTATTTCATTTTATAAGTCAACCAACTCCTTCTTTAATGCTCTTTCTCTTTCATTTAATCTATTAATTTCAGCTTACAATTCTATATCTCCTTTTTATTATAACTATTCAATTTAAGCTTTCAAAACTTCAATCTCAAATGTTTTATTGATGTCTGAACTTGAAATTGACATTCTCTAATCAAATATTGAATGTCTGTGCTAATCTTACTTAGTTACTTAATTTGCTATCTAAATCTCTCTGATTTTATTATCATATTATTCAATCATTTTATTGCATTTATCTGTTAGAATTTGTAATTATTCTTCAGCAAATTTTTTTCCTTCCTTCTCTTCTGCAATTTCTCTTTCTTTCTTTTTTAAAATGATCTCCATCTTTCTTATCTTATTAAGTTCTCCCTCGTATTGCTTTGTAACCTCTTAAATCTTTTACTCCAGTTGTTTCTCTTTTTTATAATTCTCTTATTTAATTTCATTTATTTATTTATTGCTTTCCTCCCTTGTCTTATGAGTTTCATCTGATAATTATTTTTACAACTAAGTAATTTAGAGTTATTTTTATTAAATCAATTAATTGTTATTCTCCTCTAATTATTTAATTTCATTTTTATACTTTTGTTCTTACTTTTTCAATAATTATTCTTGTTAACTTTATTTTTCCTCTGTTTATTCTATTTAATGAATTAATTCCTATTCTCTCCTTTAATATTGTTCTTCTTGAATCATCATCATTTTTTAATATTTTTATTCCACATCATAAACAGCATCATCAATGTTAGTATTGTGCTCACTCAACTCTTTAATTTTGTGTATAAATTCTGCTTATTAATGTTCTTTCTCTTATTTTAATTGTTCGACATAATGTTGTAAATCTTAGGAAACATGTCTTTCATTAGCCTATTACTCTTCCAAAGCCTTAATAGATCTTAGACTATCTTAATACTAAGTTTATTGTAAATCAAATTACTTTTTTATCCTGCAACTAGGATTTTTCAATGTATTGATTAAGTTCCTCTTATAATTCAAAGGAATGGGTATTCTTCAAGTTTAGTTCCTCTTCCAAATTTTTCATTTCTTATTGATAAGTAATCTCATTAGCTTAAAATTTCTAGATCAAATCGACTAACTCTTAATATGAGGGCTTATCTGCGGAAATCTCTTCAACCTACACTCTAGAGAGACTTTCCTCATTAAGCTTTTCTATTTCTAATTGTTTTTGCTTTACTTCTTCAATCAAGTGTAAATTCCTTTATTCTAATTCAGAAATCTAAATGATTTGAATTACATCTTACCTTGATTTCCAATTCTCTCAATGAACTTTCATGTCTCTCAATTTATTATTACAATAAGTTAGTCTTGGCTTATTCACTTTCTATTAATGTCTTTTATTCATTAAGTTGTTTATTTAACTTGAAAACATCAAACTTTGCTTTTTTAGTGGCTTCTTGTAATTGTTTATCTTTTTCGCTTAATTAAGTTTGATATTATTTTTCTAATTCTTAAATCTTTTGATCACTACTATCACTTGTTTGTTGCACAACATTCTTCAACTCATTCTCTCTCTAATCCAGACTCTATTTTAATTATTTAATTCGTTCTTCTTATTATTCCAGTTACTTAGTTGTCTAAGATTACTAAAATATCATTTGCTAATAGATGTACTTTAATGTCTATCTATTGTGTAAGATCTTTGATCTCCTCCTTTAAAGAATTGATTTGTTCATCTTTACTTTGACAAGCTTCTGTGTAACATTCATATAATTTAGCAAGTTCAGGTTGATAATTGCCTTGATTTGTTTGTATAATTCCTAGAATCTATTGGAGAGAAGGAAAATCTCCTTGAAGTTCTTTCTTTGGTTGAAAGTCCTCGTCTGTGGAACCTGATGCTCTTCTTTTTTTTAAGGTACTTATCTCTTCAATTAACTATAAATTCTTTTTTTCGGTTTCACTCAACTAAAATATGAATTTCATAACTACCTTAGATTTAAGATCATTTATCTGCAATTCAAATCGGTTGATTTAATCAGCATTATTTTGTGCAGTAGATTTCTCATTTTCGATTTTCGCATTTAGTTCACTCTATTGCTTTTTCATTCTAAATTACTCTAATCTCAATTTTTTTTCAAGGTCACTTATCTGTTAGTCTTTCTCATTGATAGTTTTTTTTAGTAACTAAATATCATCTCCAGAATTATTCATAATATGGATTAGTAATAAAAAGATAAATAAATTATTTTTTAACAACCCATTTTCTATTTAAACACAAAACTAAAATTTAATAACCAAAATTACTGTCAAAGCCTTCTATTAACCAACTATAAATCGATAAACTAGCCCTAAATAATCAAGGATTTTTAGCAGTAGTCTCTATTCACTCATTAATTCATAGATAAAAATGACCTGTAATCGGAACAATTAAACAATTGTGCTTAATCTTTCAAAAGGTATTCTTAAAAGCATTAATTCCCATTAGGATGATATGTAAATTTGAAATAGTAGGAGTTTAAGAGAGTATTCACAATTTAGAATATTCTTTTATTGAAAAATATCAATAACTTAATTTTAATTTAAACTAAAATTGTTTACATATGATATTTTATAAATTAATAAGATATTATTTTGTATTAGCAGAATCTTCACTATTTTATGAAAAGACCTGTAAGAGTCAGCATGGTTTTATGTTATCGAAAATAATTAGAAGTATTGGGATTGGTTTGAAACAAAAAGTTAATAATAAAAATAAGAATATATATATTTTTAACAAATAAATGAAAAACGGGTTTTTTAATGTCTCTTCTCTGTTGGATGTGATTATATTTCATTATTAATTTTAATATGGCAAGAATCATCCCTGTATTGACACTTATATTGGCAGTGGCTACTGCTAGAGTAACAAGAAGTGAGAGTCCAAAGGAAGTGTTGGCTTAAATCAACAAGGATTCATTCGGAAACTCAATATTGTCAGTCCTCCAACTTTAATTGGCAACAGGAGGACCAGTCGGAGAAATCTAAATCCTCTTAAACAATATTGCTTCATAACTCAATGGAGATCAAAAGAAAGCCGACAAGGTTCACGAAAGTGACACAGTTGCCTTTGAAAAGGTATTGAAATAGTATAAATTTTGAATAGATCATTGCTGACTTAGAATAAGAGATCGCTTATCACTAAACTTAGATTGTTGCTCTTTCAAATTTGAGAGACTCTACCACTGAGGCTTTGGGAGATGCTGAATCTGAAGTCAGAGTTGTCACATCTGATATTGCCAATAACGAAAAGAGCTTTGCTGATGAATAAGCTACAAGAAATTCATAACACGAAACATGGGTTAGAAAGGATGCTGAACATGTTGATTAAATCGATGCCATTGACGAAGCCTCAAAGATCGTTTAACATTTGTAAGCAGGTGTTGCATTTGCTCAACTCAAGAGCAGATTCGAGAAAGTCTAAGCTAAATTAATGGAAAGCAAACACGCTCTCTTCAAGGTATTAAATAACTAGATGAATAGCCACTCATCAACGCCTTGACATAATTAGCCTCTAAGGTCGACAACAAGAGCATCATCAAGATTTTGGAACTCTTGGCTCAAATCAGATAACAATTGGTTGCCAGCAGAGCTTCACTCCTTGCAACAGAAGAGAAATAAGCTGCCAATTGGGAAGTCTAAAGTGGTCATTTGTAAGAAGAACACAAGAGATTAGTTGAAAGAAAGGCCTTCTTAGAAAACTCAATTGTTCAATTCAAAGTCACCATCTAAGAGGCTGTTGAAGACTTGGAAGACTAAACTGTAAGAATTAAGATTAATCTCTAATAGTTATTCCTTGAAGATGCTGAAGATTCATTGGCTATTTAAGAGAGATGGGCTGCCGAATAAGAAGCTTAATACGAAGCCTAAACTTTTGAAAGAGAATAATAATTGGAAGTCGTTGAAAGATTATAAGAAGTTCTTACTTAGAAGGTGAGTGCTGCTTCTGAATTCCTTTAAGTCAGAGAAGAGGTCTTTTGATATAATGAATTATCAAAAATATTAATATCAATATATAATAATTCATTCGGCATAAAATTATTCTGTTAATAATTTAAATTAAAATAAATGGAGAACATCTAAGTGGTGGTTCGGATCAGACCTTCGAATGGTGCTGAAAGAGACAACAATGATTTGGAAATCTGGTCAGTTCAAAATCAAGACACTATAACCATTTCAAATGATAGATTCAATGATTTAGTAAGGATGAGAAAGTTCGTCCCAGGCCAGAGAGTTGAATTTACTTTTAGTATGAACTTTAGAATTAATTATGATTAGATTAATGTTTCGATTCCAAACACACCACCAAATTTATTTACTAGTAATAAATTTAGAGGATCACATTATCCTCTTTGCAAGGCATAAATGGCACAGTCTTCATGTATGGTCAGACAGGTAGTGGTAAAACATATACTATGATGGGATATGATTAAGAAGAGGGAATACTTAAACAAGGATTGAAAGATCTATTTGGAGAAATAGCAAAGCAATCGGATAGACAATATTTCTTAAGATGCAGTTATGTTGAAATTTATACTGATTAAGTATACGATTTATTGGCTACTCAAGAAAGATTGAGTGAAACTCTATTAATAAATGAGGATTTCAATAAGGAATTCGTTATTAAAGGAGCAGTTGAAGAGGTAGTAACTAATATTAACGAAATCATGGACATCCTTCAATTTGGAGAAACCAATCGACATTATGCATCAACGGTCATGAACCATTGCAGCAGTCGATCTCACACTATCTTTAGATTGTATGTAAGATGTGTTCCCAATTATATTGGACCTAATTCAGTAATTACAGAGTCCATTTTAAACTTTGTGGATTTGGCAGGATCAGAAAAGATCAATATCCATGATTCAATGCTTAAGAAGAGAGGCACATCAGCTGGAGGAAACGGAGGATCCCAATACAAAGATAGATAAAATGAATCAAAACATATTAATAAGAGTCTATTCTTTTTGACATAAGTCATTTCATTGAGAGCCTAGGATAAAAAGTAATCATCTAGATTGATATCATTTTAGCGATTAACATATTCCATACAGGAATTCTCCATTGACTAAAATATTGCGATCATCTTTAGGTGGTAATTCCAGGACTGCAATAATTCTATGTGTTAATCCATGTTATACTTAATTTGAATAAACATTGTCTACTTTGAGATTTGGTACTAATGCGAAGAAGATAGAAAACAATGTTTCTAAAAATATTGTCGGATTTGATAATGATGAGAGTCTCAATAGAGTAATCAAGGATTATGAGGATAAGATTAATGAACTATAAAAAGCTAGAGTGGATGATAAGTAATAGCAAGAGATGATGTTGAAGATTATTGAAAAACTGGAAGAATAAAGGAAAATATTTAGATAATAGTTTACAACTTCTGACCATATTCAAGCTATGATTAATAAAGAACTCAATTATCAATGGACTCATTTGCATTATCATGGAGTTGGTGTATTATGGGTACCTGAAAAAGGAATCAAAGAAATAGAAGTCAAATAGGATGTAATAGATTCTTTTGGAACCATCAAAAAATATCAAGAATTATAGGAAGAATTCATAATTTAAAAATCAGAAAAATAGACTTTGGAAAATCAAGTCATGGATTTAAAGTAGAAGCAACAAGAAACAGTAGTGTAAACAAAAAAGAGATATGCGAATCAAAAGGCGAAAACAAGAAAGTACAAATAATTAAGCAAAGACTTATAGGATGAGAAAAATAAATTATAGAAAATAGCACTGTGTTATCACAATATGATAGATATGGATGAAATGATGTTGTTGAACAATGACACTTTAGATTAAATGACTGAAAATCTCTAAGTTCTAATGTAGAATATTTATAAAGTTAAATTAAAAAAGGAAATTAAATTAAAAGGGGAGCATGCTGAAACACTCAAATTAGTTACTTCTAAACCTATTAAATATCCAAAGTATTTATTTGATACATCTGCCATTAATGTGTAATTTTGGGATGTCACAGATAACAAGAAAATCGAAGAATAGAGTAAAAATGAAATAGAGTCGTTTTAAAGTTACTTTTAATCTCAAATCAATATGAGCAGTCCCTCATATATAGAATTACAGGGAGGTGGTCAATAATTTAAAGAGCCTTTGAAACATATCTGTTCTCATGAAAAGAGCAGTTTGAGTAAGGTTGGCAAAGAGAATTACGAACCAATGCTAAAACGAAATTCAAGCTTGGAAGTGTCTGATGAATTAAATTTTCGTAGTTATTTTAAATGAGCAATAATTAAATTACTATATAAATTAATATGAGTGATGAATTTCCTGTACCCAAACCTAAATAAAGAATTGAGGGAAATGTGTTACCTGAGGAGGAATACTTGAGAAGATTAGAAATTATTATCAAAAGAGACTACTATCCTGAATTATACAAATTAGACAAAATGAGAAATGAAGATGGGTATTATTTTTAAATAATCAGATAATAGAAATCCAGATGAAAATATGTCGTTAAGTCAATTTTTAAGTAGTTATACTTCAGATGAAAATGTTACCTTAAATCAAATAATTAAGAAGGGTGATGATTAATGGTATTAGAAACATGCATGGATGTTTTAAGTCGAAGAATAACACAAACTTAAATAAGCAGCACTTCAATCTGATAAATTATAGCATATGATTGAAGGAAACAGAGAAAACAACATCCAATTAAATGAATACAAGGCATTGAATCCATTATATTTTAGAATGGACCCTAGAAACGAGAGGTAAGAATCTGTACTATTTAGACTACAACCAGAAATCTAAGAACTCAAAGAAACAGACAATTCTTTGAATTTGCAAAAAGTGGAAATTCAAAACACCAGATTTTCTGATCATCATAAACCTTTAGATTATGCAATCAATTAAATAGACTAGAAATTACAAAAGAGAAAACTCCAGGAATGCTTAAATGCATAGGGTGTTAATGTCTTTTATGGAAGCACACCCAATTTGGTTGGAGCCTAGAGGTTTGAGGATGATGATATGCTTGGTCTCTTTTCACCTGCTCCTCAAAACATGAAAACTCCTTTGATGACTTGGGGAGAATTGGGTGAGACTCCAGTGTAATTGGATAGATCCTACATGATTCCCCCCAGTTCTTAAAGAGACAAAGTGGGATCCAATCTAACACAACAATTGAATATTAAGAAAAGGAATGAGCAAAAATAATAAGAAGAGTAATATGATGATTAATTTTAGGTGGTTGAAGAGGAGATTGAGTTCTATTACACCTTATAGAGTTGGCAGCTCAATGTCATCTAGAGTTAGTTCTGAGATGATTAAGAATTTCCTTGATAGAAGAGGTTCAACCAATCATTTGACTCCTATGGGCCCTAAGAGCAAGAACATCAAAAAACAACAATGAAATATATATATGGTGTATCTTTAATTAACTCTAATTTAATTTGATTGGAAATATCAATACTTATACAACAATTACATATCCAACAAATATATATAATCAAATTTAATAACCTAGGATACCATAGTATTCTTTAATTATATTCTCTTTATCAGAATATTTAATGATTAATTAAGTGGCTATCTTGGTCATGAAATCATTAAACTCTTCGATGTCAATTTCAGGTTTGAAATACAATTTCTTTAATGAGTTGATTTCTGAATCATTTAAGAAATACCCAATGATATCAACCAATAAATCAATTGCTGTTGGTGAATCAGCAAGATCGTACACTTTGTCTTCATTCAAAGCCTACAAACTAGAATTATGAAATTACCTTCTAAGTAGCTTTCTTGACAATCTCTTCCTTGGCTTCTGCTTTGCTCAATAATTCAAAGACCATTTGAGCCCTTTCAATATTCTGCTTAATTAATTTATCTAAATAATCTATTGAATCTATTACATGAAAGAAGTTATTCAAAGAAGATTTCAAAGAACTTTTGAATTGCTTCATCTGAAGGTCCGACTCTTTTCAATTCTTCCAAGAGTTTAGCTTCCTGTTGTTGTGGTTCCATGTTGAAAGTTCCTTAAACAAAGATTGCCAATTCATTTAAATCAAACAATTATTACTTTTATTGAGAAGATGTTGAAGATGATTATTAACTTGAATTTTTTTCAACATAAAGCACTTATTATGTTTAATATTTCTTGTTCTTATTCTTACTTTGATTATAATTTTATTCAATAATTTCCTTCTCTTGTTCTTGATGAATAGTCTTTACACTCTAAGCCTAATCTTATCTGCTATAATGATCCTTCCATCCTTAGTTCCTTCTCTCTTACACATTTTCTATCAACATAGAAATTCTTTATGAGACCTTATACTTTGATATAAGTAAATTGAGTCTATTGTAATTAAATAAATTATTACATTTCCATAATGATATCAATGGATAGATTTTTTTCAAGCTTTTTTTGTAAGAATGCTTTAGCTTCTTCCAAATTTTTGGTTGTACCATCAAAGAATTATTCGAGATCCTTCTTCAAAACATCGAAATCAGTAATGCTCTAGGTCTTGTATGATCCCCCAACTAAATATGCTTGTAAGTATAATTACTTTAGTCTAATAATTCAATCAAACCCTCAATAGATTCTTCACTATTTTCTTGATTTGGTAAATATTAAGCAACATAATCGGAAATTAATTCTCTGATTGCATATTCGACAGCTAAGATTGGAAGCAACTTGGATAAAAATAAGTCTCCAATAAAACGGACATCTTGAGTTATTGTAGAATGTACATACTTCCCATAATTTTTTATTTTCTAATTAAGTGATATTATTCTCTCTCTTCTGGTTTCATGTGAGATAGATCTTCCTTCTTGTTCTTTCTCTCGTCAAACACTTATTGAACTTAGTTAAGGAGTTGATTCTTAAAGAGAGATACACTCTTGGCCTTGCCATCCTATTTCTCTTTGACAATGGTGAGTTGAGGTTCTTTGATTAAGAGTTAACATAATTTGGTGTATAGTTTTCTATATTTTGGTTCTGTTTAGGATTTCTCAATGATTTTTTATGCCAAATACTCCAAATAAGTTGAATCATTTTCACTTTTACTATAATAATAAATTAATTTCTATTACTTATCGATTACGACTTTTATAATATTCTAAGAAGCCATTTCAAAATTGTCTGGTGCCAATTAATTCAATCTGTATCTAAGTTCTTTAAAAATGATCTCCCTCTATTCAGGAGTTTGATTCAAAGTCTAGAAGAAGGCTTCTGCTTAGGTTTTCATTCTATCTTTTAACTATTTGGTTTGGATGTCTTCAACAACTCTAACAATAATGATCTTTGGTTGAGCTTCAGTTGCTGGTTAGATTTGTGCTCTGTCGAATGGTTAAACAGTTGATGCAGTTGGTTTACTTTAGATTTTCTAATTTGGTGTCTTTGTATAAGTGTTTGTCTTTCCTTCTTTTCTAGGCTGTTGAGTTTTAGTTTATAATTCTTTTATGTTAAAGTGCTTTCTTTCCTTCAAAAGTTACCACTCTTGTTTATCAAAGTACTCATTGAAATCCTAAATGATGATTTTTAAAATTACATTAATTGCCTCGACTAATTTCTTAAGTTCTTCCTTAGAGTAGGGCTTAGGTTTTCTTAGCTCTAGTTGTTCTTATTCTTTTTTTAACTTCTCTTCTTTTTTCCTCTCTTCTTCTAACTTCTTTTACTCTTCCAATTTCTTCTACTCTTCATCAGCCTATTATTTAATTTAAAGTAATACTTTCTTTTCCACAGATTGATCAAGTACAAATTTTTATTGAGTGGTACTATTCAATACCAATTTCTTCTTTTGCTTTTAAGCATTTTATTGTGGCTATTATCCATTGGTTGTATTGGCTGATGTTGATTGACTTAGATTTGCATTGCTACCTCCATTAAGAGACAATGAGTTTATAGTATTTCCCTATTCATGTATTCCTTGTTAGTTTGATGGGGGAGGCACATAAGTCTAAGGGTAGTAGGGTTGTTCGTTATAATATTTTTGAGGAGGGTAATAAGGTTGTGCAAAGGAGGGATTAGCTGTTGGCTCAAAAGGAGCACTCAGCTTTAATCCTTTTTTCGATGTAGGATTTTGAGACATTTTTAAATTTTTATATGATTTTTTTTCACAAATTATTCAAATTAAATTATTCAATATTTCTTTAATTAATTGCCACCACTAATTATTTAATGATTTGAGTACAATTTACACTAAATCATATCAGTAATAAAATTGATTGTTTATTGACTTAGACACAATAACAATATCTCTAATGATTTCAATAATCAATAGATTCTGAAGTGTATATTTTTGAATTTGGTGATCTTGAATAAGTAGACAATAGAGTTGTAGTATAATAGAAGTTAATAATTAATGCAATTAAAATAAATTTAAGATGAATTACATTCTTTAATTTTATTAATTTACAACTCTTAATCCATTTGAGTTTATTTATTCATTCTGAATTTCCTAATCACTATTACACTAATAATATATTGTTAATTTTATAGGATTCTATCAATAAAGTCAAGAAGCATAAGGAATTACTCAATAATACTTTGATTGAAAAATCACTTATTTTCAATTCATATATGGAATGGCACAACAAGAGTTGAAAAAGTAACACTCACCAGGAATTTATATTATTGCTTATAAAATAAGATTAGAATTTATAAAATAAATTGACTGAGAAGAAAAGGGACTACATAAAATTGATTGAGATTTAGAAGATGTAAACAAAGAAGAGGATGTCCTCTGACGATAAAAGATTATAATGACTTATTGAAAATTGTATATAAGAATATTCATCCTAAAATATAATGTAATACAGAGAAAATTTTAATGCAAAAATGAAGTTAGACAATATAGAATATCTTTTGATATTATTATAAAATGACGAGTACATATTTATATAGTTTAAATAGTCGAATGTTCAAGCATCTTAAGGATATTGATCTAATTAGATCATTTAAATTCCAGAGAATTAAGGAACACAAGATTTTCTTCTCTGCCTCGGACTCCTTGGGCTTGCATTTTATACAGGTTAAGGAGGCATGTTTATAATACTTCCAATTTTTTCAGGACTTTGTTCTTTATGGTAATTTTGAAATACCCATTAATCAATAGTTTCAACTGTTAAACTGTGAGTAACTTTAGCAACTAGATAAATTGTCAACACTATTGAAATGACTCCCAATAAAGTAATAGCTGCTGCTAAGCCAACATTGGAAAAGCCTACCAAGATTCCCAATATGACAGCTCCTGCTATCTATAATAAAATTATAAAGATTAATATAAGCCAGCATGCTTTTTAATGTCTAGGCACTTCTTAAATTATTTCTCCATGGACTTCTTCTTAAAAGTGAACTTTCATTGATATCTTTTGTTAGCAAACTTCACATTTAATCTGATACATTATAATAATAGATTGTTACATCATTCTTATAAACCTTTTCAATACCATTCTTTAAAAGAATCCAATTTTTAAAGCATTCCTCATGCACATATTTGGCTGTGCCACTACACATACATGGATATATGAATCTTGAGGTTTCTTCTTCCATTGAGCAAATACGACATTACTCTAAAACAAGTATTTTAATTTTCATACTTCCTTTTTTTGACCTAGCCAATTAGATTGGGTCCATTTCATTCACATATATATTACACCATACCATCTTCTTCCTCTCATTATCCTAATTTGTGAGTTAGCAATAAAATATACTTTCATTTTATAAGTTTTCTTGATTCCTTTTTTGTAAACATCTCTTCTTGGAGAAGGATTGAGACTTTAAAATGTTGGTTGAAGACATTCTTCAGGAATTAACTATTAAGATTGGTTTAACTTCGAGAATTTTTGAGGTGGTGATATACCAACTGTTCTAGCCTCAGAAATATTCATTTACCTGTATATTATTTTTTAAATTCTCTATACTAACTACGTATGAATTTATTTATTATAATCTGCTTAATTCCTAATTTATTTTATTGATAATGGAATATTGTGCATTGTATAGGTTATTTCCAAAATGTATCTGTGCACTTCAAATTTGAAAATCTTATATCAATATCTATGATAACATCGTATAAAATGTTAATCTAAATTTACCCCCTCATTATTCTACGTTTTATGATGGGTATATTTTTTAAAATGCATCGAATTATAATATTTGTTTAAATATCTCAAATTAATATAAAAATAATAATTTTCTTTCGATTAAAAGATAAATATAGATTCTGCATTTCTATCGGAAATCAATAGGAATTTTAATTATTATAATATTTGATTTGACCTTTTTCTCATCAAAGTTTTCAAAAAATCAACTCTCATATTGTATTAAGAAATCCTTTCAAGTCTAATCAAACTTTACTGTAAACCCATCTAAGCCCATTAAAAACAATTAAGAAAGTATCCAAAAAGTATATTAAAGAAATTTGAACTTACAATTAGGATTAATTTAAAAAATGATGCCAAATCAATATGCTAATATATCGCAATTGGATTCATATATCGATTTATATGCTAAAAACTGTATTTATTCTATAATCAGTTTAAATTGCACTGTGATCAGTTGACAATTAAACATTATTATTAACACATATATTATTAAATAATGCAATTAATCCTTGATAACTCTTAGATACATAAGAGTCCTGAATAAGTATTAATAATCAATTGATTAGTTAAGAAGGGAAAAATTGGATATCAAAATAAAAACAATTAAAGCAGATTTGGCTCCTGGAGTTGTGAAATACATGATGAAGACCAAGAATAATCAGAAATTACAAACTCCACTGCATAATGTAGAATATCATCATCCTTACTCTAAACCATAACTCACTTACTTAAAGACATTCTAAAGGATGGATTTTGAGCCTACTGTATAATTAGATGAGATAAAGGAAGAAAAATGGAGCATTTTATCAAAAAACTGTAGGAACATTTTAGAAAAATCAAGGATTAGTTTAGGCAAGCCAAATGAATCTCAATATTTAAGACGATCTTCTATTGAACTCTTCCCAAGTCCTCAAAAATAAATAAAAAATAATAATAAATTTTTGACTCGAAGATAATCCATTGATTTAAGGATAGATGATATCAAATCTCCGTAACAATCCCCTGTGGAATTGAAGATCCCATCTCCAAAACCTTTGGGCATGAAATTGGATCCCTTCTATATTAGATTCAAAAAATACTATAAAAAAATGGGACTTCCTTAAGATGAGTAGCCCAAACCTAAAAACAACAAGTTTAAAAAGCTTCACAAAAATTCTTATTCTTAGGATAAGATATACAAAATTAACTCCCCTCAAACTTAAAATCAAAGTTTTATTTTCTTTCCATAAGTCTAATGTTCTCCTTAGGCATATAAAAAATCTGGGTTTTAGAAGAGAAAGACTCAAGTATAATATCTATAGGATATATTGGCATTGTGTAATATGGCTCAGCATTTTCAGGCAGAGATGAAAAAGGATGAGACTGAAAATTACAGTGAATTAAATCAAAAGGTAGAGTTTATCAGATCTGAATTCAATAAATATCATAGTATGATCAATAATGAATAGGATTCAGCTGAGAATATTGAAATTAAATGATATACATAATATTAATCAACATAATTATTAGATCATTCCAACTCTTACATCATATCTTAACGAATTTACACTTCCATATTTTACTTATTTTTATCTTACAATTTGAAGATTTTTTCAATCACTGTGATTTCTGTAGATGTCGTATCCAAACCTATAGAATTTATATTCAATTTGTACCACAAAAAGCAGCGATATCATTAACAACAAGACCAGATGCTATGATATCACTACCTCTGTTTACAGTTCCAGCACATAATGGTATTTATAGTAGATTAGCTAATTCATCTAATTCTTCTACTGTTGTCAATGGATGGACCAATCCTCCTTGATTATTAAAGCAACAATAAGTTCCAACCAAAACCTATTAAGCCACAGTGGTTCTGAACACTTCAACTCCCAAAGTATCGGCAATGATCTCCTCTGTCTCTTTATCCAAATCGGAATGTATCAAAGCAACATAATCATTACAAGCCACACAGTTACCTAGAGCTGATAATTTCTCTTCAACTCTTTTAACCTATGATATTAATTTACAAATTTACTTTAACTTCATCTGGCAATGAATTTCTGATTTACTTGAGTTCTTAATCAGTACATGTATTTGGTACCAACAATCCATTTTTATTTCCTGATTATGTTTATACAATATAATATACCTGCAGTCAATCTTCCGATAATTCTTGTGCCTCCAATTGAACAATGGATGACTGGCATACTTAATCCAAGTTCAGATTCAAACACAGAATAGAAATTTTCACTTCCTCCAAGTGCAACAAGACAGTATGCATTTGTAAGTTTAGAAAAGACACCAATATCATTGGAGTTTTCAAATTAACATCGATTTGCCATGAATGAGTTTTATAAATATTCTTTATTAAAATATTAAATCAATAACCACAACCAATTATACTTTATAAAATGACTTTCTTATTTATAGATTTCAATAATAATTTAGGCTCATTTCATTGCAGGTATTTTCCAATTTAATACAGTACTCAAAGTTATGTAAAATTATTAAAATATATTGAATACTTCCGACAAACTCCACTAATTCATTTGATATCAATAATTGATTCTCTGTTCTTTTAAAGAGTACATAATCTTCATTTTTGCGTTGAGGCAAGAAAAAATGAATGAGAATTTAAAATTCACAATATGTAATTCAAATAAAACATAATTAATATTTGAAACTTCCATTTTTTACAAATTAGAAAATTTCAAGACAATTTGTGACGAAATTAAGAAAGTTTATTGTTAAATTTTCACCTAATTGAATTACTTTTTAATTTTATTACTTTTGTATTTATTGTAGATATCAAAACTTTAAGTTTAAGCACTCATATATATATTCTAAGAATAGTTATATTTTTAAATTATTTAATATGGTTAACCATTTCCCTTCAGAAACCAAAAAGAAACGAAAGCCTTGGATAATCCAAGTAACTTAATTTGTATAATTACAGGAAGACAAGCTATTAAAAAAATTAGTGAAAAAATTCTAAAATGAAAGGTTAGCATGGAAGAAAATTTCTTAAGCTTTAAAATCACATGGGTTTAATCGGGATACGAAAGCTTGTCGAGAAAGGTTTTCGAATCATCTCGATAGACGCTATAATAAAGCCAATTTAACAGACAAGGAAATTGACTAGCTTTTTGAGTTGATTGAACTCTATGGGAATAAATGGGTATTTATTTGAACCTCAATTAGACTTTTATTGCTGAATAACTCAACAATAGAACAGATTAGGACATAAAGAATAAGTTTTATGCTCACGTCAAGAAAATTATTCGTCGATTGATAAAAGTTGCTTATTAAACAACTGAAAGTATTTATTTTCATCAATTAGGTTCTTTAATCATTGCGAAAATCCAGCCCCTCTTGATTTCCAGCATTTATTGTCATGATGATGAAGATAATGATAAAATATTAAAGATTGATGATTAGATGAAGGCACTTTTTAAATAGTTAATTCGGAACAATAAAAAAATACAAGTTGGAGTCAAAGTTGATGACTAAACAATAGATTAGGTTAAAATAATAATGAATTACCTTGGGGAGTAAAAGTAAATTATATTTATACTTAGTGATATATATATAGAAAAAAAGGTTAACAAACAGGCATAGAAGGTGTAACTTATGAAATTGAAATACAAGAGAACATTTAAACTGTAACAAGGTTTAGATAACTAATAAAAAATAATCGAAAAGATTTAAAAGAAGAAGCCTATATTTACAACAAAGAAAGTCAAAATTGAAAAATTTCAATTCACTGCTCCTCCACCACCACAAATGGGATAGACACCTATACCTTATTTCTAGTTTAAATCAATAGAAAATATGTATAGTTGTTAATCATACATTCATCCTATTATTTCCACTCCCTCCTTTTATTGGGGACAGACCTAAAATATCTTTTCAATTGATCCCATGCTCTCAAATGTAATTGATTAGAATTATTATAGAGTTTCTTGTTTGGATTTCAAGGCAATTAAAATTCATATGGAATATGGTCAGATAAATATAGAGTGACTCCAGATTGATTATAATATTTATATACATGCTTATTTTCATTTATTCTTTCGAATTCTTGTTCTTTAATATACAATTAAAAAGTCAATTATAAAAAAAATTGAAAGAACGCTTATCATTCATAGCAACCTGAGGACTTTTGAAAGAGTGAAAGCTCTTTTCACTTGGTATGAAACTAGGATGGACAGTTAATTAATGAGGATTCTTTTTCTGAGACAATCCTCTACTGGATTCAAAACTATATGAGGATTGTCTTTCTTTAGATAATGTAGGATGTCGTTCTTTTGAATGAGTTGTAGTGTGTCTATCATTTTTGGTTAATATTTTTTCCACTTTGAAGAATTAAGGTTCTCTAGATTTGGTTTAGGCATTAGTGGTAGTGAAGTAAGAGGGCTTGGGAATGATGGCCTATAAATGGAATATGATAATACCTTATTAGTACTTGGCTTTGAAGTATTTTTAAGATGAGAGAAATCAAAGTAGAATTGTTATTTGATTTAACTAGTGGGAGTAATGAAAGACATATTTTTAGTAATTGTATTAAGATCTTCAATTAAATCTTCAGGTAATTTATGTTTTTTCTTGACTTCCTCGTTTTCAGTATATAGGTTGTATTTCTTAAGCCATGGATAGTTGAGTAATTCAATAACAGTAGGTCGTTCATCTGGATCAGTAGTAAGCATTCCATAAAGTAATGCAATAGCCTCTTTGGAGATATCATGAATAATAGTGAATTCTCCTGATTGAATTTTCGAATAGAGTTCTGCATCAGTATCTCCTTTGAAGGGGAAGACTCCTTGAAGCATCGTAAAGAGGACAACTCCTAAGGCCCAAACATCTGATTTATCTCCTCTATACTCTTACCTGGTGACTATTTCTGGAGCCATATAACTGGGGGTGCCACAGAACATTTTGACCTTTTTCTCAATGGGGAAGGAAGTGGAAAAGCCAAAATCGATGAGTTTAGGAGTTTAGCCCTCTAATAAAATGTTTTCGAGTTTCAAATCTCTATGAGCAATATTTTTGGAATGACAATATTAAACTGCTTCAAGGATTTGTTTAAATATAGTTTTAGCAGTTTCTTCATCAAGTCTTCGTTCCTAATATATTATTATATAATACATACTTATTATTTGCGAATAAAATGATGAAGTGAACTTCCACTTACATATTCTAATATAATATTGACGTGATTATTTGATTCCAAAGTGTCGATAATCTTGACGATATTTGGATGATCTAACTTTTCAAGAATTTCAATTTCTCTACGCACTCCTTTGCGACGCTATAAATCTCGTATTTTAGATTTCTCATAGATTTTGATAGCCACTTTAATACCTGATTCAATTTGAATAGCTACTCTGACAGAAGCATAGGCTCCTTGGCCAATGCGACTGCCAACCTTATATTAAGCTTTAAAATTCTCAGTTTTATTGTTATCATCATCTGGTTAATTACTAAGAAACTTCACTCTGTCACAGATATTCTGTTTTTTGAAGTCGAATTTGAAGTATTCAACATTATCTCTTTTTTCGACTTTACAAATTTTGGATTATAGTATCTAACTGATGGCATCAAGATTTCTGAGTTGTTAATTCTTTAGGTTCATCAGTAAATCTTATTACAAAGGAGGTCTTGATTTGTATGAATATTGATTGCCTATGCATTTTTCATTCTCCTTCTAATTTAGACTATTCGCAGCTGGTCTATGCTTCATTGGAATTTAAAATAATTAACAGTCTCATTATTATTATATAATGAATAGATATACCACACTCACAATAGTCGTAACTAGTTGTGTTCTCCTCCTAGTAACCCTTGTTAGTCTTGAGTAGACTCCTAGTTTCCTCACTTATCGCCCTAAGGAATATGATGTGACGTATAGATTTGAAGCACTCTAGTCTTATAACCCAGATTGACAATTGTGATTAAACAGTGTTCCTTGAAGTATTTATTCCATCCTATTCCAGGGTCTTTGCCAAGGAGGAAATTGGGCTCATATCTTCACCTAGTCTCTGTACCTGACCAATTGTCTTAGATCGTCATCAAAGTAACCTCGTCTTTCAGCTGAAGAATTGCTACAATGTACCAAGTGGGATGAGGACAAATGTTCTTCTACACCCAAATCATTGAAGATTGTCAATAGCATCAAGAAGTATTGTCTCATTCCACTAAACAATATAGTTTCTTGTTAGAAAATGGTCTGAGTACCAATAAGTGTCTTTCATATAAGCAAACAGTCAATTTCAACCTAAAGAACAAATGTCCAATCAGATGTGACGATTTGAGTTTCAAGAAATCAGAGTTGAGAGCCAAAGATCTTATAGAACTTACATCAACACAAGACATACAAGATCACATTATAAATAAAGGTCCTGTTGTCATGGCTTTGAAATGTATTCACTTATGTATACTATTATAAAGATGGCTCAAGCTTGAATGAATACTCAAGTGGACTTTATACCACCAAGAAGAATGATCAAGACTTTGGCATCAGATTTTTAATGGTTGTGGGTTGGCACACTGAAACTGATGGCAAAATTGCATGGAAATCATTGAACTCTTTTGGCACCCAATACGGAGTAGATGGCAGAGTCAATGTGGGAGAGAAGAACCAATACATTTTGGGATACTTTGGATTTGATGTCTGAATTAATAAATTATCAAATAATTAAATAATAAATAATAACAACAATATCCATATCTCTTACAATTCATAAACCATACATTACTTGACAATAGAAGCTGAATCCATATTAAAATTCATTATCAATCTTGCCTTACAGAAAACTTGACTTAATTTAAGAGAAAATAAACTTCTAATTTTTGAAGGAAAATGTGTGAATCCATCTCCTCTAATGATTTAGGGAAAATTGAAAATTTGGATGAGACTATTATTTTAAAGCATCCTTAAATTTCAGTTAGAATTAACATCAAGAATAGAATATTTGGAATCCAAATTAATAAAATTACCTCTTTTATGGCTAATATTTATATAATCTACATATCATAAATATGCTTAATTTCTTTATTTTCTACAATGGTCGTTGAATTCATTTAATTCTTATTCCAAATTTTTCAAATCTTAACTTCAATTACTATATCTCTTTGCTCGAGAATCAATTAGAAAAAAGTATTATCTCTATCCCTTAACTTAGTTCTTATTCTATTATATTCATTATGCTTAATCAATTAGTAAATTCTTAAATGAGTCTTAAATTAATCAAGTATTATTTTATTCTTCTTAGTTAGTAGTATATTCAAGTTAAATAATCAAGTAAAAATGCAAAAGATTGTTTAATACATATAGTTTTCTAATAGACTCTTAAGAGTTTGAAATAATGATATGTACTAGAGTTGGCTATGACAAATTCTGAAGGCTTTTAAAATGCTATAGTGTAATAGTGTTTGAAAACACAGAGATATTAAATTTAGTTCTTGAAGAATTGTGTCATTTGGAGCTTAAACAATTTTGTTTAATTTCTTTCTTGATAGGAAAATCTATATTCTGTTACTTCTCATGTTGAGAGAATGAATGTTAAGAATAAATGCAAAAAGATTGACTAGATATAGCTCATGTAGTTATCTCCTGAGAAGTCATAAAGTGGTCGATGATATTACTTTTATATTGATATTTATGTAATATTGAATTTAATTAGAGTCACATAAATTAAATGTAATAATTATGTTTACAAATATCGGAACAAACACTTATCCCTTCTATTGTAATTATTGCACTTCTTAGCCTCATATCTGTTGGCCTACTATTCTAAACATATAAATTACGGAATTGGAACCCTATTTAGGAATTATCACCACTATTAACAATATTTCAAGGATTATCACTTTATTTATTTATTGTGCTCACCCTACTTGCAATTGTGCATGATGGTTAGAATAATTTCCATACAACCAAAGTCATAATGATATTTTAGAATTTTTTTCGAGGACTTTTTGTATATATCACAGTTTTTAAATCACTTAGAGTCACTTTGGCATTTCACCTCAATATTAAGTCCTCCAAACTCTTAAAATTTCTATGTACCAACATTTTTAGATATTAATTTCGTATTTTAATAGTCGCCTTATTGATGACTTCTGCATTTTGGTCAGGAATTTATTATATTGTGATTCTTTATAATCAAAAAACAAACTACTCAGATTAAGATCATATAAGTGATCTCATTCAATATGAGAATATAAATATTGTTGAGGCTATTAATAATACTTTAGAAATTTTATTGTGCATGCTTATCATATATTGGAATCAAAAGATTTTTATACCCCAATTTGATACTCTTCAAAAGTTTGTTAATAAACCATTATCGATCTATGCTATTTGGTTGTACATTAATACGTTCATTAGTTACTTCATCAATGAGATGGATTGTAAAATATAAAATGGACCTATTGAATTACCATTCCCTTTAATTATTATGGTCTTTTCTTAAATTCTCAGAAGCATGGTTGAATTTTACTATATAGTTTACATCCCCATACAATAGAGCACATTAATCAGATTACCATTAATTCCATCTATAATATTGGATAATTTTCAACTGTTTATGAGAATTCCTCTTTGCAGTAGCGTATTTTATGAGTTCTTACAATAACCGATTTATAGTCCCAATTTCAATTCGAAGGAGAGAAGAGTCAATCATAGTCTCAGTTTGGAATACTCAGATAGTTTATAGGTACTTAAGGTGTGGATGGCTTATCAGATGAAATTAGAGAATGGAATAGAAGATGAACATTTCACGCTTTTTTTGAATTTGGAGAAATAATAAAATGAGACGCTGTTTGATTTTAATTATTAACCATAAATTTAAGTTAGATTAGAAAAGCATTTGATGTAACTCTTCGAAGAATATTAAAATACATTCTCATATTATAATATGAAAAAATTATTTCATTGTCTTGATAATGCAACAAAGAATTTCTATGAAATGAATATCATCTAAAATTTTTTAAACTGAATTATTATTAAACTAAATGAATAATTTAGGAATATAAAATAATCGATTCCACTAACAAGCCATCTTAAATAGAATCAAAACTGCAAGTCCTCGCCATCCTTAAAAGAAGAGAAATAAATACTATGAGTCATGGTTACAATAAAAGGAAAATGAATTAAACAGATCAACAGAATCATGTATGGAAGTTGTTTCTCCCAACTAACCATAAGTGAAAATTCCTAATTCTTTTTAGGTCAAATCCATTAACGATATCAATCAAATGAGAGAACTACAAAATTGAATATTTTAATTTCATCATATATATATCTATATAACCATATGGGTTTAATTGGAAATTAAATTATAATCATTAATATAATATTGATTAAATGTACTTATCAATTAACCCAGTTATCATTTAGATTAAATAAATATAGCTATTTAATAAAATAATGAAAAAAACTTAAGGGAATGGTTTTAGAGTGAGAGATGGCTCATCAAAAATAAAGAAAGCAGGGGAACTTTTAGCTTCTTTATAGTATAGTATCAAGTGTAAATCTTACACTCCACAACACCGATCAATAAAATAGTTAACTCACTATCCTTTGAAAACTCAAGCCAATCAAGATGTGAATCCTTTGGTCTAACCTCGAAATGCATTCCAACGACAAACCAGCATCAATTGCCAACAAAGACCTTCGTTATTATCAGTGATTACATCAGAGAGCAACATGAGTGCTGACGAGGAATACGAAATTTGGGACAATAATTAGGATCTGAGGGTGTAAAAAATGACAATAGAAGAATCAAAGCCTTCTGTTGGATAATTTTTATAGTTGTACAAAGCAAGATTTGGGTATGATTAATTGAAATGAAAGAGGTTTTCCAGGACAGAAATAATGCATAAGAAATGAGGATGTTATAAAAGTCGCTGTTGAATATGCCTCGACTAATAAACAACTATTTAAGAAGTATTTCCCCAAGAAACAGATTGTGTTTGAAGATGACAACGATTATTCATTGCCATATAATATAGAGGACGATCATCATTTTTAGAGTTTCAATAATTTTTTTAAAAATAAGAAGTCCAATACTATTCTTAAAATTAATACTTCACGTATTTGAATCATATTATACTTATTATAGATATATAATATTTCAAACTTTGTCAATTAGACTTTATATTTGTTCAGGTGTTCTTTAGGTATATCTTTTTTCTGCAGTTGTAATTACAGCCAATTCTACATTGGAATTATTGATCTAAGATATGATCACATACATAATTACTTTCTCTTCCATTACATTCTTGAGACACAAGATGGCCAATCTCTCAGCTTGCTCCAAGGTTAGATCCTGACTTAATTTATGATCTTACTTATTTGTATTATTCTTTGAGTATACTTTGGATACCTTCATCAGCTGCCCCAATTCCTTTAGCTTAATATTCAATCATAGTTCCAGTGGGATCTAAGATGATTCAATTACTTACCAGTTTAGAAAATTTAAGGACCATGATCAGAAACACCTGCAATCAATAGCGCCACTCCATAGGGTCTTGACATTTTAGTTTTGCTTTTAGAATCACTCTCTCCAAAATCAAGAGCCAAATCACAAACAATCTAAGTGAGTGCTCTAACATTGATGGGTTCACCATAATTGAATTTGTGATTCTGAGATTCTACTCTGGCATGTTCAACTAAAGTTCTGGCATCAGGAATGAAACCAGAGGCAGTGCAAGCAATATGAGTGTCAATTTCATAGATCTTCTCAATGCTCCTAGGCTCTAAAAGTGTTGAATTCAATTTTCTTTCTCCTGCCAATACTACTCCATCATTCACTTTTATAGCTAAAGCACTTGCTCCTAATTTGATTGCTTGTAATGCATATTCCACCTAGAATAGACGACCTTCTGGTGAGAATGTATTCACTCCTCTGTCATAATCTGTTCTATTGGAATTAATACACTTATGTACTTATTTTGAAACATTAATCCCAATCTGAATTATTTATTTAATATATTATAATGTATTAAATACAAGAGTAATCTTCGCATTGCAGACCCTTTTAGACCATCAATTAATTTATAATAATCACTTAGTCAAATTTTAGTTAATATTTTTGAGATATAAATATTACTTTCTAATTTAATTGTCATTCATTTTAATCTCGTATGGCTGATCCCTAAAAAATAGTTGGAGTAGTCTTTTCTAAATTAGAAGCCCAACGTTCTCATCCTACTTATATTATCGAAACTAAAACTGGCAATCTTATCTATAGACAGGCTGCCAATTTGCCCTCTGAATAAATAGAAAAATTTAACCTTATTTTCAGTAAGCAAATCGCTGATAAACTCTATCCCTCATAACAAAAGAGACTGTTCTACAAGGGAACTGAAATAGATCTCCCTGATGTTGAATTCGATGACGATGACATTGATGATTCCAAGTCCACTAAATATCAATGCAATTGTCAATTTAAATAAACTACGAAAATGATATAACCTAATATCAAACAATATGAACAATCATAACCATCTTCTAAATCCACTATTAAATTGTCATCCAACACCATATTAATGTATGACAAAATTGATGGAGAATTCAAACAAGCTAATAGAATCGATTGCACTCTAATTAAAGATATCAAAAATTGGGAACAAGCGAAGATCAGCAACAAAAAATAAGTAATGCTCTGCATTTCTGAGAATTGTTTCGTTAAATTAAATGATTTAAGATTTAAGAATCCCTCTTTGGTTCTTGATTTTGTTTTGAATAACTGTATACTTGTTAAATGAATAACTATTAATCATTTTAATAATATGAATAAGAAATTAAATATTCCGCTTAGGAACATTTAGCCTGATACGTATCTCTTTATCTTAATTAATAGAGTACCATTTTCAGATGGAGACGGCTTGAAATATTGGAAAAGCTTTCGTCATGCTATCACCACAATCAGATTACTCTAAAGTCCTAAAACATAGCGGTTGAACTCTCCAGTAATCTAATTTTATTTTAATCCAAGGATGAACTAGTCATAAGTGGTTACAGATCCCAAGTTTCATCAAAATAGAGATCAGAGAGCAGTCGTAACTTCAATGATGCATTAAAATATATTTAAATGCAATAAGCACTTTTCACATCAATTGAAAAAGGACACTCATCAAACATAATTGAAGAAATACTAAATAAAGATCCAAAAAAGTATATTTATATCATTAATCAAGGTATTTCTATGATCATAAGAGTGAATTTTGTTTAGTTAACAAAAAAAATTAAAAAGGATTAACACCTTTATATGTAGCAGCTAAATTGGGACATCTTGAAATATGTAGAATTCTTATCGAGAAAGGAGCGAATCCTCAAACAACTGTATCAATAAATGGAATAGAAGACACTCCCTTAGAAGTTGCTCAAAGATGGAGACATTTAAATATTGTTCACTTTTTATAACAATAACTTTGATGTTTATATTGCTTAATAATATTAACTTTCTTAAATTTAATTAATTTACTTATTTATTAAAGTTTTGTAAGGAAACTAATAATTAAGAAATCTCAAATAGAAAAATGAATAAATTACTGAATAATTTATATATATTTCATTCTTGAATCACTTACTAAATTTGAATTCTCTATCAATTAACAAATGTGATTTTTAAGCGAAGTTATTAATATCATCTGATATATAGGGATCATAATTAAATCAAATTAACCAAGAATTTTACCTATAATTCTATGTTAATACATGTTACATTAAATTTTGAATCATAAACATAAATACTTAACCCTCAATTATATGTAGAATAACAAGTACCTAAAGGTTTAAAATGAGTCATAATTGCATATTATCATTACATTAAAATATCATCTAAAAAAACACAGTAGTTATAAAATAATTGGTATCAACATTTTATTAAACCAAGATTATTATTAAAATAAATGCTTTACTTTATTTTTATAGCAATTGCATTATCAAAGAATGCAAAGATGGATATCAATTTAACAATTGGGCTAGATTTTTCAGACAATTCCTATTTAGAATTCTATGGCAATTTTTCAAATCACTATAATGAATTGCAATAGAATGGATGTATATTCGTTATTTATTGTGATCATAGTAAAATTGAATATCGCCCAACACCTTTTACCTTGCTACAGTTGTTACACGCGTCATCAATTCAAGGAGTAAGAAAAACATTGTTTAGGAGGAGGCCGATATTGCTGTATTGCTTTATAAATATATAATAGAGTATTCTGATTATGTATCTGGGTAGACAATTTTGAAAGAATTTTTACTTTAATAGTGTATTTTGGAAGTATTACCATAACATTATCTTAAATATACAATATACTTTGGATAACAATGTAAGAAATCATCAATGGTTGCCTGTTCTAAGAATTATTTTACTAACAATAACATATCAACTGAAGCAATAAACAAATGTATTGAGGATAGTTTCAATCAAAGTAATGAAGTAAATTAGGAAATCAAAACTAATCGTATATTAGAATAGTACAAAAAAATGGAATATAATTAAACATCATTTTCCTTGTACTTGGATTCCTCAGATTAAACTGATATACCATATAATGAATTCCTTTAAAAGTTGTGCTAAAAGTATATCAATGTTTCAATATCATTTTGTGATCATCCAGATACACCTATTAAATAGGGTGAAAATGCAAATCCATTGGAATAAGTGTTTTTATTCATTTTTGCCTTGATTATTCTGATAATTGCTGGTTCTGGAGGATGGACATTATTGAATAAGATTCAATTTGGATCAAGCCTAGTTCCTAAAAGGAGGATAGCTATTCCTAAATTCGAAGGAGATCACATCATCTAAGAGGATGAAATTTGATATTTGTTAATATTATCAATTATATTGTGTATGATTACATCTCGATTCTAATGGAGGAGGGATTAATTTAATGCAAATTATAAATTAAAATGAAAAACTGTCAATAAAATCAACGATAAAATTTTTACAATTTCGTATTTGGATATAATAAAGATTAGAGGTCTACTTCTATGAAAGTAGAGAGATTGAGACAGATCACTGAAACTAGTGAAATCAAATAAAATTATTATAAAGGATTGTAACTTGGCAAAACTAGTGAAAATGCATTGAAGGTGATTCATATGAAATTAGAGAGACAGAGGCTTAGAAGATAATCATTTGAAACGAAAACAGAAATGGAGGAGGAACATCTGCCTTAAGTTTAATATCCTGTTAAGCCTCCAATTCTGCATAGAACAATAGTTAGCAATAAAGAAAATATTATTGAAATGCCATATAATTTAGCCAAATAACAATAATTTTAAAAAATATACTAAATTAAACGTAGACGATTATCATAAAGAATGAAGGTTAAGAAGAGTGAACCTACTATAGATTTTAGTCCATGGGAAAATCAGGATAATTTAGACTTTGACTTTTATTGATGTATATAGGAGAATGCTATCTGGCTACAATGTTATTGCTGTCATAATAATTTAGTATTAGATAGTTTTTATTCATTCACTTTAATTATTTAAGTAGTTAAGGATTGCACTTTTTGGAATTGTCTAATTCTTTTAACAAACTTTTCAGATTTTGTATTCAGAATCATATTTTACAAATCAGTGCTTCGTTTATACAGATTGTCAATATTGATTTCAAGCATAGAGTTGAATGAAGAGTCTTCCTCTAAGCTTTCATCTCTGGAATTAGATTGTTATTCATTAAAATTGGCTAAGTAATGTCTCTGAGTATTTTGTTGAACTCTCGTAGTTTTACACAAGAACTTATACTTTTAATCCTTCTTCTATAAAACATCATCATTTTTAGGCTTCATAAACATATAAGCATAAAACTTCACATCTTTACTCAAGGGATCTGTAATATTGTAACGATTAGGTTCGAATTAATGGAATTTTTTATTACCATTCTTTAATTCTCTTATTAGATTTCTCTTAGCCTTAAGAAGTAGATTCTTTTCTTGATTTTGATCATGTTCTAGAAACTCAGTAAGTTTTGCATTCATTTTTTCTCGTTCCTTCTTTCTTGTTAAATGAATTGTTTGTTAATCTGGTAAAGTCTTACTCCTTAAGTTATTAGATTAATTAATATTGGCTTCATTATCTAGACGTACTCTTAATTATCCTTATGGATTCTTTGAATATTTAATTTTATCATATTCTCTTACTCCATCTGCTTTTTCTGAGAGTAGATTTTTCGATTTAATTTTATTAACATTCTTCTCGCAAGTTTCAAATAAATGTTTGAATAATTGAACATCTCTAAGTGATTCTTTTTTATTTTTAGCATGCATTCTTTATTGAATTAATGCCTGAATTTTATTAAACCTTTCTTAGATCTTAATTTTTCTTTAAAGAAGATCTTCAGCCTATGAATTATTTTAGATCATAGACATTCTAACAGAGGATCTTTATTTTAATTAACTTCGAAATTTATGTACATTTGAAAATAATTTTAGTTTATCCATCTTATGTGATGAACTTATGATATGATTACATTCATTTACTAAATTTAATGCCGTCTTTTAACCTTCCAAATAATCCCTAAAACTATGCTTTAACTATTCATTAAATAAAAATGGGTTCGGTTATTACAATGGACATTCATTCTCTAGCGGGTCTCTTGCAATTTTTATTTTTGATTTTCTTGGAGAATCTTTAGATCTTTATAGATTTTCCCATAAAGACAAGGTTTCATTAGTTTAAAAAGTGGAAGGAGTACTGTCTAATGTTACTCTCAGCTAGTATTTATTGTTTTTCATAAAATTAATATATGTAAATTTGTAGTTATATCATAATTTTAAACTAAAATTATCTCATTTCAGTGCATTAGTTATGGCCTAAGCTAATTTGACCAATTCACTCACATAACTAATATAGAATCATTATAAATTACTTAGCTCCCAATAGGCTTCTGCTGGCTTAGGATGATTCAATCTTATTCCTCATAGAAACAATTTCGTTCAATTGCAAGTTATCACTCAAATTTCTTCTCTATTATGACCTATAACTATGTTCAATAGGTCTGCTTTAATAAGCTGGAGATTATTGTCGAGAACTTTGATAATTAGAATTGTTCCTACTCCCCAAAGAGCTATTTATTCTTAAATTCTAGATTTTAACATTACTTCTTTTAAAGACCAACAGCCTTTTGAGGCGAGTAAGTAATAGATTTATCAGCAATCTGTTTCTTTTATTAAAAGGATGATGCTTGATTAAGCTTAGTGTATGAAAAATCCCTTATTTTAGCTTATAAGTTTTCGAATGATGGTACTGTGGGTAAACTTTCTTTCCTAAGATATTTGATGCTAATACCTATACGAGTAGAATGATTTTTGAGCAGAGTCAGTTTAATATTGTAGGACGGGTACACATCTATCTTTAACTTAATTCCGAATAGATTTTATATCGAAATTGATGTCCAAAGCTCTTTGGGGTTGCTCTAACCAGGATCTTTGCATTTTTTATTTTAACGATTAATTTATTTATGATTTAACTTATTATATAGTATGAATAATTATTCATTTTTTGCATTCTACTAATTCAAATGTTCCTTCCAAGTCCTAATATACTTTCATCTGATATGCTCCTTTATCACTCAATTTAACTTCGAACTAAAATGTTGAATTAAATATTATACCCACCACATTATTCCTTATACAATTTAGAAACCGGCCTTGCCCACTTTCACCCAAGCCACGTTATTAGAGAGATGACAAACATGATGGAATTCTTGTCTTGCTTCCTCAAGGGCTTTACTGTAATTCTTATCATTTTTAAAACTTTTTGGAGACTACCATTTAACACCTCCAAGCAATTCTTGGTATTTTTGAATTTTATTTTCTATGAAGTGTCTCTTTGCTTATGTAATCATAATTATTGTTATCAATGTTATTATGGTTTTGTTCATTTAGTTTATAATTAATTTAATAAATAAATCCTAATTCACATTATAAATTTATTAATCAAAGCATACCGTTTTCAAAATTAAATCTTATAATTTCATATACTCCAAAACTTCAAGTAAAACTCGTTCCGATGTAGTAGACGATGAAAATAATAAGGGTTAAAATTAATATGATTTTCAATATATATGAAAATTTTGTAAATTTTCAATTGTTATCTTTACATGAATCAAACTCTAAAACTCCATCTAAGTCCTCGTAAATCTAAATTATCTTAATTGTTTTATCTGAAAATTCAACTTATAACTTGGATATAATATTAAATGTATTACAGACCAAAGAAATCCTTGTTGCATTTGTTTAGCAACCCAGAGGATTTTAGAAAAGGTAATTGTCTTGTTCATTTAGCATTCCTTTTAATAGTTTTATTTGATAAAATCCACAACTCTTACGTAATTTGAATTATTTTCAAATTCAGAAGTGCTTCTCCATTCTATGGCGGGCTTTTTTTTTGGCTTCTCATTCATTTGAACTTAATGGTTGAGAGAAGGAATAGAGAGTGACTCATTTAAAGAAACATGTAAAGAGAGAACGAGTATAACTATGAGCAACTTTGTCATTTTTCAAATAAGGTATGTATAATAATGTATTTGAATTTGTGTTATTATTTGTATAAAAATAATTTCTTTTAATATTATATCGAATGCATCAGGAACATAGGAAAATGAATTTTCTAAAATAAATTAAAGTTGATACAAATGACATTTATCATATAGATGCAGAAAAGTATTTTAAGAAATAATGCACATCCTTAGAAATAATGCTTATATCTCGAATGATTACGAAAATAAATAAAAGGAATAATGAATAGTTGAGAATGATAGCAATTTCTAACGAGTTTGTGTATAACATTGATAAGAAATCAATTAAAAGAAAGATAGCAATTAACAAAATATTTGGAGTCACCATATCAAAGAAGAGTCAAGAATTTATAATTCATGTACCTACCGAATCTGATTTATTGTACAAATCATAAGAGAATAGAGATGTAATAATATTTTACTTAGCAATTGCAATGAAAATGCACAATATAGATGGCATCAAAATATATTTTGTAGAAGATGAACTTCTACACCCATATTGTATGCATCATCAAACACTTGATAAATTAAAATAAACTAGTTTGCATCCCAAATCCTAAATTAGTATATTATATCCTGAGAATTTCCAATTACATTATATCAATACCATGAATAAGACTAAAGCTGCATCAAATGAATTGTTGGTACTTTTTGCTAATGACCCATTAAGATTGCGAGTTAAATTAGATGAGTACTAGAAATCAGTAGTGTTAGCCTCAGGATCTTTAAGCAAAATATACTTATTGCATAATAAATATGAAAAATAATAACAATTCTCAGTACTTAAATGTGTTCCAATTAATGCAGTCGACATAGATTTGTTGGAGCTGTTTCTCAAAAATTACGAGAGATTGCCATTCATAGAGGAACTTGAATTGTGCATGCTCTACAATGGTAATGTTAATTTAATTTTCAAATTCGTGAAAGGAGGAGATCTCTATTAACATTTAAAGGAGATTAACAATTTTCCAGAATAATAAGTAAAATAAATAGTTGCATAAGTAGCAATAGCTTTATCAGATCTACATGAGAGGGGAATAATTTTTGGTGATTTGAAACCTGAAAATGTTTTGATAGATGAAAGAGGTTATGTAAGTTTAACTGATTTCGGATATGGCAAATTGAGAATGTATTAGGAATACAAAAAAACATAAGCAATCAATTTCACTATTGAATATTCATCTCCAGAATATATTAAGAATGGGGAACTTACTAGAATGTCTGATTGGTATAGTTTAGGCATTCTTATTTATGAATTATTGGTAGGCATAACTCCTTTCTATCATAATAAATTTGAAATAGCCTTGAAACTCATACTCAAAGGTGAAATTCATTTCCCAAAAAATATCTTGTGCTCCTCATAATGTAAAGATATCATCTAAAAGTTGATAAAACATGATAGTACATAACGATTGGGATTTCTCATGGATTTTAAGGAAGTACAAAGTCATCCTTGGTTTCATGATATTTCTTGGGAAGATTTGTCATAGAAAAAATATGATACTCTTGCATACACACCATAATTCAATGAGATATCGCAAATATCAGATAGATATTTTACTATGGAATAATTAAATGAGGATGAAAGAAGCTGGTGATTTTTTATATTAAATACAAATGTTTATTATTATTATAAGTAAAAATTAAAAAATACATGTCCAAAAATTTTTGATGTTGAATTAGAATATAAAGACATGAGAAACTCTATTTGCCTTAAAAATTATAGAAATTAAAAAGATTTTGATTATTAAAATAATTAAAAACGTTGATTGATTATAAGAATAAAACATTAGATGAACCACCTTAGTAAGTAAATTCGATTTTTAGGATTATAGTCAAAATAAGTTGAATATTTGTTTATCAGTACATTTATAATTAAAACATTAAATAGGTTTTTAAGAGATGGAAAAAGCAGTTATTATAAATAGTTTTCAGTAGTGTTAATGAGATGAGCCAATAATTAAAGTCAAAAACACGTTAGAGATAAAATTACTTTCAAATTATCAATCATCTATTTATAATGATATTATAATGTTTTTATTAAGTCCAAAAAAAATTGAAGATTTTATAAACCAAACGAAAAATCTGGTTTAGATTACAAACTTTTGGTATTTTTATTTGATATATTTTTAGTAAGAAACAATTTCAAGCTAACATTCGAATATTACGTATAACTTCATTAACAAATACGAAGTATATTAAATGAATATTGTGCTAATATAGGGAATGATACCGGAAGAGTACACAAAATAGTTAATTTATTAATATATTAGAACTTAAGCGACTCTATAATATTGTACAATCTTCTATTTCTATTGAAAATCAATCTTAATGTGGCTACATTCATTTTCATCATACTAAAACTCCCATTCTTGTCATATTAAATTGTATATTTCCTCTATTCCTTCTTCAAAATTCTTAAATACAAAAACTATATCAAGAAGCATACATAACAATGATGATGAACACTATTTCTCTCTTTATAACAAGTAAACTAGGACTTAAGCTAAAATATATAATCATTAAATCATAGTTATATTTATTATAAAATTACTATGATCACCTCTTTAAGGAATTTCCTGTCATAATTCTAGAAAATAAACAAAATAAGAATCAATGAAATCAAATTCTATTGAGTTTGAGTTGAAATATAATCATTAATATTGGGCTCAAAATATAATAATATACATTAAATTCATCGACAAATAACACCAAGAAACAATGCTATCGGAATAACAATCATTAATTTTCCAATAGTAAATCCATTTTAGAATTTCTTAAAGTAATTGACCTCAACAGCGGATTTCTATGTTTGAACATATTCTTATTTAATAGATTATAATTCTTTTTGTAATGTTTATTATTATTTATCCTATTATTCTGTCAAAATAGAGTTCTTCTACTATTATTAGATATCAACGACTTCTATGGGTATCATAACATGATCCTAGCTTTATGTGGAATTCCAAAAATCTTTTAAATCTTATAATGGATCCAGAAACTCTGCATATTAAATTTCCAATTAATCACCTGAAAATTTCATATCCTAATATTTTTAAATTGCATTTACTGATGCTTCAAAATTTTGAATGCTATTTTCGAAATCTTAATGACTATGAATAAGTCCCATATAATGTTCTAATTTATAATGAGTATTGTTATTGCATCTAATTCTGAAAGTGATTGTAACATCGCTAACATTTTTTATCTTAAACCTTAATTGATGTAATAGACCTTGTTGAAATTATAAGCACTTATGAGATACTTCAATCATGAAATAATATTATGAATAATCTATAATTAATGTAAATCAATTTAAAATAGTCTAATAGAATTCAGTTTTTAATTTTCTCTCCATTTCCTAAACATTTAGTAATTTATAGAGAACTATAAAAAAATAAATTATTTTGGATTAGATTTATGAGATGATCCTGCCATTTTATTTTTTACCTATTAAAAAATTCAAAATGAAAAAAATATGAAATTTGGTCGAATTAAGAGATAAATTATAGTATAAAACTCTACAATTATAGTAAGGATTTTATTAGTATATTTTTAGATAGACATGCAAATCAATGCTAAACCTCAAGGAATGTTATTCTTATCATAATTTTAGTATTAATTAATTATTATAAATTAAATGGGGAATTCAAATTAAAGGATGTAAGAAGAGAAGTATGAAAATGTGATGAAGAAATTCAAAATGAAAGAGTCTATTCATCATAATTAGCTAGGTATGGTCAGAGTCTATAATCTAAAAGATGATAATGTAATTGATCTACGATTGAATAGAATTATTCTATTTTTGAATTTCATAAGACAGCCACAACATCAGAGGAAGCCAAACTCATGTTATCGCATTATAAAAATAGGAAATGCTACAACAATGACCATCTTACATAAATATTTTTCATCTCTGAATAGAATAGCCAAATCTTATGTTAAGATCAAACATAACTAACAGTAATAGGGGAATTCTTTTACAATAATATTTAAAATGAAATGAAGCTCAATTATTTATCTAAAAACTACACAAATACTGTTTAACAATTCCCAGAATTAAGATTATGGTAAATAACACTTTAGATTGTCGATGCTTGTACATTTTTAGAAAAGAATGGAAGATATCACGGAGAAATAAAATCTAAAAATATTTATTTACATCCTGATCAAAGTGTAAAATTAACAGTATTCATTAAATAAGATAACATAGGAGTACAATTTTATTTATGGAAGTATGACAGGATATCAGAAGGCTTTACTAGTGAATGATTTTTAATATCTATCTCCTGAATTAATGAAGGAATTAAGAGCAAAGAACCCTTAACCAAATGTAGATTTAGTAAAGAACGATGTGTTTGCTTTAGGTTTAACTCTTTTGGAGTTGGCAAGTCTTAGCTCATGTGAATAGTATTATGATTGGATTAGCAAAGAAGTTCATATTGATAGAATCATTAAAGCTAATGATCAATTAATATAGAAAGGCTACTCAACTCTTTTAACTAATTTAATATATTAGATGATCTCTGAAGTGGAAACCAGACCAAGATTCAGTGATTTAAAAGAAGTGTTATCTCATTTTGAAAATGAAATCAACAACCACATTGACTTCTATTCCAAATATTAGATGAAATAAAACCATCAATTAAATATGTATAACTCTGTGTACACTTAACCATACTAGAGACCTGGATAATTCAATTAAACATAATCGATATATTTACCAAATGGATCCTATTGAATATAAATAAAATAAATTAATATGTTTAAATAAAGGAGATATTTTTGTCAATCCATAACTTTTTACTAAAGAGAATAGTATCTAAATAAAGTGATGAAGGATTGTGAAGATTGCTTTAAGTAATTGGATCAACATGGCAAATCAATTAAGAGAGAGACTAAAGATATGTTCATTAAATTCACTTAAGGAAAGGTAGAATAGATGAATCATATCATTTAGTTGTAAGAGCAGAAGAAACTCTTGGAAACTGACTCAGTTGGAGTGTTTTCAATGGTTTTGGATATCGTAGAGAACCTTATTCACGATAAGCCATTGATGACTTATATTCTGACAACAATTGAGGCGATCATATCAGGTATGAATCACAATAAACCGAATAGACAATTAGAGATTATTGAAATAATTTATGAGAGCATTGACTCCTTAAATATTGCCTAAGTTAAAGCAATTTTTATTCTTGGAAGGATATGACCCAATGGCGTATGAGGCAGCTGCCAAGATTGCTACTATGATAATAGCTGAAGAGGGAGGAAATGATGCAAAGGAATGGGTGATTCTCTTTTTGGGAGGAATAGGTAATATGATGTAATACAACCTTTATAGGCAATAAATTAAAAATTGCAGATTTCATGATCATGCCAATTTGTGTTCATTTCTTAAAACATGAAACTCTTGCAATTTAATTTATTAAGAGTGGTGGAATTAGAATGTATTTATGTTTGTTCATCTAGAATTACTAATTTACTTTCAAAATATTCTACAGATTTATAGATTGCATATTATACAATTCTAGCATTATGGTTGCTCAGCTTTACAACTGAATCTATTTCACTATTTAGTGATCCCACAATTGGCTTGATTAAATTGATAATAGAATCAGTCTAAAAGATATCAAGAGAGAAGATTTTAAGAGTTTCATTTGCATGTTTTAGGAATTTAGTTGATGCATCACCTTAATGTATTGAATTGATGGTTGATAATGGATTGATCAAAGTAGTTGATTTACTTTTGAAGGGAAATCTAAAAGATTAAGATTTGATAGATGATATCAAGTATGTTGGAGAAATTTTGGAGAAGAATATGAAAATATTAACGTAATTGAATTTAATTCACAAATAGTTCCTTTGAGAAATATGTTAAAGAATTGAATGCTTAAAATTTAACATGGAGTCCAGTTCATACTGAAAAGTTTTGGAAGGAAAATGTGAAAAAATTCGAAGAAAATGATTTCTTATTGATTAGGTATTATTTCAATTTTGAATTAGAAAATTGGCAGAATTATTAAAATCAAACAACAATTAAAATGTTGCAGTTGCTTGTTATGATTTGGGAGAGTTTTGTAGATTTCATCCTTTTGGAAAAGTGTATATAAATTATGTAAGTTTAGAGTGTTAGAGCAATTGAATGCAAAACAAGAGATTATGAGATAGGCTAGAAATGATGACTAATAGATTAGAGAAAATGCTTTATTATCATTATAAAAGATTATGTTGCATAATTGGTAAGTGTGAAGAAGGATTAAATATATATCTATATGTATTTGTATATTTGAATATTAAATAAATTAAATTATGTCTGAATAGTAAGTAGGTTAAGTATGAATTTATATATAAATTCAATAGGAATAATTGGATGTAACAGCGATGATGGAAGATTTGTATGAAAAACTAGTTTTATTGAATTATGAACAAAGTTATGTAAAACAGAAGTAAGTTTACAAATTCGAATAACTAGAGGCGGGAAGCCATTGAATAGAGCGTACTTTGTCAATTAAACTAATTCAAGTGAGCAATTCAGTCAATTTAAAACGTATAGTATCTTAATTTGATTTAGATTGGCAAAATGGTTGTTTACTTAGAATGATGTTCAAACAACCGATTTTAATAAATTAGATGACCCTGTTACATTATCATAGAATATATGTATATTATCTTTAAATAGCAATAGTGAATGAAGTTAAAAATATTGGAATCGACGTCGACTTTCCCCCACTTAAATTAAAATAAGGTTTTGGGGAATATGTGGTTTATGTTTTATAGCAATTAGCAAGCAAAGCATTATAAAAAAAGAAGTTCCAATTTAAAAAAGTCAAAATTGAATAGCAATCTTAGACGTAAGTGTTTAATCATTCTCTAAAAGGAGATAAGATGAAGAGCCTGTTTAAGAAACTGGGAGTGTGTCATCAGACTCTGATCCAGAAGTAGCATCAGATGAAGAGCCAGAAGATGTGTTTAATGAATAGGGATTTCAAAAGGAGTAAATAAAATATTAATACGAAGTGAAGAGAGGATGGTGATAGAATCTACCGTCAATCCATAGGAATGGGCAAAGGAAGTTGAGAGAGCTGCATAAAAGATTAAGATAGTAATCAAACCTAATGCTGGGGAATGGAGACAACATTTTGACGCCACTAAATAATATTCATCATAAATCAGAACAATTTTGCCAGAAGCTAGGATTAAATTGGAAAGATTGACTGATGAATTATCAGAGATTTTAGATAGGATTAATAAGAGAGAATATAATATTAATGAAAATATGCAAGATATGGTATAATCGAAATTAAAGATCTTAGGGAAGTGAATACAAAATGAAAAATGAAGATGTCAAGAAGATTGAATTGTAATGCAAGAATTATACAAATGCAATCAAAGAAATGGGAGATCAATATAAATAAATTTCAGAAAAGTATGAAGCTGTACAAATCAAATTAAATGAACATGGTAGTATATCTACTGATTAATCTCCTGTGATCAGAATCAAAGCTGCTTTAACCAAAATTAGAGTACTATTCTATTTCATTCATTTTAGTTAGAAATTAAATAGATGGATCTCAGAATTGGAGTATTGTCACATACCATTTTATAAAGAACATATCATGACTCAAAAGCTATGTAAGAAAGAGATTTTCATGAAAATGGACTCATATTAAATGATTCAGATGAGTTAACAGATTGATATATATATTTATATATAATTAATATACCATTTAAATTAATTAATACACTTGTCATTTTATTAATTATTAATTATACATGCCTTAATTATCCAAGCAAATTCAATACGGACTTGTTGCAGCTTTCGCGTAAGAGCTTATTCATCAATATTTAGAGTTGGTTTGGGTACACTCAAAGTTGCTTAACGACCATTTGAAACATGCATAGGATATGTTCTCTCTTTAGGATCTATTGTGTATTTGATTTCTCTATGCAAGTATCTTATTAGGTTGGGACAAGCTACCATTTAACTAAACTAATTCAACTGATGGTGAAGAATTAACAAAGGATGAATTATATGAAAGAAGAAGACTATTGAAGGAAGAAAAGAAACGATAAAAATAACTTGAAGCTTTAGAGCTAAAGAAATAATAAAGATCCCCATCTTCTGAATCTCCAGAGAAAAAGTCACCTGAAAGAGCCTCTTCTCCATCCGAAAGTGAAGGTGAAAAAAAAAAAGTGTCAGAAACCAAGACTAATTAAAAATAATAATAATAATAATAATCTAATGTAAATTAATAATAAAATAAAAAATCAAATAAATAATAATAACAATAATAACAATAATAATAATAATAACAATAGAATACAAAATAATAAACTAAAGAAAAAGGAAAATAAACATCAGAAAAGTAAAAACCATAACCATAACATGTTGAAGATGATGATGAAGGATGGGAAGAAGTCTATGATCCAAGATAAAACAAGAAAGCCAATCTTCTGAAATAATAACAATAGGCTGAAGCTTAAAAATAAGCTGAAGCTAGAGCTGCTGCTGCTGTAAAAGCTGCTGAAGATGCAAAGATTGCTGCAGAACTTGCTCTAAAAGCTGCTGAAGAAGCTGCTTTAGCTGCTAAATAATAAAAAGGGTACGTTATTTTATAATCATCTTATAGATCTAAAGGTAAAAATACTAATGCTAAATAATAAAAACATGAGGAAGAAGATGGAGAGTAATTATTAATAACTATATGATTAGTGATGATGGTTGGGTTAAGGTAGATTCACCAAACAAAAAGCAAAAGGGAGGAAAGAAAAACAAATGAGCTGTTTTTTATGCATAAATATAAAAATAAATGTCATTTATCATATATTTTAGTTTTATTCAAAAATTTCACTATCTTATTTTTTTTAATTAAATTCAACAAAATATCTTGAATCAAACTTGGATTTCTAATAGACATAGTTTTTTCTGAAATTGTATACCAAATATTAGGAAATTTATTCTTGAGAAATGTTGACTCCCTATTTTGCCTCCTTTACTTGTCTTTCATACCAGCCATTCTGAGTATCAGACCTAGGCAAACCCTAGTCATCATCATCATTCTCCAATTAGTATCTTTGTTTCTCATTTTCTCTGAAATTGTTAGATTCAAATTTAGTTTCTTTCCCTCCAAGACTATTCTTACGGACCAAATAAATAACAATTATTACATCATCTTTCTCTCCAATTTCTAACAGAGTCTTTGAATTTGAACTTTATTTCATCTTATCATACAGTCCTTCCATTTTAAGGTTTCCTTTGAGATAATAGATATTGTTGTTCTAATGTCAGATCTAAGCATAATTTATAGACACCAGTATTTTGTGAGTTCTACATTATTACATTACAATTTAGACATAGTAACTAAGGTTGCTATCCAATCTACTCTGAATGTGATCTCTGAATCCAACTTACTCTGTTTGACATGTTTTTCAAACTAGCATTTACTCGATGAAGATTTTGGATTAATGTTTATCTCTCAATATATTTTCAAAATATAATTAAAGATAGAAAATAATAATAAATATTATTCTTTATAATAATATATTGGGTCATTACTATTTTGCAATCTACATATTTCCTTTCCACTACTCGGGATTACATGCTCCGACAATAGCATTACTGATTAAATCGTTTACAGGCTCGATCTATGTAAACTTATTACTATGAATTAGGCGAACTGGAAATTTAAATTAAAGAAAATCTATAAAAAATGCCTTACTCTCCTATGAGGCAAGACATAACTTTCTAAAGTCTTCTATAGCAAATGATAGTTGTTTTTTTGATCTCTTCTTTTTTAGTTCATCCTATTTGAATAGTTCAATAGGATCTGGTAATTTCCAGGCTGGAATCTACTCTAAATGGGCTAAGAAATGATTTCCTAAAAGTTTGGGGAAATTCTTCCTAATAGAAGGATCTAAATTTGGCTTGATCTTTCTTATACTTCTCCTATGCTTGATGAATTATTGTTGATACTTTTTTATACTATTGCAAGATGGACAGTGTTCAGCATTTGTTCTACAGAATCCATTGCATACCTGTGGTTGAACATCATAATGTTGGTATTCCTGAGTATATTGTTATTCCCCAGAATATTGGTATTGAGAGCGCTAATCAATTAATTCTAACATAGGCGAATAATTGGTCAGTGTGAGGTTACCCAAACGCTAAGGGGAAAATTCATAATTGACATCATCAATGTCAGGATAACTCTGGCAAAAACTATCCATAATTAAAGGTATTTCCTATTTCTAATGAGTTGAAGACATTATTTTAATTATTAAATTGATTATCTAATTGAGTGATTTATATCTTCTCTGGATAGTAAAATTTCACAGAAATCACCAGAAATTATATATATAATTTTACAAATTTTCGAACACATATTAAATATAATTTGAATTATTAAATAAATATCGAATATGTTAATATAAAAAGAAAATTAAAAGAGAATTATAAATATATTTAAATTTTAAATATCTCAACCTTATAAGTATTATAGTAGCACATCTAATTGAATTGGCATTATGATGTAAGTTCCTAGCATATCTATTTCCCCATTTGAATTATATATTAAAACAATAATTTTAAAGTAATTGGTGATTCCTATAATTCTATTGATTAAACTAAAAATAATATAATATTTTTACTCTCTATAATTGAAATCGGATTTGTGACAATTGACAATTATTTATTTGTACACTTAACAAGAATTATTCTAACATTATTTCTCTCTTATTTTTAAGTTAATGTGTTTGAATGAATCTTATTCATTAATAAAATAAACATTTTCCAATACATGTTGTTTGATGACTCTTTCGAAATCTTAATTTGAATTAATAATTAACTTGTTATTGCATTAACAATGTCCATTCTATTATTAAACATTTTTGAATCTTCCTAATTCTTAAAGTTTCATCATGCCAACCAATTTTGTTTACTTTTTGCTCGTATTAATATCTAGTGGTTTTGCAATCTTTTGAATTTATTGCCTGTTTATTATGAATGATCGTAATCCTTTATTAAATCTTTATAGGTATTAGATTTGATCATCATCTCTAATGTATCTCTCCATAATTTCATCCTCATCCACATCAACATCCATTTCATCCTGAGACACTTCGTCATCTATGATAAATTGAGTAGAGAATTCATCTAAACCTAAATTTCTGATTGAAAAAGATATTGTTGTACCACAATCCTATAAAGACTTAATTCTAATGCCTTTATTTGCAACTTGACCAGTAATTTTTTTGCAATAAAATTAAGGACCCAAAATTTTAGTTAAATAGTTAACAATATGTAAAGATCGAATCTAATTAAAGTTAAATCCTTCTTAAATGATTTCCTAATTGATTCCTTTACCAGTGTCTTCAACAGATATTTAGATGCAATTCTATCTCTTATCATCTTCTACTACAATCTTAATGAATCCTTCCTTTGTGTTATTTATACTATTTTCCAATAGTATCTACATTATTTACATCAACCTCAATTAATCTGTTTTGAATTCTCCAGTATTTTATTTTAAGCTATTTTAAAATTGTAATTTAATATTGGGATTTATTTGATTTTGATACTTGGTTTGTAATTAGTTAATTAAATTGCTAACATTAAATAACTCCTCCTATAAGTATTACTATTTAGAATACTTGAGAGTATTTTTTATTTCAACATTCAGCAATTTTAAAGGAACCTAAACACTTTATTAGCAGAACAACATTTATCTAAATTCTTAACACATAATTGGTAGATCTTCTTCTTCTTTCTTTTAATTTAAAGTAAAATCTTAATAGATTTAAGTAATGTCTTCTAGAATTAAGAATATTTAAAAATTGTCTCCTTTCGGTACTTTGATTAAAGTAAATTAAAAGTATCTGAATTGATTTTTAGGTAGATTGAATTTAGATATTCCTTTGTATTCTGACTATTAATCATTTATTAAATCATTAAGTAATTGCTCTAAAACACCATCTGGATTATAATGAATGATTCTGTGATTCTCTTGTGGTTACCTCAGAATACGTAACTACTGGAGTGCTGGTCCATTTATAAGAGAATGTAATAACTCTCCTTTTTCATTAGTTCCGCAAGTGGATCCAAATTTAGCCATCCTCTTTAGTTAAACTAAATTGTCTTTTAACTTTTCATTGTTTGAGATTAATTGTAAAACTTCCATTTTTCTTAATTTTATTTCTGCTGAAATCAAGTCTATTTTATTGGAATCATCTTCCATTTACAGTTATTTTAATCCAACCCCTGAAATATGTAGTAATTCTTTCGTCTGATCAAATATAATAATAGGAAATTGATTAGTTATGATTTCTAGAATCGATTATTGAGTCTACATCTACACTTGCGGAATCATAAATTGAATATCCTCTTTGTTGTTTCTAAATTACATGTTATTTTCGAATTAATATTGAGAGTAGTTTTTCAATTCAGCATCTATTATAAAGATAATTTCCAAACATATATATGCGATGACCTTGATTATGTCCTAAAATATAATACATTAATTACTTTATTGAATAGATCACAATCTAATCTAAATACATAATAAATGTACAAAAATATAACAATTCCAATTCTCAGTTTGCAATCGTAAATAAATAATTGTATTACCTTTTTAATAATCGATATTTACCTTTTGCCAAATTATTAATCCAAAAATTGACCAAAACTAAGATTATGAAAATTAGTTGAAATTTGAAATTCTTTCCTTGATGAAATATATTATATATATATACAATTATTAATGTTCCCTCGGCTATGCTTAAGCACATGAATATATAAGATGTTATCTTTCCAAATAATAAAGGATTTTCGATTTTTTTTGGAATAACTTCACAAGCTTTAAGAATCATGTACATTATTAAGGTTTGTGCAGTTTGTAATAAAATGAATTAAATCACAGCTGGTATTAAGGGCCCTTTTTTTATTACATAATATCATTTCATACCTTCTTGAATATTTTTAAAAAACACCAAAACTAACTAAAAGGTGCCTATAGCTAAACCAATAGGAAGGATTAAGATTAGAGGAATAGTCTAGCCACAGGCTCCCTTAACATTGCAATAATCTTAGTATTCCCTAGAAATAGTTATGCTTTTACTGGTTAGTGAGTCCTTTAATGAGAATATGATACTCATGAATTAGGGACTGAAGGACAGTACGAGAAATTTGTTTTTGTTATTGAAGAAGGAAAGGGTTGTTCTCATTTTTAAGAAATTCTTATTCTTACATTTTTAATTAATTAAATATTAAATACTAAGGCGAACAAATTATAGAATTGAATATTTCAATTTTAATCAATTATGCTAACTAGAAGTTTTTTAAAATGCAAGGATAATTAATTGCCATTTTCCGGTGATAAATCTTTTCTTTGGGATTCCTTAACATAAATCTTTTCACTCTTTTTAAAAGGTTCCCTCTATTATGAAATATATTTTTAGATGTTTTATTCTACTGAATCAAGTGAATAGAATTTAGTCTTTCTATAATTTACTTTTTCCTAAAGGGACAACTTGTAAATGGGATTTTCATGAATTTTATGATCAAATCCATATTTATCCTTATTTTTGTCATACTTGGACATAATTTCAAGAGCTCTTCTAGGCAATGATGATTTCTTTAAATGTTGTTTCTATGTTTAATCTATATAATGGTATTCTACAAAATATTCAGTATATTCATGTCCATGTAGAATTTCATTTAATAATGGGATTGCCTCACAATTATTATATTTCAAGGTGGAATTGAAATCAAATGCATACCCTGTTTTCACATTTATAAAAGGAATATGAATATATCTAGATATTTTATCATCAAATTCTCTACAAATAGGTTAAGATCGTTCGTATAATTAGATGAATTCTTTGGATGTAATTCTATAATAAGAATCTCTAGGCTCAATCTCACATTTCACCCACTTATTATGGAAGTAATCTGCTTTGAGAATGTCTCCCTAATAGAAATAACAAATCCCCAATTTATCATAACATTCTATTTCATAATCATCCAGATTTTCAGCCCAAGCATAAGAGAGAGCTTTCAATATAAATTTATACGCCTTATCATATTATTTCAATCTATTATTTATTGCAACAATTTTACTGTTTTGAAATTGAGAATAATTAAATCAAGATCTTGATTTTCAGTTGATGATTTCTACACAATTCTGATAGTTTCAAACAATCTTTGAATAAAAATGTTGCCTTATTTAATTGTACAATGGTATTGCCGAAATAGCCAATGAAATAAAGTAACTCACAGAAGGTACTTAGGAGCTATTAATGAATCTTTTAAGGTTACGTTTTATTCTTAAGAATATTGAAAAGGATAGTGTAAAAAGCTGATCAATTTTTCCATGTCCTTCTTCTTAATTATATCACAGAATACTGATAGATTGTCATCTAGGTACTTTTAGAGGTTATAATTTCTCCTTTATCTAATTGACTCTAACATAGATGGGTATTTAAACTTCCTATCATGTCTCAATTACCTTTGTTGTTTAATATGAATGTACTGATGGACTAGCTCCTACGGATTTCTCCATTGAATCTTCAATTCTCCCTCGCTAATGTTTTAATGATAAGGATTGTTGATTCAAAGCTTTGTAACAATAATCTCCTGTGTTTTGTATAAACTCAATCCTTGAAGTGATGAAACCAGTAGGTTCATGTTTTAAAGAATAAATTCTGGAGCGGCCATTTTTAATGGAATTATTTAGAGTCTCTGTGATTGATAATTGAGGGAGAATTCTTTAGAATTTATTTGACTTTTTGTTTGAATTAAGTATGAAATGAAGTAAATCTGAGAATTTTGAACTAGAGGATGGGTCTGAAAGCATATCTTAATTCATTTTTGATAGTAATAAATGAAGAATATAATAATATAATTTTTAGTGATTGTTAAAACAACAATTGTAAACATTAATAGTTTAATAACGTTTACAATTACAATCTAATTCTAATGAATATGAATTTTATTAAATCTATTCTTAATATAATGAATGCCGATGTAAATTTTCCATTTTATATTTAATTATCGAAATAATGTAATAATAATTTTTTCAATAATTATTTTTTTTCTATTAATGTAAATTGAAGACATTAAGGAATACTTGGAGGATCAAAAATTACCCAATTTAAAAAGCCTGTTAAGCATGTGTTCAAATTTTAGTGAGTATGATCTTTAAAGGTAACCTCCTTACTTAATAAAAATGTAAATATTAGTGAATAATTTTAGGGAATCAATTGCAGAACCGGATTCAGTTTCTGTTATATATCCTGTTTAAGGAGATACGAATAATATTCATGAGAAAGAGCCTCAAAAATCAGAAATACAGGTAAAAGATGGGGGACAAGATATTTAACAAGTAGAATAATTTTCTTGCAGTTGCTCTAAGAGTCACTGTTTAAAGATGTATTGTTCTTGTTTCCACAATGGAAGAGTTTGCGGGGAATCATGTAATTGCCAAGATTGCCAGAACGGCGAAGACAACATAATTGAAAGAGAAAAGGCTGTAAATTATGCAAAGAAGAAAGCACAAAGAAATAAGAAGATTCCAGAAGAAAAAATATTTAAGACAACAGAAATTTGGGGATGCAATTGTTCTAAAACTAGGTGTGTGAAGAATTATTGTGAATGTTTCGTAAGGGGCAAGAAATGTTCTGTAGAATGCAATTGTTAACATTGTGACAATGGGAAAGATGAAGATTTAATTAAGGAAATCAAAATGCTAAGTTAAAGACAGAATCAAACAAAAAAAAGAATAAGAAAAGAAAGATAGATATGAAATAATTATGTACTCTTTTTTTTTTATTGAATTTACTATCCAATTTATAAAATGTGAAAAATTATTAGAATATTCAATTGCTTCAACATTGAATCTATTTTAGTTTTAAGACTTCCTTTTCCTTCAACACCTTCTCAAAATCCTACTGCATTCTACTTAAAACAACACTAAACATTTTGGCTTTTTGAGCCATTTCTATTTTATCCTTCTCTTCCTTCGTACTCTACTATCTCAAAATAGGTGGCATTGTTTAAGCTAGTTTCTTCTCACCTATTGTTAATATTTTATCTCTTACTAAAAAGTTAAAAAAATAGAAATACTATCTATATCCCTTTATTTAGCTATGATGGCTCTAGTTCGACTGTTTTATGGATTCTAAATCATGATGTCTAAATATGGTGAAACACCGAATATTCTTTTATGCATAAATTTAGCATCATTACCTATCTTTTTTTATTTACTACTCTCTAAAAATATAAATCGGCAAAATAAATTATTCTAATCAAATAGTCTATCAGCAAAATGAAAGATTTTATCCATAGCAATATTACCTGGTGTATTTATTTCTGTTCTAGGTTTCTCAAAAAATATTATGTAATGATTTTTGTATAAGTATTCAGTTGACATCTTCAAAGAAACTAAAATCATAGGCATTACTAAATGCATCCATAATTTAGGAGCATAAAATGATTAAAATGATTCAATTATTTCCATCATCTATATATACATTTATTTCTTGGTTAATGTTTATATTTAGATTGGCAATGTTACACCAAATACTAGCCAATATGATAAATGAATGAACAATCCAATTAATTTTACCATCTCACCTTTCTGAATTAATTAAAATACATTCTCAACCTAATGTTTCTCAAATACAATGTATCTTGTTTCCATATCATCATTTAATTTTTCTTTATTTGATTATTGTTGTTATTATTATTATTTCTCTTAGCTTTTTGCACTGGCCTTTATTGGAAAAATACTTTTAGGAAACAATTTATCTATTTGTTTTAACACCTTTTCAATATCTTCTGGTTTAATGTTTGGAGGCCTCTATACATCCTTTAATAAAGGAGCTGGAATCTCTATATGAATGAAAGGCAATTAGAAGATTTTGCTTTCAAAAACCAAGAATTTATCATGTTCTGAATGTGTTTCATCATTTTATTGAAACTCTAGTCTATCTTAATTAACCATATTTTAATTTTGTTTCCTTTAAAATGTCTAATTAAAAGGAAATAGGTATTTATGTTTGATCTCCTCTAAAGAGAAATCCAATTTAAATTTAATTTTCTTCTCTTCCTCCTTTTCCAATAGTTCCTTTTATTATTCCACTTCATTTTTCTGTTATAATGCTATTTATTATTAAGTTAGTTATGGATCTTATTCCTATTCGCCCTTTTTAATCGTGATTTTCTTGAGATCCTGTTCCTTCTGCACCTCATCCAACACATCCTTATCTTTTTACCCTAAAGCCACTTCTATGTTCTTTTTCTTCTACCTAACTACAATATTAATAGTATCAGCATATAATCCAGATGCTATAATATTATATAATAATTTTACTATTCCATCCACCTGTTATTTCACATCTATTTAATGGATAATTCTTTAATATCATCTGAATATTTTTTTAATTAGCTTCAATTCCTAAGCTCTCCAAATATTTCGTTGCATATTCTTATTCAATTATTTTTGTAAAATTGGCATTCTTTCCAATAACTACTTCCTATTTATTAATCATCTAAATGACAGTACATGTTATGTGTTTTTTAATTTGATCTAAAATATTCTTTCTTCGATACGTTACTTAACATTTTCTCTTTCTTATTTATTCATTTTAATTAATAAATTAGAACTAAATTTATAGTTAATTTCTTTATATAAACAATCAAATTTCATCCCCAAACATCTCATATGTAAAATCCATAATGTGATCAAATTTACTGATGTTGATAGGCATCTCTGCATATCGGAGTTTAATTGAAACATTATCCAAATACTTAAATTCAGGACATGTCTGCTTAATCTTCTTAATTAATTTACTTCGATACTATATTTTTGTGGAAACCTTATTACCATTGAAGTTTAAATAAACTAATGAAGGAGGAAATTCTAATTCCTCAAAGTACTCAAATTGATTGTTCTATAAATTTAAGTATTCTATTTTGTTTGGTAAATTATGAAAAGTGGATATATTATTATAAGATAGGTCTAAAGCCTTTAAATTAGGGAAATCCAAAATGGGTATAGTATCTAAATTGCATTTAATTGCAGTGATGTTTATAATTTGTTCTTTATTCTCAATCTAACTCAAGACTTTCTAAACATTTGACTTAATAATAGTTACTTTCATTAATAATAATATAATTAATTAATATCAGAACAACCTCATGAATCCTCATTTGATGCTTCTTAGTTCATTTTTTAGTAAATTTAGAAAAATAATTTATCATCTGCATTTCTTTCCTACTTGATAGAATTTTGTTTTTCCAATGTTATTTTAGGGGCAGGCATCTCATTATCTGTTTGAAATTATTTTTTTGTTTTTTGATTAATTTTTTATATAATTTGTTTTTTCTTTTATCTTGGTTCACTTTGCTTTTATTATTATTGTTATTTTCCTAATTGTTTGTTTTCTTCTATTTCAATAATATCATTCTCTTCAGAATTGTTTGAATTTTATGATTATTTCTCAACAACTTCTGATATCTATTATGGTGATTGTTAACTATCTCCTTTGTTTCTTAATAATTTGAATCCAATAACTGCAATAGTAATACCTAATCCTAATGATATTGATATTCTTTTATCAATTGTCTCTCTTAAGTCATTTACTGTTTTGATAACTTTCTATATTTGCACATTCTATACTATTTTTTTCATTTATAATAGCCAGAACTTATATTTAATATATATATATAAATAATCTTAATTCATTGCAATTCTCTATGATTATATTAACTATAAAATGATAAAATATGTAATTCATTCAGTACAATTATCAGCAATTAGATGTTAACTATTTCTCTTACAAGATGGAGATATAATAACCTTCTATTAATCAGAATTTAAATCTATTTAGAATGTATAGCAATTTTGAGGAGAAGGAGGTTATTATGCATGTAATGATTATTAATTCGAAACACTAACTATATCCTAATCCATAGATTTACTCTCTATTTCCTTATTCACTTCTTTCTGTTTTTCTTCTACCATCTTTTATTCGATCTCCGCTGATATTGATTGATTTGCTAATTCATCTATTTAAGAGACATTTTTTGGGCAATGATTCTCATTATTGCTAAGATTACCATCCTAATCATCTGAACTTTCATTCATTTGAGGTTCTGAATCTTCTGCAATCACTTAATTGTAAATCTACCTATCCTTTATCTCATCCAGATCTTTTGCCTAAGATTAAGGAATCTATTATTGTATACTATACTTCCTATCCTAATCATTTCCTGGAGTTGTTGGCTTTGAAGTGAATAAACTTGGAATCTGGGTAAATTAAGGTTAAGATGGAGATTATTAAGGATTCCTTTTATCCTCATCTTATTTGTTTGAAAAATAATTCTGCTTACTTGTTTTAGAATCTGCAGTTTTTAGAGACAATTATGATTTTAGATCAAATCTTTTTGAAGTTGATAATAATTAACCATATCCTGTTCCGCTTTCATTTTAATTCTGTTTCTACTATTGATTCTATGGATGCTATGGTTAATTAGTTTATTATTTCTTTTCCTACTTTGATTTAATGTATTCATATGTTGTTATTTGTTTATACCTAAAATATCAAATATATCATAAACTTAAAATATAAGTGCATTGACAATAAATATATTAGAATTATTAGAACTGGTGGATCAATTACTATACAAATATAAACTAGTATTTGTAGATCAACTGCATTGTATAATAAATTCGCATCTAAAACTAGTTTGAAAATTTTGAATGTCACCAAGGAAATAACTAAAACGAAAAAATATGAATAGTTTTAATCCCCAACGCAATTGTTAAGCCATATACAATGATGATCAAATAGTGATACACATCTAATAAAAGTTTCAAATTACTTGTTGCAGCTCCAACAATGTTTAGTTTTATCTTAGACATGAGCTTAACAAACTAGACAATATGATTTAATTTCGGTTTGAAATTCTTTACTATAGTATAATCGATATGATTACCCTTTTTACTTGCATTTTATCTCTTGTTTCACAATAGGATCTGTTGGATCAATCAAAGTAGCTTTGAAACAACTGTAAAAAATGGCAGTAACAATAATAGTTAATAGGATAAGCAAAAGTTCCTGAATAAGAATAACTATACATGAATTCCAGGTTCCTGAATTAAAAATGAAAATATGTAAGCAATAATAATATCAGCTAGAGTATAAACCCAGCTTATAGTTTGATAGGGGTTAAGACCATTAACTAAACCGTTTCTTCTAACAGGTCTTTCTCTACCTTTTTAGATATCAACGTTCATTAATTATAATTATATATTATTATTTTAATATTGTATTTATGATTGATAATTCAAGGTGCAGGTAAATCTTTTAAGGGTAATTCTCCTACAGTTTAGGTCTTTTGATATTCTTCTTATTCGTTTCTAAAAATATTGTTGGCTAATAAAAAATTACCTCTTCAAACCAAAGTATTATTTGGAAATCAATTAAGTATGATTTGTTAGGAATTGAGTTTTTAATTTAGGATTCCAGAAAGCATCTTCTTTGTACAAGTACATTAACTCTTATTTATTTAAGCATGACAATTCATACATTCCTAAATCCTAAATAATGATATTAAATAAATATATACATTTTATCTCATATTCTACACACCTGATTTGGTGTAGTATGGCAATACTTCAAGATGATGAGTTTCAAAGACATCTTCTCTGACAACTCCAAATGATCCCATTCTGGTTACAAAGATCAGCTCCTTATCTTTATTGTATTAAACTTTAGTAACGTAGTTTCTTCCAATGTCATTCATAGACATATGGTGGAAATACCATAAATAGGCCGAAGCAGCAGTTGCAGCCAATACATTGATTCTCATGTAATCCATATTATATATGGATTATAAATGATAAGGATAGAATGAAGCATCTATTTAATGGTCAAACATGAGATTTGTTTTATATACAATGTTATATGGTAATACCCAACAAATCCAAGCAAAACTGAATGTTCCAGTCCACCATACAAATTTTAACCATTCTTATAATCTTGTGTTTTCATAGATGACTTCTCCTTCTTCGAAATTCAAAGTGGGATCTGGATCAGCTGATGGATGTTAAATAAATGGTTAATCATTATAACTTGGATGATACATATCACTTTCTAATCTAAACAATCTTTAGAAGGGATTGGCCAAGAATTCAGGGTGTCCCAATCTATCAGCCAAATATGGGAATCTTAAATGATATGGTGTTTCGACATCATATTTCGATCCTTTATCTGGATGGAATTTTCTAGTTACAGGTCTTGATTCCAATTCCTTTTCATGTCTTTTTTGGCTTTCAGTTTTTTCAACTGGATAAATAGTTTATGCAATCCATCTTTTTTCATTTCTGAACACATTTTCATATTCCAATTCTTCATTCTCAAGATTTCCTGTTTATGCATAAGGCATTTCAATGGGGAAGTAATCTTTGAGACCACCAGTAACATTTTTAGTGACTCCATGTTTGCCTTTCAAGTATGGTCTATCCAAATTCTTGATAGCTTCATCAACTTATCTCTACATGGCTACATCTCTTTTGACTCCATCCACAAGCATATTATGAGTGTCAACAGTCAATCTTTGTTTGTAATCCTGTCTTTGTGCTGGAATGTAATCAGGATGAGCTGGATCATAATGAGTAATGTGATATGGATACACTTTATATTCCAATTTATCAGCCAATCTCTCCAAATGCTCTTACATAACATTTTTGCGTTCTATTTCTTAACAAAATCTTACCTTTTCTTCTTTAAATGGCATTCTTAATGACCTGGCTAGCACTATATTTGGGAATATAGGATCTACAATACAAGAACATCCTTATTTAATTTATTTTTATATCTAATAATTACACGAGAAATTTAAACAATAATTTATATTTAAATGAATAGTAATTATCATGATCAACTTTGTCAATTCGAACAACAAAAACCAAAATATCAACATCTATATTTAGAACTATATAAGTCTAGAATCTTTTAAATTCACGGACCAAAATTAAATTAAAGTGATTCCCTCAAATGTAGATAAAACCATGGTGAACAAAATAATAGCCAAGAAACTCCAAATTATCTAGATATCTAAGATAATCAAGAACAGGAAATCAAATTTCAACCAAAAATAAAAGAAGAACAATAAATATAACCAAAACACAAAACATTCTCGCAATTATTGAAGAAATATCGTCTTATTTAAAGATTTGGAATGAGAAGAATACGACGCAAAGAATCTTCTGAAGATATGTCCCTCGAAAAAAGTGACGATCCTTCCTTAACATCTAAAGGGTATAAAGAATGTTAAATCTGTTTATCATTCAGATAAGTTCATTAGTTCTTGCCTTGCTAACATGAATTTTGTAGATCTTGTATCTCTGAATATTTAAAAGAGAACATAGTTAGAGGCAATGTTTTGGTAATTTTGTGTCCAAATTCAGATTGTACTCAATAATTCATGGATCTTCAAATAAATGAACTAGTTTCTCATGCCTTATACGAAAAATATTAGAGATTTCATGCTAGACAACTAATAAGTAAAAATAAAAATGTTAGGTGGTGTCCTAGAATTGTAAAATATTTAAAATTAATATCAAGGATTGCGAAAACTATGTAATAGGAAAAGGCATGAATTTACTGATTTGTAATTGTGGCCAGCAAATTTGTTTCAAATGTGGCAATCAATACCATTATGATATATCATGTGAATAAGCTATGGATGCTTAGTATCTTCAGGTAAGGAAAGAACTCCAAGTATATGGTTGTCCAAATTGCTAAGCTCCTATTGAGAAACGAGGAGGCTGCAATCACATGAAATGTTATAAATGTAAATTTGAGTTTTGTTGGATATGTAGAGGCAAATATTCTTCAACTCATTATGGTGTATTTAATATCTTTGGATGTGCTCGTATTATTATTAATTTAACCTTTAGTTCCAGGAGGATAATTATCAACTATCTAACCTTTAAAAAACCCTATGCTACTTAAAATTATGATGGTTATTCCAAAACTCCTATTAACTTTGGTGTTAACAAGTGGACTAGTCATTTTGCTGCCATTTTATCTTCTACACCTCGTTATTTCAGCACCTTATCGAATAGTAAAAAGAAAATCAAATTTCAGAATGAGTAAATATCGAAAATTCACTTAAATTGGATTATTTTTACTCTTCCTCTTAATTGGAATAATACTATCGCCTATTACAATTGTTTGCGCTATTTTAATAAGTCCTGTACTTTTGATAAATTATATCATTGAAAATTTCTGATTATACACACTTATATATATAATATCTTATTTAATTTTATACTTTTCAATAAACCAAATCTTTCAAATCATTTTCTTTGTTTCTTTAATCAAAGGAAGACACATCTACCTCTACTGGCTATCCCATAGTTGTCTTTATTCTTGCTTCTCCTATTAATTATCCTTTTAAGGATGTCGGTCTTTTCTAATTCAAAGCTATTGAAAAGGCTTTAATATTCATTAATATCACTTTATCATCAAATGATTTTTTTCCAACTGGTACCATTAAATTTGAACCTGAATCCACTCTGAACTCTATTGAGCCTGCCTTTGCTCCTTTTATTGCTTAAGTAAGCTCCTAAGGTAAGACTAATGTTCCAGCCTTTGGATTAGGCATCAATCCCTTTGTACCTAATAATCTTGCATACGGTTTTAAAAGAATAAGCATATCTTGTGTTGTTATTAATTTTTCAAATTTATATGTTCCATCTTTGATAGATTTCAATATTTCCTCTTGACCAACAAAATCTGCTCCTGCCTAGGATTAATTATATGAATACTCTTAATGCAGAATCATTAAATTCATTGCTTGTTAAGACAGCTATAGACACATTCTTTCCTAATCCTCCTGGCAACATGCATGTCCCTCTTACATTTTAATCACCATGTTTTGGATCAACATTCAACCTTAATTAAAAATCAATAGTCTCATCAAATTTTGCTTTTGATCTTTCTTTTATTAATTTTAGAGCCTCTCCGATTCTTATTTTTGGAGTTTCTGTTACTTTCACTTTCGCAAAATAAGCTAAAATTCTTCCCCTCAATAACATTTTTATGATTAATATATGAATATTAATTAACTATTATATTATTCAGTCACATGAAGATAATTTTTATCAATCTTTAATTGAATAGATTTTAGTACATACAATTTTCCTTATCCAAAAAAATATTACATTGTGACACCAATAATCAAAATTTGAGATTCTAGATAAGTAAAGAAGTATTATTAAAATTCATTCTTTGGAATGCATAAAAACTTATGTCAACCTAGAAAATAGTTGTTCATAAATAACTTTAAAATAAATAATCAAAGATAGAGCATCGAACCAATTTAAAATGAAATAGAAATATGGAGCAAATAAAATATATTGTTTTAAAAATAGAGTTTCAAACTATCTGAATTTCTTAAATTATTAAGAAATTTAACAAACAATCTTATTATGAATGGTATGCGCCTTGCAAAAATTTAATAGTACCTATTAATTAAATAAAATTAATGATTCTGTCTTTTTATTATAAATGGCTTATTGATATTTTAGATGCATATATCATTGATATAAATATAGTAAATCTGCTTGAAGGGTAAAAATAAAGTTAGAATAAATATTCATACAGATGTTTTATTTATTATTTGAGTTTATTTTATTTAACATAATTAATCTACAATAGAAAAAGTGAATATAATTTATAGAATAATCAATATTTCTTATCAAGCTGTCTGTCTATAAAATGGTCGAAACATATTGCTTAAATCCACTGAAATGGATTTGTTTCCTCCCTTAGGTACAAAAGGATGTTGTAATAACTTTGTTATATTCCACCTTTTCTTAGGATCATATCTTTTCAGAATCAATTCTTACTACAAACAATGAGACAAGAAATCTTTGGCCGATTCACTTAAATTTTCTGGTATTTTAGGTGGCTAACCTTTCATAATTTCCATCAATATTTAAAATGGATTTTTAGCTTCATCATACCAAGGAGGCTTGCCTGTCATCATTTCTATCAAAGTGCATCCAAGTGACCATATATCTGCAAATCTTCCATATCCTTTTCCATTAATTACTTCAGGTGCCATCCAATTAGGTGTTCCAGTGAATGTATTGCAATCCTCTTTCGACAATGATTTACATGAACCAAAATCAGCTAATTTGCAAATTCCTTTGCCATCTACTAAGATATTGGCTCCTTTGATATCTCTATGAATTATTCCATGACTATGTAAATATTCTATTCCCCATAATATTTATTTTGTATATTATTATACTAGATTCTCAGGAAAATGTCCATACCTTTCCAATAAAGATTTTATTGATCCACCTGAGACATGTTCTAAAAACAAATTAATGTGAGTTTGATTTTATTCCATTCCTAAATATTTGACAATATTCGGATGTTCCAATTTGGATAATACTTTAATTTCTAATTCGAAAGCATCCATTTTCTCATATATTGGGAATACATATATACTGCTTGTATTTATCTAGGATTGTATCCTGAGATTGATAATTATTTTACTGCAATGAACTATCCACTCTCTAGATCTTAACCTAATTCAACAGAACCAAATGATCCTTATCCTAAATAATGATTCAATTATTGCCACCTAAGCATATTAATTCATCATTTTACTTAATTGGCTTGCTTTAGACTTCTCTCAATTTATATTTGGAATTCTAATATTTTAACAATTCTTCATCATCAAAATATTCATCTTTATTATCTTTGACGTTTAATTGAGGTTCGCTCATTGTTGGTAAATTGCCTGTTTCTATATAAGTTTAAACAGGAGGAGTGTTTTTATTTTTTGAGCAAACTACGGAACCCATAAATTAATTATTAATATTATGATATTATTCAATCAACAAGGTTCATTTTTTATGTGATACTCAATGAGTTTAGTTTACTCAATTTAATACTTTTTAACCAATGATACAAGCGAAACATAAAAATTTTCAAATCAAATCATGCTAATCCTTTGGATCAATATCTAGCCATAATTCAATTCTTATTCCCATTTACCTACGTAACTTCTTTTAAACACATGTTTCAAATGTTCATTTGATTGTCCAATCACTTCATATAAAATAACTTAGTATAAATTATCATAAATATTAATAAATTATTTTGGTATATCAAATTAGATCTCACCACCATTTTTATTTTCATCTTCCCACCATGATTTTATATCATTCCTCAATTTAAACGTCTGCAGAATCTTCATTAAATTATTTAAAGGCTGTATTAATAACTCTCATCACATTTGAATTTTTAGGCTCACTCAAACATCAATATATTTTTTATCTATAGTTTTTTCATAAAATAAGCAAATCATAAATGAACAAACATCTACAATTGATTTTTAATAATCAAAATTCTAACTAGAATTGTATTTATCAGACTCTGTCCATTTTGCACTCAATTGATAAAATTAATCACTCATTAATAAAATAAATAAATATATATCCACAATTATACCTATGGCTGAAAAATAACATAAAGTCTTTTATAGAAATCATATATTGATTGTACCAACCAGAAATCTAGATTTGCAACACAGGCATTTTATGTTGGATATCATGAACATTCTTCCACATTCAAAAAAAGTACCCATTAATAATAATTAAGACAAATAAAATCAAGTACGAATAGTTAAGATAAGTTATTCCTTCCCTTTGTGAAAATCATAAATGTAATTCATTTATAGTTTTCCATACAATATCAAACCAACTTATCTTAGTTTTCGGTTCATACCCATCAGGACCTACAGTAAAATTCTCTGTTCTTAATAGTATTTATTAAAAACTAACTTATAGTTACTACTATCAAAGATCTATAATTGGCCGGCAATTTTTCAAAAAAGGGTAGAGTTCTACTTTAATTTGACTAAAGATTTAATAATATCACTAAGTACAAATTACTCAAAGAAATAATTACTCTCTTGTTCAATGTTTCTTAGGCTAGATTTACTGATAATTTTATTGATAGAATTTTCACTTTTACAACTGAAGGTGAAGCACAAAATAGAATTTGGTTTAGATAATTTGAAATTTTTGAATAAAAAAATTTGAGAGAAATCGGTCCAAGATTTGGATTAGAATTGATTTCTATTGAAGAAGGTTTAGCTTAAGGAAATATGTTGTATTAAGGATAGTAAATTGATGCATCGCAAACTAAACTTAAATAAAAAATAAGAAAAAGTGAAAAAAAATTTGAAAAAATTTTAAATGAAATCAATTTAAAGGAAGAAGAAATTGAAATTGAAGAAAGTGATTGAAATGTTGTAAATAAATTTAATAAAAGTATTTTAATATGATATATAATATTAATACTGATGGAATTATTATGCAATATAATTAAATCAATGTTATAATTATGAATTATCTCAATAATATAAGTTATGAATGAAAATGATGAAATATCACTTTATATCATAATATTTTTTAAATTTAGTTTAAAATAAACTAAAATACAATACATCATTTTTCATAAGTTAATGTATTTAATTATTTGATATTTGTAAAATAGGTCAATGCGTTATTTAACTGATCAAAATTTTACATGAATAAGGACCTAAAACATTTTTTTAAAAAAAAAACAAATATAACAGTATTATTTGATAATTACTTAAATTCTTTAATTTATATGAGATAATTAAAAATAAGAAAAACTTTGCATTAATAATTTCTTGAATACATGATTTTATATGAGGTAATTAATTAAAATAGAAAAATTTTACATTTATAAATACTTTATCCAATATGATACATAATAGAATAGAAATATCAAAATTTTAAATTGATAAATACTAGAATTCTTTATTTATATAAGATAATTGAATTATCATAATTTAACATTTATAAATATATGAATTTGAATTTTACTTAAGTTAAATAAATTATCAACATTATACAATAATTATATGAATTAAATATTTTAATTCATTCTTTTACATAAGAAAATTAATATATAAAGTTATAATCATTATTTTATATAAGATAAATATTATTTGAAATCATTATTTTACATAAGATAATTGAATTATCAAAGTTATAATGATAATGCATCGTTTTTACTTAGATAATATCATTACCATAATTTTACATATTAATATTTGAATTCAACATTTTTATAAGATAATTGAAATATCTTAATTTTACATTTATAAATACTTGAGTTCTTAATTTTATACAAGATAATTGAAGCAGATTCAGATATAAATATCCTCAATATCACCACTGCATAATTAAATTCAATGGAATCTACTATAAAATGCTGAACCTCAGTAGAAATGATCATGAAATTCAGTTTCATTATAGTAAGTGTAAACAATGTGAATTGAAAATTCCTATTAGATTGCTTAAATCTAGCACAAAAGAATAAAGCATTCTCATGTCCTCCATAAAATTATATTATTTTCCAAATAGTGGCAAGTTGATTATATTTTCTAATGAATTAATAGTGTAATACTTCCTTTTAGTTCTTCTGATAGCGAATTAATTTATTTGAGTAAAAATTTGACCATGCCCATAACTTATTATTTTTAAATGAAAAAAATAACCTAAAGTACTTCTTCCACCCTCCTTCCTAAGCGAAGTTTGGCTAAGGCTAAAAGTTAAAATTAGTTTGAGGAAACTGATCCAGCCTAACGAGGTAAAGAAATGATATCAGTATGAAGACAGGAAAATCATTCGCATGAGGAATGTCGTTGATTTGGGTGATGTATAAGATGATTAAAAAAGAAATCAAAAAAAGAATGGTATTTAACACGTGTAAAAATTTATTAGATAATGAGATCGATCCTCTGCTTGAACAACTGGATCAGTGGCATGAAAATATAGTCTCCAAAAAGAAGAGATATGCATTTGAATAGATAAAATAAAATGAAAACCAAAAAGCGATTGAACATGAATTTAATATTGACAATGGTCCATAAATCAATTAAAACATCATTAACTAAATCATGAAGCCAATTGAGAAATAATTTTAGAAAAGTTAAGAAACAAATGAAGATGTTCAGGTTAAATTCCAAATGCTCAGACCAAGCAAAGAACCAGGCAATAATGTACTTAAGACTTTAGATTAAGTGAAAATTGAAATGAATAAACAAATTCTAAATAGTATACTATTATAAAAAGTCACAAAAAGGCTTGATATTTTATAAATCAATAGAAAACATAAGACTAATTGGAACATTCAAAAATTGGATGAAGAAACGACTCAAGTATTTAGAGATTAATCTCATGCTCTTAAATAAAAGACTTTAAACAATTTTAAAGGGATTACAGAATATTTTAGTAATCCAGCATAATATATTGACTATGACATTGTACTGACTAAAGCTAAGCACTATTCAAATAGGCCACCAACCTCTTTCCCTACAACTCAAATACCTTAGCAACAATAAACTTCCTCTTCTGCAAAACAATTAATGGAGAGCTATTAATTGTTCCAAACGTCAATTAAGGAACATAAAAATATCTAATTTTAAATGAGAATAGATAATAATTAATTAGTGTAAGAATAGAATCATTTGGAAGAAGAAGTATCAGACATTAGACGCAAATTTCTTGTGAAAGAAGAGAAGGCAAGATAAGGTTGGATCCCTGATCAACAATAACTATAGGTGGAAGGAACATCTACAAAAAAGAGAAGTTTAATGGATACAATTGAGAAAATTAGATAATAGAGAGATCAGGAAATAAGATAGAGATTAAAAGAAATACAGTAATTGAGGATATAAATGCAATAGAATAGTGAAAAATAGTAATAAGTCTAGAAGGAATTAGAGGATATGAGATAGAAAAAGCGTCGTTGTAAAATGCTTTTAAAAGATATCTTTTTAAAGCAATTGTAGGAGTCTAATCATTAATTTGTTCCTGAAGGACTTGTAAGCATAATAAAGAATATGAGAAAAATAAATGAGAGTGCTAAATTGGAATATTTTCCAAAATATTTAGATGAAACATCTCAATAATATTTACTTTTAGCTGCACAATTAGAAATAGATATTGAAGAAACGAGAATGTTATCTTAGAATTATAATTCACAATAAATTTTACTGCATTCAAATTTAGCAAAGCAAACTATCTCATCCTAACGCTAACAAATCAGTGTATCTTAATTAAAGAATCAAGTAAAAATTCTGTTGAAAAAGAGTAAGGTATCAATAAAAAAACCTGTCTTTGTCCAAGGTATTGATCCATTAAATCCCTCTTCGTTTGCTCCTGTGATTAAATGGGAGCATCAAGAATTAGAACCTTAGCAAATGATTGAACCAATTGAAAACAATTTCAAATGTTAAAATATATCTTCCGAGCGAAATAATGTGATAAAGGATTATAATCAAAAGTTAGTGTAATTGTAATAATAATTGGAGAGCTCAACCAACGAGGAATGTAAACGGATTTTGAAATACTATTAGAATAAGAAATTATTATCTGATGTGTAAGAGTTAAAGATGGTATTGTATGCTTTATTTGGTTAATCATAAGGAGATCAATAGTGGATTCCCTTTGTGGTAGATTGGACTGAATAAAAATCATTGAATCCACAATAAATTTTTAGACAGGATGAACAGCAAAAACAGAGTACTTCTTAAAGAGATCAGCATACTCTCCCTGATATAATGAAAACGAAGGTATCTGAAACATTCAGAAAATTGACAGAAGTAACAAATATAGATTATAATTTTGAATTATATTATTGATATGTCTTAGAAATTCTACACCCTTATTGCATTTGCATGTGTGAATGTGGTTTGCAGTTCTTTCATTGTTTTTACTTATTTGGCATGGAAAGCTGGACGAAAATCTCCAGGAGATATTGTATTTGCTTTGGGACTATGCCAATTAAGTACTTCTATCTATTGGATGATGTCAAGTCCGGATGTCAATACCCCCAGCAATCCTGATAATAACTTAAATGACACATCCTTTTGCAAATGGGTAGATTTCACCTAGAACTTAGGGTTTTTGGGCTAGTTTATATACAATTTTGCATATTGTTTTACAATGAGGTAATCGTCAAGATTATTTTAGGTAGGAGATCACAAATGTGTTGAAAACGAATGCAAAGTTTAAGTTATTGCTTCATTCCTTTTGTTTGGTGTTTACTCTATGTATATCATTGATCTTGTTTGCGTTTCACCCTTAAATATAATAAATGGCAGGTCCAACAACATTGAATAGATGCATCAACACAATTATTTTAGAGAGGAACTATTTGCCATTGGCTCTTTATGTATTTGAGTTTGTGTACATCATATCAGCACTATATACAATATGGTACTTCTATTAGAACCTACCAAATGATGTGACATTTAGAACTAATAAAAAATCTTCGCTCATCAGATACGTCATGTATATCATTTCCACAATATTTCTGGCGTTGTTCACTCTGCTAAGCACTTTTATTTAAACAAGTGAACATCCGTCATCATAGCCTGCAAGTTTGGACACAGTGATGATGATATCAACATGTTGTTTATACACTTTGGGTTCTGGAATTCTGTGTTATCAGAGAGTGAAGAATCCTGCTCTGTTGCGCAAGATAGTTAATATGGTTCATAAAGCATTCTATCCTCAACCAAAAAAGGAGGTAGAGATTGTTGATGTGGACACGCAATTCATTGAAGTGCAGAAATTTATCAGAATGTTTTAGATTAGAAGTGTTTTAGCTGGGATTATCTAGTATTTTAATAACATCGAAGAGTATTTAGATAATGCACAATTAGAAGAAAATGTGGATAAGCCTGAAAGTGATGTTGATAGAACTTCACAATTATTAATTTAAAACAGAAATACTTACAACAATGATTTTACATTAAATGCTCATCTGATTAGAGAAACTTTGAGTGAAGAATAACTAGCTATAGCGAAGACTTTAGAGAAATATAAATTAAATAATTAAGCTTTAAACAAGGAATTTAATTTTTATGTTAAAGAAACCTAATACACAAAAGGAAAGAATCCAAAGATGTTTGCTTTAGCTCCAAAGTATTTTTACTATGTAATTCTATCAGTATAATGTTTAGTTATTTAAATTTGACAACTTAGACATTGATGCACATGATTCATTCTCATTAGAGAAGAATGCAGAATTAATTGAAAATATGATTAACGTGGACGGAGGTAAATCAGGCGAATTCTTTTTCTTTAGCTATGACAACAAATGGATTTTGAAAACTATTACTGAAAGAGAATTGAATAGTTTCAGACAAAGGATGGAAGAATATTTTCATCATATGAGTGAATATAGGAAATCTCTGATAAATAAAATTTATGGGATCTTCTCTTATGATATGAATTACATCTCATCAAGTTGTGGCATTATTTATCATATGGTCTTGATGAGGAACATATCTCAAGTGCCTCGTCCTTTTGTTAAGAGAACCTTTGATATGAAGGGTAGTGAAGTTGCAAGAGAAGCATTGAAGGGTAAACCTAAAGACATAGATCTCTCCAAAATCACTTTGAAGGATGTGGATTTTGATAATCTTGAAAAATGGATTAAGATAGAATAATCCCAAAGTGATTTTGTGAAATTCTAACTCATTAAAGATGCTGAATTTTTCAAAAATACTTATTTACTTGATTATTCTCTCTTGATAATGAAGATAGATTGGGGGGAGTATTAAGGTAACGTAGAAAGATTGGTGGATCTACCTTAAAATGCCTATCCTTCCCAAGAAGAACCTAATATCTACTATCATATTGCCATAATCGATTATCTTTAAGAATGGAATTTGTCCAAAATGGCAGAGAAGGCTTCCAAATAATTATTGGCTATGAACCCTAATTTAAATGTTTCTGCTCAAACTCCAGAAATATATGCTTACAGATTTATAAATAATCTAGTCAATAAGATTTTTAGATGAATATATAATTTTGTTATTATTATTTAAAATGGGTAGTTAATGCTCATAGTGTTAGACTTGTTAAAAAAGAGATGAGTAGGTCGTTGTTATTTCTGAGATCAGATAACAGAGTTCCCAAAATATGAATCAATATTCTCAACAACCACCTGAAGAGGAAAATGATGAAAGTTCATGTAATGAATGAGAATAGTTAGTGAGCAAAGGAGTAGATTTGATGAAGAATGAAAAGTTGGAATAAAAGTATTAACCAGAAGCACCAACGCCAACACCAATAGCCACTCCAGCTTTAGCAACTACATAATTAGTTTCTTTTAATGTTCAAATACAATAACCTTAACTGACTTAGGAGTCATAGAATGATCCCAGTATGATCAAGAAAGATGGAATGAATAAAAGAAATTAAGAGGATTTAAATTTAGATGAGACTAATAGACAGGGTCCCAGGGAAAAGAGACCAAAATATGTATTTAAAAGTGGAGCAATTTATGAAGGTGAATGGGTTGGAAATATGCGAGATGGCTATGGTACTCAAATATGGTCTGATGGTGCAAAGTATGAAGGTGAATGGAAGGCAAATTAAGCGAATGGCAGAGGCAAGTTTTGGCATGTAGATGGAGACTATTATGAAGGTGAGTGGAAAAACGATAGAGCGAATGGAGTAGGAAAGTATATTCATACAGATGGGGCATAATACGATGGGGAATGGTTGGAAGACTTATAACATGGATAAGGAAAGGAATTTTGGGCAGATAATTCTAAATATGAAGGATAATATAGGTATGGAAAGAAGTAAGGACTCGGATGGTACTAATGGACGGATGGTTCTACTTATAAAGGAATGTGGAGTGATAACAAATTGAATGGTTTTGGAGTATATAATTGGCCTGATGGGAGGGTAAGATGATTGTTTCATACAAAGCGCTATGAAGGATTTTGGTAACATAATCAGATGAATGGTAGAGGGATATACTATTGGCCAGACGGAAGGTATTACGACGGAGAGTATTTAAATGATAAGAAGCATGGATTTGGAGTGTATAAATGGAATGACGGTCGCTGCTATGAGGGGTATTGGCTCCAGGGAAAGCAACACGGAATTGGAAGGTATATATTAAACGATGGCCAGAGCCAAGTGGGGGTTTGGGAAAATGGGTAAAGAAAAAGATGGTTAGAAGGAGAAAGTAGAATAGAGAGACCTAGAGACTGGGATAAATATATACATCCAAAATTAGATGACTTTTAATGAAATATCATATATATTATTATATCACTCTGTTTTTGGTTTAGGAACCTGTTTAGAACAACATTTGGATGAAGCCCAAACAATTACTCCTCCAATCAAAGCGATGAGCTTCAAGCATTCGATTTATGTGTATTGATCAGCACTGAACAAGGGATTGCTTAGGATAGCGATTTGAAGCAACAAACCAAGAATTGGGAATACGGCAAAGCTTAAAAATTAAATTGTGTTTAATACCCTCCACAAATAAAAAGTAGTAAACTACTTGCTAAAAGACCTGAAACAATTTGTTTAGCTATTACTGCTGGTACATGTTTGAACACATCAGCTGGGATGTACTTGAATATTAATTAAGTTTGAATACTTGCTTGACAATAGCTTATTGTTACAAATAAACATATTTGTTTTCAAACCTTTTGCCTAAGGTAGGATCTGTGAATAGGAGGTAGCTGTATCCAAGAAGGGCTGCAAGAAGGAAGACTTTTCCAATAAATGACATAATTATTTTATTGATTAAAAACACATGTCGTGTTTCTAAATTATATTTCTAGAATAGTAATTCACAACTTCAATTTTAAATTTTTAGTCAACATGTCGGCTTCTTTCATTTTAGCCAAATTCCTTCTTTAATTTCCATTTCCTGCTTTTTGGACTTTCATTCTACTTAAATTATTCAGGTTTGAACTTTATGGAAAATAATAACACTTACATAATTTCATCATTAAGCGATCTTACTTATAATGTCCTTTGTTATCAGCCAAATGACAAATTAATCTACTTTTGGAAGTGATCTACTTGATCTCTTTTTTTTAAGGCAAAGATAAACGCTGTATCTCTTTTTTAAAGTTATCCAATCTTTCCTAAAAATTGTATGACTAAACATTTTAGTTTGTCACATTCTGGCTTCGTTTCGATTGAGATGAATAAATGTACGTTCTGCTCTAAAAAATGCTTTTGTTTCAGCATTCTATAACTCTTGATTGAGATTCCCATATGATTGCATTAATTTCAATATCTACTCTTCTAATACATGTCTTTGATTTTAAGTATCACTGCATTACATACCTGATTGTATGACTTGCAATTCTCAAAGTGTGTAAGTAAATAATGAAAGCTGTATAAAATTATTATTACAAATATGATAACATTTACTTCATCGAAAAGTCGATTCTCATTATATTATTTGGAAGAGAGTGAGAAGTACTTGCAGGATCTATCAGCGAAGGTTCGATAAATCAATATGCTGAAAGGGGAGGAAAGGTATTTACAGATTGCTAAGATTAGATTGGAAAGAGGAAAGGTTCATATATGCTCAAGGACTCTGATTTTTGAGCCGGAGAAATAAGAGTTACCCATTTAGAAATTGTTCTATAGAATGGTCACAACCCCGATCAAGCAAACCAATTTCATTAGTTTTAGGATAAAGAGGATTATTGAGATTTTCACCTAGGGTCCTCCTTCACCTTACATCTATTAAGATGATGTTGATTTTGAAATCCAAATAGAACCACTATTTGATAATGTCAAGGTGGTTCATGATCTGATTGAGAAAATATAATAGATCAATCAATAGAAAAATGATGTTGAAAGTGAAGTTGAGAAGTTGGATTCTGAGAAATTGCAAAAGGCTAGATTTAATATGAGTTTTGTAGAATCTGTCAGCGAGAAACCCTTGATCTAGAAGGAGATGCTTGTAAGAAGGATTATGCCATTAATTTAAACCAAAGGTATTGCGAATATTCTATAGGAGGAATCATGTACATCACCAATAAGATAATTTACTTTCAACCCTTTTTCAAAATCACCTTAAAACCATGCAAGAAGATTGTTATTGAGTAAATCAAGGTAATGTACAAGCGAAGATTTGAATTGCTGGACATAGGTTTGGAAATCATTCTGAAGAGTGGGAAGACGATTTATTATGCATTCGAAAATCAAGAAAGGATGGAAGAGGTGTACAAAATGCTTATTGGTATTTATTCATATTAATTTGATTAGGAAAAGTGACTATAGAGGCAGAGACTAGTTTAGAGAAGATCCAATATCTATGGTAAAGTGGATAAATATCAAATTTTGAGTATTTAATGCGTTTGAATTAAGCTGGCAATCGAAGTTCAAGTGATTTGACTCAATATCCAGTGTTTCCCTTAATCATTGTCGATTATGAGTCATCTGAATTAAATTTAAATGATGCAGCTACCTTTAGGGATCTTAAGAAACCTATAGGAGCATTGAATGAGAAGAGATTGTAAGAGTTCAAGAAGAGATATGAGGAAATGCCACCTCCAAAGTTCCTGTACGGAACTCATTATTCAACTCCAGGATATGTAATTGGGTATTTGGTGAGACAGAAACCACAATACATGTTAAAATTATAATCAGGCAAATTTGATAAACCTGATCGACTATTCAAAAGCATCAAAGGAGATTTTAAGAATGTGATGAATAATACTACGTCATTGAAAGAGTTGATACCAGAGTTCTTTATAGAAGATGACTCATTTTTAGTTAACAAGCTGAATTTAGATCTTGGAGTAAGATAAAATTAGAAGAAAGTTGGAGATGTTAAATTACCAAAATGGGCTAAGAGCGCTAAGGATTATCTTAGATTAAATAGATTAGCATTAGAGAGTGACTATGTTAGTAATGAATTACATCACTGGATAGATTTGATATTTGGATACAAACAAAAGGGACCTCATTCAGTCGAAGCCAATAATGGTATTGTAAAACATAATTTATTGTTCTTTAGTTTTCCATTATCTAACCTATGAAGGTACAGTTTAATTGAGTCAAATGCAAGATCCTATTGAGAGACAGGCAAGCATCTGCTAAATAAATGAATTTGGGTAGTGTCCAAAGTAGTTGTTCAAAATCTAACACCCTCCTAAATGTGCATTAAGAGCTGGCTAAATTATGTACAAATTTGTTGAGTAGATTCCAAAATAGAAGTAAGAGGAAGTTCCTATAAATGTTGATGGTCTGATGTGGGAAAACTTAGATAAGAAGAATCAATTCAGACAAAAAATGATTTAGAAAGTCCATAAGACGTATTAGATTTATTAATATATTTAGAAATATTACAGATTTGATAGTATTGGAGAAAAAGAATCTATTGGTTACAATTGGTTAGGATGGATTTCTAAAGGTGATTGATTTAAAGGAGTTAATTGTATTGAAATCATTCAAAGTCGATGAATTTTGTTTGAGTTGTATTGTGACTCTAAAGCAAGATGAAATATTTGCAATAGGTAGTTGGGGTTCTTAGATACATGTTTTCAATATAAATTATGGAAGCAAAGTGTAAATGGTCTAGAGATTCAATAATTCAGTTAGTTCTTTGGTGTATTTGATGAAGAAGAAAATTTTAATTACAGGTTCATGGGATTGTTCTTTAAAGAGATTCGAGTGTTCTGAAAATCAAATAAAATAAGACAGTGAAGAAATGATTGATGATTGGGAAGCACAAATTACACATATAGCAGCCACTGAGGATGAGTCTATGATTGCTGTTGGTGATATTGATGGCAGAGTCATTACTATCAATACTAATAATTGGACACAACAGTAACATTATGAAATTAATGGCGAAAAGATAGTCAAATCACTCTTCTTTAGATCAAGCTTATTGGTTGTTGGAGATGCTCAAATCAAGATGTTTAGCAACGGGAGTTAATTATTGGATTTTAAAATAGACAAAAATAATGGGCTAATAACTGACATCATTATTGATCATGATAAATATTTGATAGCATGTAAATTATATTTACTATGTAGGCACAAAAAAAGGATATGTGGCTGTATTTTCAATGGTATTAGAAAGTAAACTTGGATATTTGTTTACTGATTTCTCAGGATAGGCTGATTTGATTGGAAATTAAGATTAGTAATTCACTAAGATGATTCTTAGAAATAAGACACTCATTTTGACTAGTCAGAATGGAAGTCTTAATGTATTATAATATTGAAGTTTATTTATTACAAAATTTATTAGTAATTTAAATATGTATTCAATGTTAATAGAAACTTTTGAGAAAGGAAGAGAAGAATATTAATAGAGATACGGAAAACGAAAGATTAAATATCATCTTTGAAGATAAAGGACATATCTGAATTCACAAAATCATAAAATTTGATAGTTCCGACTTTGATTTAACAATATTGTAAGCAAAATTGGCAGATTAAGCAGAGAAGGAGAAATTTGAAGATAATATTATTGGTTCAACAGATAAGTCAATCATGTTCTAGTGTATGTGATTGGGAGTAAAATTGAATTACTTGAGAAGGCAATGAAAGAATTGATGGAGTATAAACATTTTTTATGTTTTGTAGGAGTAATCCATAATCGTACTTTTTTGTTTTAATGGGATTCAAACCTTTAGTTAATTTGAAGATTTTCTTATAAAAGATGGGTGAAAGTGTTGAAAAATAGATTCACATGTCAGAATTCAGACTAGATCATTAAATGCATTGAGAACACTCCTCATTCGATCATTATTGCTCATAGCATAGATGATCATCATTTACTCAATGAACAAGCATAGAAATTACTTGGATAATTGAGAATTGTACTAATGTTTGCATAGCTTTTAATTTCGATAATTATCGCCATCTAATTATATGCAAATTCAAAGAGCATTATATGTTTGTGAGATATTATTGATCTTTGATATGTGTTAAGTATGACTCAGATACTCAAAAACATAGCCATGTATTTTGTTGGAAATGAATTCGAAAGCAGAGATGTATATATAATAATTATAAAATTTTAGGGATTGAATTTTTAAGATTTGTATGATGTTCTTTTAGATGAGATGATCGTATCAAGCAAAATACAATTAAAAGAAAATCTAAAGGAATTGATGGCTCATAAGATTATAATTGAGAAAGGTGGGAAGCACACTATGCAATATTCAAACACAATCCTCCAGGAATTATCTTAAGAGTTTGATGAAGTTTTTAAATAATGATATTTTGGTTTTGTTTTAATGTATTTCGATCATTTGTATGCATCTTGTATTCTTCTAAAAGAATCTATCATATGATTTGTGCATTTCTCTATTCAAATTACAACTAATTACATACCCAAACATTGATGGTTGTCCTTAGTAAGTACATCATCTTTGGAGCTTAAGACTCCACAACGAATTTAGCAGACGCTGGTGAATCTTAAAAATAAGCCTAAAGTTTCTCTTTATTAAATATTGTCCATAATAATATAATTCACACGTGTGAATGATGTGAAATAAAAAGAAAAATGGCCACATTTCAATAATAAATTTAATGCCTAGCAAAACCAAGATCCTGAATTACATGAGACCAGCAATGGCCATAATTCCAGATGTGGCTGAGCCTGAAAGAAGAGTATACTATTCATATTTACGATTAGATTTTGTTCAAATATAGAGCTTTATGGACAGCAATAGCCACACTCTTGTATTTGATTTGCTCATAAATCCCACTCTATGGTATTTACAAAGCTTCTGCTGGAGATCCCTTCTATTGGCTAAGAGTCATATTGGCATCAAATAGAGGAACCTTGATGGAATTGGGTATTTCACCAATGGTGACAGCTTCAATGATTATGTAATTATTGGCTGGTGCAAAATTAATCGATGTGGATTAGAATGTAAAGGAAGATAAGCAATTGTACTCAGGAGCTTAAAAACTGTTAGGAATATTAATTGCATTTGGTGAAGCATTCGCATATGTTTGGTCTGGAATGTACGGTGATTTAGATAAATTGGGAGCAGGAAATGCTATATTAATCATCATTCAATTAGTCTTTTCAGCTATTGTTATGATAATGATTGATGAATTATTATCTAAAGGATATGGAATTGGAAACTCCGGAACATCTTTATTCATTGCTATCAACATTTGTGAAAACATTATGTGGAAAGCATTCTCTCCAATCACTCACAGAACTGAACTTGGATTGGAATATGAAGGAGCCATCATTGCACTTTTCCATGGATTATTTATCAGAGATGATAAGGTCGCTGCAATCTAATCAGCCATCTTGAGAGATTCATTGCCTAATCTCACTAATTTATTAGCAACAGTCTTAGTTTTCATGATTGTTATCTACTTCTAAGGATTTAAGGTAGATATTCCAATAAAAAACAATAAAGTCAGAGGAGGATTAACATCATATCCAATCAAATTGTTCTATACCTCCAACATTCCAATAATACTTCAAACTGCTTTGGTTTCAAATCTTTATTTCCTTTCACAAATCTTATACAGAAATTTCAGAGGCAATTTCTTAATCAGATTACTTGGTCATTGGTAAGAATTAGAGAGTGGATAGACTGTTCCAATTGGTGGATTAGTCTATTATGTCTCACCTCCCAGATCAATTTCTGAAGCCATCTTTGATCCAATTCACACTATTTTGTATACAGCATTCATTCTAGGAACTTGTGCAGTCTTCTCAAAGACTTGGATTGATGTTTCTGGGTCATCACCAAAAGATGTATCAAAACTATCTAATTTTAAAGGTTGCCAAATAACTCAAAGAATAAGACATGTAAATCGTTGGATACAGAGATTCTTCCATGAAGGATGTTCTCAAAAGATATATTCCTATAGCTGCTTCCTTTGGTGGAATGTGCATTGGTGCTTTGACCATTTTGGCTGATTTCTTGGGGGCAATTGGTTCAGGTATTCTATCAATTAATATATTTAGGAACTGGAATACTTTTATCAGTAACTATTATTTATGGCTATTTTGAAACTCTTAAAAAGGAAAAGGAGTAAGGCACCCTAGAACTGTTTTGATATTGTTCATTAATAAATTTATGACGTAGTATTAATAATTAAATTAAAATCATTATTGTTTTGGGTTCAAAACCAATATATTATATAGCCGTCTAACAGATACCAAGTTACTGTTGACACTCTATTACAATAAAAAGTGTCTTGGGAACCATTTCAGAGCAGCAACTCCAGCTGTCCTAACACTATAAACTGCTGATTCAGTTTCGCTTTAAGTACTTATGGATTTTCTCTTTTATTCGTTGTATGCTACTTTGGCCTCATGATAATTTAGATTTAATTTTTTTGCTGCATCTTTCAAGAGTACTCCCTAATTCACCATTTCAACTAATTCTTTCTTTTATGAGGGAGGTATCGTCTTCTTAGAAACCGGTACCTTCTTGATCTTTTTCATCTCTATATCCACTTGCTTCTTTATTTCATTAAGAATATTCATTTTAATTTATTTAACTTTTCCCTCTCATGAGTTTGCCTAATCTATCCTCAAATTATGAAATCGTATAGTGCGAAAGTGAATAATTATGATGTAAATCATTATAAAAAAAATTAGTACATACTGCGTCATTCCATCGTTGTTTCAAACTAAATCTTAAATATATAATAATTTATTATATAATAATATTTTTATTATATAACAATATATACTGTAATCAAATATGTCCAGCCATCTCTCTCCTTATGTTCATTTTGAAACACGATATCGTTGGATTGGGTCGAGTCTTGTTCCCCAAATCTGCAGGTCTATCATTCAATAATTATCCTTACTTAAAACTCTCTCTTTCCTTTTTGGAACTAAATTACCTTTTGATTTCCCTCATAGGATCAGACTTGTACTAAAAATGGCCGAACAATCCATCAAACCCTTTCTTTAACCCATTGGCTGGACGAAAAGCTGATTCGTGCTTTGCTGACTTAAGGTCAGGAGACTTCCTCTGACTCTAAGCAGGCATCTTAGTTACTCCGAATATATTCTTGTCTTTTTCAAAAGTGTGGCCTCCATTGACAGTGCTTCGAAATGGTAGTTCCTTCTCTTTGCTCTTACTGTCCATTCTTGCTTTCTTTAGCTTAATAATTTGAATACTCTTTCGAAATCACTATATCGATTGTAATCGTCTGTCAAATAAGGAATCGACTTGTCCAATACTTTACATCTTGGATTCGTTGTAACATTTCTGGGCGCAGAATACACTCTCCCATCTGTTTGTTTCCTACTCTCCACCTTTTTATAATCATATTCCTTCATATGCGAATAGGCACTGCCCATCAATTCTTTGTATCCCGAGGGAGGCTTGAATGGGGCCTCCTTGTTTAATAACTTCTTTTGCTCCTTCTCATAGATTGTTAACACTTTTTCAGGATCTATGTATGGATCTCCGACAGTTGTAAAACTCAAAGGTCCAAAATAAGACGATCTAATTCTTCCTGTACGAGTAGCGCAAACCTTCATATTAGACGGTTCTGTTATCGGTTTCCCATTCTCCCCTCTTTATGCTAATCATATTTATGTTCTTGCATTACGTCTTTTCCTCATTTCCATACTATCATCTCCCAATCCTAAAGGAACAGGTGAGGAGAACAGTCCAAATCTTTATTTCTTAGCATTCTGCTCTGCATCCTTCAACATTTCTTAACGAATTGACTTTATTTCTTGCTCTCTTACTTAACTATTAGACATTATAATTTTTATTATAAGAATAATTATATTGTAATTTACATATTACAAATTGATGAATATCCTATTATTTTTTGGTGCATCTTTTGGATTGTATTTAAGTGTGAAATCTTTTATTAAGCAAGTAAATCTGAGTTTAAATAGTATAGTTGATGTATTTGAAATAATTCAGACGCAACTAACCTGTGAATAATATATTTAGAATGATTAAAAATTTGGATACCAATTAGAAGGGACTAAAGTATTTTAATAATATGACAATAACTGGATACCCAATTAAAAGAACTTAAACTTTAAAATCAGCGTTTAAAGTAAGATATCAATTCAATAGTAATAGATGATAGATTTTAAATAAAAGATTAGTGATAACTTAGAAGTTTAAATTAGTGTGCCTAATAAAATTTATATTATGCATGGATAAGAAATTCTATCTTTTCGTCAAAGGATTACTCTCAGTCATGAAAAGTTCTTCCTTGTTGGTGATTTTATTTATAATTCTTAAAGTTAAATCTTAAGATGTAACAAAATTAAAGCTTTATAGGAGATTAAAAACATGGATCTTAGATAAATATTTAAAGAATTTTATACAAAACATTTATTTAAATTACTATTAAAAATTGTATTTATTGCTTTATGTTTAATTACCATGTACAAGATTGCAAAAAGGATGCTTATTTTTGAAAATGGATAAATGAATTAGATTCTCATATCCAACTAACATAGACAATTAAAATGCACAATTTGTAAAAATCGAAACTCAAATATAATTGTATTACCTTGTTAACATTTGGTCAGCTGCCAAGAATGCTGCAGTCGTAGACATTTCTGTCCAATTTGTAGATCCTATATACAAGGTAGGCAAAAGATATTTAATGATTGATATTTACTATTTTTAAGAATTTACAATAATATTAAGTGTTATTGATGAATAACTATAAATTTAGGATGATTTCAAGATCCTAATTACTATCCTGAAATAAGACAATACATGTTTATAATATACATTTATTGCCAATATTAATTATATGAATTCTATAATAGTTTCTTAAAAACGTTTATAAATAATTTAACATGTTTATTTTAATATGTATATTAGTCTTAACTTATTCCATCCAATTACCAATCGAAGAACCTGAGAATATAGAAGTATTAGAACTGGGTTCTAGTGATCAATTCCAGGAGCAGCAGTTAAGAAAAGTTCAGAACAATTAATAAGTGTTTTTATTAGAAATAGCAAATTATTTAGAAGGAACCACTATTAATAATTTATTAGGTAATATTACCCAATCACCATAGGTTTACAAAGCAAAGATAATCAATCTAAGAGAATTATAATAGCAACAATACTCTCAATCATGCTAATCGTCATTTTTTGTGTTGTAATACAATTAATATTGGACATGTCTAAAAAATGTAGAATCAAGTTGAGTAGAGAAAGCACTTCGTTGCCAATTTCATGAATTTTGTATTTTGTATAAAATATACTGAGTATTAGCTCTTATATACTATTTAGATTATTCATAAAATTTTCAATTCTGACTTACACTTCTATTAAGTATATCCTCAATGTAACATCTAACAGCATCAAACTCATTCAATAGAACTTCCCTAGCCTTTCTTAGCAATTTCAATTGTTCTTTTCTCTCCTTTGATCTAACTCCATAATTCACCTAGATAGGAATCTTCTTTATACTTTTGAATCTTCCTTGCATTTTTGTAAATCTTAGAATGATTATTTAAGATTGGCCAATCTTTATTCACCGTCCTTCTAATCCATTTGTGCTGCTATAATGTGTGCTTCAACACCATCTTGTTCATCCTAGAGTATTGAAAGCTACAATATGGTGTACATCTCGATACTTATAAGTTTAAATAGTCCAATTCTCCATTTATTTGATCCTTCACTCGTTAATGAAGGTTTTCTCTATCATCTTCAGCAGTTAATTACACTCTATTAGTACTATCAACTTAATCATATAATTATTATAATAAATTAATGATGGCATTTGCTCTAGTAGTGTCAATAACAGCTTCAGTTTGAGTAGAAACAGTGACAAATTCATCTTTTAATTAATTGATATTTAAAACTTATGATCTTCAGAAATGGTTCATTATTTTAAAGAGTCTCTTAAGCCTCAACTTAGAGATCTCTCATTTGTTATAAGACATCTGAACTAGAGAATTGATGAGAATTATCTTCGTAAGTGTATTGTTGAACAAATGCAACATTCCTTGGACTTCTTGGTAATAATTCCCTAATCAAGTATCTGGCTCTCTTGATTAAACTGCAAATAGCAAAAGAATCATCTCTAGTAATTTCAAAATATGCATTCTATTTATATATTCTATCTTATTTTACTTCATGTTATCTGATCTCCTCTAATTGAGTTAGAGTTGATTCATATTCATTCACAATATTCTCTTTCTCATTTATTTAAGTGTCATATCTATTTGATTCATCTTCCAACAATCTGATGGTTGCACCAATGCTACTATAATCATATTATGCTTCAGCTATTTTCTCTTTCAAACTCTCTAATTATTAATTATCTAATATAAAATTCGTTTTTTTTAATACAGAGTTCTTAATCCTTGGTTAATTATTCTAAATCATCCTACTCGTCTTAAGCTATCTGTCTTTCAATTGTGTTCAATAAACTCTCGATTCTCACTAATTATTCCTTCCTTTCTCAAAATACGCATTACACTATTACCAGAATCTTTTCTGTATTCACTTTGTATATCATTTAACACGTTCAATCCAAATTTGTCTTTAAACATACTATCCAATAGAGTTTAGTCTTCTTGGGACAATTCTGTATTTTCTTTTTATGAGATAACCAAGCAGATTACCAAAAATACTATACAAAGTTTCATATAATTAATATATATCAATAATAAAGTAGATAAATCTAATTTCCATTATAACATATAACCAAAGGTTTGAGAAGAATAGACTTGGCTAAAATATTAAAATACCTAATAATTCATTCAATCATAACAATAAAAGCAAAAGAAATTCTAGTATTTTTTAAATTCCCTTTTGGAAAACTATTTAAACCTATCCTAAGTATGCTATGCATGATCCCTCTGATCTATAATTAGATAATTCAAATGATTAAGGGAGATAATTTCATAAAATTAAATGTATTTAAATGTTAATTTATGTTATTGTATCTTTTAGGTATGAAAATACATATGATCAGAATGACATAAGGTAGAATACAATAAGTATGAATAATAAATAATAGATTGCGCATTAATATCTAGGCATGAAAGGATTTCTTGCATATTTTGAATGGCTCTTGCCACATTTAATATTTATAATTAGTTCATTACTCTAAATTTATTATCAATCAAAACTAAGAGAATGAGTTATTTGACACCACCTTAATAGAAAATCATGAAAATAGCTTAATTTATATATTACAGCAACAAAAAAGTACAAAAATTAGTCATTTAATTTCTTTCTCTACATCAAGTGCCTTGGTCACTTTTTCCATTTTGGATGATTACTTAAAGTCAGCAAAATTCTGGAATGGATTAGTAAGTTATTATTATTTCGATTTCACTATTTATTTTGATTGTTTTTGGTTCATCTAAAATATAAATAAGAGATACTGAAAATAATATTGCATCAAAGATATCTGCATTACCTTGTGGTTATTGATCCTTCTTAAGGAATTCAAAATTCTTCTTTCCAAATGAGATTACATCATTCAAATACTGTTATAATACTCCCATCATATCTGTAAAATCGATAATTGATTTATTGGATTGCTAAATTGATTCAGGCAATTTTTTGAGGTTGATTTCCAATTTCTCAGATAATTAGAATTCAAATTCAGATTTGACAGGGGTTAAAAAAACACTTTATTCAATGAAATAAGAAATCAAGTTTATTATTTAACTGCATTTTTTATTATTGGATTTGATTCTAGGTTAGAAAAAATGTTTGAGTGTTTTTCTGAATAACCAATAGGTGCTTTAGTAATTGAGATCTTTGATAGATATTGATGCCAAGTAGACTACAGAATTTATCATCATGATGAACTAGGTCAGATCCTAATCTTAAAATAATTTCATTATTTACATTGTATTACGGCTTATTAAAATTACTTGGTTAAATGTTTAGCAAACTTTTTTGTTTTAACAGATCTTCCACAAGCTCCCAATTGGATGAGAATTTAATATCTGATACCTATTTTAAATATATTTTCAGCTATAAATTGAAGGATTGGAATTTGTATTTAATGTATTTCCTACCCTAAAAACACCTTGATTATGAGATTAAAATGGTCAATATTATCTGGTTCCTGTAATATCAACTTTAATAGTTTATATGTTCCACTTTGAATCATTAATTAATCCTTCATTTCAAAAAATATCTTCTAACAAAGATTGGAATCCAATTTATCGAAATTACTAAATATAATTCTATAAATGGAATTCCTTTGGTTATTGCTTTTCAACTCGCTTACAAGGAATAACAATTTCGAAAATCTAATCTATTTTGCTTGAAGGGATTTCTGATTTACAATTACTGCTAATATGAGAGTGGTAGTGATTGAGATTGTTTAATCTAAATGAATCAAAACATTATTCATCAATTTCTATTGAGTCAATTCCAACCACTTCTCAGAACTTTATTCATTCAATTACTCAATTATGAGATAGATTTCATTCCAAATATCAATAATGAATTCATCAGACACATAGGGATGAGTCAACAATTTCCTCAAACTTGTAATCAATGCTTCAACTTCAAATTCGTATCTATTAATCCTTGAAATTAGAAGATTCAACAATTGCAAATAGAGTAAAACTTAAAATTATTATTTTAGTTGAGGACTGGTTCGAATGTATTACTCAACTACAATTGATTTTTATTCAATAATAGATTAGAAGTATTAACCGTTTTAACTATTATAAATATTAAGATATTACTCCTTTTCATCAAAATCTGAAAACTTCTAACATTATTACTCAAGCTTCTCCTAATTTGCATATCCATTAGTCACAAAAACATGGTCGAATTGTTGGAGGAGGTTATTCAATTGTTTCTCATAATATTATTAGGACAACTTGTTATTGACTTTCAATAAGCAAAGCAAGAAACTTCTCGAAGTTGAAGAATCGATACTAATATTATAATTGACCTTTTTAGATAATAGATTATACTGAGAAATTAGTCAAAATGATATCTTGCATTTATTTTAACTCTTTGCATCTGACATCAGATAATGGTTGATAGAGTTGCAATAGTTGTTGCAAATTATTCTTAAGATTTTAACTTTAAACTACGTTGATTTATTGGGACAATTCATTTTTCCCTTAAAATATCTCAGATAACATAAAGGCATGAGATTTATTGACTAAATCCAAGCAATAATCAGAGAGCGAGGACTACTAATACTTCTTGTGTATCTTTTAATAATAGGATAGTATTCTAAATGTATTCTCCTTAGTGTTTTAGTTGAGTTATTTGAAGATTTCAGTCAAGTAATCTTATAATACATTTTTTGTATTCTAGAAGGAATCCAGAATATCAGAGAACAAATAGTAGAGTTAAGTGTTCTAATTTTGTTTTAGATTTGACTTATCAGGAAATTGAAATTCGATCTGTTAATATAAGGGTTCGTAAATTAAATTGGTGAAGAAATTAAAGATTTGTTTTTCTGATAAAAATAATTTATAGAATTTTTTATAAACGGTGATAATTAAATTCTAACTATTAATAATTCTATTAAAATATTAGATCAAATACATACAATTATTGAAAATAAGGAACTAGATTTCGAGCATTCTTCTTTTGAATTCCAATTTTGGTAGTCAACTTAGTATTCCCATTTTCATCCACAAACATACCTTAAAAGTCAAACACATTAGTAATATCCTGCTCATATAATTGGATAAAGAAAAAGGAGTAGATCTTCGATACTAGAGACCAGAAAGGCTAGTATAAATCTGGCTTATCCTCATATCGATATTAAAGCAGGAATTAAATAAAAGAATAGCTAAAACAGTACGGTTCTCTCTTAAATGCCTATTTGATAAATTAGAGGTAAACAATCTGATGATCACTTTCTTGTATAGTCTATATATAAAAGGAGTGACAAATACCTTCTTAATGTTTTGTTCTAGATCTTAAGCTAATCTAAAGGAATCGACTTTCTGTCCAGAAAGTCCATTGAATCCCATCCTATAGCTAGAATCTACGTCACGATGATTGTTGATTCTGAGGAGTTTGAGAACTCTATAAAATCGGAACTCAAAGTCAGCAGTTTTCCAATGTAGTTTGATAGTCTTAGTAAGATATGAGCAATTGATCCAGAGATGGGATGACTGGGAAGTCATGATATAGAATATCAGTTTTAATATATTTGCATCGTTATTCTTCTCTTGAGTCATGATGTAGTTATCCAATTTGACTAAAATAAATTTATAGTTTAGAGAATCCCATTTTATTAGTCTTTTGAACGCCAATATGATGTCTTGAAATGTTAAATTGCTGATTTTCAATTGTTATTCTTAAATTGTGTGTCCGATGAAGGAATCAAATAGTTTTTCAGCGTATGTTCTGAATGATTACTTTTGAGTAAGATCAATTTAAATTAAATCAATTAGGAATTGATGATGGAAGGATTTCAATTACTTTTGACCCAATAATTAGACTATTTTATTCAATAATATTTGATCTTCTTAAACTATGGCTTTGGAAAAGATGGTTAACATAATTTTGGGATGCTTTTCCAATAGTTTCTTATTTGATAACAAGGCAAAGCAAAATTGATTGGTGTTAAAATTTAAAAAATAATCTTGAAGTAAGTTTATTCCATCCACAAAGTCTTCATCTCTCCCTTAATACAAGGAGACTGATTTTATTGTGATTCGAAGAAAGTTATCAAATTAAGATTGCGATAATTGTTGACAAAAATAACGATCACTATACAGATTCTTAATTTATTCAAGGAGATCAGATGACTTTAATAATTTCATAAACCCTAAACAATTGTTATAGGCGATCTAATCTGGACAATTTGTGTTATTAAATGCATCCAGAACAGTTTCAACATCTTATACTTTTTGATTGCCAATCTAGCGCCAAACATCCATTATTTTTGAATTATTTTATTTTATAAATTGCAGACTGCTAGCAATATATACTAAAATAGATTCATTCAAAATCTGTGATTAGAATAAGAAAAGAAATCAACTAGTTGAAGGAAATTAATGCTGGGATACATGAGAAATAGCATACATATGAAATTAAGCAATATTGGAGAATAGAACACAAATTTAAAGAATCTAATTGTAAATTATAAAGATCCTTTTGCATATGTAATTAAAGTAGATATTAATATAAATTTTAATATCTTTGGATTTAGATACATATTTTCATTCATCTCTATTTCAAATTATAATCAGTTAAGATAATAATTGACATTAGAGATCTCATGACAAATCAATTATTTACTATTTTAGATTCCATTACTAGAACTGGCACTTTACTAATCTCTTATGATCAGTAAGAGAAACAATAAAAATTGAATTTGACACTCATATATTATTAGATTATATAAAATATAATAAATAAAAATGGATAACAACTAGCAGGTTAACTTTCTGGAGGACCAAGAACAATTTTATGAAAATAATGAATATGAATAGACTATGGGAAGATAATTTGAATCAGTCGTTGTCATTAAAGATGAAAAAGGTGAAGTACAAAAGAAATACACATTGACAATTCAAATAATTAAAGCAAGTTACTTGTCTTCCATATTTGTTTAGATTACCAAAAGCCTTACTTGGGAGGATTAAAAAATAAGAAGTCTGGTGCTTTATTACATCATGCATTTGCTCAAACTGACTAATATCGTAGAGAGCATAAGGAAAAAAATCATAGAGACACACAAACCCATTTTGAATCCACAAAATCAACTATAATGATGAGAGAATTTGGTACTTAAATGGAAAAGGAGGATCTATTCATTGATTTAAGAAATGATAGAACTTTTGAACCAAAATTGTAACAGTTGTCTAAAACTTCTTAGATATTTTACAAGTGAAATGTGGGAAGAACGAAGAGAAGAAGCTGCTTTATTTATTTAACGATTAATCAGAGGTTGGTTTGCCAGGAGAAGAACTAATGCTTTGAGACAAAAAAAGCAGTAATTACAAAATGAATAATTGGAAAAAGAAGAGGATTTTAGAAGACAAGAAGAAGTCAGACATAAAAAAGAAATAGAAAGAAGAACCAATCCCAGAACCAAAGAAGATTTCCAAATTTTATATGAGGAATTAGAAGTATTTGCTATTCATCTATAAAAATCAGCTTTGGAGAACAACTGAAATTGCGAGAATCAAATCTTCTGCCATGTCTGAGGAGGAGAAGAGGGCAGCTCTTAAATAAGTCTTAAATAAGGAAACAGACTTACTGTAAACTATTGACAGATTGAAGATTATAGCTAATCAAAAGAACAAGGATGAGAAGATCAATAAATTCTTGAAATCTATCTCAGATCCTAAAAAATGGTTAAGGAAATCTGATGGTAGATTCACTGAAGTCCACACTCTCTATACAACAAGAGCTAGAGAATTGATGGACATCTATAATGGTACAAACTCTTTTTCTATTTTCTAGGTTTAAAGCAAAGAAAACTTAGTTTAGATGAAAGACTTGACATTCTTGTTAATACAAAATGGACAGTAAAAGAATGGGATTGCAATTTGACAAGGGAAATAGTTGATTTAATAGATAGAGAAGCAGATATGTTAAATAGAGGTAGACCAGAACCTTCTTTGGAGGGTTTAAGACAAAGACTATAGAATTTGTTTCTGTAATTCATAGAAACACCAGAATTTAATCCAGAAGCAGCAAGATTTTAGAAAATCCCATACGAAATTCTAAAATCCACTTCTTGATCAATATCAAACACCAAAAGAGCTTAATTAATACATATAGATTCAAAAGAATTATTCACAATTTCTAATCTCTTAGTCTTATATCTAGACAATATTTACATGCAATCTAGTTTCTCCATAAATCATTAATTAATTCCTCTTATATAAATATCTATATAAATTTTAAAAGAATAAAAACTTAGAAATTCTTTTTGTTCTTTATTATATATAAAAATGAAATTGATTTGATAAAATTTGTAATATCTTTAAAAAGTCAATACTCAAAAGATGTAAATTATATAATAGGTTATCAATCTAAGAATCACATGTCTATATTCTATATATGACTATTGACTTTTGGAATTTCAAAGCTTTGTATTTATGCCTAAATCAACTCATTTTCATGTAGTAGTTGTTCAATTGATTGTTGTTTATTATTGCTACCATTCTTCTGTTAAGAATTTTAGGACTATGATTATTAAAATATATATATTACACTTATACTTCTTGAAAATTGATTACTTTGCTTATCCGTTGAATATGTACATAATTAGATTGCGCTATCTAAAAATAATTGATTAGTTTCTTACTCTGTTTCTTTTGGCTTGACAATTCATCATATTCTAAGCAACTTAATTTAATAATACGCATACATTGATTAAACTTAATTGTTGAACTCGTCTAATTTATTATTTACTAGATAGTCCTTGTAAGCCTTATTGAAGTTCTCAATGAATTATTTCTAATTTTCATTTACATGCTTAATCTCTAGATTTCTTAGAATTTAATTACATTTTAATTCCTCATTGATTTCGTGCAATTTAATGTTATTGTACTGATTCTTCTCTATCTTCTATTTGAGTTGATCAAAATATTGATCATTCAACATTAAGGATTGCTTTCTATAGAGAGTACCATTCTTTGAGCTCTCTTTGACAGTTAAATAGTATTCTTTGACTTTCTGAGCATTAAAATAGTGCAATTTTGGGAACTAGACACCTTGGTCAATTAATCTTTAATAACTACAATAAGAGCATATCAATTTACACTTGAGTAATGGCTAAATTATTTGGGTGCCATAGGTTCCATACAAAAATGCTTTCAAGTGCTAATCGTATTAATGTATTTCCAAGCAATAAAAGGGATTAATCTAAGTAATATTTAGATGTACCTGGTTAATCACTGAAATAAAATTTGCCTCTCTCGTTTTTCTTTAAATCTGCCATGATAATATCCTCAATCATATAAATAATGTTGCTGGTCACAGAATACACAACACAATCATAATGTAGATCCATGAGTTCTTTTGTCAACTGCTCAGCTAAACATACCAACAGACTTACTCTCATAGCAAGCACTAATTATATCGGTTGAGATTTCGGACTTTGAAAAATGTCCTCCAATGTCTCAATTACTTAGTTCAAAGTATCCCTAAGATTATTTTAAATCAATTACTCATCCTATATATTTTCTTTAAATCGTTTTATGTTTTTATAACTTCCCTCAGAAGATAAACATTCTTTTAAATTTTTCATAATTTATATATAAATAATATTGTAAATTGCAAAATACATGGATATCAAAAGAATAAATGAAAATAATATGGCTCTCCAATTCTAAACTAATACAATAATATATCGTATTGGTACAACCTAATCAATTGTCCAGGGTCATTAATTTAATTTAATAATAATAAATCACCATAAAACTAGTATTATACACAGTTTAAAATTATCAAAATGTCTTTTAGTAATTTATCTTTTTTATTCCATTTATAAATTCAACTCTTTATAAGTTCAAACAATTAAATTTATTGTATTGATCAGTTTCATTTAAATACATCCAACATCCCTCTTCCTTCCCATTCTAATTAAATGTTCCAATTATTCTAATAATAGAGACTACTTAAGAACCTCGTAGGAAATAATTCTGTATTGATGGAACTAGAAGTATTAGTGTCCCAATTTCTTCTATAATTGAGTGGAAATGATTCCCATAATCCATACTTTTTTCCATCTTTGTATTCTCCTTATTCAATTCTCCAAAATCTAAATTATTACAATTAACTTACTAATCGTTTTGTAGTTCTAATTCCTTCCATTTTCCGACCTTCTTTCCTTAATTATATCGGCCGCCTCCTCTATTTAGTTAAACATAGATTTTACTTTTATCTAATTTAGTTATTTATGAAAAGGAGGATATCCCAATATTCATCTTTCTCACCATCCACATAACATCCTTACAACACTATAAAAGTCACAAGTTTTTCTGATTAAATTAAATATTTAGAAATTTCCATCCAGATTCCTTATTTCTGACCATTCTCATCATAAATCATATTTGGGCTATAATATCAATCTATAATAATACAAATGCAATTTTTCTAGGTTCTTTCCATTGTTCTTGATTGTCCAAATACCCGTCCTTACTCCTTGATTATAAGTACCAGATTCAAGAAATTACATTAAACTAAAAATTCTATTACAATAAATACTTATTGAAATATTGACAAGTATCTATCCAATATCCATTTTTCAAACCGTTTACATAAGTTCCTCCACCTCTACAAATAGATTATTTAATTACATTGTACTGTAGGAATTTTCAGAGAAATACTTAAATTTTGTCCACCAAATACCATTCTTAACATCATCAAAATATCTTCCCTTATAAATAAGTAAAAGGTTTCTTAGTATAGAGAATATGAATACTTAGAAAACTCCGGATGCAATTCAATCCATCGTCTAATTTTTTATCCTTTACCATTATATATTCCTTTATTCCTATTTATTTAGTTTATATTCTTACAGAAGCTGTTAACCGACGTAGGATTAACCTATCCATAGAAACTTATTAGTCATCCATTTTCCAACTCTTATACCATCCTTATATATTCCAGATTCAACGAGATAATTTTGCCTACTTTATAGATTCAAATTAATAACTTGGTAAAACTGCTAAATACTTCATGGCAAAGTCCTTCTTTTCGTCCATTCGTATTATACATAACTCTTTGATACAAGGGACTGTTCTACCAAAAAGCCTTCCATTCACCAATTTATTTTATAGAATCTTTAAGGTCTCCTTTCCATTCCAGATTTTGGATCTGCTCAATATTCTTAAATATTTAAGCATTTATATCATTCATTCTTTATTATATATTATGCCATTACTTTCTTAATTGTTTACCATGCATTTCGTAGATTACTTCCCCTTAATTGTTATAAATTACACAGAGAGTTTAAAGTTTCGTTTATTAACCTATTTCTATTTCAATTACTTTCTCATTTGAGGGTCTTTAATATAAACTTTTGATCATTATACTAAATATTATTTTCTATTAAAGAAAAAGTTTGATTTTACATTTTTTAATACAAAATATACAATCAAACCAATAATTTTGATTTTGCAATACGTAATTATACAGAATGAAGAATAGTTCCATAAAAATTAATTAAAATAAGTTAGATAGTATTTAGGATATATTTTACTTTAATGATGAAATATTTAATAAATGTATAATAATCATTTCGAACTTGCAGGAGACGATAATTTCATTAACTTTCCGGTGGATTTCAATTAGTAAGCAGATAATATATAAACAAAGATCCCATTTTCCATATGTTAATAGTTGCTCAAATAGATAATGTCAAAATACTGATGTTGAGGTTCCAATTTAACAATAGTTATTTTCTAAATATCTATTACCTAAATAAACTTAGAGAAGGAAAAAGAAAAAATAAGAAGAAACAATTTTATAAAATAAATAAAACTCAAAGAACGCATACATAAACAAAATTTCATCTCTCATTTAAGAATCTGTTCCAACCACAGCTCCTAAACTTGAGAAGAAAGTCTCAAATTTTCAAGATGATTCTACTTAGGCTAAGCTACTTCGAAATAGAGAAAGTGCAAAAAATTCAAGAAAGAGAAAGAAGATTTATTTGGAATTACTCGAAAACAGAGTAAATACACTGAAGGATGAATTGGAGAAGTGTAAGAAGATTATAAAAGATCATAGTAATTGTATGTTATTAATTGGATCTAATTCACAAGTAAGTATTTACAACCATCCTTAGTAAAAAGCCTGTTAAGAAGATAGATAAAAATTGTTTGACAAGTTGAAATCGGCAATTTAAGATAATTCTGATAATAATGATATTAATCTATTACTTGACACAATAAAATTTAAGTTTGGAGGAGGAGGAGGGAAAGAAAGGGTGAACGATGCAAATTATGTTCTGTAATAAGTAATGGAAATCTTTCCTATTCATGTGAAGTATTTGCTATGGGGTTCGGACTCAATTCTCACTTAACCCAGCTGGTTTACTGATTTAAATAGAGAAGTTGATATATCAGACTATTAAATGAGATCCTTAAACCAATCTTACTAAAGAATATAATATGACAAGTAGAAGATAGAAGAGTAAAATTATATTTTATAAAAGTATCATTGAACAATTATAAACTGTCAAAGTTAATTTGTATTAAAAGACTTATTCGTTTGGAAACTTTATTGATGAGTTGAGAAACATCTTCACTCCTACTCAAGTCTCTAAGTTGATATTAGGTTTGGAGAAGGTAAGATAATTTCATATTATTATGATAGAATAAGTATTCTAAGGAATTTAGTGTGTTGAATATGTAGAAACAATTTGAGGATGAATTTGATACAATAGACAAATAAGAAGAATGGTAATTCGATGATACTGTATCAAAAAAGATTCATATTTGATATATTGTTAATTAAAATCATTATTTTTATAAAATTTAATCTCTAATTTGATTTCCAATAATGTGACGATAATTTGGATCTCTTTTAATTTTCCTGATTGATCTAAAACCTTCAACTGATTAGAGCAGCTGATTTTCTCTATCTTTAACTTACGAATACATAGTCTGGGGCATCGTAGATAGCATCTTTTCAAATTGATCAATTTCTATCATAGCATTGTCTTTAAAATCATTATCCAGATTTATTTCATCTACTTAAATTGTATTTTGAAATTTCTCTAGTTTTTAATCCGATGTTTCAAACTTGGTTCTTATTTTGTCCTTATTCACAGATTTGGGTAATAGATTGGAACTCATAAAATGATTAATCAGAATTGGATTTTTATATTTGTCAACATAAGTGAGATTCTTGATTGGCAATCCTCTAAAATCGGGTAGATCATAAGTAGATTGTTGAATAAAGGATTGCTTGGGCTTGCTTAATCTTTGAAATAGAGGTTCCTCTGTGAATTGAGTAGCAGGAGCAGATTGATAAGTTTTCTTCAAACCTAATTTGGCATAGATTTATTCATTTTTGAGTTTCCTCTATTCAAATTAGTGATGTTTCTCTTAGTTCTTCTAAATCCTTTCAACCTCCATTTATTCCCTCCTAGCCATTTCTGCATTATATTTTTTCTTAACAACGCAATAGACATTCTGCATTCCAGCAATCGTCTAAGGGAGAAAGACTATATCAATTTGTTTCTTTGGCATATTCTCGAGATGATTCCAAGCAAAATCTGTTCCATTGATGACATGTTACACATTCACATTGTTATATAATTCAACATCCTCGGAGGGCAAAGCTTGTTGTGCTTTGGTAATGGGTTGATGACTATTGACTTGGAGCATAGCCTATTCTAATTTTCTCTTCTGGGATCGGGAAGCACTCTCAACTCTATGTTTAGCAATAACTTCTCTTTTAGAAGACATTAATATTATTATCCAAACTGTTTTGATTAAATTATAATTATTTTAATGAGACAATTGATACTTAACACTTGGCACTTGAGGATTAATCAAAAAAGAGTATCAAATCATATATATTATATCATAATTTTACACTTTGGTTATGTATTGCATTGATACCCTTCCTATTCAAAACCACTAATTGTTCCTTCAACACATTTGAAAGCATCATAGTTTCTAGAAGCACCTTCTTTAATTCTTGTTATCTTTCTTTTTTATTTACAGCTTTGGCATCAACTTCATTTTATTTGACTTCCTCTTTCTGAGAAGATCCAAAGTGTTATAGACTTTTTTAATTCTTTTTCTTCTCATTGAGTACTTCCCAAATCTTCAACTTTTTCTTCTCATTATATTTGCTCCTCAGAATATTGTACTCCCTTTGAAACTCCTCCAAGGTTAGATCTCTTTAAAAGTGTTCCAATTCATAAACATGAACCTTCAAGTGTCCTTATGCAGTCTTATAGGCTCTATAAGTAATCTTGCTATCTAATTCTTATGATAATTCATTGGCTTCTCCCATTTTGATGAGCATTTCATATTCATATTCATTCTTGCCTTAGTTAATTGTTAATTAGAGTAGTCGATCTTCTTCTTATTATTTTTGCTTAGCCAATTGTAAATAATGTTTGGATCTGTTCTATAAGGGTTTATCATTAAAGTTAGATCTTTATGATAAGTGTAAATTTACATTTTGAGATCACTGAAACCTGATTGATACTTTTTGGAGATGCCACTGACGGGTCTGGAATCTACCTTATTGAAACCACTGCGCTTAGTGCTGGCTGACTATGGTTTTGGTTTCTTTTGGGCTGAGAACTTCCTCTTAGATTCCTATGCCAATTTGAGTGCCTTTTCCCTTATAAACTCTAACATTGCATCTATAATGAATAATGAGGTTGTAGAAATACTCTCGTTTTAATGCCATGCAGGTACTTTCTTACATAGACTTTCAATAGTGATTACACCACGATCATTAGATAGATCACTAAGGATTTAATTGATTTCGTGTTGATCAAATTGAAATCCTTATATATTGATGATATGTAACCTGATTCCAATAGAAAAGCTATGAATTCAGTTTAAGAAGCCATGATTGTATGATTCTTCCAGAATTATTCAATTAGTATTTTGTGAAACGACACTAATTAGTTAAACTTCTTGAGAGCAGGAGAAGTGGGTATGGCTTCAAAAGGTTTGGGTTATTATTCTACTGTATGCTATTCTTATTTTTTATACGAAAATTTGGAACTTTCAGGCCTTCCATGTTTAGATTCAGGTCTCTTGTTACTCACTTTAGGATATAACTACAATTATGTAACTGAATTACGGCATATTGTTTTTCAAGATTTTCCTCGAATTTGTCATCTTCACTATTGTCATCTTCTAGAAAATGCTAAGGGAATGTTGAATAAAAAGTATTACTTAATCATCCTCACTCATTATTTAATTATAATTTATTAGTATAATGTAGATGTTTTTGTAAAAATATAATAATAATATCTCAAAAATATGATGGAGTCTTAGGTGTCGTTTGAGATTGTTTGATTAGAGTGCTTTGATTGAGTTTGTTAACTTGCTATGATATATATTCTAAAATACATTATTGGTTTCATCAAGTCTGATTAGTAGATAGGCTTCTTGTTTCTTGAGTTCTTCTATCTACTGCAATTTTAAATCTGCTTCCAAAGAATGCTGAGATTTGGAGATTTGATGTTCCTGAATGAAACGAAGGTACTTTTATTTGCGAAAGTTTTGAATAGTTTATTGAGCAATTTAGACAGAACTCTGAACTTGTTATTTTTATTCTGCTTTTTATTATTTTATTGAATCCAAGTTCTATCGAATGATGTACTCATTTCTTTGAGATTGCTCTTTAATATTCTTAACTTCTTGTTGCTTCATCTATCGAAAATTGTATTGAATTAGTTTTTTATCTTGAGATTGTTGCATTTTCATACTCCTTGTCTTATGCACTAGATTCTGTAATTGCATGTTCACTTAGTCCTTATGAGCTTATTTGAATTCCTTGAATTATTCATGATCCTCCCTTATCTTATTCATTTGTTCCTGTTTTTATTGTTGGATTTGCAATTTCTTCTCTCTTACTTAAAATATCGAAATCATACCTCATTTCATTCTCCAATTTAAGAAGACTGACTCTTCTTCTCACAGCTTCCAATTGTTTTGTGGCATCATAAAACTCCTTTTTTGGTGACACATTCGATAATTGAGATGTATCCACATGAGGTGCTGATGTAGAGAGATATTATTTAGATTATTTACTCATAAATTAATCAAATTCTAATTTTTTTAGATCTGGTTGCACTAATATTGTGATTAAACACATTCAATGCCGATCTTGGAGTCATTATATTGTGACAACTACTATGTCTCTAACTCGTATTTCGACTTGTGTTGACAATATAACTGACTCCTGTGTTCTTGCCAAAATCTTCTAGCAACAATATCAAATTCGATTCCAACAACTACTTCAATTCAAATAGAGAAAGTGCGTTACTCAATTTCTCCTATGCTGTCTTTATTGAATTACTATACTACTTTAGAGTATGATCATTCAAATAGCGATTTTACTTAGAATTCACATTCTAATTGAACTAATTAATAAAATCCAATTCATTTCTTATTAGTTATTATGCTCTCTCTTGATTTTACAACAAATACCGTTACTGAATACTATCTATCATTTCATTTATTTGTAGTTTCAATTATTCAAAGAAATTCCCAAATGGGTTTTTCAATTTTAAAAAGAGTTCCTCACTCTCCTTCATCAAACTCTTTGCCCTCTTACTGTTCTCATTGATAATTTAATCGAATTCCTCGATCTCCTTCATGTCTTCCACATGTTTCCCATGCAATTTGATTACACAATGTGCGCATGCCTTCTAATAACGATATGGACATTCATAACAAGCACAAATAAATTGAATCAAGTTGTTCTCGTGTCCTTACAACTTACAGCATTCCTATTATTCTAATCGAGAAGTTAGAGATTCCTTTACTTTTGGGTTCTTCATCATTTATTTTCGTTAAATTATATTAATAATTATGGACAACAAAGTTCAGGAAATATTTGAAAAGCTATTACAATTCAATTCAAGCGATGAATTACAAGCTTAATAGGCCTAATTGGAAGCCCTGCTAACATAGATCAAAGATGGTAATGTTAAATATTCAATTAGAAATGTAAATGCTGATTCAAGACACTCATTTTGGCAAAGATCAATACTACCTCTAATAATTTGAAAGGATAGCAGATTCAAAGAAGAGATTGGATTAAGTCAATGCCAAGATGGTCAAGATCTAATAAAGAGTTGATGTAATTGAGAAAAGGTTCATTAAATTATCCTAGTGAAATGATCTATAATTAATATTGATTTTATAAAGAATAATATTCATCTGCAAAATCTATGCTGCTCACTCTGGAGTTCATAACAATCTATTGGATTATTAATTCCATCTAAAATTAGATTTGTGTGTATATAATTATAACTTTTTGAATTGATGAATTAACATATTCAGATTATAAGTATTAAAAGAATTACTATATATAATGGAAAGATAATTGTAATTATAAATTACCATTGTAAATATCCTTAAGATAATACAATAATAAAGTCTTATTATTAGTCATTTGCCTTATTTAAGCGTAGCCTTAAATTTGGCACTCAGCAGGGAACTTACAAAACTATAAAATTTATTCATTTTCTTCTTAACAAACTTCTAAATTTTCTTAGCTTATATTGTCATTCTATAATCTCTTCTTTTTTTCACTAATTCATATGATTCTAAATGAGAACTTAGATGTTCTAAACAATCCATCTGTCCTTTCAATATCTCTATATCAGGAATGAAATCTTCTCTTCTTAAATATTGTTTATTAAAATTATCACCTGAATAAAATTAAACCTCTTTATTCTGCTCTTTATTCAGTTTCATCTTCTCCTCATGTTTCGCTAGAAATTCTTATCCTTATTGAACCCTATAAATATAGAGAGTATTTACTAATCTTAGAGGTAGAGTCTACTGCAAATGATATTATTGATATTTCTAAACAGACTCATGTAATGTTCAATGATCTAAGATAAGGTTTTCTGATTGTATTGAAGAGGAGCAAATTTCTATTAGATTAGATTGTCGAATTCCCTGAATTAAGCAAACAGCTCTTCCAACCCAAAATCAATTAGAATTGATTCAAATTTGTTCTAAAAAGCTTAAAACTAAATTATACTCATAACTTACTCTTTTGTATGCCTCATTGACGATGAGGAAGGGTTGAGTATCAGGTTCAAAAACGAACTCCTTATTAACAATCTTAGGTTGAGTAGTTAGATTTTGTAATTTGAGATGTTTAACAAAAAACCCAGTTTCAGAAGCTATAGTGTAAAAGGAATCAATCGATACTCCAGTCCCAGTGAATGAATAAGCCTCTCTATATAGAGTTGCTAATTCAAGGTCTGTAATGTAGGGGTAATTGCTGATTAATACAACTCTGAATTGTTTGAAACTGATATTAGTGGCTCTGCTCCCGAATGCTATTTTAAACATCTTGTATCTATTTCTACGTTCTACTCTATAGAATTCAAGTAATATTCTCAAAACAAAAGAAGCATCTACTATGAAAAGGTTCTTAGTAATGGTCTTATTGACTGCTTTTTCTCTCAAGACCTTCTTGACTTGTTGGAGTGTGGCAGTCTCATATTGCGAGAGTAGATGAGTGGCTACAAACTCTGCCTACAACAATGGAATGTAATGATGTGGTTCATAGTATGCTGTGGCATGAAAACATTCAGGTCCTCGGAATAAGAGATTTCGTGCATACAAATAAAAGTAGATCTCATCTTAACTAGTAAAGTCATTTAAGAATTCTTAGAATGTTATGCATTCCCAATTCTTCTCAAATACAGGATTACTGAAATCCACTATAAATTTAATAATCTGATCATCTATGCGATGAACATCGTGATCTATCTTTTTAATGGATTTGCTTTACATATCTACTTTGAAATTCATTAAATGAGAATATGTGAATTCAGCTAAATGAGTCCACAATTTCTCTGGTTTCATCTACATTTCATTCCATTTGCTATCAAGAATAACTCTTAACGTAACCAACAATTATAAATTGGGTCTTTTATATTGTAATCCACTAAACTCTTGTTCTAATGTCTTCTTATGATGTTCAACCAAATTGACAAATGGACAATATCCAATTGTGAATTTCTCCAGTTATATTTCCTATGCATTAAAGTGTTATTCCATAGTAACTATTGAATGTCCCACTCTAGAAACAATCCTACCTTTTTCCTCCTGTAGAGCTTGATAAGTCAGACGCTAATAAGTCTTATCATTACTGAATAAATCATTGAATTTCTCCAAGCCTGTCTTCTCCTTCTCAAAATTATTATTGGGTAGTGGTTCTATGTCCTTAGACTTCTCAATTTGGAATCGATCTAATTTTGATTACAATTGTATTAACTTATCTTTGGCTTTAGAGGCTACACTTAATTCTTCCTTGTAATACATGATTCTCACTTCAAAGTCTTCTCTCTGCATACAAGCAATTTCCCTGTACCTGTTCATTAAGTTTGTATGAATTTCATTCTCCTTAATCAATCGATCGAGATGTTACTTATTGGCTTCAAATACAGTTTAATAGGCTTTGGATTCATTTTCTAATTTATTATATTGAGATTTGATGTTCTAATAATGGAGATTGAGTTTTTATAGTTATTTCTCTTTAATTTAATTTTCATTCAAGAGTTCATGTATTTTCTCACTTGACTTTCTTGCTAATTCTTAGTATTATTCTTGTAATTTCTGAATATTAGTTTGATTTTCTATTTGCTTTAATTTATCTTAAATTCTTTCAATTTCATTCTTCAATCTCACATTCTCCATGTATAATTCCTTCTACCTCTTGACACTCTCATTTTTATTAAGTTTAGTCTACCCATCGTCTTTATTGTGAGACAATTATTGAAACATCGTCTATAGTTGTGCATATTTATTTTACACCTCATTAATCGTTGCTTCTTTGCCTGCCAACTATCCCAAAGCGAGTTCAGCCTTTTCTCTCTACTCATCTACAAATTAAACGAGATGCTTAAGAAACTTGTTATTTGATAATTGATAACTCAAATATCGATCACTTAAGTACTGGAGATTCTGTTCATTGCAAACTCTCCATAATTCAGTTTCAAATTATTGTAATAATACATCCAAGAAGTCCCTTTTAATTGGCAATTGCACTCTCTAAAATACTTCATCTAGTTGGTTCTTTCGTTGTTATTCAATTTGAAAAATGTACTTACCCTCTGTAAATTTACTCTTAAATAGCTCAAGTGCTGTTGAAACTTGAGGTGGTTTATTAGGAGATTTCAAATCAGGAATAAGTTGTCTCAATGTTTGTTATGATTTATTTAATAAGCGACTCTCCACTTGTCTCCTTTTGGCCTCTTTTGTTACCATCCTCTATAATATATTGGACATATTAAATTTTTATTATTTGTACTTATATCTGTACTATAAATAAATAATTTTATATGATTCCCTCCATCACCCAAGCGCATAAACAAATGAGAGAAAGTGGCATTTCCTTTTAGACTAAGCTCTAACATTCACTCAGATTGTCCGAGCAATACCATGCAACTGTACACTTAAAAAGAGAGGATCAATAATTAACAAGAGTATTCAAAATGAGAAGTGCCTTCACATCTCTACAATCTCTTACAAAAGAGTAAAAAGAAAAGGGAGTAGTAACAGTGAGTGATGGTAACTTTGCTTAAGCATTTGCCTTCTTCTGTAATCACTTCAAGATTAAAGGTATAATAGTACGTCATTATGCAAAGGTATGATTTTTGTCCCTGAAGTCTGTTATGGATGGAAAATTGATTTGATACAAAAAAATGGTAAGCAATTCGTAGAAGTCAAAACAGCAGGAGAAAATTTCGATGAATGTGAAGAGGCAGCAAAAAAATACATCAAGGAAAATGATAAAATACTTATCCATCCAAGTGACAACATCAAAGCCATACATGGTTGTGGTACAATTGTACTATTATAATTCAACATAAGGGAATTGAAATTCTTGATGAGATGAAAGGAGATTTGGATTACGTATTTTTGCCTGTTGGACAAGGAGCACTTGCTGCAGGAATTGCCACTTATATCAAAGCCATGAGTCCAAATACCAAGGTAATTGGAGTCTAACCAGATGGAGCTGATTCCATGATTCAAGCATTCTAAGCAAAAAGAGTTGTGAAATAGGAACACTTCTCTAGATTTTGTGAGGGGTCTGCTGTTCCATCAGTGCCTAAATTATGTCTAGATATTTGTATGGAGAAGCTTGATCAATTGGTTAAGGTAGAGGAAGGTAGAGTCAGTACTACAATCTTACAATTATATAATCAAGGAATTGCAGTTGAACCTGCTGGTGTAATATTATCATTAATTACATTAGGCACTCTCTGTATCTGTTCTTGATCAATTTGCTCATGAAATCAAAGGCAAAAATGTAGTTTGCATTCTCAGTGGTGGCACTGTTGATTTGTCAAGATTTGATGAATTCAAAGAGCATTCGCAATTGCATGAAGGCTTGAAGTATTTCTTCTTGATTGAAATGCCCTTTAAATCTGGTATTCTCAAGAACTTTGTTAGTTTGTATTTGATCCTCGTTATTTCATAGCTGTCTCGGTCCTGATGATGATATCACTCACATCTAATTCCAAAAGAAGGCCAATCGAGAGAGAGGTCCATGTTTAGTAGCCATCGAAGTTGCTAAGAAGGACAGTATCAAACAAGTCATGGAAAATATGAGGAAGATGCACTTGTAATTTAAATTAGTGAATGATTCAAAGGAACTATATGATTTGCTTGTTTGAAGGAGTTATTTCATAATTATAATAATAAAATTTACATAATTATTCATTTTTTAAATGGTTCATAATTCATAGACTTCACATTCCGTAATCTCTGCTAATTTAGGTACCAAAAGGAAGCCTTATTAATTATCTTTTGGATCTTTGAAGTAATTTTACCCTATGTTGATGTATCCTTCTTTGAAGTCAGCAAATATCTGCAGATCATTCTTACCAAACAATGGTCCATAGTTTTAATTCACAGAAATTGCTTGATGTTTGAAATCACTTTTAATTGGATAGTATTGTATCTAAAGATTTGGGTTTTGTATAAACAAAAATGAAATGCCTTGATCATCTGACATAAATTAAGGTTAAGCAGACTTCAACCATTGGCAAGGCGAATATCCTCCAAAAACACACATATTGGACTTTGATTTCATTATCATGAGTAGATTGGATTTGTTTTAGATTTTATTCCAAAATTTGATAGTCTCAAACCCATCCTTTGATCCTTAGTAAATCAGTGAACACTTCGCACTCTACTTTTTGGGGATCTTATAAAGAATGTCCTAGAAATTTGAAGTTGACAATAAGGAGGACTATACACTCAAGAGTGGATTGACTAACCGTGACTATTCAGTAACTGCCACCTAGAATTATTCTAATCCAGACTTAAATGAATTTAATATTTCTATTGATGATGGAACCTTGGTACTTAGTCATTAAGATTAAATAATTACTTGATTACTTTATTCTTATAATCCTTAACTTGATCTTCAATTATCTTTAAGATTACATCCTTGTTCACCTGGGTTATTGAGTTTATATAGTCTTATATTTTAAGTTCTATTTAAGAGTTTACTTCATGGCGAGTTCTGTAGATGATTGCAGATGCCATCTTATCCAAATTTTAATTTTTTTGATTGGCCTTAATGTATTATTCGAAAATCTCGAATTTGATAATCTATTTTTAATAGATATATTAACTCTTTTTAATTCTATTCTATAATCGCTAAGTATCTTAGTTAACGTATCAATGTAATTTTCGGTTTCATATATCAGGCTTTCTAATGCAGTCTTTATTTCTTATAATTACTTTTTCCAGTAGTTTTTAAAAATACTTAGATCTTCTTTCTTTGCCTTGAGGATGTTAGAGAAAAATGATTTCAATTCAGAATCAATATTAATCTTACTTAATAAAACCTCAGGTAAGTTGAGAACCTGCAATAATATAGTTGAATATACTTTCGATATCAAAATGCATTAATCAGGTTCAGATCCTTCTTCCAGTTTTTCATCCCTACATTCAGGGCATGCCAATTTAACTGAATTCTTATCCAATATTATATATTTGATTTCCCCTTGATGCATTGCACAGATTTCCATTATAATAATAAATAAAAATCATAATGTTAAAAAAACAATTATTTTCTATTTTCCATTTTCATATTAGGCTAGGCTCTCTTTCAAATATTAAACTAATATGAGGGTATCTCCCTCATCAAATCCATCCACTATGCATAATTAGATTAAACAAATTTCATTGAAGATGTGTTTAAATTACAATATTCATAATCAATTTAATTAATTTCTCATCTGAATCCTTTGTAAATAAATGCACTTAACAATAATTGAATTTTAAATCATTTATCTAATTGATATCATTAATATTTCCTTCCTACTTAGTAGTTTAACTTAAACTAATCTAGTATGATACAAAATCTAAAATAAATCATATTCATACTTTAAAGTAATAATGCATAATTATTATAGATCATAATTACAATTGTTTAGAAATGTAAAATAGGAATTAGAATCTTCTTGATATATAATTTCACTTAACAATCATAATGATTATATTTCTAATAACAAATTATTTATATAGATTTCATTTTTAAGCAAGTTTAGTGCAAAGCACTTTGATTCTTGCTCTGTTGCTTGTTATCAAATCCAAAACTTTAGTGTGTTTGATTTACAATTCCTAAAACATAAATGATTTTATGTACTTTTAGTTAATTTTAATATTAGATGCTTTGATCGTGAGCATTTTTTAATTATTCAAGTCTGGTAATGATGTTGGGAAGTAAATCAGCAATACCAACCAACAATTAGACTTACCTAAAGATTTCATTGATTTTATCGATTTATGGTAGATTTTATGTGAATCCTAATTTGATATCTTTGTTTTCTCCTTAGATTGAGTTGATAATTGACTACACCTCGTTTAAGTCTTGCATTATAGTTGAATTGTATTGATAGGTCTTCTGTCCAACTATGGTTTCCAGTAAATGAACTTATTTCTCCAATGTTTGGAAGCGTTTCAAATTATCAGATTGTGGCAAAACACATTTTAATGTGACACACCTTTCTGCACCAGATCCCAATATTGCCAAACATTGTATTCTCTGCTATAAATTCGTGACTTTGAGCGATTCCAAATTATTCTCAATGGCATTCAAATACGCAATAGGATTATCGACTTGTAATTCTTATTCTAATTCCATAGATTATTTGAGAAGAGCTGTTTACTGCTGAAGAAATTCAATTTGCTCTTTAAGAGTGACCTTTTCCTTGGGTGTCATTCTTTCATTATACTCCTCAGGAAGAACTTCGACATTATCACTTTCATAATAATCACTTTACATAAATATTTTATTCAAAATTATATGCATCTTGACTTATTCATACAATTGTAAACATTATACATTCATAGAGTTAACACATGAAAGTATTTCAATAGATTTTATTGATCATTTTTGAGATAGCTCATTCCCTTAGCTATTTTATCTATTTAGAACACTGGTTCTCAAATAATATTTGATTTTCCTATAGAGATCTTCCAGATTCTAGTGAATCATTGATGGATTCAACGTAGTTACCAAATTAAAATGTTAATAAACTCTCTATAATAAATAGATTATCTAACATTCTTCAATGCCTCTTAATATATAATAATTTAGTTTGATGTTTAAAGATAAAGATGGAAACTATTAATACTTAAAGATCAATTAATATCGAAATTAGATATTATTAATATCCAACTTCAACTAAGAAGTTAATCAAATATCCTAAAAATATAGTTCTGATCATGATCAATAATCTAGATATTAAATAGATTAATAATTTGAGTTTTTTTTTATTATCAAATATTTATCTATTTCTATTATGAATTAGAAATGCAATAAGCTTGGTCATGATCAAAAACCTATGGAATATTTTTGTCTATAATAGAAACAAATATTATGGAGTTGTGAGAAATGTTAAAAGGAGAGCAAGCAAAAATTAAATTTCTAATCGATAAAGCACTTTTAATCATGCATCTAGGATGCAAAAGGAATAATAATCAAGGAGACAGAAAATGAAAGAATAGAGCAAATGAAATTTGAATTTGATACGCAGGTATAAAAAGTAAAGGATTTATTGGAATTCTATTTATCTGGAATTGAAAATTAGGTAAACACCTAATACGCTGAGTTAAGTGCCATTATTCAATTTGTTGATAATTTCAACATAAAATCCTTAGATTCTCCCAATCCAGATCATTTCTAATACCTACAATTAGTAATGGACTAGAGTGTGGCTAAGAAATTTGATTAATTATAGATGTAAATTAATTAGCTCATGCAAAAAATACTCTCAATTTCAATGGATATCAATGAATAGGTTGGGTTCTTATCAGAGTCCATATTTTTGGATCAGATGAAATTGCTTATTAAAAAATTTGATTTACCTTTACAATTTTAGAAGTATATTGAAGAATTATAAATTCCAAAACAGTATTGTTTGGAACAATCTCATCAAGCTCAATTTGTTTTTAAAGAACAAATAGATGGAAACACATCATATATTGGATAATAAGAAAATGATGAATTCAACGGAAAGGGATTGTTGTACTTGAGTAACAAAGGTTTAGCCTATTATGGTGCATTCATGAATGGATAATTCTGCTATGGGATATCGTTGAATGTAAACAAGAAAGAACTTTTGCTTGGAGAGTTTGAGTTTATAGATCTCTTTTGCTATCGAATCCAAAACTATGGGATATTATTAAATTCTAATTGTGAAAGGTAAACAGTTAATTGTAATCTAAGATATGAAGGAGATTTTAAGGATAATCTATTTGATGGATATGGCTAATTTCATTATCAGAATGGCGATTTGTAATGATCTCTAATTATTCTATTAGGTATAAAGGGTAGTGGAAGGCTGGCAAACGATTTGGCTAAGGAGAACTAATTAACCATGAATTTGGAACGTACATATATATTCCTAAATCTAAGGATTAAGGGCAATTTCGTGGATGGATAATTGAATGGCAAAGGAGAGTTGAACTGTTAAACTTAAAAGTATAGAATATGTAATTCAATAAGATATTTTGGAGATTTCAAGGATAATGAAATGGATGGAGAGGGTACTCTAGAAGATCTCGTTAAGAAAACCAAATATGTCGGATCTTTTAAGAAAGGAGTGAAATGTGGCTAAGGCACTCTCTTTTTTTCAGATAATCGAAAGTATTTTGGAGTATCATCTGCATTATTTTAGGATTGAAGGCAACTTCCAGAATAATGAACCATGTGGGTAATGTGTGGAAACGACCATAAATAAGTATTTTGAGAATCTAAATAAACATGAAGAAACAACTATTGAAGAAGGAGAGTACTTTAATGGATTGAAATGTGGATAATTCAATTGTCAAACTACATGTAACGGTTAAATTATGAAGTATATATTTACTTTATGAATTTAAAGGAAAGTGAAGTATTATGGTTCTGGAGAGTTGATATTTGAAGACATCATCACTTGATTTATATTCATATTTCATCAAGTCAAAATATTCTCTTGCAAATAAATTTATTATCATGAATAGTTAGAAATTTTATTATGGAGAAGACATTATTGAAAAGTCTAGGGATTACTAACTCTCGACTTAAATTACAAGCATAGCCAGATCTAAAAGTGAAAATAGAAGGCTCATGAAATAGATAACCAAAACTTCCAATTCTCCAAACTCTAAATCCCAATTAAGTGCCTTTAACAACATTACAGAATATAACTAGAATTCCATAGGCCAAGAACGTATAATGAAAAGAAGAACTTTGATTCTTTAGAAGGAACTTCATAATCAAGACTCATCCGGTGCCTTGTTATCTTCTCAAACAAAAATAAAAATAATTAAGGCACCCTTCAAAAAGATTTAAACATCAATCGAGAAGACATAACCATGTAACAATAACAAAAAAATGTAATCTCATCTTGACAGTTTCGATAATGAATAACAATTTCTTAAATCTTTACTCTAAAAGGATCAAAAACCTGAAAGAATCGATAAATTAATTAAAATTAGGTTAGCCAAATCTTAAATGACCTTACATTCTCATCAAAGATCACAACAGACTGAAGTTTCAATTGACAAGTAGAAACTGCCTACTCAATCCTCTATTCGCAGAGAGAGTTAAAGAGAATTGAGGGACAAAAAGTATAGTGCCTATAAATATTAGATCAGTCGAATTAAAGCAACACATGTACAAGTTGTTATTGGCATTCGAAGATACGTGTCAAATTTGGAATGGAAAAAACAAACTGGAAAACCTATTAGATAATGATTAGAAATTCGTTGGCTTTATGAATCTCACCTATAATCTTACCAATTTGCCGTTAAACATCGAAGTAAGTCTGTCTCCTAACTTAGGGATTGGAATAAATGTTTAAAGGAACTAAATACGTACTCAAAACTTTGAAACCTTACATCCCATAAAGTTTAGAGAAACTGATCTTCGAAGATTAGGAATGCCAAAAGTTTAGGCCATTAACATTTTAATATTAAGTATTTTATATCCTGAATAATCACTCTGAATTGATAGACACTTTCGCTAATTAAACAATTCGATTGATGGCGAGATCCTCTAAAGAATGTAATGATCTGTAACATTTCATTGAAAAGCAATTTCTCAATAGGAATTAGAATGATGTCGAGTATATCTAAGGTCTCTTTGAGAAACAATTTAATCAACCCTACCAATCGTTATTGAATGAGGCAAGGTCATTCTGTAACCTAGCGATTGAGTATGAATATGTGAAATAATTGTATTGTTTTTGCACCAAAGTGCAGGATGCTTTGTCATAAAAGATTCAGTAGGAAGCAAATAAGAAACAAGTTTACGATAAGGGATTCGATTTTAAGACTGCCTTATCTAAGATTAAATCGAAAGATGTAAGAGTCCCTATTGATTGATTAGATAAATCATGAGAAACTGTTTGCTCAATTAGTACCCAAGAAGCATGAGATTATCGATAAATTAGACAAATTCGAATCAAAGTTTGGTAGAATTGAATCCATCTCCAATGTGTAGAGAGAACAAGCTAAATTGGCTGATATGAAACACAATCAACTTTATGAAAGGATTCTCAAATTATAAAAATAAATGGAATGAATCTCAATATTAACTGATGTATTTATACAAATAATGCTGCCAATATTTGATTTTAATTTTAAAAATTTAAACACGTCTGTCAATGTCCTATCGAAACTGTGATACTATATTCACTGAGTCCTAAGAAACAAATAAGAACCTAAATTTATGTACTCCACCAATTAAGAAAATATTCTAGAGTAATGAGATAACATTTCCATCAACTTTTCACTAAAGCAACTTTTAGTATGTTTTCATAATTTACCATTATAGAACTCCATAAACGAAAAATATTTCCCTATGCAATTCAGAACAAAAACCCTTTTTAAAGTTCTCATCACAGAATTCAATCGGAAATATAAATAACTTAGCATAAAATTTATTTAAAACCAACACTAGCAATTAAAAATAAGAGTATGTATCATATATCACTTATAATCACAATACGATAAAGAATTATATTTTAAATTCAAATATCATATTCAAAATATAAACTTAATAAAATTTATTTTATTAATTAAATTTTATTATAGGATCGAAGAAACCAAGCCTTGCAATTGTAAGAAAAGTAAATGCCTGAAATTATATTGTGATTGTTTTGCAGCTGGTAAATTATGCTCCTCAAAGTGCAATTGTTGCGGTTGTTTTAATAACAGTTCAAATCTATTAGAGAGAAATCAATTTATGGAGAAAATGGTAGAAAGGAATCCAGAAGCATTCATTTAGAAGGTCAAAGAAGTCGATTAAAAATTGGCACATTCTAAAGTACCCTATAAAATATCATACTAGGGATGCAATTGTAGAAAGAGTGGTTGCAAAAAGAAATATTGTGAATGTTACTAAATGGGTATTGAATGTTCTGACAATTGCAAATGTGATGGATGCTAGAATTGCTCCTCAAACAAATTGGTGAAAATCTTCACTTAATAAGACATTTCACAAATTTCCCGATAACTTAAATAGTTAAGTCAACCATTTTGAAACAACATTAATAAAAACTATAATATTATACAAAATTCACTCAATTATCTCGATTCCTTGTTTAATCTCTATATTATATATGTGTGTAGAAGAATATATCATTTTCTCCAGATCACTTTAATATGATTTTATGAAATACTAGGAAAACTAGAAATATTCTGATATGCTTCAATAAGAACATCTTTAATTCTCTAATTATATAGTATTTTGTAAATATTATGACTGTCTCATAAAAATTTATCAATGAATTGTATCTATTTTAGATTATTATTATTTAATCATATATTTAATGGAATAAGTTATTGAAGTCACAACATCCAATTATTCTGAAAAGGTCAATAAAGAAGGAAAGGCAGCCTTAATCTTTGTTGGAGATGTCCTAGCTGAAACTGGTTAATCATGGTGCTCAGATACTGTAGAAGCTGAACCTACAATCAAGAATTATGCAATTCCACAATTGTTGTAGAAAGGATACAAAGTATTTTGGTGTTGGGCAGGCGATAAGGAAACGTAAGATTATAGACATTTAATTAGATGGAAAGATCCAAATAACCCTGCTAGAGTCTCTGAGTGGATTTAGATTAAATCAATTCCAACTTTATTATTAGTCCATGACAATAAGGAAGCACTTAGATTAGAAGAGGAATAATTATTCAATGAAAATGCATTGAAATAATTCTTAGAATAATGAAGATATGAATAACAAATATTACACAATTCTTACATTATTTAGTTAATTTATGATTTTGAATTATTTACTAATTATTTTACACATCAATCATATAGAATTATGATAGAAACTAAAATAGATTGCAGAAGAAGATTGATAAATATCTATAAATTCTAATTAAGAACACTAATACGAATACTAATACTAAGGAGATCATAAGTGAATATATATATAGAACACTAATGATCATTCGATATCAAATATTTCTTCATCACTTCCTCTTACCTGATTTTGGATAGGATATGATAGAACACTGAAGCTATTATGTTTAATTGAGTTCTTCTTTTTGGTTTAGATTCCAGTCATCACATTTTATCTCTCTTTCTCTACATACATACACCACAGAGGAGTGCCTTCATTGCTTATTTCATCTCCTTCGCTCCAATCATAGTTGTTCACTTGTGAGGTGTTCAGAGATGGAATATAATAAGGATTTACAATGGATGAGGAATTTCTGCCATTAGGAGTTGAAGGTGGTTGCAAGAACTTAGCTGATTTTGCGATGTATTGTACTTCATCGTAAACCTGTTCATATTATTGTTGCTAAATTTGGTTCTAAATACTATAGAGATTTATTACATCTGGTTCTATGACATTGACCATCACAGGTGTTTTAGCCCTCCCAGAGTTTTGCCTCTTTGTACTGTTCATCTTATAGTACTTCTTCTGATTCTATTGCAAAATCTATTCAAACCTTTCAAATTATTTATTATCCACACCTTTTGTCGAAACCTACAAATTCAATTTCTTATCCATATCCCCTTCAATGATTTGATCCTGACCATAAGTAACAGTGTTTTTATTAGATCCATTTGCATTGCTATTAATAATATGGAGATTGTTCGGACTATTATTTTATTTTAATTGGTCCTTCACTTAATATAAATAATACTGGCATAATGTGCATTGTGTTGCTCTTCTTTTTTGTTGAATTATCTCCCACTACTTCCCAATCATAGTAGGGTTGACTTTAATGTTTCTCTAGTTCGTTTTGAAATAACTTCTTGTATGTGACATAATCGGGGGTTGTGATAAAATCTAATTTACGAACAGCCGTTAAAAATTTGGTAAAGCATGCTGGTAGATCTTTGCATATGACTTCTGGAGCTGTCAATTTTTTGAGATGCAATATTTTAGCATACTTGAGATCCTTCTATTCAATTTGCAGATTCATCCAAGGTAGAGTTCCAGTAGCCAAATAAACCAAGATATAGGCTATGCTTTCTAGATCATCTCTACGACTCTATTCAAGTTCATTGTGTGCATTAATACTAGCGTATCTGGCTGTACCAATCAATCCCTTTTTACGCAGTTACTTGATGTGCTCACCTTTGGAATTCACATAAAATTTAGACAATCCAAAATCAATCAGATGTAATAGGTTTTATTGTTATCCCAATCCCAAAACAAAGTTGTCTGGCTTAATGTCTCTGTGAATGAGACGCATAGAATGCAACGTTTCAATTCGGCTAAGCATCTACGCTAAAAAGTACATTACTCATATACCTGAATGGCTAATCTCAACATAGTTACAAGAGAGAAGGACCCTCCGCACTTCTTGCTCGTATTTTCAAGGTTGGGTCCAAGTATATTCATAATGTAATATACATAATGATTCTCCTACCCATAGTACAATATCTGTGGGAACCCAGGTTTCTTCCTAAAAAGAATGTAGTGAATAAATTTTTGTTACTTTAATTCCATCATAATCTTGATTTCTCTTTCTAACATGCTTTCCTCTTCTTCTAATTCCTACTCTACCTTGATTGCCAAGACTGAATTGTTATTTTGAGTGTCGTAAATTCTAAAGACAGATCCAAAAGATCCTTCTCCAAGAAGATCACCTATGCGAAATCTACCTTAGATGATATCTCCTGCTTTTAACATGGCCTCCTCTGCTTCTGAATCCATTACTTAATTCATTTATTAAATATTTATATCAAACTCTCGTATTCTTTGCATTTGTCATCATAGGCACTCTCCATCTCATGGTTTTACTACACTATCTCTCGTAGACACTCAGTCAATTGGTTCATTTGTGTGATGTACTCTTTTTGGCTATTCTCCATCGATTCTAATCGTTGCAACAATAACTAATAGTTTTTCTGGGTTTCCTCGTATTTCTCATTTTCATGACGAATTCGAATCTCAAGCAATTGCTTCTTTATCAACAACCTTTGTATCTGAGTCTGATCATCCTTCTATTGCTATTCGTAGACTTCCATAACACGAGTGTTCAAACTATCCATTGAATTGTTGTGAGATTTTTCTACGTTCTGTTACTTCACAGAAACAACGTAATTCAATGAGGATTTAGCTCTTTTTCTTATACTCGATTTATTAAAATATGTTATTAACTATTTGTTATTTATCATTATCATAGAAATAAAATCATCATGTGATAAAACACATTAAATTTATACAAGAATTACAATTTTATTTACTATGACAGCAATAGTTACAACAGTTCAATACCAAGCATCAACGTTTTGCATTTTTAAAATAGGAAAATAAACAATTATAGAAGGATTAAGAAGTCAGCAAATTTCAAAACAATTATTGATTCTTATGGATTCAACCTTTTCAAATGTTCATAATTTCATCAATCCTTTTCCTAATTAAGAATTGGTATACTCTTTATCCATGGATATTTTTGAAATATCACTTTTGAAAAATACTGTTAACTCCGGGGTGCTGGTATTTATTAATTTAATGATAAGTAAGTTTATTTAGTTTCAACTGAGCTCTATATAGATCAAATCAATGGAATAAAATAGTATAATATAAAATAAATTATTACAAAAAATAAATCAAAGGTCAAAAATTTTTGAAATTATCAAATTTTAAGAAATTGAATGAATAAGTATAAAATAATGAGAATATTTTCATTAAATTTTGAGGGTATATA